GTCTTTTGTTGATCTTTTTCTTAATTTCTTTCCTTTCTCATTGGGGGATAGGTCTCAGGAGGACTCCAAAAATATCTCCATCTCCCCTCAGCAGATCAGCCCATTCCCCACAGTCCCATTCCCCACAGTCAACACTGTAATCCAGGAAATATTTAAAAGCATGTTTCAAAGTCCTTCCAAAATTAAGGGCCCTCACAACTCCAGACCCCCCCTGGTCCACTCCAGATTCAAACTTCAAAAACAGCGGCTTATGCTCCTGCAAGGCCTCGGATCTCTCCATTTGTGTTACTTGAGATTCAACAGCAACCTCCTCCATTATCTTCTGCACTTGCGCTTGCCCTGTCAAAACAAGTTCCTGGGCTGGTTCCTGAATGGTTTCTATATGGGTATTCGCCGTTTGTCCAAAGTTTTTAACTGCAACAGTCATCAAATCCATCTTCTCATGCATCTGCTCCAGCAAAGTACTTGTCTTGCAAAAAGCAAGCACCAAAACTTATTCTAAACACATTTTTATTTAAGGTCAGAGTCTGGTCTCACGATCCTAATCTTACAGCTGTGAAATCCCCAAATCGACTCCAGCAACAAATTAACAAGCTCCCTCTAGAGGAGACAATTTCTATTTGTATCCATCTTTTGAAAGCAGGACCAACAAAAGGAAATTACTTTCATTTTTCAAATATTTTGTTTCTTTTGAATGCAAGAGGCAACATTGGAGTCAATTTGTTTCTCTTTTTTTTACTATCTGTCAAAAGACGTTCCATTCACAGTCGATGAACTTCCCCATAAATTTCTGTCTCTGACACCCCGTTCCCAGGTTTGAGACGGTGGAAATTTATCTTTCTTTACTCTCTGGCTTAAATAGTCAAAAATTCCCCCCCTTTTCTCCTGCTTCCAAGAGGGGTTTTGGTGGTGATAACTGAAGGAAATTTAGACCTTTATATACGACTTTCCAGACTTTAGCTTACAAAGTTTTGCTTCAATCTATTTACAAAAACGGGGGGCGGACTTCCTGTTTTGAGCCTTCCCGCTTCAGTGCCAAATTAAAATGTTTCTTAATCCAATTTTCCGTTCTACTCACGGGTACTTGTTTAGAGTCCAATTGTCCACAGGAAAAAGTCAGCGCAACGGCTGTGCGGCTTCACTCCGTAAAAGTAGCGGTTGATTCAAAACACCGCGCCACTCACCCCACGTCGCTTCGGATCCCCGAAAAAGGGTTTCCCTGCGAGTAGGGGAGGCGCTCCTGGTGTCAGCCGAATCCCATGTTCCCAGGCTTCCTCCGCCTGGGATTTTTAGAGGGTCTCCGCCTTCACCACGGCGGCAAGACCCGATTTTCACGGAGCGGGTTCCTCTCGGTCAGAGGAACTCCGCCATTGCCAATGGCGCTAACCCCGGAAGTCCCAGTCTTAAGCTGAAATCCTGCACTCACTCATCTGGGTTTAATTAACTCAATGGAACTTATTGTTCAACAGATATATGTAGGCTTACAATTAAGTGCCAGCAGGAATATCGCCTTAGCCTGAACCAACCCATTGTTTTGGGTTCCTGTTTCTTCAGTACATTCCAGTTTTAAGCCTATTACACAACTATTTTTTTTACCTCCTTTGACTAGGTGCAAATTATGGTTGTGCCTCACTAACAGAGAACAAAAGCTGCAAAAATATGCAAACCAGTAATGTCAAAAGAGTGGTGAGGAAGAAAGTTGAACGATAAGAGGGGAGAACCTATTTAAGTCAGTCCCTCTTCCCAGGGAACCCTGGGAATCGTAGTTCTGTGGAGGAGGTAGTGATTTCTTTCACATAATCTCAGCACCCTTACCAGACTGTGAAACTCACAATTCCATGGCAGATAAACTGGCATATAATCAATAATGCTGATAGATACTTATCCAAAATGAAAAAAATGGTGGGTTTTGCAGGTGGGAAATATACCCAAGACCACTTCTCTGTGACCAAACAGGAAAAGGGGATTCTTCCATTCAGTTATTTTCTATCGTATCCTTAGGGAAATGAATGAGAGCAGTATTTCGACCCTTGTTGTAACTGTGATGGAACTCACCTTTCTGTAAACAAGAATAGGAAATGCCATGTAAACAAGGAGTGGGGAACCTCTGGCTCATTCCTCGCAAACCACACCCACCTGTGTTACACCTGACAACATTGTATGTAACACCAGGTATGTAGCAGGTAATCTAAGTGGCTACAAAGCAGCAATCAGGAGCTCCCAATTGCTCGTTTGCTAGAACTCATGGGCAGTGACAGGAGAACTGGGGGGGGGGGTCACATTTGGCACCAATGTGCCCCTTTGGTTTCAGATAGTACATGGGTAAAGGTAAAGGGACCCCTGACCATTAGGTCCAGTCGTGGCCGACTCTGGGGTTGCGGCGCTCATCTCGCTTTATTGGCCAAGGGAGCCAGCATACAGCTTCCGGGTCATGTGGCCAGCATGACTAAGCCGCTTCTGGCAAACCAGAGCAGCGCACGGAGACGCTGTTTACCTTCCCGCCAGAACGGTACCTATTTATCTATTTGCACTTTGATGAGCTTTCGAACTGCTAGGTTGGCAGGAGCTGGGACCGAGCAACGGGAGCTCACCCCGTCGTGGGGATTCGAACCGCCGACCTTCTGATCGGCAAGTCCTAGGCTCTGTGGTTTAACCCACAGCGCCACCCACGTCCCAGTACATGGGTAGACGAGTATAAAAAGCCAGGGACACAAATTTTCGCGACCCTCTAGCAGGTATGGTGGTTCATTTACCAGAAGTAATGCATTTAGTTTTAACTCTGGAAGTGTATACTCAGTTCTGACCAAACGAAGACTCCTGCAGCAAAATATACATCAGAAGGCTTAGTTTACTCACTACTAATGTACACCAAGGATTTCTTAAATATTTGCCTTTCTGGTAGTCAGCAGTCATAGGTGGCCCACATCAAATATTTATAATTGCTGGTAACAGGACTGTATTGCCAGACTTGGCACTGGAAAGCTATCACATTTTATTCTTGCTCGCTTGATCTTTCTCTTGCAGAAGATCTACATCCGTTCAAATGTCCTTCTTGCACTGTGGGGATTGGCAGTAAATATAATATGATAATGATCCATGGGTCTATTGTGGCTCTGGCCAGGGTAAAACTGAGAGGACAAATTCCTGACTTCTTCTTGTTGTTGTTTAGTCGTCTAGTCGTATCCAACTCTTCATGACCCCATGAACCAGAGCATGCCAGGCACTCCTGTCTTCCACTGCCTCTCGCAGTTTGGTCAAACTCATGTTGGTAGCTTCAAGAACACTGTCCAACCATCTCGTTCTCTGTCGTCCCCTTCTCCTTGTGCCCTCCATCTTTCCCAACATCAGGGTCTTTTCCAGGGAGTCTTCTCTTCTCATGAGGTGGCCAAAGTATTGGAGCCTCAGCTTCAGGATCTGTCCTTCCAGTGAGCACTCAGGGCTGATTTCCTTCAGAATGGAGAGGTTTGATCTACTTGCAGTCCATGGGACTCTCAAGAGTCTCCTCCAGCACCATAATTCAAAAGCATCAATTCTTTGGCGATCAGCCTTCTTTATGGTCCAGCTCTCACTTCCATACATCACTACTGGGAAAACCATAGCTTTAACTATACGGACCTTTGTCAGCAAGGTGATGTCTCTGCTTTCAGAACTCAGAACTAAAAGACAATAAGCTGTTTTGTACAATACACTAAATTAAATCTTAGCAAACATGTGGGATCTTGAAGAGGAGCTTGCAGCCATTTTTCTCCTTCCCAGGCTGAGACCTAAACCACAAATCTCAGTTCAGACAACACACTGCCAAACCTTGGCTTACCACAGCACAGCATAGCATGGCAGCAAATACTACCAGGTAGCAAAGTGGCTGCAAACTCCTCTTCGGAAGCCTGCAAGGTTTGGCTCAAATTGTTGCGGCAACTGGGCCAATATAAAAGTCAGGACAAAAACCTTGCAAATTTTACTTAAAATATCATTATATACCAATCTTTGCTTCTAAACACAATGATTATAATTGCATTTAGCAGCTAATTTTTGTTTACTGTGCAAGGATGCATTTTATTAAAAAGATTTCCAGCATTTTATACCATTTTGCAATTATTGGCCGAGTAATAAATCCAAATTAGTGTTGCTAATTTTTAAGGACTCTGTGCACACCTGATAGCTTTAACCTGCATGCTAAACAAAAATTAGTAGGCAGCTTGATATTAAGTGTCACGGTATTCTAAACTGTGGTACCAATTTTTAAATGGGGAAAAAAATCATTTCATTTCAAAAGCAATGGCTACAATACATTCAAAACAAAGTGTGAATGTGGGTGGGTACCATATAAGTGTGGGGTTTTTTAGGATTTTAAACGCATTCAGCTAGACAGAGTGATAATTCTTCTTTCAGACCTTCCTGCCCAATATGCAAAAGTTGGGAGTCAAGCCAGAATGGACAGCAGGATTGGCCAGTGCATGTTTTCTGAGAGTGCATAGAGGCAAACGCCTACACAGAACTCAGCTGGGAGCACAAACTGTTTTCTGTTAATAGTGGGAGTTATAATTATTGTGACTTTAGGAATAATAATTATCAGATGTGAAGTTACTGACATCCTCCACCCACCTTCCTGGTCGGCCTCTCCTCCAGGTTCCATTGCAATGTTTACATTCATAAGATATGAGAGGATACATACAAATGGATTTTTTCCTGGTTGGAGTAATGATTGGACCAGCTCTTGGCTGTTTTGCATTTCATATATCATTGTAGTCATACACCCCATTAATTTATTTTTCCACAATGCTGTTTTTATCTACCTCGTGATACAGCAGATCAGAATGCTCTTCAGAGGGCATCATTTTTTTAATGACCTACATTTCAACTCTGCCTTTTGTGATTTGGCATCAACAAAGGCTGGGACCTGCTGAAACTTTGCCCTTCCCTGGAATTCCAATTGCCTTTGGATATTTTAGATCATATTGGCTAAACTTTTTTTAGGGCAAGGGCTGTTTACCCATGGACAAGCTGATATAGCTCAGTTGGTAGAGCATGAGACTCTTAATCTCAGGGTTGTGGGTACGAGCCCCACCTTGGACAACAAAAATCTGGTCCATTCCAGCTGTTCCACCAAGTATATGGGGGTTAGTGAGGGTTCTATCATACTTTATAGCTCAGGAGCAGGGACCTGAATCTGGCCAACACCATCAATTTCTCAACCAGTCACCTCCAGGCTTGACTACTGTAATTTGCTCTACGCGGGGCTGCCCTTGAAGCTGTCCCAGAAACTCCAGCAGGTGCAGAATGCTGCTCTCTGCCATGGAAGCATATTCACCCAGTGCTTTTCCAGCTGCACTGGCTCCCGGTGGAGTACAGGGTCAGATTTAAGGGGCTGGTTTTGACCTTTAAAGGCCTTCACGGCCTAGGACCCTCGTACCTACGGGACCGCCTCTCCCGGTGTGCCCCACGGAGAACCTTAAGGTCCATATATAGCAACACCAGAGCCAGGGCTTTTTCAACACTGGCTCCGGCCTGGTGGAACGCTCTGTCTCATGAGACCAGGGCCCTGCAGGATCTGATTTCTTTCCGCAGGGCCTGTAAGACAGAGTTGTTCCACCTGGCCCTTGGCTTGGAGTCAATTTGATTCCCTCCCCCTCTTTCTTTTTCCTTTTCCTCCTATGATGAGGCTGCATTTTAATTGTTTTAATGTTGTATTTTAATCTTGTTTTTAAGTTGTATTCATTTAACTAATTTTTATGATTGGTTGTTAGCTGCCCTGAGCCCAGCCTTGGCTGGGGAGGGTGGGGTATAAATAAAATTTATTATTATTATTATTATCCCCACTCACTCCAATACAGACCTTCTCATATTGAGAAGGGGATTTCTAAGTGGGTTTGGCTGAGTATGCTTCGAGGCCTTCCCAGGAAGCCTGTTAATGCAGGAAGGTGAGGATGGATCAGGCAGGGAGAGAGACATGTTCGAGGTGGGGCATATGCAACCTCGTAGCCCCTCTGTGCTGCCCCTATGCTTTATTTGAACACATGAATAGGGCTAGTGAGGTATTCCTACATCCTTTCCCCTGGCATGAGCTAGTATTGGGGGGTGGGGGGGTGGGGAAGTCCGTATAAATTCATTCCAATTCACAGCGCACCAATCCGAGAGAAATGCTTTGCATTTACATCCACACCACAGCATGATTTTCTCCCTCCTAATTTAATGCATGGGTTTAATTATACTTGCCTGGCACAATACCTGCTAATCTTCGCAGTTATCTCATATAGCAATTAATTCAAACAGGAACAGACTTGATCCTACAGTTCTTCAGCGCCTCTGGGCTAATTGCTGCAAGATCCTGCCGATTATTTTGGAACACTTTCCTGTACCCTGCCTTAATTTTTTTAAACATACCTTCCAGCTTTTCTTTTTTTTTTACAAAAACCCCAACAACTTTGAAAACACTCGTTGAGAATGAGCGGGTTTAAAGTCTCCCACGCTATAGCACTGTATCTGAATGTGCAGGCAACGTAGCTGAAGAATTCTCACGTCTTCCCATTCATTAAAACTATATGTGTCAGCAGGACCTGCCACCAGCAACATTAAATTATGGCTGTGGTAACCATCACAGTCAGGCTTTTCCCCCTTCTTTTTGGCCAGGTGCAGAGACTTTATGCGTGACACACAAAAAAGAACATCTTTGTTGCTTGACAGAAGACAAGCGAAATCAAATTACCATTCATGTTTATGTGTCTAAATGAGTCTGGGAAATATATCCCAACATGTTAGTCAGCTTGGGGGGTGGGTTTGGGGGGGGTTTAAAAGCAGAAGTCCTTAAGGAATACTGTCCTGGATGAATAAGTTTCACTGTGGGGCATCAGAGGAGATGGCATTTTTAAAAGGACAATCCTGTAGTTCATGAACCACTTCAAAGCAAGCTGGGAACAGCCTCTGCAGGAGTAGGACCTTGGAAAAACCATTTCACTTCATCATGCTTACCCAAACCAAGATGCTAAGGCAGCAATTGATGCCAGAGAATGATTCCAGCAATACAACATCCAAAGGGAAGAGTCATTTGCCAGTTGCATTATTCGTTACCTGAGATGCCTGTCCAAAAAAAATAAATTATTTGGCTAGGGGATGAAGCCCCACAACCTGTTTTCAGCGCTGAGCAACAAGGTCATCCAAAGAGACTGGTTCATGTGCAGAGTGCCTTCCTATGCTGTGAGCTGCAAAATCAGATCCAGTTGCACTATGTTTCTTACAGCTCAAAGGCTCTCCCCACTGCCAGCATTATGTACTACTCACAAGTTGAGCTCTCAAAGCAAATTCAAATCCTGAAAACTACCAACATTGTTTTATCTAGTTCAGTGGTAGTTCCAAGCAGGGAAACACAGACAGGAGAGTGTCTTGATTCAGAGTGAGCTTGATGTGCCCAGCTTTATGCACAGGGGGCCTCTGCAGCAGGGATGGGAAAGTTTTGGTCCTACAGATGCTGATGCGACTCCCAACTCCCATCAGCTGTAGCCAGCAAGACCACCAATCAGATATTTTAAATTTATTGAGTAACAATAAACACTGCTTGATTGCTAAAAACAAATAAAAGAAAACTCAAAACGGTTGACAAAAAGAGCATTTTAAATGATTTTTTTAAAGGAAATCACAGTTGTTGAGCTTTTCTTGGAAAACCACAGGGGTAAAAATACCCCATATATTCAGCTGAGAGGGGGGCAGGACCTCAGATAATTGAGTATTTTTTAATGTGGATCTTCCCCCCCTGCTTCCCCCCCCCCCCTTGGCTATGCCCATGCTGGGTAGGCTTGTTTAAACAAAAATGTTTTTAGCAGGTACTGAAAGTGATCTCATGGGTTAACTGGTCCCAAGTTGTTAAAGGCTTTATACGCTAATATATACATTGATCTTGGCCTAGTAGCAAATGGGCAATCAGTGCAGATATCTGAACACAGGTATTATAACGCTATCGAGGGACTTAGCTACATTGGCAAAGAAAGAACGCTTTATATGCGTTGTTTATGCATTCTTACACTGTGACACCAGATGGCACTGTGGAGTTCCGTTCTGCCAACCTGATTTCTCATACAAAGTTTGCAACACATTTAACTGAAACACTTCTTTGATGTGTCCTAGATCCAGCCAAGGTCTGACTTTTGTTAGCAATTGTGCTGTACCATTCAGCAGCGTCTGCATCAAGCGCTAGGGAAGCATCCCCCCAAAAGCACATTGCATGTACCCCATTGCAGCTTTAAAGACGTACTACTGAATGCACACAAGCCAGGGGCGAAGCTAAGGGGATACCCTTTCTGATGCACTTGTATTGGGACTGGTTAGAATGGAAGGAAAAGAGCTCAGCAGTAGATGGCTCTAGAGTCGACAGCAGGTATGGCCAAGGGGGTCAATTAATTATAGGTTTGTCCCCATCCTCCTCTTTGCTGAATTCTACAAGATTGAGGAAGAGGAAGCCGAGAGGCGGCGTCACTCCCTGGGCTGATTGCAAGTAGACAGGCAAGGCGGGTGAGGGCAGGCTGAGGTTGGGGCAGTGCCCCATAAGTCCTTAATTAGCCTGCCTCCACTTCTTACATTACCTGCATTCTGAAAGTGAGGCAAGGCATGTGCCTGTATGCAAATGCAGATTTAGGGTAGAGCGACCAGTTCCGCTGCCCTGGGCGCCGGGCCTGGAAACCACCGCAGGGCATCGCAACTATGACCTAGCAAATTGAGCAGAACAGAAGGAGGGAAGGGCGCCAAATTTTGGCTTCGTACAAGGCACCACTGACATCTGAAAGGCCAACGTCCGTCCCTGGCAAGTTATATACCCTTACTTCCTTACTGCACACAAGGGACCACTACAAGGGACATGGGTGGCGCTGTGGTCCAAACCACTGAGCCTCTTGGGCTTGCCGATCAGAAGGTCGGCGGTTCAAACCCGCGCGACGGTGGCGAGCTCCCGTTGCTCTGTCCCAGCTGCTGCCAACCTAGCAGTTCAAAAGCATACCAGTGCAAGTCGATAAATAGCTACTGCTGTGGCAGGAAGTTAAACGGCGTTTCCATGCACTCTGGCACTCATCACGGTGTCCCGTTGCGCCAGAAGTGGAAAGCTGTCTGCGGACAAACACCATCTCCCTTGGCCTGAAGTGAGATGAGTGTCGCACCCCACAGTCGCCTTTGACTGGACTTAACCATCCAGGGGTCCTTTCCCTTTCCCTACACACACTTTTCTCTCATCATTACAGTGTCTTCTGTTCATCTGCAGCTGCACAATGATGCAAAACTGAATGAAAAAAGAGAGGGGGAAGAAGCAAGTGCGTGGCTTCAGTTGCCAATTGGACCTGCTTCTGGTGCAGTACTGTAGTTTGGAAGCTGGATCTGGGAAAGTGGGTTTGGGGGGAAAACAGACCCACTGAAATCAGAAACTGTGCAAAGTCAATAGAAACATTCAGCAAGGCTATGTGGGACGTCCCTGCAAAAGAACACCATGTGTGGGGAATGGAGTCCTGAACAGCAGCAATTTGTGCTGCAACCTTTTGTTGCAGGTCCTGTTTGCAAATAAAGGATGCAGATGGGACCCACAACCAAAGGTGTCAATGCATCTCTATTCCCCTAATACAGATGCTCCTGTTCAGGTTTCCAGCCAGACACTCCTTCCTGCAAGCTTACAAACTTATCTAGAAATCCATTCCTGATGGTGAGGAGCAGAGTGCTTTCAACCCAATAGGTGCTGGGCCACCTGAGTTTGCCTACTGCCTTATCCATGACAACTACCGTATTTTTCGCTCTATAACACGCACCCGACCATAACACGCACATAGTTTTTAGAGGAGGAAAACAAGGAAAAAAATATTCTAAACGAAACAGTGGATGTATGATTTTTGTGGTTCATGCTGTGGCCACAGACATGTGATTTGACGGTGAGTTTGGGGTAGCCCAATGCAAAAATCCTGAGGATCCATGTGGATCCATGCTTTGTAACCACATTTTTGCACCACTGCGGCCCCAGGCAACAGTGGGTGCGTGATTTTTTTGGTGCAAGCTGTAGCCATGGACATGCTATGTGATCTGATGGTGAATTTGGGGTGACCCAGTGCAAAAATCCTGAGGATCCATGTGGATCCGTGCTTTGTAACCACGTTTTAAGTGGCTTGCTTTAAAGGAGCCAACCGGACAGGAGCCGCTTACACTCATGTAAGCGGCTCCTCTCCTCTCCCGCTTTGCTCCTTTAAAGCAATCAGGCTCTTTGTCCCTCTCCTCCCCCCCCCCCCACACAGCGGCTCTTCTCCCGCTTTGCTGTTTCAAAGCGAGCCACGGAGGAGGGAAGGAAGGGGAACCATGGATCCTCTGCTCACGACTGCAGCAGATCCCTCCGCCACCCGCAGGCATTTGCTCCATAACACGCACAGACATTTCTCCTTACTTTCTAGGAGGAAAAAAGTGAGTGTTATGGTGCAAAAAATACGGTAATAATATAACACTGTACTGTATCCAAAAAAGCTACTGTAAATGTGAGCAGGGTTGACCAGGGCAGCCTTTGTCGACCACGTGCCTCCCAGACGTTTCGGACTACAACTCCCATCAGCCCCTGCAGCCCTAAACATCTGGAGAGCAGGAGGTTAGCAAGGCCTGGGCTGGCTGTACACAGCCTCCATCCTTTGGATTGCTTTATGTCCTGGCTACCTCACAGCTTGATAACTTTTGCTGGCTCTGGCCAAAGCAAATATTTCCATCCCTGCTCCAAGACTTGAAAAGCAAATATTTAGCCAGAATGAAGCGCGGCCTGCTCTTTGCCTCTCTCCGTCTCTTCCCGTGTATGGACGGGAGCTGAAGTTCCCAACTACTGTACACTCCCCAGAGCAACCCCTCCGCCGCCTTGGGGAAGGGAGAGCCCGCCCCCCTGCAAACAAGGGATTGGCACGTTCCCTCCCTTCGGCCCCGGGCGGCCTCGCCTGGATTAGCCGAGCGGGGAAGGCAGTCACCCGGAGGCGCTGCGGGAGCCTCTCCCGGAGGTGTGCGCGCCGCGCGCCTCGCACCTGCGCGCCGCCCCGTCGCGGCAACCTGTTTCGCTTCGCCCCGTCCGAAGGCAGGAAGGGCGCCGCTGCCGGCGCGGGAGCCTCACCTGGCCGGCGAGGCGGGGGCTTGCCAGGGGTTTGGTGTGGGGGGCGATGCTGTGGGCGCATTGCAGGCGGCTCAGGGTCATCGGCCCCGGCTGACCTCCGCAGCGCCGGATCCACGATGAACAGGGATCCTCGCCGGGTAGATCTCAGCTTCTTGAACGAGGAAGAAGCCAAGCAGATCTTCCGCGTGCTGGAGCGGGACTCGCAGCTCAAAAGGGCCGAGAAGGAGAGGATCAGGTACAGCCAGGTCCCTTGAGTGCTGGACCTCTGGGTGGGGGCACCTAAGTTCTGGGAACCAGCTAAACCCGCGGGGTGATGGAGTCCCTTTTAGGAGGACACGTGGAGATGTTGTCTAGACCTTGTAATATGGGTGCTAATGACTCTTTCAATCTTCCCTTGATCCCAAGCTAGTTGATCTAACTTTTTATTGTGCACCCTGGAGCTATGGTGTTTTCCTCTGTTGCTGCTTTACGACCCAATCCTGCATGCATTTATTGCGGCTTTTAGTGGGAGGTGATTTTCATGTCCGCAATAAATTTCCTTCACAAGAGTGGTGCCAAGCTAGACTCTGGACTTCTTGACCTTGAAGCGCTACGCCTGAGTTTTAAAATGTCTGGCGAGCTGGAAGTATACTTGTTGAATGTTTTGAGGAGGCAGGAGGCAGTTTGCACATGCTCCAAGAAAACACTGTTTTTTATTTTGAATTATTAAGGTCGCTAGGTTCAAAGCTAGGCCCCAGAATTCAAAAGAAGCCGCAAGGCTGACCTCAGAGGAATCTTGGTTCACATTGTGTTACTTATATTTCAGGTTTATAAACCGCTTTACAGCCAAAAGCTATCAAAGCAGTGTGTTGTAATATAAAATGAGAGAAATTGCAAAAGATAGACTTTAAAAACAATTTAAAAATTCACTTTGGGGGAAACTTTCTTAAACAATAAAGAGTCTGGTGGGGTGTTATGACATAACATTAAAAAAGAAAGAGCTGAATATTTTTCTTCTGTGAGCTGGATAAAACAGGGCATTTATTAGAATGAACTTTTGATATTTAGGCTGCCATCATGCACCTGCTTACCTGGAAAGAAGTCCCATTGAACTTGATGAGGCTTACTTCTGAGTAGACATGTATAGGATTGCACTTTTGGGCTTCTTTCCAGGTAAACTTGTGTAGGATTGCGCAAATAAATGTTCCTTTTTTGTTGTCTGTAGACTCTACCATATTTACAGCATCCACACACTGCAAGAAGTTCTTGCCATTCCTGTTAAAAAAAGCCTTACGCTTGGCTCCCATGTGATGACATGGGTTTTGATGCTTGCTTCAGCGCTTTCAGCCCATAATGAGCCAGCTGTGTGCATAGGCTGGCATGCAGAGGCTTTGGTGTTGGCATGCCACCACAGATCAACCTCATCGTCAATGCCAAAACCAAATCTTGTGCATGCAGGTGAATAAGTAAGCCTGCCTTAATGCAGATAGAAGTCAGCAAAGGCTTTCCATTCAATCTCATGTGCTGAATCCATTAGGAGAATCGACCTACACAGTGCAATCCTGTACTTTTCTACTCAGAAGTAAGTTTCATGGGGTTTACTTTTGGGTAAGTGGGTACAGGATTGCAGCTAGCATGCACGACTTAAGGCCAGAGCTTTCCTGGTCATTCTTCCTTGAGAGCAAGCCCCACCGAAATAACCCTCGCTGGGTGCCAAAGTAAACAAAGCATAAGGCCCGGTTCTTAGGCCTTTCACCTACACAGGAAGTTAAGATGTGTGTGAGCCTCTCTGTTTCTCATCATATAGATATATATTTGGCAGTGTTAGAAACTCGGCTATATAAGCTAGGCGCCAAATGGCGCCTTACACCAAGGTTACAGTCGCCAAAATGGAATGCCTAGTTTCCATTTTGGGGCCAGACAGCTCAGAAGTCATGTTTTTCAATGCAGCTTTTTGACTCCTGGAATTCATTCTGATTGTGCAGATAAAATATAACAGATAGATTCTACAGGATGTGTTGCTAGTGTGTGGAAAGAGTAAAGGTCCAAGGATTCCCCAGGCGTGGACATCCAGATGGTGGAGACTTCAGGCGCCAACATGGCACCGGGGCTTCTTCACTTGGTTGCAAGTGGCCAATAGCCAGGTGCAAAATGTGTTTGGTTCCCAGAGAATTCCGAACTCTGATTTGGCATAATGGACACTTTTTTTCCCCTTTTTTTTTTTATAAGTTTTTATTGTTAAAATAGTTCATCATTAATACACATATACAAGCATACAAACATACATTTCATACAATCCTTAAAAGTGTTCAAACATACTTACACTTAATCCCACAAATAATTCCTTTCCCCATCACCATCCACCACCCCTCACCCCACCTTTGTGTTTGACTTCCAATCTACTCAATTACAATTTCTTTCCACTTCTATTACTTTCTTTCACACTTTCACACTTTCATATTGGACACTTTTAACGTGGGGCTGACTGTAGCAGAGAAATCAAACGTTCAGTGTAGGTTTGGAGATTTGAGCCTCGATCCAAGGCTCTGCTGCCTCCTCGTCCGTGTTTGTGTAGAGGGGAAGAGGTGTCTTCTCCATGTGATTTTTGTACAGTGGGTTAGTGTCTGCATCTAACAAAGCAGGAAGGGACAGGGTAGCTATTTTCTGGGTTCGGTTGCTATTTTAAGTCTTCTCCCAAGCGGCTTGTTTCCCTCTCTCACTCTCTGAAGGACTTTGCCCTGGAGCTTGGGCAGAGCAAAGAGTACAGAGCTGTTTCAGATGGTCACTACAGTATTAGTGGTGTGTTGCTGAATTTGGCGTCTTTGCCTTCGGGACAGCAGTTCCCAAATTTTTCACCTGCATGTGTTTTTCTCCCTCTCTGTCATTCCAGGGCATGGTGTCATCAAGTGAAATTGACCGATGGGAGGGGTCAGGACAAAGTCCTTTTTGACAGTGCACATGGTTAAACTGTGACGTTCACTACAGGACGTAGCAACCGGCAACTTAAGACGTCTATAAAATGGGCTTAATTGGATTTGTGGGTAATATATCGCCCCAATCCGGTTTGTTGTCATGCTGGTTTCATAATTTTTGACCTGGCAATATTATTATTATTATTATTATTATTTTTTATATACTGCCCTATACCCTGGGGTCTCAGGGCAGTTCACAGAATAAAATACCTAATAAAATTAAAAACAACAACCCAATACAACGCCCCTCCTACAAAAAAACACATTTTAAAAGGGCATAGGATGTAAATCAGATCAACCAAAGTCCTGGTTAAAAAGGAATGTTTTTGCCTGGCGCCTAAAGGTATATAATGAAAGTGCCAGGTGAACTTCCCTGGGGAGAGCATTCCACAAATGGGGAGCCACTGCAGAGAAGGCCCGTTTTCATGTTATATCGCGAATCATGATGTGTGTGTGTGTGTGTGTGTGTGCACGTACGCAAGCTGTGCAAAAATCATGATGCGTGGGGGGGGGGGGAGTGAAGCCAGCCAACGTCTCTACATAGCTCCATCCTTATTTCAGACATTATGATATATTGATATATTGCAATGTTTAGCTGGTGATATATCACAGTGTTGAAAACCAGATATCGCCAAGCCCTAATTCCCACCAGGATCAGAGGCAGTATTCCACAGATCACTGTGGTATACTGTGGGAAAGTTTCTCTCACAAGTTCCAAAGATCTAAGGAGCCCATTCCATGGTAACTCGCAGCAGGGCTTCTGTGACTGCCCCTGATCTGTCTATTAAGATATGATAGATGCCCACTATCTGCAATTTCTGGAAACAATATAGGTTGGTTTCCGAGTACACCCTTGTGTCTTCTGAACCCAGAACTCTATTTGAGTGATGGGACTTTGGCGAAGAGGCAGAGCTGTAGTTAAGGGTTCTTCAGCTGATAAATCTGAAGCCATCACCTGAGGCACACAATTTGCCCTATCTCCCACGACACAGGTAGACATTAGATATCATTATCAGTTCTTCATGTTGGCTCACTCCAAATTGCATATTGGAATGGCAGTATCCCTGTGATGCTGTGGTTAAAAGGTAAAGATAAAGGGACCCCTGACCGTTAGGTCCAGTCGCAGACGACTCTGGGGTTGCGGCGCTCATCTCGCTCTATAGACCGAGGGAGCCGGCAAAGAGCTTCTGGGTCATGTGGCCAGCATGACTAAGCCGCTTCTGGCGAACCAGAGCAGCGCACGGAAACGCCGTTTATCTTCCCGCCGGAGCGGTACCTATTTATCTACTTGCACTTCATACGTTCGAACTGCTAGGTTGGCAGGAGCAGGGACTGAGCAACGGGTTCTCACCCTGTTGTGGGGATTCGAACCGCCGACCTTCTGATTGGCAAGCCCTAGGCTCTGTGGTTTAACCCACAGCGCTACCTGCGTCCCTGATGATGCTCCAGTTAACCTGCCTTTAAAACATTCCCGCTCTGTTTCAGAGTTAATGTCTTGGATATCCAAGGTGTGAGACATGATATACCACAACGTCCATTTCCCTGTACAGTATTGGGAAATTTTCTATGTGTGATGTTTTACAATTTTTAAAGGTATGCTATAAGCTGCACAGAGTGGCTGGGGAAACCCAGACAGATGGGCATGATATATAAATAATGAAATGATTATGATAACGGCAAGTATTTTGCTAGCAAAATAATTACTTAGCATATATACAGCACTTTTCTCAATAGTCCAAAGTGCTTCATATATTTCAGGCTGTACATCAACCCTGCAAGGTATGAGGGTACTGTTAGCTCCATATTTCAGATGGGGTCTGGGAGTGAGAGATAATAGCTAGCCCAAGGCCACCCATGGCGCTTGTGGCTGCGTTGTGATTTGAGCCTATGATAGCTGAAGCTCTTTACCACAGAATTACAGAAGCTTAAATCTCCAGTGTTAAGTGGTGCATGCCGGCACCTCATATAAAGAAGGTTGTCTTTTATCTGTAATCACAAGTATGTGACTATTCATACTATGGCACCTTCATGAAGGGCTTGATAACTTTATGAGAAGGTGCTTACTTGATGACTAGGTGAATTCTCAACATTATCACTGTACCAATGAGCAGGCTCTGCTACATACTTTTTCTTGTACCAACTAGGTTCAAACGTTGTTTTTAAATAGACAATGTTATGCACCAGACTGGTAATAACCTGGCTGAGAGCTGAAAAACATGAATGACAGAGTTGCCCTATGTATCTGTGCATGGACTGTACCATTTCAAACGGCAGGTGGAAGATTAGATGTATAAATGGTTTGCCATTTATTATTCTTATTCTTTTAAAAAAACAGTTTCAAACTAGACTATTTTCCCGGACTTGTTAGTTATTTATGTGCATCAAATTTTTTATATAATGGGACTTGTAAGACATTCAGAAATGTGTAGTAGTGCAGCCAAGCCACAGGCCCATCCCATGAGTCTGCCAATCAGATAGCTTGGTTTCAAATCTACATCCATTAGAACAAAGAATGGGATTGGTGGATCACAAACCGGTTCAGGCATGCTGGCGAACTATGGTTTGGCACTATGTGATGATGCGCTTGCTTCTCTCCTTGCGTGCTATGATTCCCTGCATCTGTAGTTTGCAGTAAAGCCATAGTTTGTCATTTCATCCAAATTAACAAAATGTGGCTTGTACTTGCTCTGCAAATCAGAATGTGAAACTGGAGCTTGACCCTGATTTTGAGGGCAAGAACAAACCATAATTTGCCAGTTTGGACAAAAGAGAAACTGCAGTTTGCTACAGGAAAGTGCAGGGCCAAACCAGTACAGCATTGTGTCTAAACTAGCCTGTGTTTTATATGATGAATCAACTAAGATTTATTTGAGTGGGGAGATGGAGAAAGCCGATTTCTCTCTGAGATAGGAAACAGTGACATGTGTTCTGTTCTGTCATGTATGATTTAGCTGAAATTATGCATTGCAATGGTTGGGCTGGATGCCCCTGAAGTCCCTTTAGCAATAAAATTCTATGATTCTTGGAGTGAACTTTGGCATCGAACGTGTGTGTGTGCGTGTGCACATGCACGTGCAACAGAAAGTGTGTTAACTTGTTGGCATCAGAGCCACAGGTCAGGTGCAAAACACTAGCAACAAATTCCAAGGAAGGAGCTGCAGAAAGGGAAGGATGAGCAATAATGAGAGGAAATTTCCCCCTATAGGGTTGTAGGAGGAAGAGGTGAAGAATAAACTTTTGCCTGCGGTTGGGGTCAAGAAAAAGAGCTTCCGGCCGTGTTCTCTTCCCCTGCCCAATACAATTTCCTTGAGTTAAAAATGAGGAGAGGCTGGGGGAAGAAAAATGGAAGATGTATTTTCCCCGGTGAACTTTTCTGTTTTCGTTCACTGCTTCTATAAGCAAACTCTGGGGAGCAAATTAGTTGTCCAAGGAATACAGCAGTGTTCATACAGCAAGGTTTTCTCCAGCATTAGATGTGTCCCTCAATTAGTGCAACTGGTTTCTGTTGTTTATCAATAGCTTCCTAACAAGTATTTATTCCCCAGAGTTTTGTTGCAGAATCTTGTTTCCCTTGGCTCAGGATCGGAGGGGGGATTCGCTGGGGATGGCAGTCATTTCAGAGTGATCCTTTTCGTGCGCTTTGAGTGGCTCATGGTCTTCCTGGTGGTCATAGCCTTTGCACAGACACAAGCGAGCAACTTCCCTAACAAAGCTACTTCTGTCGCAAACTTTTCAACAGTTCACAGTCAGATTTTGCAAAAGCTATAAATGAATAGGAGGAAAAAGAGCCCAAGGTGTTTTAGCTGTAAGACTGTACCATCTTAGCTTTTTATAATTTGTTCTGCTAAAGCATGTTTCTGGAGCTCATTGTTCTGGATCTCACATGGAGGGCTTTTCACTATGGAGAAATGGGGGGGGCCAACCTTTAAACACAACGTGTACATTTCTTCCCTTGGCCTTTGTTGTTAGGACATGGAGCAGAGAGACCTTAAGGGCAGAGGGCCTTCTCGGTAGTGGCGCCCACCCTGTGGAATGCCCTCCCATCAGATGTTAAGGAGATGAGTAATTATTTAACATTTAGGAAACATCTGAAGGCAGCCCTACATGGGGAAGCTTTTAAGGTTTAATGTTTTACTTTGTTTTTATATATGCTGGAAGCCGCCCAGAGTGGCTAGGGCAACCCAGTCAGATGGGTGGGGTACAAATAATATATTATTATTATTATTATTATTATTATTATTATTTACAATCTAGTGAGAATATGTGTTAATCTGAGGGACACTGATCTTTGGAGGTTACTGCCTTAAAGTTCAATTACAATCTGTCCCTTTAAGTCCTGATCCAACACTCTTAACCCCACACTTTCTCTCTCGTTGGACTCCACGTCCCATCAGCCTCAGCCAACATGGCCATTGGTCATGGACAATGGGAGTAGTCCAACATCTGGAGAGCCACAGATGCCCCCATCTCTGCTGTAGTGTAATCCCACACAGCTGTAGTATGTGTGTGAACCCTCAAGGCCACATTCATGCCATACAGTTAAAGCACTATTATTGTACTTTGAACACTCATGGCCTTCTCCTCCCAATAAATAAATAAAAAAATTCTGGGAGCTACAGTTTGTTAAGGGTTCTGAGAGTTGTTAGGAAACGCCCCCCCTCCCCAAATTCGCACCATTTTGCTGCAATGCCCAGAGTTCTCTTTGAAGAGGGATCGATTGAATTGGCCATTGATATAGGGCAATTTTCACTGGAAAACACTCACTTTGCACTGGGAAATTTTCTGATGCTCTTCAGAATGAGGTCATTTAGCATCTTTTTACTTGTACTTAGTAAACAAAGCTAAAAACTTTAAAACTTCCAAACATGCCTAATGTTGTATTCGAAATTGGCATTCATTGTTACTGATGAACATATGAAACAGAAAAATTTCTGTGGAAAGATAAACCCCGCAAAAGTGATCATAATTGTAGTGGGGGGGGGGTGAGGTGTGTGTGTGTGTGTGTGTGTGTGTGTGTGTGTGTGTAAAAAGAGAGAACGAGAGATAAGTCAACTTTCCATGAAAAGAATTTTATATCCACAAATGTTAATGGATGAATAATAATTGTACAGCAAGGACACAAGATATTGGCATAAATTGTATCAATTATATTTACTTGCCCCCCTCCAATTATTAAAGAAGGAAGGAAGGTCCATTAAAAACACAACCTTTTGAGTATTTAGCAGCTTACTGTTCCTCTGGTGTCCTAATAATGGTTATTTTTTTAGAAAGCTGAATCATTGGTAGTAGTTTTAAGGCAACAGGCCCTTACTTTGGAGGAGCTTTTCTAACAAACTGGATAGTACGCTGAAATGAGATGGACGAACCGGATGTTATTTAAAAGTAATTAGCTAGGTTGGGCAAATGGTCATTTAAAACAGGTTCACTGAGGGCCATAAGTTTCCTCTTGTGACAAAGCTATCTATCACCTAGTGTGAATATTTACCACAATCTGCTACTAACATTACTTCAAGGGCTGGTTAGGTTACAGTCACAACACCTCATTATAACTGTGCGGAAATACAAAGAAGTGGCATGTAAGTAATGTTATTGAGTGTAATGTAATGAGTGACATTGAAGGAATCTGGTGGGAATTGAATATCATGTGAGAATAAAAAAAAATCTAGTGGTGTCACATCAAAAGTGATTCCCAGGTTTACTCTTGACTACTGTGGGGAAATTACTTCTGAGAGGGTTTTTAACCTTCAAAAATAAAATGTGTAGTTAAAAAAATAGAAGACAAAGGATTAATAGCCTGTAGTCAATTTGCTTTCTTCTTCTTCTTCTTCTTCTTCTTCTTCTTCTTCTTCTTCTTCTTCTTCTTCTTCTTCTTCCTGTAGTGCATCTTGAAACTCTGGAGCAAGTGGGAAACTGACAGTATTTTTTCCCTTGGCTTAGTATCAGATTTTTTTTTTGCAGGCCTAACATCCCAGGGACACGGGTGGTGCTCTGGGTAAAACCTCAGCGCCTAGGACTTGCCGATCGCCAGGTCGGCGGTTCGAATCCCCACGGCGGGGTGCGCTCCCGTTGCTCGGTCCCAGCGCCTGCCAACCTAGCAGTTCGAAAGCACCCCCAGGTGCAAGTAGATAAATAGGGACCGCTTACTAGCGGGAAGGTAAACGGCGTTTCCGTGTGCTGCGCTGGCTCGCCAGATGCAGCTTGTCACGCTGACCACGTGACCCAGAAGTGTCTGCGGACAGCGCTGGCCCCCGGCCTCTTAAGTGAGATGGGCGCACAACCCTAGAGTCGGACACGACTGGCCCGTATGGGCAGGGGTACCTTTACCTTTACTTTACCTAATATCCCAGGTCTTCTCTCTAGAAGATGACAGGGATAAGGCATGAACTTAGAGTGCCACTGGCAGTCATGGTAGACCAGGGATGGAGACCTGTGGGCCTCCAGATCTTGTTGGGCTCATAGAATTGTAGAGTTGGAAGGTACCCCAAGGATCATCTAGTTCAACCCCCTGCAATTCGGAAATCAGAGGTGAGTAATCCCTGAGAGATGGCTAGCCAACCTCTATTTAAAAACCACCAGTGAGGGAGACTCCATCACCTTCCAACATAGTCCATTCTGTTGCTGAACAGCTCATACTGTCAGAAATTTCTTCCCCACCTCCCAGGATTTTAGATGACGCTCAAAAGGCATTCCCCAGATACAGTCATACCTCAGAAGTTGAACGGAATCCATTCCGGAAGTCCATTCGACTTCCAAAAGGTTCAGGAAGCAAGGCACGGCTTCCGATTGGCTGCAGGAAGTTCCTGCAGCCAATTGGAAGCTGCGGAAGCCGCAACGGACATTCGGGTTCCAAAGAAGGATCGCAAACCGGAACAATCACTTCCAGGTTTGCAGCGTTCAGGAGCCAAAACGTTCGTCTCACAAGGTGTTTGACTTGATGGGGACAGGAACCCTGATAGAGAAGTTCCCAGTTCCCAGACTCAATTTTCTGTTGCTGATCAAAGTGAATATATTTGTTTTAAGGGGTCCTCAGATCAGTGTCGGAGGTGGGGTCCTGCTAGGGCTCTCTCATGCTATTTCTCTTCTGAAAAGAAATGTGTTTGTGACAGCAGGAATTCAGGAAATTTGAAATGGAATAGGAATGCCCGTGTGTGTGATGCACACATACATATCTCAATGCAAACACTTTCAATATTTAAACTGATCCCTTCACTGTTATTTGAACAGATGGGCTTTTTAAAAAATAATTGCAGCAATAATTGCAATTTCTTCCGACTTGTAGATAGGTTGACTGTTTGACAGGATGTCAGACTAGGAATCCGTGTCCTCTTTTTGTCTGTGAACCCTTAGATCTCCAGGCAGCTAAAAGAGGAGCAATTTGTGTGTGCGTGGAGGGGATAATTCTGTCTTCTCAGATCTGACAGTCTCCCTCTGGCAACCTGTTATAAAGTTTCATAGGGTTCAGCTTGGCAAATAAATCTTATCAGCCCACGCTTCTGCCCGGAGGTGGATCCACAAAAGTTTTAACAGGGGAGATGAAACATTTGAGTTTAGTGCAGACAAAATGGCAGTTTAGGGGATAACAGTAGCAGAAGAGAGGGGCACTTTGGTGATCTAACAATGTTCTGAATCATAGCTTTGGAGTAAATAAACACGGTGAAACAAGTACTGAAAAATCACAAGGAACACACAGCTCAAGATCCGCCAGGCAGTGTCAAAGGCAACTGTAGGGTAGGATCCTGCTGCTCCTGGCTGCTTTTTTCTTTGGCCTGCATGCACTATTTATCCAATGTCTTTTTGGAGATTATATGCTTCCCAAATGTTCTCTTGCTCCTAAATGCACCTTACACGGGACTGTGGTCTATATCACTCCAGAGTGCAGGTGGGTGTGTCATTTTTTAATGTCCCAAATGTTAAAAAGAAAAACCTCAAACATCCCTTCAGTTAAACAATAACCACCTAGCAGAACAATAGCCACCAGTTGCTAATGTGCAAGTACCGGTACTTGTCTGGAATGAGAAATGGGTTGCAATCACGGTTACCCATCCCAAGCCTGCAGGTAGTTTCAGTGGCCAGATGAGAAAGTATTTGGTCAGTCTCTATTCTAAGTCAGAGGTTGTGTTGTGTGCACAAAACCATCCACACCTAACATTGTTTTTTTTAAAATGCTTTTGCTGCATCTGCACACCCTAAGGGTGTGGATTTAGAGAATTTTATGCAGAATTAGGCACTGGCCCATTGAGATTCTGGCACAACTACTTAAGGAATGCAGCTAAAGCAGAGGAGTGCCAGAAAGATAGGACTGAAAGTTATTTGCACAATCTTTTTCCTAGCTTCTGCAGAATTACCGTATTTTTTGCTCTATAAGACTCACTTTTTCCCTCCTAAAAAGTAAGGGGAAATGTGTGTGCGTCTTATGGAGCGAATGCAGGCTGCGCAGCTATCACAGAAGCCAGAACAGCAAGAGGGATTGCTGCTTTCGCTGCACAGCGATCCCTCTTACTGTTCTGGCTTCTGAGATTCAGAATATTTTTTTTCTTGTTTTCCTCCTCCAAAAACTATGTGCGTCTTGTGGTCTGGTGCATCTTATAGAGTGAAAAATGCGGTAAATAACCTTGTTGCTTTCCATCTAAGGGAAAAATAATAATTATGCTCCTGTTCAGTGTTAGAAACACAGATATATAAGCTAGTCGCCAAATGACTCCTTAAACCAGGGTTATTGTTGCCAAAATGAAATGCCTAGTTGCCATTTTGGGGGCAGACAGCTCGAAAGTCATATTTTTCAATACGACTTTTTGGTTCCTGAAATTCATTCTGATTGTGCAGATAAAATATAATGGATAGAATTATATAGGATGTGTTGCTAGTGTGTGGAAAGGGTCAAGATCCAAGGATTCCCAGGCATGCACCTCCAGATGGTGGAGTCGTCAGGCGCTATCCTGGTGCCTGGGCATCTTCACTTGGTTGCAATTTGCCAATAGCCAGGTGCAAAATTCGCCTGGCGCATTTCGAATGCTGCTCCTGTTTTGATTCATACTTGAGGTTTTTCCTGTAGAATATAATGAATCAGGTCCTCAGAGGGTCAGGCTGCAATCCAGACCTTTGATCCACCATGCTGGGTGTTGGATTGGGTGGAGATCTGTTTACACATACATGTTTGAACTCACATGCATGTCTAGCACTCAGATGTATTCATGCACACACTAACAAGAGGTTGCATCCGTTATGAATATGTGTTTTACCCTTAACCTTATGCCCACAATAAGTTCCCACACAAACAGAATAAAGAAAACTTGGTTTATTATATGAAACGCAAATGACAGAATATATATTTGTTTGCCCCAACACGCATCGCTTGACGCTTGTTGAAGTTCAACTGTGTTTTCCATTTTATAACAATCTGTTTCTTCTTAACTATACTAATGACAGACTGTGGGAGGGTAATATATATCTGTACGTAAATCAAAAGCTGTACCAATAATATATGCACACCAGGGGGCAGGATGAGGTCACATTCAATTTGGCATTGTCTAATTTGTTATGTAAAATGTACTGCAACTTCATGGGTGTTGCAGAAGGTGCTCTTTCAAAAATAGCTGTTCCAGGTTCAGCATGTTGACACACCAAGTGAGAAAAATAAGTGTTAAAGATTAACAGACCAAACCCAGGGCATGTTTACTCAAGAGTAAGTCCAGCTAGAGTCAAGTTGCCATAACACTCCTCTCTCAGGGCAGCACGATTGGGCTGAGTGCCAATACTGTTGTGTATACACAGCAGGAGAGCACTGGATCTTTTTTTAAAATCACATTGACTTGAAATTTAGCTTGGTTTTCCTAGAACGGTATAGGCCACTGCTGAGGAAGTGCCCTATCTCTCAGTGGCCCACGCCATTTCAGGGACCTTTACTTGAAATGTGGCTCAGTTTAGTTTACAATTTCTTTTTAAACGTGGTTGGGCTCTCTTCCACTAAGGTACCACACTGGAGGAGCACATGTACAGCTGCTGAGGTCATAAAGATGATTTTGGCTGCAATCCTATGCATTGAGAGGTCATTCAAAGGGGGCATATAGCACCTTAGATCTCCCTTTCCAAATTTGGGGAGAGAGAGCTCCCATGTTGGATCATCACTCCCAACTGCTTCAGAAATGTCTGTGGTCCCTCAGGCATTGGAGTGCAGACATATGTAGAACCAGAAATCATCTTCTTCTTTGGTGATCACTCATAGCCAAGTAAGGTTGCCTTCGATGAACACTGTCATGGAAATAGGGTGAGTGTGTTGCAGTGTTATATTAAAATTTGGGGTTGGCTTTTACAGCCCAACTGCCCCAAGGGACTTAGAATCCCCTAAGTCCATTAAATCAGAGAAGAATGGATGGCGGCAGGTACCAGTAGAAGAAAAGCAAGGAAGATACTTGCTTTTTTTCTGTTGCAAAAGAGTGTCTCCTCCCCCCGCCCCCGCAAAAGGAGGTGAAAACCCGGAACAAAGGTGTATAGCAGCTTTTAAAAGCTTCAGAAATTGCCCAACCCCTTAGCCCAGGGGACAGCAACCTTTCATTTTCGTTCATTCCCCCCCCCCCAAATATAGTCCGGCCCACCACATGGTCTGAGGGATGGTGGACCGGCCCACGGCTGAAAAAGGTTGCTGACCCCTGGAGCCTTGAACAATGGAGGCCGGTGATGGAGGAGTTCTGTCGCTCTTAACAAAGTTGTCATAGTTACTGCCCCACAGATCCAAATGATGGTTGTGCAAGTTTGTGGCAAGCTGCCTTGAGTACAGAGTAAAAGAAGGGAGAAAGATAAACCAATAAATAAACTGCACTGCATATGTTTGTGACTGCTGGGACAACTATGATGTCTTGTAATACTTCCCATCACACATATACAATGCGGTGCATTTATTTGTGAATTGAAATTGATATTTTTTTTGTAGTACATTGGAGCATTCAGCTATTGAATATCATGATATTACTAGACCTGATATATGACAGTGTGTGTGTGTGTGTGTGTGTGTGTGTGTGTGTGTGTGTCCTTACTGGGATCAGATCCTGGGTCTAACAATCACGCCACCGTCTTGCAAACTGCAGAAAAGGCAATATAGTCACAGTTGTTTGGAAATCGTGCCCTCTAGTTTTTGGCCTCTAGAGGGGGTGCAATACAGTACTTTGAATATTATTTGACAGCTGCCTGCCTGCCTGAAGCAGGATGTGAAAGTGTACTATTGGCTAATCTAGCAATTTAGCAAAGGATTGCAGATGAAACTATGGCCTTTGACAACTAAAGCTGAGATGCGGCTGCTCACCAGGCTGCAGTCAGGGCCAACTGCATTTAAATTGCTGGTTTAAAATGTGCTCTGGTGTATTTTAATTGTTGTTTTTAACTGGTTTGTTGTTATTGCCCTGCATTTTATAATTAGTGTTTTTAAATTTTGCAAGCCACCTTGAATCCCAGCATGGGATATATAAATATATTAAAAGTAACAAACAAACAAACAAACAGCCTAGTAAACTGCTCTGACTTGAAGGTGATACTAGAGCAATGTCATCGCAAAGTCTGTTGTATCATCCTTTGCCACCACTGGGTGAACTGGGAGGAGGAGGAGGAGAACAATAACAATAATAATTTGCCCATCTGGCTGGGATAGCAGGTTAATACTAGCCTCTAAGCCAGGGATTGGCAACCTAAGGCCCATGGGCCACATGGATGCCGACGCTGGAAATCGCGGTCAATCGCGCACAATCTGACCCACGGAAGGATCTCCACTGGAGTGAACCGGCCCAGGCAAGGTAAACCTTGCCAACCCCTGCTCTAAGCATACCAGTACAGTGGTACTTCGGGTTAAGAACTTAATTCGTTCCGGAGGTCCGTTCTTAACCTGAAACTGTTCTTAATCTGAGGTACCACTTTAGCTAATGGGGCCTCCCGCTGCCGCCACACTGCCGCGGTGCGATTTCTGTTCTCATCCTGAAGCAAAGTTCTTAACCCAAGGTACTATTTCTGGGTTAGCGGAGTCTGTAACCTGAAGCATCTGTAACCTGAGATACCACTGTAAAGCAATTATGGGCTGGCAACTTTTGTGGGTGTATTTGCAACGCTCCTATATGTGCTTCACAAATTGGAATCCATTCTCTCCACCCCCTTTTAGGAGGAAGAGAAGACCACTCCTCCAGGGATGTTACTGAGAATATTAAAAACAAACATAATTCCCAATTAAAATCACGTATGTGTTCTCTTTCATAGCAAACTTCACAAGGAAAAGGAAGATGCAACAGGACTACCAGGGGTGACCGGAGACTGGTTTGAAGAAATCCAGAAGAGAAAATTTCAGAATGAGGCAGATGTTGGCAAAATGTTCAAACAACCCCTAGTTCACAGACTGCGGAAGTCCATCGGAAATGGTGAGTTGCCACTCATGCATCCAAACAAGGCCACTTCCAACTATAAAAATGCGCGATATATGACATTGTGAGTTTTAAGGAAGAGGAACAGTCACCGGAGATTTTTCAGGTGGAAGGAATATCTCAAAGTAAAGCACATTAAAAGGCAATTTGGCAACTTAGCTGTAGCTTCTCTGGAAATGTCTTGTCAAGGCAGGGATCAGACTGCTACAGTGAGCATTATCTGATCGAATTGCCTCAGCGCTGGCCTTTGTGACAGGAAGAGCATTTAAGAGCTTTGTGGGGAAGGAAATTATATATTGTAGGGAAATATAAATATATACGCTGTGTATTGACTTATCACACTCAAGTGCTGTAGTCCTCCCGGAGATGAGAGAAATCAGGTCTCGGATAAAACAGTGCGCCTCTCCAATCTGCTTGTCAGGGGACAGGAATTCAATTTAGATAAGTGAAATGGATGGACGGAACCTTGACAGATTCAACGTGGCTCAGAAAGCAGGCAGGTGATGATGTGATCAGAATATCAGGACAGGAAGATGGAGCCCATCTGCTGTCTGGCTTGACACTGATACAGATGTAGGGGGAATTTCTCTCAGACTGTTGCTTTGATCAGTTTCTTAACTGTCCTACATACTGTTGTGGACATTAAACAATGCTCAGATTCACCTTAACATTTTTTTTATTCAGGTACCTAGACAGAGGCGCGCGCACACAAACACATACACACCCCGAACTCATGGCAGTCAGGGAGTATTCTGAGGACATGCAGAATATACTGAATATTTATACAAAGTTTGTCGCGTGAAGCACAGGGTTTGCTTCCTCAAAGAAAATGGAAAGTACAAAGATTTAATAATGAAGTTGAGTGTGGAAGGCTTTTTATAGATGCCACCTTCCTGGCCCCCCCCCCGCCATATCTGAGGTGAGGCTTCTGGAGACAGGGCCTTCTTGGTAGCTGCACCCTAGTTGTAGAATTCTCTCCCCAGAGAGCTTCGCCTGGCGGCTACTTATCATTTTAGCACCAGAAAAAAGGCCGTTCTATTTTTCCCAGCCTCCTTATTCACAGTTTTTAATTGCATTTTTTTAACAAATGTGGCTTTTAGCTTCTTTTCTTTTTTCGTATTTGCATTTTAATTGTTTTATTCCTTTTGTAAGTTGCCCTGGGATTATGACTGAAAGTCTGTGTTGATGCTTCAAATAATAAATAAACCCATTTCAAAGGATTGGGGAAAACAAAAAATACTTATCATTTCAATTTCCATTTCAGATGCAAAACCCTCTGCCCCGCCGATCCCACAAGCCCAGAAGAATGCCTCCCCTTCCATCCTGGGAGGGCTGCGTATGCCTTTTGCATCTCTCTTCTCCTCCTTCAGAAAATCGAAACGGCAGCATTCAAAGCCTCTGCAAAAGCAGCCTCAATACCCTCCACGGTGAGCTGGAAGCTTCCTGTCTGTGTGCATTCAGTTGCTCTGGTTGCAAATCCAGATCTTTGGGGGCCAGGTTGGAGTCAGCTGCTCTGTTGCAGAAAGCACCAATGATGGCTTTTCTGGGATTGGTAGAGAAGAGAGGTCTTCATTGTTATTCCTGCCTGACAAGTTAGACTAGACTCCCAACTCTACGATTCCATGAACTTTCATGAGCTTGTCCCTCGTGAATTTGTTTCTTTCCTGTGTCTGCCTCGGAGGATTTCACACTAGGCCACGTTACAAATGTTGAAAGCTGCTTGACCGCCAGTGTGGTGTAGTGGTTAAGAGCGATAGACTCATAATCTGGTGAACCGGGTTTGCGTCCCCGTTCCTCCACATGCAGCTGCTGGGTGACCTTGGGCCAGTCACACTTCTCTGAAGTCTCTCAGCCCCACTCACCTCACAGAGTGTTTGTTGTGGGGGAGGAAGGGAAAGGAGAATGTTATCCGCTTTGAGACTCCTTCGGGTAGTGATAAAGCGGGATATCAAATCCAAACTCTTCTTCTTCTTTTCTGTAACATTTGAAGGTATGGCTGCATCTCAGGGAGCAGGGAATTTGGACACAGCTGGAAGAGCAGCTGACCGAAGTTTCTGGGAACATGACCCACGCCCACCTTCACCAACCTAGTTTCCTCCAGATGTTTTACACTACAACTCATAGGAACATAGGAAGCTGCCTTAAGACCATTGCACCATCTAGCTTAGTATTGCTTACACTGACTGGCAACAGCTCTCCAGGGTGTGAGACAGGAGTCTTTTCCCATCCCTGTCTGGAGACGCCAAAGATCAATCTGGGGACCTGCTCCACGCGAGCTCCTCCCGTAAAATCTGTTTTGACATAGCTATTCAGTAACGTCAGAATTGGCTGGCAGGGAAATCTGGTGGGCTGAAAGTAGATCACACTAGAGTAGGATATGTAACTACTTGCTAATTGCAGGGCGTGAGCAAAGCTAGTCTCTGGATCCTTCTGTTGTTGCTTTTATTTAATATGAAATTCATGTTGCATCTTATGCATTCCTTCCATGTAATTTGGTGTCTCCCCTTCTAAGTGCTCTGCACTCACACAGGAATTTCCTAATTTGTGTGTTGAGCATTTTTGTGCTCAAAAAAATTCTGGAGAAGCCCCTGTTTGCATACACCCATTCATAGTTAGAGCTGTCAGGGTGGAGGCCTCAAATCCTGTTTCATGAGGTGAGATGGATGATACAAGAGGCAGGGACTTTTTGATGGCAGCACCAAAATTTTGAAATGCCCTCCCTGCAAAAGCCCGTTAGGTCAGGGGTCAGCAAACTTTTTCAGCAGGGGCCGGACTTTTTCAGTTGGGGGCCGGACTATATTTTGGAAAGAAAAAAAAATGAATGAATTCCTATGCCCCACAAATAACCCAGAGATGCATTTTGAATAAAAGGACACATTCTACTCATGTAAAAACACACTGATTCCCGAACCATCCGTGGGCCGGATTGAGAAGGCAATTGGGCCGGATCCGGCCCCCAGGCCTTAGTCTGCCTACCCATGCGCTAGGTTCTCTCCTTGTTTGCTTTTAGACATGCACTGAAAGCTTTCTTTTCTCATCAAGCTTTTAAAAGCTAACTATCTGCTGCTTTTAATGTTTGCTTTGCTTTAACTGATGGCATCCCTCATGTCTTTTATCTCCAAAGTTCAGAGGGGTGTGTGGATGATTATGTAGCCAAACATCACCATCAACACCTAAAAGCAAGGCATCAGCAGGGTTGTGGAAGCCCTAAGGTTTGCAGAAGTACCAAAAAAACTTTAGCACAAAAACAGCAAAGGAGTGGGGAACCTCCAAAACAAACCAATGATGAGGACTGAGTGTTTTGAGTGACCACAGAATATTAACTGACTGTTTGGGTGGTGAACTGGGAGTATTTTGGAGGACTCCCTCCATAATGCAAACATTTTGTCGCAGGTTCCACTTGTTTTATTAGTTATTATTGTTAATATAATAATAATAATAATAATAATAATAATAATAATAATAAAGCAGAATAAAAATAAAAAATGAAAACCAAAACGAAGGGCACCCCATTGTCTACCCCCATGACTAGGTGGGACTTTGGCATCATCTGCCAGGGCTCTTCTTATATTCAAAGTGCTATACAGTGGTACCTCGTGTTAAGTACTTAATTTGTTCTGTTCTTAACCTGAAACTGTTCTTAACCTGAAGCACCACTTTAGCTAATGGGGCCTCTTGCTGCTGCCGCTGCGCCGCCGGAGCACGATTTCTGTTCTCATCCTGAAGCAAAGTTCTTAACCTGAAGCACTATTAGCAGAGTGTGTAACCTGAAGCGTATGTAACCCGAGGTACCACTGTAAATGAAATCCCATTAGCGGTTTTTATTTCTTTATTTTTGTGTGGTTTGTTTTGCATCTGCTCAGGGTCTGCCTGCTTTAGCTGTCCCAGTTCTCCTCGCCTTGTTCTCCTCTCAAGTGTATGTTTCCTTTCTCGCTGTTGCCTAGAGGCATTGGGTTACGTGCAAACGGGGCTTTCCCTTTGGCTGCGTGGGCTGGATTTGCTCGCTTAGCACCTTTCTCAGGGCCTCGGATGATGTCATGCTTCCCGGCCCAGGAGGGCGTTTGGAACCAGTCCCACAGAGGTGTGCGGAGTGCCGTGTGAAGGAGCATAAACAAATAAGCCCGGCCACCGAACTGATTGCTAAATGCGGTATTTATGTCTTCTGCTTGAAAAATCCCCGCCTTCTTCAAAAGGTTGCTTTGCAATGGCGTTTGCTTTATAGGGAGACGAGAGCATTGAAATCTCTCTGGCACCATTAGGAGGAAGTTGTTTAGAAAGCAGGTGAAATTCCCTCGTCGGCACTGCCGTCTCGTCCTGCAGGTAGGCAGATCAAAGCTGCAGTTAAAGGCGCGAGAGCAGGCCAGGCCAGATTTTTACCCGGACACTTGGAAACCTGTCTCCACCTGCTTTAAGCAAACGATCTCTCTCTTTTTTATTTTGTGTGTGTCCTGTAGCAGGTGGGAGAGGAGGAGGGTCGATCAATGGATTGTTAGAGCAGTGGGAGAAGGGATGTTGTGGCTTCATTCTCTGCTGGGTTTTCTAAAAAGACGGACCCCATTTTGGAGAGCAGAACTGTAAACGCAAGAATTGAGAATGTTTGAGAGGGTGCCTCCAGACTGCCAGATTTTTGCAAGAGGCGTTCTAGCACAGACTGGCAAATTTGGGGAGGCACAATTACAGTTAATCAAAGAGCTGCCCTAGTTTGGGGGTGGGGAACCTCTGCCCTATGGGCCAAATTTGGCCACCAGGCCTCCCCATTTGGCCTGGCAGGCAGTTTAAGGGAAGGCACACCCACCTGCCATACACATGATACCACCTCTGGGTTGGGTAAAGGCAGGGCTTCAAAGGATCAACTGGGAGCTTAAAGTAGGCTCCCAGTTTTTTCTTTCCTCGCTGGAGCAAGCTGTGCTCAGCTGATGGGCATGAGGAAGGTTGGTTCAAAATGGGTGACCCTGCTGCTGTTGAATCTATATATTTAAATGCAGGCAATCTTGACCATTAATCCTCCTGCAACTTGTAATTGCTAGGAAGGAAGTGTCTGAACAAACCCATCAATCTCAGGCAATGTTTTTACCCTGTGCATTTATTAATATGTCCTTATTAGATATAATTCTTGCTGTGCATTCTGTAGCTTGGGCTTTTGGGGGGCGGGTTGCCAGTTCTTTAAAGCCGGCCCTGAATTCTTTCGCTTGAAAATAGCAGCTTGACTTGCTGCAGTTAACAAGTGAACTCCTTGAGCTCCTTGCCAAGGAAAAAGTTTCGCTTGCCAACTCCTGCATATTATCAAACCTCTGTTAAAGGACAAAAACAGGCTGGGCTGGTTTTTTCCCCTTCCCTTTTCTTTCTGGCCGGATAGCAGCCCTGTCTAGCTTATTAATCCAGCTACCAAACTTCATGAAGCGAGGCAGACGGACTCACTGGAAACTGGCCTCTGATGCCCTGATGTGGAATGGCAGCTGGGATATTCCTGAGCTCCATGGTAATTAAACATGTGGGCATTGGTAAACAGGCCTTTAATTTCAAAATGCTGACAGGAGCAATTAACAGCTGCAGGATCCTTTTACTCTTCTGCCTCATAATTGGCCGAGGCAGCTAAGGTGGGTCTGTTTATTCTTTGAAGATCCCTAATAAAGGAGGGGAGGGGATCGTTCTGGCGTAATTAGGAGGAAACCTTTTAGAAAGGTGTCCAATCTCTCTTGAAAGAGAAACCTGTAGGAAAGTAATCCTGTGGTACGGGAAAGTCAGAATTTGGAAGAGATGAAAAAGAAATCCTGAAGGCAAGTTCAAAAATAGAATTTTAAAAAATTATACACAGTGTGGTTAAAATTGCCTGCCTGCCCCAGAGTCAAATCCTTTCACTGTTCAAAGTAAACCTAAGAAGCTACTTTTGCTTACCTGGGTTGTAATTCTGTACACACTTACCTGGGAGTAAGCAAACTGAGTGGAGTGAAACTTACTTTTGAGTAAACATGCCCAGATTTGAGCTGTTGTCATTTGATTTTCAGAGCCTGTATGAGGCAGAAATTTGAAAAGTAAAAAGCCTTTCATACTGCAAGATCTACTGAGGCTGTTCTGCCTAGTTTCAGACCCTTATGTTATAATATGCCTTGCTTACTTCTGGCATGTGAGAAGTGTCAATGATGTAATTTGATTTACAGCAGTCGTTTTATTGGGGCAACCTGACTTTGTATGTTACCTTCTGTTCAAAAGCAAGTATTTTATGGGTAATGTTCATGCACAAAAGCAGAAGGGCACCTTAGCCTTGGTGGACTGACTTCACCAGGAACACAGGCTATGAAAGCTTGTGCCTTAATTATTTGGAACCTCATTTGTCATTTTATTGTGGCTGATGGCTTTTGCACCGGGTAGCTTTCCACATCCTGCCAAGCCCCACAGATGATCTGCCGTGAGCCTGTCTTTTAATTAATCTGTGTTTTTATTGTTTGTTGCAACGTAGACGTTATTGTTTTAAATAATTTGGAAACTGCCTTGAGCGTTTATTTAAAGGGCAAAGTGTAAGGGAGGGGAAAAGGCAAAGTTAATAAAACAGAGGTCCAGGACTTGAGAGGCTGAAACAGTGTATGCAGAATAAGGTGCTTGAAATATGGGAAGGATGTGCCCAGGAGGTTACAGGAGGATTCCAAGACAATTCATTACATTGCGGTTTTCAGATTTAAGAGTTGCAGGGTGGGGGAACTCCAGAACATGAGGCAGAGAGAATCAGGACCCATAACAAACCGTTGTGGTATAACCTCTCTCACAATAGGAGTGCTTCACTTCAAGGTTCCATGACTACTGAAGATGATCAGTCTTCATTGGGCAAGGTTTGTTTTGGAGTTTCATGTGCTCAGTGAAGTGCCTCCCCCCCCCCCCAAAAGACTTCTTGTACTTCTGCAACTCTGAATTCTACCAAGCACCATGATACCTACATCTTCTCTCTCAGTGGCCCCATTTGGGCTCCATTTCTGCTGGTGATGGGTGGCATGGGCTGCAGCCCTAGAGTTACTTGACTTGCTCGGTCACCTATCAGCTCCTGGCTCCATGGAAGTAACTCCAGTTTCTGCTTGTTGGCTAGAAGTCATAGTAACTCAGGAAACTGGTACCCATCCCTTGAATATTCCCATCACTCAAGATTTAGGGTGCCTGATGGTTCTCCTTTGGTCCTGAAACACATCCCTAGGAGCGCATCTGCTGAAAAGGTGTTAAACGGGTACAGGAGCCTGGGTCTCATGTGCATCTGGCCACCTACACCAGGCCTAAGGAACCTGTGATCCTTCAGGTGTTGCTAGATGACAACTCCCATCTTCCCTAACCATTGGCCCTGCTGGCTAGGGCTGATGGGAACAGGAGTTGAACAGGAGGGCCAAAGGTAATTTAGCCCTGACCTCTCTGTGTTACAGGTTTCTGATGTCAGCATACAGCCTCATTCTGACCTGGTATGGTAACTTCCTATTTCATCCATCTAGCCTAGTTTCTTTTATTTTGATTGGCAGTAGTTCTGGGGGTTTTTTGCCTGCCATCTGGAACGCTTTTTACTGGAGATACTAGGGATCAAGCCTGAAATGTGTCCTCTTTCCATAACCATATTTTTAAAATAATAATAATAAAATTTTATTTATATCCTTCCCTCCCCAGCCGAAGCCGGGCTCAGAGTGGCTAACAGCAGTAAAATGATATAACATTTTCAGTGTACTTTAAACACAGTGTGCAAATTGTAATTCTGAAAATGTTCACCTGGAGTCAGAGACATTTGAATTAGCCTTAACAATACTATTTTTCAAGAATGTGCATTGCATCTAGGAAATAGTCATTCACTGGACATCAGGGCTTATATTTCAACAAGGAAATGCTATTCAGTAAAAGTGCTTTAGCTGCTTGCATGAGACTCTGTGGGCCAGTTTCTGGGCCTGGAATATCCAAGTCAGAGCATCAACATACTTCCCCTCCAAACCTCCTTGACCTATGACCTATGAGGTGGCAAGCATAAAGTCAACAGGAACATCCTTTCCCGCCATGGGAGGGGGTGTGGTGGAGATGAGAAACTTCACCTGTTGATTTTTCTGCCTGTCAACAGCCCTGAAAAACACAGGAATAGAAGTGTCAGTCGTTAAACGCAAAAAAGGAGGCAGACAGGCACACACCCCAACCCCGCAAAGCTGTAGAGCAAGATTATAGATCCTGCCTGGATCTCTCCAACCGCCTGTCGGTTGCAGAAATAAAAAAAAAAAGCGCAAGCACTTGTTCTTTCAACTTGTTCTTCCCTGCCTGCAAGGCGCATTACAAATAAATGACAAAGCGTTTGGGGAGGGAAGGTTCATGCAGGCACCCGGAGCATGCCAGCGAGCCAGTTTATACTTGCTGCAGGAGTGTAATAAAGTCAGCTTGCTTGAATGCACAAGCAGCTCCTGAGGACCAAAGGACGGTGTGGGAAGGCAGCAAGGAGGGGGGGGGCGTGTCGGAGAATGCTCCAGTATGGTGGCTTCCGATGACAAGCAAACTGTGCGAAGAGACGGCAAGCTGAAAGGGAAACAGAACTGCCTGGCGCGGCCACCGGCAAACCCAGCCGACCCCGGCGAGGAGAGTGAGGCAGTGTGGTAAGCAAAACTCCTTCCAACCTCGAGAGAGAGAGCCTTCGGAAAGACCGTGAGGAGCTGCCCTAAGTGGCTTAGCACTCGCCCTGCTTACGTGCTCAGCCGAGTTTCATTGCCGTTGTTTGTTTGATGTAGAGAGTTGGATTAATCATCAAACAGTTTTATGGAAAGAGAAGGCCTACCCTGTGCTCTGGAATGCTGAAGGGTGGCTAACTCTGCCCACCTCCAGTTCCTTGGAATAGCTCCTGTGCCTCTCTAACAGGTTATATGTCAGGCAGGAGTTGAGCAGGTGATTTTCTCCCCTCATAGGAACATAGGAAGCTTCCTTATATTGGTTCTGACTCCCTAGCTCATTAGGGTCTACAGGTTTCTCTGCCAGTCCTCCCTGGAGATGCCCGGGTTTGAAACTGGAATGTTGTGCAGGTCTGGGACAGGTTTGTTTCTTTTCTGCTTATGGTGATAAAACCCCAGTATCTCTACCAGGGGAAGAGATGGCAACCCTAGTAAGTCATGTTGTGTGGTGTTGTTGTTTTTTTTTAAAAAAACACAGTACAGCAGTTAAGGGAAGTGTTGGATTTACCACAGCAACATCGTGGGTGTTTTTTGATTGGCGCTTAATGCATGTCAGTAACTCGGCAGGGTAAATTCAGACTAATAATGTCTATAAAGATGCTTGTCAGTCCAGCCTCTCCTGCTCCTCCCCTTTAACAAATGACAGGTTGTTGCTCTGAAAAATGTGACAGGTGGAAACTTGCGGATTGTAAGGAATGATATTTTAAAGTGATCTGCTGACCCTGTTGGTGCATTGCTTTCATTTCACACTTCTTTAAGTAGATGGATAACTCTAACCTGAAGCAAAATTTGAGGCAAACTGATTTGCCTCAATATTTTGGACTTCAATAGCCTGACACTTAAGTCAGTTAATACGCTATACTTAAATTTGAACTGATTTAATCCCCTTGGGGATGGAAATGTTTTCAGCCCATGCGCTTTGCCAGGATTGGTTAGGACCAGGCTACCTAGTAAGCCTTCTGGTTTAAAATCTGTAGTTTAAGAGGCTGCAGGGGCAGGATTTATCCGCAGTTCAGAGTTAGGCCATTCGACGAAAGTCTCCATGGCACCCCTATATTAGGGGAACTAAATCATAGAATTAAAGAATTGCAGAGTTGGAAGGAACCCTGAGGGTTATATGGATACACTTTTTGTTAAAAGAAAAAGAAAATAAAAACATAGGAAAAATAATAATCAAGAATTAGCAAGTCTGTCGAGTAAAGAAGCACCAGATATAATACTTCCTTCTTGTGGTGGGCAGGAGAGTCACCATAATCAAGTTCGTATCCTAGCTATCTATTTATAATTTCCCCTTTTGAAAGAAGGGCAAAGAAGGGAGTTGTCTGGCATAAGGCGAGCCTTGAAGGGGTTTGTACTATTCCTTTTACTTCTGACGATCGCGCTGCGTGCGCCTTTCCTTTGTAACCAAAACGGCACTATCCATGCACAAGGAACCCAAATGTAGAAAAGTGTAAAAGATATTTAGAGGAAAAACTCAGATCCAAATGTTACCTTTTTTGGAGGGGGAAAACCAGGGGTGGATGAGGAAAGGACTAGAGTGTCTGTCGTCCTGAACACTGCAATGGCAGGTCCCACTTGTACTGATTATATGATAAAAAAATCATCCGTATGGGAAGTGTTGTGTATACACATATAAATGTAATATTTTATTCCTCCTCCTCCCTGCTCCCTGCCTATTCTGACCTAGGCAGTGCAATCTGATGCATGCCTACGCAGAAGTAAGTGCCACTGGATGCAGCAGGCCTGGCTTTCAAGGTGACATGCAGAGGCTTGTGCCGCTGGAGCTGAGTGCGCCTGGAAAAGCATTAGAAAACCAGCTAGAGAAATGAAAGATGCAAGGAGGAATACCTAACTGGGAATGCTTTCCAAAAGTGTAAGGTTTAAGCGTCAGCTCAAAGCCTTACTAGGGAGTAAGGCCTATTGAGACTAACTTCTCTGAGTAAACATGCTTAGAACTACAGTGTTAAAGAAGCAGAAGGATTTTTTTAAAAAATATTGTTTTGCTTTCTGTGCTGAATGTAAAAGGCTCTAGTGAGTGCAGGCCGTGTAAATCTACTCTACTAATTGTTTCGTGTGGCACCCGTTTTGGGAGTTTCTTTCGTGAAGTCTGTACAGTGGTACCTCGGGTTACGAACTTAATTCGTTTTGGAGGTCTGTTCTTAACCTGAAACTGTTCTTAACCTGAGGTACCACTTTAGCTAATGGGGCCTCCCGCTGCCGCCACACGATTTCTGTTCTCATCCTGAAGCAAAGTTCTTAACCTGAGGTACTACTTCTGGGTTAGCGGAGTCTGTAACCTGAAGTGTCTGTAACCCAAGGTACCACTGTATACTGAGACTTGCTCAGTGCTTGACAGTCGCCATCCGTATGTCTGTGTGTGTTTTGTAGGTTCACTAAAGGTACGTAAGAAGCAGCAGGAGGTTTACTGAATAGAAGCGGCTGACTTACCATACATGACTGATGGGCTGAGATTCAGTTACGTGCTGTGTAGGCCTGCCCTAATTCAAGATTCCTCCTCTAACCTAGTTAATTGATCCGTTAATCTGCCTATTCACAAAGCAGGTAATTAGAATTGATAGCACAGTGGGTGTGATGTCGTGAGACTCTTGAGGAAAGGTAACTGGTTTCTCAATTGCACAATTAATATAATTTTGTATTGTCTGAGGGAGGGGAAATCTTACGCATTTGGCCTGATCCTCAGAGCTATGGGAGCTGAAGAAGAGTGTATATGCCTGTCTGTGGGAAAACAGTGACACTTGCAGATCCCTGTGGGGTAGCCCGTGGCATTATCTGTAGTATGGAACTGCTCAGTGTTGCGTGCCCACTTGTCATGGACTGGCTGGGTGCAGAGGAGGTACCAGCTGAGGAGCCCCCAAGGGAACCTCCAGGGGAAGGAGGCTCAGAGCTAGGGTGCTGGTGGTGGGACGACGATGAGTGGTCAAAGGGAGACGAGGGAGCAGACTGGGAGGAGGCGGTGTCGGAAGCTGAAGAGGCAACAGGGTTTAGTGAGCAGGAAGAAGCTGAGGCAGAGAGCAGTCCTCATTCAGAGGCTGGAGAGGAGGGGGACCAGCTCCCCTCCCCATTGGTCTCCCAGAACATGCAGAGAAATGACAAGAGCAAAGCAGAGATTGGTTGCACGCAGACACAATCTATGATTGTTTGGCGGTGGGGAACCCTGTAGAGGAGGGAACTTAGGCAACTGTGGAAAGGTGAGGACCTTCATTCCTCACAACAGCCTCATTGGGGCAAGAGCTACTGGGAAGAGTTGCTGGGATCAGTAGTGACTGTTTTGGTTTCTTTGAATAAAGGGTTAACTTCACAGACATCGGTGTTTTTATATCGCTGACCTTCACCTGATTCCAGCTCCTGACACCACCCTGCATCAAGCAGTGGTTTGCTTGGGGCAGGATGTTGGGGGCAGAAGTCAGGGGCCTCATTCTGCAGAATGAGCAGGAGACCACCACCACCCAACCCAGCAGGGCTGGCTTACTGCATTTTTATTATTATTGTCATTTCATTCATTGACTTCTTCCTAGGAAACCTCTTGAAGCCATTTAACCGCAAAAGCATGCATGTGTTGTGCATAGATTCATTTTAAACTTTTATGCTAAGGGTAGTCAGTGTGCAGAACCAGGGAGCTGGACTGAGATATGGAAGGGACCACAAGGATCATCTAGTCTAACACTTTGCATTTCAGGAATCTTTTCCCCCCAACATGGAGCTCGAACCCATCACCCTGAGATTAAGAATTAACTGAGTTATCCAGCAAGCAGCCTAAATGTTTTAATGGTGCTGTCTTCCCCAGAAATACCGAATTCTGAGCAGAGCATTGGTGTGGGGTACTTAGTAGAGGAGAGGAGGAGGAGTTTGGATTTGATATCCCGCTTTATCACTACCTTCAGGAGTCTCAAAGCGGCTAACATTCTCCTTTCCCTTCCTCCCCCACAACAAACACTCTGTGAGGTGAGTGGGGCTGAGAGACTTCAGGGAAGTGTAACTGGCCCAAGGTCACCCAGCAGCTGCATGTGGAGGAGTGGGGAAGCGAACCCGGTTCCCCAGATTATGAGTCTACCACTCTTAACCACTACACCACACTGGCTCTCGTAATCACAGCCCAAGATTTATAGGAAGAAATAGAAGGAGGAAGCCTTTAAAACAAAAGCAGCCCTATCCTTTCCATGTTTACTCCAAAGTAAATTCCACTATGTGTGGTCGGTCTGACTCTGGAGAAATGTGCCCAGGATTGCAGCTGAATTCTTCCTTCTTCCCCGTCACCGGTACCTTCTTAGGAAGCTTTTCACAAGATATTAAGGCAAAATAATCAAGTGCTGATTCCTTGTAATCATCCCCACCCCCCCACCCCCCGGTTTATCTTCAGAGCAACCATTTAAATTCTTTCTTGCAGATATGACCCCTTTGCTGCGGGCTCCCACATGTCTTCCAAGGTGGAGGAAATGGCAACGGTGAGTCACTTAACTATTTTATTAACCTATAAATGTCCATTAAATTAACACTTGCTTGTGCTGTGAGTTTTCTTGCTCTCCACACCACCTTCCTAGCTGTCACTGGTGCGGAGCTGCACATTTTAACGGCACTGGGGCATTATACTTTGACTTGAGCTTTGAAGATGATGTCCTGGGCTCCTCCTTGTACTCATGGCTCTGTGTTTATTTTTGTCTAGTGATTATGCCACAGGTGTGACTCTGCCAGTGACTGTTGCCATTGCATCACACATCACTGTGTGTGATTCTGTCATTATTGGCTGTTGCCACTTTGCCAAAATAATAATTATTTTCACAAACGTATCCATGTTAGTTTGCTGCAGCAAAACAGAGCAAAAATCTTTTTTTAGGTGCATTTAAAGGTGACCAAATGCAGGTGTAAATACACACAAGGTGATATCAGTGGGAAGTGAAATGCAGAAAGAGCAGATAGGGGCAATCATGTTGCCAATAACGACTGTTCACGATGACCGTGCAGGTGATAACGCAAACATCCTGGCATCGGTAAGCTAATTAACACACGTAGTGTAATAAAAACCCGCTGTCCCAATTAAAGCCACGGTTGATAGACTGGAACCTCTTGATAAATTGTAATTCATCAGATTCCCATTGCATCCTGCCTTTTTGAAGTTCCTCTGTTTGAGAACATCCACCTTAAAAGTCAGCCACAGAGAGGCTGAAATGTTCCCACTCTAGTTCTTTAATACAGTGGTGCCCCGCAAGACGAATGCCTCGCAAGACAAAAAACTCACTAGACGAAAGAGTTTTCCGTTTTTTGAGTCGTTCCGCAAGACGAATTTCCCTATGGGCTTGCTTTGCAAGACGAAATGTCTTGCGAGTTCTTGCGAGTTTGTTTCCTTTTTCTTAAAGCCGCTAAGCCGTTAATAGCCGCTAAGCCACTAAACCGCTAAGCCGTTAATAGCCGCTAATAGCCGCTAAGCCGCTAATAGCCGTGCTTCACAAGACGAAAAAACCGCAAGACGAAGAGACTCGCGGAACGGATTAATTTCGTCTTGCGAGGCACCACTGTATTGCCATTTCAAATGTCAGATTTGTGACTGCTTGTTCATTCGCTTAGAGACTGTGTATATTGTCTGTCTGTCTGTCTCTCTGCTACAGAAGGGCAGCTACTGGCAGGTGATATAAGCATATCTTGGTAGTGGCGCCTGCCCTGTGGAACGCCCTCCCAGCAGATGTCAAGGCAATAAACAACTATTTTACTTTTAAAAGACAACTGAAGGCGGCCCTGTATAGGGAAGTTTTTAATGTCTGACGCTGTATTGTTTTTAATATTAGGTTGGAAGCCGCCCAGAGTGGCTGGGGAAACCCGGCCAGATGGGTGGGGCATAAATAATAAATTATTATTATTATTATATTATACATTAGTAGAATATGGGCAGATGAATGAACCCTAGATGTTGTGGCTGACTTCATTAGGGTTTGTTGCTTGAGTAGATATGGGTCATAACAGAGTCATAATAGTTGCCAATTCTGTCATTGACTGCATTGCCTATGTCACAAGCGGAAGGCATGCAAGCCCGGTGGCCATGGTTTTTATTATTAATTCTTTTGACTTGGGCTGCTCAGCCAACTATTTTGTCCCTTGCTTTATGCCGGCTTGTTATGACCTCCTTCACCCCCTCGGGAAATGCAGAAATCATCGACAAAGTTGGTTCAGTGTCCTGCCATTTAATCTAACGCAGTGATCCCTGACAGAGACGGGATTATTGGGATTTTGGTTTTTGGAAAAATTAGGCTGCGGTGTTAGATGCATTCATCACTTCATGCCTGTTGGAGCAGGAACGGCCCAGTCAGCAGTGACTCTTCGCGTAGGGTCTCTGCCAGTGTGTGGGTGGTGACATCATCTTCAGAACACCCTGGGAATTCCCATTTCATGCTGCAGCCCAGGTCTGAGAGGCATCACTATTGCCTAGTAAAGATAGTGTCCTCCCAGAGCTCTTGCTGGTTAAACAGGGAAAAGGGAAGGGCACCAAAAGGCAAAAATATTGAACTGGGTTGTGCTGCAGTTTCAAGGAAGATGCCCACCCCTTGTGCTGGGAGCAGATCAACAAGATGTGTGTGTTTATGTATCTTCGGGTATCCTCTTTGTGTGTCCATGTGAAGTATACCTCCAACTTTAATCCAGAGGAGCACTGTTCCCAAGGCATCAGAAGTTTAGTACACTTTTATTTGATCCAGCAATGAGTGGAGGAACTCAGGACCTTTGGCTTCTGTGACTTATTAAGCCTTCAAGGCCTTCCCATTTGTATATAGCCAGGGTAGCCAATGTAGTGACCGACAGGTGATGTTGGACTCCAGTTCCCATCAGCCTCAGCCAGCATGTTGAATGGTCAGGCATGATGGGAGTTGTAGTCCAGCAACATTAGCTGCCCCGGCATATAGTATATACAAATAGCGAACTTCTTCTCTGAGTGTGGATTCTTATGTGCACCAAAAGGAGATAACTGCAGGCGCTGGGGAAAATCCCAGGTTAGCAGGGGTGCCAAAAAAGAAAGAAATAAGCAAACAGTTGGGTTTTGAAGGAATGCAAAGCAATGTCGCTTTTATAGCCAGGCTGCTATTAAAATTATCAGTACAGTATGGTTCCTTCAGATAAGCAGGTGTTTCTTCATTTTCTTTTTTCAAATTGGCCAGTAATAAGCTGGCTTTGATCTGTTGCAGAGGTGAGGGAGGGGAACACAATTATTCATTTCCTTGATTTTGTCTTCACCACCACAGATTGAAACATGCGACAGCCCTTTGCCCTCTGAACTGGCAAATAAGGGTCTGGATGCAAATCAAGCTGAGATGACAGATGACAGCACGTGTACATGGAACGAGCAGCTGGAAAATGAGCTCTTACGAGGTAAGCTCATATTTTCCCTTGCCATTTTTCTTGAGATCAGGGGTCCACAAATTCAGAAGGAGGTTAATATGTCCACTGAAGTGTCCTACCTTTGTCTTCTGGCTTGATAATAACAATTTGGATTTTCTTCGTGTTATTATTGTTATCATCATTATTAATTACCCACCCTTCACCCTAAGCTTCCAGGGCAAGTTACAACATGAAAACGAGTTTAAAACAAATAGCAATAGCAAAAATAAAGCGGGAACTAAAAACATAGAAGGTCAGCATCTTTGATTTCCCCTTACTCCAGGGGGATTGTGCCAGCGGTTATGGTGTTTTCTTGCAGACACTGGCACCATCTGTCTGGACAAGAACAGAATATATTGATTCAGGTTCAGACAATCTTCTAAAGCAGGCACGGGGAACCTCAGGACTGGGGCACAAATGTAGCCCTCCAAGCCTTTCTTATCGGCCCCTGGGTATCTCTTGAGGCCACCCCCCTTACCAGCCCTGCTCTGAATCTTCCTTGAGTGATGATGCCCAGCTGGAATGAGCCCTTGAACTCTGACGATGCTTCTGGCTTGTGTGGGTAGAAGATAAGCCCCTCAGGACTGCAGTATCTCAAGGACTGCCTCTCTCCATATAAGCCATCCCAGACCCTGAGATCGTCCTCTGAGGCCCTTCTTTGTGTGCTGCTTCCATGAGAGGAAGCACAAGAACAGGCCTTTTCTGCAGTGGCTCCCCATTTGTAGAATGCTCTCCCCAGGGAGGCTTGCCTGGTGCCTTCGTTATCCACATTTAGGTGCCAGGCAAAACATTCCTCTTCAACCAGGCCTTTGGCTGTTGTAACATCCTGTATCCTTTTACATGTGTTGTGGGAGGAAAGATTATTGGTTGGTTTTTGTTCCTATTTTTAATATGCATTTTGTGTTTTTATGCTGTGAACTATGGATGAAGGGCACTGTACAAATTTAATGAATAATTATAATATAATATAATTAATATAATATAGAGAAGGGCATGTAAGTGTGTGTGGAAACTAGCCTATTGTACACAGTAGTACAATGGATGCCCGGGTTGCGAACGTGATACGTGCAGGATGCATGTCCGCAACCTGTAGCATTCGCAACCCACAGCGGCGCGTCTGTGCATGCACAGGTTGCGACTCGGCGCTTCTGCGCATACGCAAAGCGCGATTTAGCACTCCTGCGCATGCACAACCGCCGAAACCCGGAAGTAGCACGTTCCAGTACTTCCGGGTTTCGGCGTGTCCATAACCTGAAAAAACTCAACCTGAAGCATCTGTAACCCAAGGTATGACTGTAATGCTAACAGTTGCTCCGCCCACTTTTGCCTCTGGCCCCTCCCACCACTGCCATGTCCCCCCTGAAAAGGTGTCTGGAGGGGAACACAGCCCCCAGCTTACAAAAGGTTCCTACACCTGGATGAAAGAGTATCGAGGCTGAGCCCCACTCCACCCTTCCTCCTGTCACATGCTGTCACAACTCCCAGGCTCACTGCCTAGTGAAATCAGAGATGTAGAGAGCTTCTTCCAGTTCTTTTATTTAAATCAACAGAATACACAGAGAGACCATGAATTATGCTCCCCTCAGTCTCAAGAGTGCCCGCTCCACCCCCAACCCCCCTTTACGGTACTTGCTAGCTTCCAAACCCCTCCTTGCTGCCTACAGTGGCCGGCAACAGAATCTTCCTGTCTCTGTTTGGTCTTCTGCTCCAAGATGTGAAGGGATCACCTGGTCCTTGGAGAAGGAGGAGGTCCTACCAGGCTTTCAAGGGACGTAGTGTCCACTGTCCGCTGTACTGTTTCTCCCACTTCTGAGTCCTGTCTCTGTTCCCAGGCCTACAGCATCTGCTAGCTTGCTCCTGTTTCTCATCCTCCATTATTTCCCAGCTTCTTTGCTGCTGCTTCTGGGGTGTGTCCTGTCCGCCGCCACCACCAACTTGCTTTCTTACTAGCGTTCATCTTCCTCCTGCCCAAAAGCCTCTTGGGCTGGAGATCTCTACCAGTCCTCCTCCTCTGTCCAGTCCCTGACACATGCCAGCTTTGGTGCAAAGTTCCTAGCTAGTATTAACCTAGAGTTATGTCTGAACCAGAGGCTTTTAATGTCTGTTAAGAAGGCAGGAAAATAAACCTGCGTAGCTCTCTAGACTTGGGCTGTGCAGGTGGGTACAAGTAGCTCATTATCCTTGGCATCCCTGAGGGTGAAAGTATCCTCTGTAAATTGCTCTCGCTGCATTCTTGGCAGGTAAAATGCCTCGGTGACCTGGAATCAAATTTAATGTTTAACCCCAGTTAAAGGAGGCTAATGTACAACTGCTTGTTGACGGGGCAACAGAGCTCTCAAGTTCTTGAGAGATTTACTACACTGTTGCTATAGTTCATTAGCCCAGAATTGGGGATCCAGATCCAGCCACCCTGTGCAGGCCAATTTTGACAGATGGGTAGGACTGCACATCCATACATACACCCTCACACAAGCAGCAATCCAGACATGTAGAGAGCATTTCTAGCTCTTCCACTCCAATGCTGGGCAGGGATAGCTAGAAACATGGATCAGATTGGGAGATAAAGTTGGTGGGTCACTTTCTGTGGTTTGGTGGGCCGGTTTCAGCCTTCGAGTTGGCCACTCCTCTTCTAGGGAGCATGAAAGTTAAAGGAGGTCAGCTTTACCCAAAACACTTGTAATTGGATAAAGATTAAGTTTGAAAGCACACTTTAAACGAGTGTAGATTTTTGAACAAAGATTTAAATGTATTTTATATGCTGTAACCCTTCATAAAAGAGACATGTTCCCAATTCCAACATTCCCAGATTTGTCCAGAATGACACTTGTTCAGTGTGATTTAAGTTTGCCTGTTGTTCAGCTGCAGTTTTCTTCGAATATCTAGAATACTCTGATAATCTGGGATGTGTTAGACAAGAATGTTATGGCACAAGTAACGAGTTGACTTGGTTCGTATATATTAATCAATCTCTTTCCTTCTCTCTCTCTCTCTCTCTCTCTCTCTCTCTCTCTCTAGTCCTGGGGAGTCTGGATGACCAGCTGGCGCAGGAACAAACCCGAGGAGAAGCAGGGAACAGGAGGACCCCAGCCGACTCTGCTTCCAGAGCACCAGACATCGATCCCTATTCAACTCTTACTCGACCGGGTTTCCTTGGAGGGGTGCAGAGAAATGAACGGAGCATGTTTTTGTCAGATGGGACAAGGACGCTGCGAGCCACCGATGATCACAAAGCTTTATTCAGGCCGAGGGTGCCGTGTGATACATATACAAAAAGGCAGCGTGTGAAGGACGGCACATACGGGGATGTTTATGGCAGAAGCTCCCCTGTCTTGAAGAGAGGGAATTCTACTCGCTCTCTTGGACATTCCTCAGAAGGCAGCTTGCATCTCCCTCTGGGACAGCGCAGCAGTGGATTTGGACACAAGGACTTCACGCCCAGGGATTCGGTTGGCAGGAGTTACTCCCTGTCTTGCCTTGCAAGGCGCCCGTCTTTGACGTCTGTGGACCAGCTTTCCCCAGCGAGCCCGCAGCACCCTCTGGAAGGCAACAGAGTCTTTGCACCAAGGAACTATCGCCAGCATCCCAGGCGGACCCCCCTGTCATCTATTGTATGGAATACACCGCCGCCTTCAGAGCATCCGGTATACCCCGACGGGCTTCTTAGGACGCAGTCATTAATGGAGTTTGGCCCAGTATTTGAGGACACGTACCCTTGTTCTCTGCAGAAGGACACGAGATACGAATTTTACAGAACAAAAGTAAATTACAGAAGAGCAGTGCCGGTTATGGGCAATCCCGTTTTTGCGGAGAAACATACAGACCCGCTGGGGTTTGACAACCGGGAGAATTTTCTGTTGCATCAGCTGGGAATGAGCGCTTCAAAGCCCCGCTATAGATACCCATCCTTTCATGGCAGGATGAGCCTCCCTCGTAAGAGTTTTCCTTCCGGAAGAATAGAGGAGAGGCTTCTTACGCCCACTGACCACCATTACTACAATGACGAAGTCTTTGTCGGCCCTGATGCTGACGTGGAAAGGATTCCGCTGAATCCTAGAAATTGGCAAGGTGCCTATGCAAAAAAAATGGGTGAGAGGGATGCTCAGAGCCGCGTATCGGATTACATCAGGAGGCACATGGATCGTTCAGAAGGTATACGAAACAAACCGTTTGCAAAGCATGCAGAGGGCATGCAGAGCTGTCCAGCACTTGATTTATCTGTCCGAAATGGCCAAGCGGAATATGCATCGCAAAGACAAAATCCTTTCGTTAGAGCTGGACAAGCTTCCTCAAAGGCTTTGGCTAAACACTTTGAAACCAAGAGAAACTTCAAAGCAGAAGAGGAGAGGGGTGCTGACCGGATGGACAAAATGGACAGTGAAGCGACATTAAGACTAATTTCTGATCCAGTGGACACACATAGTCCCGCTGATTCTTCGATGCCTCCTTGTAAGAACTCTTCTGCAGTTGACTCACAAAGCTGCACATCTCTTAAACCACCTCACTCACTGTGTTCAAAGTCAGATTCCATAACAGATACCGGAAACAGTTATTTATCAAACATTCACAACAGAACTGGACGAAGAAACGAAGGTGATTGTGCCATAAATAGTGATCTCGATCAAACAACTCCCCCTCAGTTAACTGCCAACAACCCTAGGACATCCATTCTTCATCTCTTGGAGCGAGAGGGGCGTGCTGTGGAAAGCTTGGGAGCTCTCACACCCAACAAAACGCCTGGGAATATTTGTTTGTCTGCTTTGAGCAGAGGCCCCAAAATGCTTTTTGACAATGAATTGCCACATTCTTGCACTGAAAATTTCAACAAGTGCAATAGGTTTGTCAAACACACAACTAGCAATAGTGTCACTGGCTCTCCCAGTAACAGCCCTCCCAAATCTCCTGTAACTTATTGCACCTTACCTAGAAAATCTGCCAGTATTGATGGTAGTCTTATATCGGAGAAACCTATCTCTTCTGCTGCAAGGCAAATCTTTTTTAAAAACAACAGAGCTGTGGGAGATAATTTAGAAACCACTGCATCGAATAGAATGGGGGGGAAATTTCCAAACCAGAGAGCTAAAAGCTTCTTGCTAAATTCAGCCCATTCTTCCTTAAGTCCATCACCAAAAGATGTCTCCTGTAATCTTTCACCAGCTAAAGGCAATCCTTCACTGATAACCCAAGAGTCTAGCAAATCTGTCGGTTCTAATAACACCAAGGGGAGAAGCACCATCATACAGAGTCCAGACAAAACTGAAATTTCTGTGCTTTCTGAATGCGAGGGAACTGATGCAGGAAATCCCTTAAAGCAGTACAAAACCACCAGCACACTTACAGTTAGCATTGAGGAAGATAATGTAAAATATCACGAGCTGATTTCGGTTTACTACACCTTACCACGGAAACAGTCGAGAACGTTGAGCAACCTCTTTCTAGATGATAACCAGAGCACAGACTCTTCCCCGCCCAAAGGCAAATTTGAGCTTCCGCAGAAGAAATATGAAGTCCGCATTGGTTTAGGAAGAGTGGCTTTTCCTTCCAGCTTAGAAAAAGAAGGAAAAGCAGATTCTCCTGGCAAAATGGCTGCCACACCTGATTTGTCGCAGAACGCAAAAACCTCTGATGATGCTAATAAAGAAGATTGCTGTGTCACGGAAAGAGCAGGTGCTTCTCCAAGTTTGCTGCATAATAGGGAAGGAGTGTTAGGCTCTCCAGCAGAAACACCAGACCTTGCATTTTCCAAGAGGGTAGTCTCACATGGACCTTCAGGTGACCCGAAACCCAGTGAAACCATGAATGAATCTGTTAGTGCAACTACTACCAGCAGACAGTGCAAGGTGCATATTTTTAAGTTTCCCTCTCAACAGCAGAAAGAGTCAAAAGTTGACTCACCATTAAGCCACAGCTCATCAAATACCACAGACATTAGACAAGATGTAGAGGTCAAAGAAAGGGCATGTTATAGAGGCCCTAGTATTTCCAAAAAGGGCAATGGATTACAGTCAAGAAGTGAAAACATTGGGAGCAGCACAGATGAAGCATTCATTTCAGAGGCCAAGGTGCATTCTAAGTTCCAGAACCAAACATTACAAGTCGATGCAACTTCCACAGTTGATCCAGCAATCCGACCAAACCAGAGTTCTTTAGAGTATGCAAAGAAACAGAAGGAGATGCTTCGGAATTCTCTGCTACACAAAGATTGCACAAATGCACAGAGATTGGTGAGAAACTCTGCAGAGAACTCTAAAGATCAGGCTGCAGGGACTGCCCAAGATCTGCCTGACTCTTCAGAGACTGAAAATAAGCTTATCTTGGATTCCACTAAAGATAAAGCTAGTGACATAGAAAAAAGGAAAAACAGGCCTTCCATTAAAAACAAGCTGGCAGCCATGTACAAAACAAGTCGAAAGTTTTCCAGCAAGAAAACCTCAAGTCCCAAGCCACACATAGGTAACATCTTTTCACAGAACAACGCTCCGTTGGAGATCAGCCACCCTCATAGTATGTTGATTTCACCTGATGGTCCTCCATCACTTCTCCAAGCAGGAAATGAGAACCAGAATAGGAACCCTCTGGCTGATGAATTCGACAACATGGTGCTGGACAAGCCTGACAGTAAGAAACCTCAAACTAACGAGGGTCCCCCATTGCTTACCAATGAGGTTAGAAGACCTTTTACAAACTTGTGCAACCAAAAAAGAGAGAGCCCCAGAATTGAGACCCCGCAGAATCCTACAGCCTTGTTTCCAAAAGGAAGTATGTCCACAAGTAGTAATTCCCAAACAGATGATGGACTGGAAAATATTAGTTGTTCCGTCCCCTCCAAAATTATATTTGCAGATTCAAAGCAAATGAAAAAGGATGTTGTTAATGTTGGCGAGCATTTGTTTTCCCCACTTTCATCTGATAATACCTCAAACATTCTTAACAAAAGTTATTCAAAGATCTGTCCGCCGCAAAAGATGACCTCCCCTACAGAATATGACCACCATCCAAACATCAAGGAGCCAAACAGGTTGAGAAAGCTAAGCCGACCCTACATTGAACCAGTCCTAAATCCCAGCAAAGCTCAACGCGAACGGCATTTTTCTGAAAGTTCGTATACTCGGGCGCCCTGCGATCGCCTGGCCTCCAGGAGCAACTTGATAAGCCACGGCAGCAGGTACAATCGGAAGTTCAAATCCCACTCTGAACTGTTGTCTTGCGATGAAAATGAGAACTGGGAGACAGACAACGAAAGCTACAAGACCTTTGGTTCCAGGCGTGTGTTGTACCCATCAATTGAGTTTGGCATTTTTGGGAAAGAGCAGCAGCAGGCTTTCTTGGATAACATAAAGAGGTCGCTCACAGAGGGACGGTTGTGGAGTCCGTGCCTTCTGAAGAACTCTAGTTCTCTGAGGAAGGAAGAGGATTGTTCCTTGAACAGATCCCAGCTGCTGAGCTCTGGTTCCGCTGAGAAAAACACATCAGCGGGAGACTCACGCCCAAATGAGCCGGTTGATGTCCACGGAGAAGACCCTACAGATTATTCAGATTCAGACTCCAGCACCACCACAGATGACGAATACTACCTGGAAGAGAATGACAAGGAGTCAGAACTTTGAGGGGCTGTGAGGCACAATGAAGGGGGGGTGGGGGAACTTTACCAAAAGGCTGGCTTGTCTGTTCCTTGGGTAGTTTATAAAATATTTGGGTGTGAACACCTGAGTCAGATCCTGTAGATGTGCTGATTTGATCTCCAACCCTAAATACACACATTACCTTGACCACCTCACAAATCACAGAGCTTTTTCTGCAGTGCCCAAGTTTCAGTCCCTCATGACAGTGTAAAGTAGTAGTAGTAGTAGTAATGAAAATGTTGCTAAAGGGTCTCAAATAGGGTTACTAGCTCTCTCTTCCCAGCTCCAAATCAGGCCTCTGTGCCATTAATAATTGCATATGGAGCAGTTGTGAAACTTTTCCAGGTATGGAGATTCAGCAATGGGAAATTTGTATGCTGAATTTAATGGCAAGAAAATACCCAGAATATAGAGGGTGGATGTATTAGTGGTCTATGAATCAAGGATGCACTTGGCACAGTTTCTGTGGCCTATGTACATTCATGTTTCCTTCTCCATCCATCCTACCTCTTTTTCTCCAGTAAGGAGTTGGGTAACTTATATGTGTGTATTTAATATCTGATGTGAATATATTTTCTTTAGATTGTGCGAGAAAATTAATGTTTAATATATTTAAACATTGGAGCACTGCTTGGTGGATTGTTACCCAAGAACTCATTGACCCAGCCAAAGTTAAAAGAATGTCAAATCCCACTCATCCTGGTACAAAAAACTCTCCCATGGAAAAAGAAGTGTGACTTAAAAGTGCACTTGCCCAATTTTTGCCTTATGTGTTGTTGTTGTTGTTTTAAACAGCAAGTATGAACACTTCAGAAATGGTGCCCAAGGTGGTTATTTTTAAATCACAGAATATACCGTACTTCGTTAAAAAAAGTATATAGACAAGTTGAGTGTGTGCCTTTAAAATATTATTTTCTCGTGTGGTATTGCTGTTGAAATTATGACTTGAAATAATGAATGAACTACATATTTATCGTCAGTGGTTTGTACACTGTTCTGGTAGAATTTTAAAGTACAAGGTGTATATCTGTATTGTTTAAATATGAATTATTTTGACAAGAAATATTCTGTGTGCATTGGGCATGTGACTCTTAATTTAATATGTATATAGCATTTTGTACCCTAAAGTGACAAGAAGTTCAGCATGTATCATAAGTGGTGCACAAGTGTTTACATTGAGCGGTTCTAGAATTGTGTGTGCTCCTTTTTGTGCTTTGTACAATATTTGTAAGTATTGTAAATGTTTTGAGATTAATTTGGAAGCAAATCTCAACCCCTTTTAATATTCTCACTTATCTTTCTGAAGTATGCTATATATGCAAAGAAGATGATAACTTTGATTTAGATAAATTTATTTATTTAATGTTGGCTTTGGTTTGCACTGTTGCTGATGCAAGCAGATGCATCTTCATATACAGTGCAATTATATACATGTCTACTTAAGAAGTAAGGCCCACTGAGTTCAGGGGACTTATTCCCAGAAAAATTATAGGATTGCACCCTTAAGTCTGTCGTAAACGTCAGTCCATGTGCTAACTTCACTGGTTCTCTTGCACACCATGGTTTACTCACGTGAGCAATGTAAACCAGAGAAGAAGTGTGAAACACCACGGACCAGCTTCTATATAAGCAGAAATATCTCCAAAAGTAATAATAAAATAATAAGAAAACACTCCAAAGGTGGTGATTTTATTTATTTATTTTGCAAGATTCTTCTATACCACTTGATTGTAACAAAACATCAAAAGTGGTTTGCAAAAATAATAAAACAAGGGTATTGACAGTCATAAAACAGTTAAAAGCAACTATTTAAAACATTCAAAAAGTATTTAAAATCTAACATGAACTAAGAACCAGATTTAAATATATGTCAACATTCTACATGTCTGGATAGGCGAACAGTTCAGATCTCTGAGCAGAGATGTGACATGCTGACAGGTTCTCTTGTCAGCAGTTGTGCTGCAGTATTCTGCACTAATAGCAGCTTCTGGGTCAAGCACAAGGGTCAAGCCCCACATAGAGCACATTGTGGTAAGCCAGTTCAGAAGTAAACAATGCACGGACTACTGTGGCCAAGCTTTCTTGGTCTAGGGATGGTTGTAGCTGTTGTACCAGTTAGAGATGGTAAAAGGTGCTTTTAGCCACTAAGGTTATTTGGGCCTGCAGTGACAAGGCTGCATTCTCCAGAATGCATTCTCCAGAAGCAAAGCTGCTCTTTCAGGAGGAGTGCAACCCCATCCAGGGTAGGCAATGGACCAGTTTCTCAGAAATCCCTGATGGAAGCTGACCTACCAAATTCTGAGAGTCCCCCTGTTCTGCTGTTCCGTCGCTCATGCAAGCAGGCTATCGAGTGCCAGCAAAGCTAAAGTGTGACCCTCAGTGCTAGACTTGATCCATTTTCTTCTGTAATTCAAGCTCCAAAGCACACACAGAATATGCCTTTCCTGCAAGGCTTGCTCTGCTCATTTAACCAAGGTAGGTCATTGCTATATCCAGGGCCGGCCCATCCATGAAGCAAGGTGTGGCAGCATCCACAGGGGCAGCAGATCTGGCCTTCAAGAAATGCATCACCCACTGCTTGCTGAGGTAGCAGTAACCTCTACAGCAGCATCTTGGTGAGTGGGAGACACTGGTGGTCTCCTACCCTTGTTTCCAATGTAGATATTTATCCCATCCCCCTCATGTACATCATCCCTTTTCTCTTCTTAGCAAGGGATGGGGCGCCATTTTGTGGCTCGCTTCAGGTGCCATAGCATATTGGGCCAGCCCTGGCTGTATGTATATTGCCTTGACCTCTCACATCTGCTGCCTTCACTGAAATGAGCAGTGCAACACACAATACAGTGATACCTCGGGTTAAGAACTTAATTCGTTCCGGAGGTCCGTTCTTAACCTGAAACTGTTCTTAACCTGAAGCACCACTTTAGCTAATGGGGCCTCCTACTGCTGCTGCACAATTTCTGTTCTCATCCTGAAGCAAAGTTCTTAACCTGAGGTAATATTTCTGGGTTAGCGGAGTGTGTAACCTGAAGCGTATGAAACCTGAAGCATATGTAACCCAAGGTACCACTGTATACACAACCCTTTAATAGACATCTATCAGAGAGGGCTACTTTCTCGTGTTTTCAGGCCTCCCAACATCCCGTCTTGCTTGAATATAACTCAGTGGTGGCCAGTCATTTTGGCAGCTCAGCCTGAAGTTAAGTCCAGAGTATGAAGAGTATTATATGCAGCCTCCTGTGCACCTTGATGTGGTTTTGCCTCTGGCATACAAACATAGGAGCAGTGCAATACCAAAAAGGCAGACAGGAGTGTGACTCTGGCAGTGGGGAACCTCCAGCTGCCGTGTTTAATTACACCCAGCAGACATCCCTGTTTTGCCTCTGAAGCTGTTTCAACCAAGCCACATCCACCTGGTGTCATAGTATGACTAAAGGCTTGGAGCAGGTGAAGATGCCGCTCCCGGCCGAAAGCAGGATTTGCAGGCCCTGCTGGGCTGGCAGCACCTGCGAAGAGCCCTGTTTGAGAAACTGTTCGCTCGATAGACAGGCGGGCTGCCCGCTTTAGCTGCCAAAATGGCCCCATGATGGTTGGGAAATCCAAGGATCTGTCTCACAATCTAGAAATGGCTCCCAGCTAGATCAATTCAGGGATGGGGAACCTGTGGCGCTCCCAGATGCTATTGAGTCCCCACTCTCATCAGCACCAACAAGCACTGCCATTTGGTCTGGGATGATGGGAGTTGTAGTCACAGCGACAGCTGGAAGGCCACAGGTTCCCGCTCCTGATTTAGTTCTGCAGACCCTTCTCTCTCTCTCTCTCTCTCTCTCTCTCTCTCTCTCTCTCTCACACACACACACACACACACACACTTTCTCTGACATGATCTTCCGGCTTGTGGCTCCTGTAATGCAGGTTGGCCACTCGCATTTTATGCAGAAAAAACTTTGATTTAAAAATAAGCCATTAGTATTGACTACTACTATTTTTAAATAAAGGGAGTGTATTTCTTCTAAAATCACAGTTCATTTTGTCTTATTCATATGTCTTTTGTAACCATTCTTAATGCCCTATAATTGTTTTTTTTATTTTCAAAGGCACACACTGTTTTCACAACAGTGGTGGCAAATACGCATGCAGAAATTCCTATGTGAATGGTTTCTTCCTCTTTAATCATAGTGGGATATGTTTCAAGTGGAGTAGGCCTAGCGCCTGAGGGAAACATGAACCACATAGCTAAGCAAGGACTGGCCAGAGCTTGGGGTGGGGGGATAACTCTGTCTTGCCCTGAATTTTATTAGAGAAAGGTAGATTATTACTGTAAAATAATATTAAGGAGTAACTAAAAGTAAAGCAAAGCATAAAACAACTGAAAGCAAGCAGGCTGAGAAATGAATCCAGTCACACGAGAAGTCATTTTACACATTTTTTTTATCACGTTAACATAGCAAAAGGAGAGCATTTCCAAGGCTTTAAGTATAAGATATCTAAAATTCGATTTTTAAAAAATCAAGGTGAAAGTAGCCAAAGGGGAATACCTAAGGCAGTTAGGGCATGAAGGGTCTGAGATTGATCCTAAAGGAGTTTGGCAGAGTCTGGAGGATTAAGAAAACAAACTGCGGTTCACCCAATGATACAATCTAACGTTGACTGGCTTTACTGATCACCTGCTTGCAGGGATGTAACTAGACATTTCCTGAGCCTCACGCAAATGTCCAAAATCCGCCCCCAGTGCAAAAGTGACTTACAGTTCTGGAACACTTCTTTTTAGTTCTGTCCCACAAACTTTTAAATACATCTCAAAAATCCTGTTTCAAGCCATACATAAATACTCTTACAACACCCTGCAGTATAAATATTGAAAACTGCAGAGTAAGGCAAACTCCTCTCAACAGCCTGAACACAAATAACTCTTGCTTTTTCAGCACTACCCTGATGAGACACAGCGAAGAGCTGCATCCTAGCAAACTCCGCATGCATTGATGGCATCTTCTGTTAAAAGGATTATAGGCAGCGCAGCCTGAGGCCTTAGAGGCAGTACTGTGCCGGGTGGACAGATATTCTTGTCTGCTGCAAAACAGCTTCTTAAGTAAAAGGCTAGTTGGTTGGACACTCATGCATGTCTGGGGCTCCTGAATAAAGTGACCCGCATTCACTCTTGAGGAGAGGGAACAGGGAGCACACAGGAGCTTCCTTTGTTGAAGTGAACGGTGGGTGTAATGTGTTTGTATTTTGTTCCTTGCCAGCTTTTTAACTGGCAGTGCCTTCCAGGAGCAGCTTGCTTGATGCACTGCAGACATGAGCAAGGGATAATTAGCTGCCTTGGAGTGCCCAAAGGCAGGATATGCGGAACACTTCACAATCAGATCTGAAGATCAAGCTGGTGCTCAAAACCGATTTGCATTTAAGCGGGAGCCTGCTGGCACATCAATGAGGAGGAAACTGCATGTAGAGTGCTAAAGGAGGCTGGATGCTGAGGGGTGAACAGCTCTGTGGCCAGCATGCAAATGCAGTGAGCTGCTGCAAAGGGGCAGAGTTCTCCTTCCCCCTTATGCCACCCCCCAGAAAAAGGTGGAAGAGCCATACATAAGATTGCTCAGTGGTAGAGCAACTGCTTTGAATATCGAAGGTCCCAGGTTTAATCCTTGGCATCCCTAGAGAAGGCAGTCTCTTGTGGATAATAATAATAATAGACAAATAGCAACTTTTGTGGGCTTATTTACAAGGCTGGCTTAAAAGGAAAAAGATGGGCTGTTTTATTCTTCACAGTCAATACTTGTACTGTAATCTCAAAGTCCTGAGAATCTAAAGGGTAGAGGTGTTTGAGCATCCTCACTAGTTACCAAAATGTAACTGAGCAGTGTTGCTGGCACTGAATGACAACTCCCATGCTCTTGGCTTTTAATATACTATATGTGTGCTTATGCTTATACATACAGTGGTAAAAAGGTAAAGGTAAAGGTACCCCTGCCCGTTCAGGCCAGTCTTGCCAGACTCTAGGGTTGTGTGCTCATCTCACTCTAGAGGCCGGGAGCCAGCGCTGTCTGCAGACACTTCCGGGTCACGCGGCCAGCGTGACAAGCTGCATCTGGCGAGCCAGCGCAGCACACGGAACGCCGTTTACCTTCCCGCTGGTAAGCGGTCCCTATTTATCTACTTGCACCCGGAGGTGCTTTCAAACTGCTAGGTCGAACTGGGACCGAACGACAGGAGCGCACCCCGCCGCGGGGATTCGAACCACCGACCATGCGATCGGCAAGTCCTAGGCGCTGAGGTTTTACCCACAGCGCCACCCGGCTCCCTGACATACAGTGGTACCTCAGGTTAAGTACTTAATTCGTTCCAGAGGTCTGTTCTTAACCTGAAACTGTTCTTAACCTGAAGCACCACTTTAGCTAATGGAGCCTCCTGCTGGCGCCGCGCTGCCGGAGCATGATTTCTGTTCTCATCCTGAAGCAAAGTTCTTAACCTGAAGCACTATTTCTGGGTTAGTGGAGTCTGTAACCTGAAGCGTATGTAACCCGAGGTACCACTGTATACCTATGCTCTTGGCTTCAATACCAAGCCAGCGGTTTTTCCCCTCATCCTGCCTTCTGCTTTGCTTATCATCGAATTTGAGGAAGAATTCTGGTAGACTCCACTCCAGACCATGTTGACGACTGTGAGGCATTTCGGCGAGTTATATAAAAAAGCGGCTTTGCGATTTTTTTAAGTGTAGCAGTTCAATCCAGAGCATAGGTGTCAACGTTTCCCTTTTTTAAAAGGGAAATTCCCTTATTCCGAATAGGATTCCTCGCAGGAAAAGGGAAAAGTTGACAGCTATGAGCCAGAGCTGCGCATGCTAATGCAAACCCCTCTTCCTCTATTTTTCTCGGGAGAAATTCCACACGCTTCGGATTGGCAAGTAGCGCTCGCCCTGCGTAAATTGAATAGCAATGCCCATCAACTCTTTTTTAGGGGGGTCCGCCCCCTCCAACATTTTATCGGGGAACCAAAGGGGACTCGGCCCCTAAGAATAGAGACCAATTTGGATTTCTGCCTGGGCCTTGGAGAGGAAAAAGGATGTTGCCGCCCCTCGTGATCGACCATCACACCTCCCAATCAAATCAAGCCACTCGATATTTCTCCCCCCCCCCCCGTCAAAAGAAGCAGCAAAGTTTGCAAAAACTTCGGAGGGGAACCAGGAGGGGCGTCGGAGTGGGCCTTCCCTTCCCAGGCAATGCTGCCCAGGGGCGCGCGCGGCTGTTTGCAAATCGCGCTGCTGCTCGGGGCTGCCGTCTTGTGGGCTTCCCGGCAGAGCTTCTCGGAAGCGGCTGCTGCGGAGCCTCCGCCGGCAGTGAGCGCGGAAAGAAGCCTGGTTTGGGGGCCCGGCTTGCGGGCCGAGGCCACCCTCCCCGTCCGGTATTTCTGGCTGCAGGCGGTCGGCAGCGACGGGCGCAACTTCACGCGCTCCCCGCCAGGTATTGCGCCGCGCGGCCGCCGGAGCAGCTTCTCCTGATTCTCCTTCTCGGGCTCGGCCGGCCGAGGCGCCTCCGAGCGAGGTTTGGAGACCCGCCTCGCACGGGAGACGCCTAGCGCCGCGGCGTCTGGCGGACAGGAGGGCTCGGTGCTGCCCGACGGGTCTGGCTGCGCCCCGGAAGCCGCGCCTGGCTTTGCAGGGCAAGGGGCAGCAGGCCCTCGTGAGGCGGGAGAAGACGGCCAGGCGGGGCGGAAGGGTTGAGCATCTTCATGGAGAGTTTGGGGTTATTAGGATCCCCTGTGCGAAACCGTGGCGAGCTACTGCTGCCGGTCAGTGTGGGCAGTAGCGAGCTAGGTGGACTAGTAGCCCGGTTTGGCGTCGGGTAGCTTCCTAGGCATTCTTAGCACAGGCTCACATTAAAAAAACAACAACCGGAAGAACAAGAATAACCTTTTTCAGTGCTATGCTAAATTTTTATTTTTTTAATCTACAGTAAGTAAAGGTAAAGGGACCCCTGACCATTAGCTCCAGTCGTGGCCAACTCTGGGGTTGGGGCACTCATGTCGTTTTATTGGCCAAGGGAGCCGGCATACAGCTTCCGGGTCATGTGGCCAGCATGACTAAGCCGCTTCTGGCGAACCAGAGCAGCGCACGGAAACGCCGTTTACCTTCCTTCCTATTTATCTACTTGCGCTTGATGTGCTTTCGAACTGCTAGGTTGGCAGGAGCAGGGACCAAGAAACGGGAGCTCACCCCGTCGCGCTGATTTGAACTGCCGACCTTCTGATTGGCAAGCCCTAGGCTCTGTGGTTTAACCCACAGCACCACCCGCGTTCCTCAGTCTACACAGTGGGTGTGCGTTATTTTTGACATGACACCCGGGCCTAGCCACCATCTCTGCTTGTGGAAGGTAGGCCGAAGTTGCAGGATGGAGGACGCCTGCTCCTGGATCATATTCCTTGCAGAGGTTTCTTAGGTGCAGTTTGAGTCCAGCGTTAGGTCGTGTTAAAAGCTGTGTGCAAGAGCTGGTCATAGGCATAGAGGTAGCAATGATCCCATTCCCAGATTTAGACTCTTTCATTAGGAAAGGTTTCCTCCCCTTATTTATTTATTATTACATTTACATTTATATTCTGTCTTTCCTACAAGATATTCAAAAAATCCTCCCGCTTTTACTCTTGCCACAGCCCTGCGAGGTAGGCTCGTCTGTGAGATAATGACTGCCCCACGGCTCAATACAGATTTTAACTTGGAACTCCTTAGTCCCAGCTTAATACTCTTAATTGCCACACTGGCTCTACATATGGTAGTAATAATAGTAATAGTAATAGTAATAGTAATAGTAATAATAATACTTTATTATTTATACCCCATCCATCTGGCTGGGTTTCCCCAGCCAGTCTGGGCGGCTCCCAACAGAATATTAAAAACACGATAAAAACATCAAACATTAAAAACTTCCCTAAACAGGGCTGCCTTCAGATGTCTTCTAAAAGTCAGATAGTTGTTTATTTCCCTGACATCTGATGGGAGGGCGTTCCAAAGGGCGGGCGCCACTACCGAGAAGCCGAACATTGCCACCTGCAAAATGCTGGAAATCAAATGTTAAAAAAAGAGATGGCCACAGAGTCTGGCTCAAACAGGCTCATGTTGTTCTATGAGTTGGGAGTCCAATAATATTTGAAAGACCACAGATAATTGTCCTTCTTTCCCTCCTTTTCATCTTAAAATAAAGACTCCCTGACACCCAGCTTTGTATTTGAATGATGGATCTATTCCACAATCTAGTATGCCCCTTATCCCTGGTTCTGCCAGCAAGCTTCTCCTGCAAAGTCCGTTTTGGGATCATGGCCTGGGCAAAGCTATTTTCAGGGTCACAGGGCAGGCGTCATAGTTGACACACATGCGCCAGCAAGTAAGGACGGCAAGAAGAAATTTAAAGGCAAGAAGGAAGGTGGTTGCGCAAAAGTGGTATACTTTCACACCCTTTCAAATGGAAGTTCAAGGTGAAAATGACAAGCAAGCTAATAGCCTGCCAACATCCTGAGGAGGTAGGATGCATCATCAAAGTGGCGGGAGCAAAACAGGCCCAACTTGCCTGCAACAGGGTTTGAGTATATTGCCAGGTCATCTGTAAAATAAGCTGCAGGAGGATATGGTTATTTCTGGTGAGCTGTAAGAAGAGCAGCTCATTTTGTACACTACCAAAAAATGTGTATGTTAGGCAGGATCATGATTTCGTGCACTTGGCATTGGAACAACATGGTTGGCATGCTGTTCTGAAATGGCACACTCGCCAGACTTTTGCACAGGTATAAAGCTGACTGAGTAGTTGATCAACTTTCATTCTGTCCACAGTGCCAGGATTCAGACTGCTTCGCCTGCAAGCGCTCTTAACTCCTCTTCCTATTTCTGTTTGTATTACTTGGCTTTGTTTACGTTGAGATGATAGCATAGCCTAAGGTAGCATCTTCTGTTTTCATCCTTTTTTAAATTGTCAGTTTACATTAAGGCTGATTCACTCGTGATGTGGGTACAGGTTGTGGCTGTATTTGCCAGCCTGTATCAAATTCTGTGACTTTCCTGTTCTTGCATGGGATCAAAGAATTGCACACGGCTGTGTTTTCGTAAGGAAGAGTAGCTAATGCAGAGAGACATGAAAACAAGGTTATTAATTCTGCTATTGAAGTGGCATTGTAATTGGAGAGTTTCGGAGTAACAAAATACGATAGAGGTGCCTAACATTATGCCTGATGTTGAGAGAGTGAATAGGGATATATAAAAAAAGTTTTCCCTCTCGTAAGACTAAAACTCGGTTGATGCTGTGGCCACAGACATGTGATCTGACAGTGAGTTTGGGGTAGCCCAATGCAAAAATCCTGAGGATCCATGTGGATCCATGCTTTGTAACCACGTTTTTGCACCACTGCAGCCCCAGGCAACAGTGGGTGCGTGATTTTTTTGGTGCAAGCTGTAGCCATGGACATGCTATGTGATCTGATGGTGAATTTGGGGTGACCCAGTGCAAAAATCCTGAGGATCCATGTGGATCCGTGCTTTGTAACCAGGCTCTCTGTCCCTCTCTTCTCCCCACTCAGCGGCTCTTCTCCCGCTTTGCTGTTTCAAAGCGAGCAAAGCGAGCCACGGAGGAGGGAAGGAAGGGGAACCATGGATCCTCTGCTCACGACTGCAGCAGATCCCCCCGCCATCTGTAGGCATTCGCTCCATAACACGCACAGACATTTCCCCTTACTTTCTAGGAGGAAAAAAGTGAGTGTTATGGAGCAAAAAATACGGTACTTCTTTACACAGCACATAGTTAGCTCCCGCAAGAAGTAGTGATGGCCAACAATTTGGATGGCTTTTTGAATGGGATTACATAAATTCACAGCAGTTAAGTTCATCATTGGTTTTGAACCATGATATCTTTGTTCTGCCCCTCCATTGTCGGAGAAGGGGCCTCTGGATACCAGTTGCTTGGAATCAAAACTGGGGAGAGTACAGGTAGAATATAGTCATTGTGGTTAGCCGCTGTTGATCTGATTCAGCAGGGCTTATCGTATACACACACACACACACACACACACCATTTTGTGTGCTGCGTTTCAATAGCCAAAACCATACTCAAGGCTACTTACAGCATGAAAAAATTACCTAATTACAAATGTAACGAAAGTAGTCCTCAACCATAAATTAAAACATCAAAAAGTACACAAATCAAATCGAACGATTTCCGCATAAATCACAATTAGATCCAAAACAAATATACAAAAAGTTAACAGCAACAACACCCCTCCCCAACAAAACCTCTTAAACAATGCCCTAGCCCAAGAGTCTCTTCAGCAGCCTCGACTTTTGTAGCTGGAGTCAGTCAGGGCCCTGCCAGGTCAGGTGGGGGGACACACCTCACAGCCAAGGTGTTGTTAACTTAAAGCAAGTAACGCAGAATGTCTAAAGTTATATCTGTTTTCTTCTTCCTTAGGAAATGCACAATTTGAAGTGAAAATCAAACCCATCTCCCCCAAAGAAGTCATTCAGATCCATGTTCCTAAGTTTCTGGACAGGAATGATGGCTCCTTTCTCATGCGATATCGGTTGTACGGAAGTGTCAAGGAAGGCTTAAAGGTGGAGATTCTTTATGGCGGCGCACATGTTGCTGAATCTCCCTATATCCTGAAGGGTAACGTGGTTTAGTTTTTTCTCCTGGATTTCCAGGGCTCTGACCCGCTGGGCATTGCTCGGTTGATCGGCGGGGTAGGGGAGAACACCTGTAAAACCGAACTGGCATGTTTGTGTAGTCATTCAAAAACTTAACAGACCTTATGCAGGCAATTACTGTATTTTTCCATGTTTAAGACGATGCTTTTTGCTGGAAAAAAAAAGGCAAAAATTGGGTGTTGTCTTTTACACAGATAGTGAATGCAGAGGGGGGACATGATTAATGGCAGCAGCAAGTAAGAGATTGGCAGTGGCGATTGGGCGGGTGATTGGTGGCTGCAGCAAAGCCTGCTGGTGATTGGCTGTGGCAGCAGCGATTGGGCAGGCGATTGGTGGCTGTGGCAAATGGGCTGTTGGTGGCAGTAAGTGGGCAGACAATTGGCGACTGCGGCGAGGTGTGTGATCTGCAGTGGTGGGCAGGCGGGTGAGCAATTGGTGGAAGTGACCTCCCCGCCCCCAAAAGCTAAACAGCTTAATTTCTTAATTTGGGTTTTTTTAAAATGGGGCGTCTTATACATGGGGGCGTCTTATACATGGAAAAACTGTCTCCAAAAGAAAATAAGTTCTCTCCCTTTTTTGCATTCCAGAGATCTGGATAAGAAAGATTGGTTTAAACCAGGGTTTCCCAAACTTGGGTCTCTAGCTGTTTTTGGACTACAACTCCCACCATCCCTAGCTAGCAGGACCAATGGTGAGGGATGATGGGAACTGTAGTCCAAAAACAGTTGAACACTCAAGCTTGGGAAACCTTGGTTTGAACCAAAGGGAAGTCATCTGTACTGGGGCTGATGGGAGTTGTATTCCAAAACAGCTGGAAGGCACAAGGTTGGTAAAGGCTGGTAAAAAACATTGATGCTGGTGCTAATGAGAGTAGATGTATTGGAACACCTTGCAGAAGGGCCATCTTGAATTCATGGAATATTTTATAAAGGTTGACACTATAAAACAATCAGTCAATTGGCCAGTTTCCTGGTCATGCTTAAACCCATCTCATGGATTTAAAATGCGGATTTTGAACACATGGAATCAGCACTTCTGGTCCTGTTTTCCATTCCAAGGGCCTTGAAGTCTCAAGTGGTTTAAAAGCATTTCTTGGAAAAGGCTTGTGAGAAAAAACCTCCATTTGCACAGATCACAAGGTTAGGCCTCTATCCCCCCACCCCAACATTATGTATTTGTCATCCTCTGTCTTTTTCAGGTCCAGTTTATCATGAATATTGCGAATGTCCGGAAGAAGATGCTCAGATTTGGGAGAAAAGTCTTTCCTGTCCTTCAGAGCACCCTCAGATTACCGAGGATTTCGCTGTGTTTCCTAGCATAGATCTTCAGCGGATGTTTGATGAGGTTCCACCAAGGTTTGCCCAAAAGATGGGAGCCATTGTTCATTATACTGTCATTGGCAATCACGTCTATCGCCGGTCCTTGGGGAAGTATACAGACTTCAAAATGTTCTCGGATGAAATGTTGCTGTCACTGGCGAGGAAGGTATATTTCCACAGATACTCGCTTAGTACACAGTGGCCATGTTTGCTCATCATGCTAAAGCAAGGATAGCTAACCTGTGGCTCTTGCAGGTGTTCTTGAACTACAACTCCCATCATTGCTGAGCCTTGGCTGGTTGGGGCTTATGGGAATTGTAGCTCAGCAAGTTTTGAAGACCACAGGTTAGCCACCCTGACACTAAACAATGTTCTTTTTAGCACATTTGCAAGCCTTTGCCTCATATACTCCCATTCTGCCTTCACCTCCTCCCACATAGCTGCATTGTTAACTAAAACAGAAAGTGCAGTCTTCCAAAGTTGCCCTCATACCTGCGCAGTAAGAGGGGAGCATTCAAGCCTGGGACACACTCCATCTCATCCATGTTGCACTAAGCCATGGCATAGTGTGGTGTGCAAAATGCAGCAGTATATAACAGACATCCACCAGAGGGGTCTGCACACCAGCAATATCCTTTGATCAGAGTCCTGGGACTCAGCTACATTAGTGAAAAAACAACAACAGTGATTTGGATGCGCTATAAACATGGAACACCAGATGGCGACAGAGAGCGGGAAATTTTAAAATGCGATTTTCCATAGAGATTTTTTTCTTTTGTTAAAACTATCTAATTTCTGACTTATTTGTAGTGTTCCCCCCTGTGTTTGGATCCATCCCAAGGCTCTCAAGTGAGACTTGCTTCTGAGTAGATATGTGTAGAGTTGTGCAGGAAGTCTCAAATTTGCAGGTGCTTTCACCTCTCAAGCTTTTCAGTGTGCATTGAGTGATACCATGCAAGTTGGCAGCTTCAAATAAACCTTTTGCCCTATGTTGGGAGCCACTATCAGCATAGAGGGAGTAAATCAGCTGTGCATCGAAATGTGCTTCCCCATCTATATTGGGATGCACACTTGAATGCACAACCAAGGGTGCATTCCATTGAAAGCATCTCACTCGGATAGACATCCAATTTTGCCTGTGGTTTCTGAACCAGCAAATCACACAGACGAGGATTTTCTATCTCTGGTTGTATTGGGGCAAGCTAGGATAGATGGGGCCCAGCTATAAGAACATAGGAAGAGGTGAAATGCTTCTGGGAGATGATATATAATGAGTTGAAAAAAATGTTGAAATATACATTTATAAAGAAACCAGAAGCATTTCTATTGGGCATTGTGGGGAGAAATATAAATAGAAAGGAATGTAAGCTCGTTTTATATGCAGTAACAGCAGCAAGAATATTATTGGCCCAAAAATGGAAGCAAGAAGAGTTACCATCGATTGAAGAATGGAGGGTGAAGTTAATGGACTATGCAGAATTAGATAAACTAACAGGAAGGATTTGAAACCGGCGAGACCAGAAATACACGGAAGACTGGAGTAAATTTACGGACTATTTGAAAAGTAATTGTGAAGAACAGACGACGTTTGTAGGGTTGCAAGAAGTTTTGTGAGGAGTATTAGAAGTATTGTAAAAATGGACAAGGGGGGGAATGATTTGTTAAGAGGTGTAAAGGCAATATAAAGTTAAGAAATGCATAAGAAGTGGTTAAAACGGTGGATCATCAGAGGTGCTGATGGAAGTCCAAAAAGATTGTATAAGTGATAAGTTTTGTGGTACATTTTATAATTTATATGTTAAAATTAATAAAAAATATTATTTAAAAAAAAGAACATAGGAAGAGCTCTTCTACTGAGCCAGACCCATTAGTCAATTTAGTTCAGTATTGTCTATGCTGACAGGCAGTAGCTCTTTGAGTGTCAGGCAGGAGACATTTCCAGTCCCAATTGGAGACCCTGCAAATGGAACCAGGGACCTTTGGTGTAGAAAACAGATGCTCCAATCTCATTCATAAAAAAGAGGAAACATTTGGGGGTGGGATGTAACCGAAACAACAACGAAAATGGTAGAACAAAATACAGAGACTAAAACATTTTTTTTCTTATAGGGGACCACCAAATTTGGCTTTTTAATCTATAGCAGCTTGTTGATCCATAACACTGGGTTAATTGTTACATCCTATGGAAGCTAAAGCAACTAGTAGAACAGCATGAACTACTACTATTACTACTGATTTACTACTTATACACTGCCCATCTGGCCAGGCCTCCCCAGCCACTCTGGGCGGCTTCCAACAGGATATTAAAAACACAGTAAAACATCAAACATTAAAAACTTCCCTAAACAGGGGCTGCCTTCAGGTGTGTTCTAAAAGTCAGATAGTTGTTTATTTCCTTGACATCTGATGGGAGGGCGTTCCACAGAGCGGGCACCACCACCAAGAAGGCCCTCTGCCTGGTTCCCTGTAACTTCACTTCTCGCAGTGAGGGAACCGCCAGAAGGCCCTCGGAGCTGGGCCTCAGTGTCCGGGCTGAATGATGGAGGTGGAGATGCTCCTTCAGGTATACTATAAAGGTGTTTTGACTCGTTTTAGGTTCACCTTCCTGATGTGGAATTTTACCTCAATGTTGCGGATTGGCCCGTTGAGCATCGGAAAGCAAACGACACCCCTGGCCCCCTGCCTATCCTTTCCTGGTGTGGCTCTCTGGATTCAGCAGACCTGGTGCTTCCAACCTACGATGTCACCCATTCAACCCTAGAAACTCTGCGAGGCGTCACAAATGACCTCCTGTCTATTCAAGGAAACACAGGTAACATGGGAATCTGTGTGTGGGGGTTTTTTCAGACAGAGGTGGGAGATAAGCATGTAAGAAGTGTTTGCTCTATCAGGACATCTGCTCCAGCATCCTGTTCTCACATGGCCAATCAGATGCCAACAGGCAGCCCTGTTTAGAGAAGTTTTTAATGTTTAATAGGGTATTGTATTTTAATATTCTGTTGGAAGCCGCCCAGAGTGTCTGGGGAAACGCAGCCGGAAGGGCAGGATATAAATAATAAATTATTATTATTATTATTATTATTATTATTATTTATTACTATAACTTGAAGCCCCAAAGCAGAGCCTGTGTACAATAGCATCCCCCACACCTGTGATCCCAGAATCTGGCATTCCAGGGTGGATAAAAATCTTTTTTTAAAAATAAAAATAAAAATCAGATTTTTAAAAATTTAAATCAGATTTTTTTTTTTAAATTTAAATTGGATTTTTTAAAAATTTAATTTGGGTTTTTAAAATAAAATGCTTTCGGAGAAAAAAATGTTTCTAAAGATAGTTTTCTATTTAAGTTACATTATAGTCCAAAGGCTACTCATCAGGAAATAAGGATTTGTTTTAAGTTTTTCATGTGTACTAAGTTGTTTTTTAAAAAATGTTTAACCACATCAGTTAACAAACATGGATACATATGCTATAATGTTATTGTTTTAATTAAATAAATTGTTTAAATTGTTATTAAGGAAATGATTGTTTTGCTCCTTCCAACAAAGTACAGCAGAAAAGTTGTCCAAGTATAAACAGTTAACTTATTAAACCTCGCAATAATTTCATAATTATCTGTCTATGTATTTCTAATAGTATAACCAAATCAGTAATTTTTGATATACCGTATTTTTCGCCCCATAGGATGCACTTTTTCCCCTCCAAAAATGAAGGGGAAATCTGGGTGCGTCCTATGGGGCGAATGCAGGCTTTCGCTGAAGCTTGGAGAGCGAGAGCTGTCTAGGCTGCGGATAGCAGCCTGCCGCCCGGCATGCGGGGCGCCCTGAAGCAGAGCGCCCCTCGCGCCGGGCAGACATCGGCTCCGGGGATAGCGGGGAGGCGCAGCGCCGCCATCCCGCTGTTCCCCGACTTGGTTTTGGGGGAGAAATAAAGGAAAACATTTTTTCCTTTATTTCCCCCCCCAAAAAACTAGGTGCGTCCTATGGGACGGAGCGTCCTATGGGACGAAAAATACGGTAACTGCAAAAACTACTCTGAATATTTATTATTCCAAAAATGAAGCCTTCATCTGGTTGTAAATATTAAGATTATACCAGCAAGAATCAAGTGTTACAGACTAGTGATTTAAATCTTGATTTAAATCGATTTGATTTGATTTAAATCAAATCCACCCTGCGGTATTCAGAAACATAGTGCCTCCCGTAGCAGAGGAAGAATAGTATTTTGAACATTGATAATGGGTGGGGGGTGGCCTCGTTGAAGAAAAATAATACTGCTTGCAAATTGTAATCTCCGGAGAACAAATATTAGGCCTCCCAAGTTGCTTAGGGCATTTTGGTGTGCTGGCTGGGGCTGATGGAATTTGTAGTCACAAACATCTGGAAGGCACCAGGTTGGCAAAGGCTGCACTAGGACTTCCAAGATTTCTGTTCTCCCTCCTCCTCTATTCTATCACCCGTTAATTCCAGGACCTGCCTGGGACAACAAAACAGAACAAGGATTCTTCAGAGGTCGAGACAGCCGGGAAGAACGGCTTCAGCTGGTGCAGCTGTCTAAGGAAAACCCAGAACTGCTGGATGCTGGAATAACAGGTTACTTCTTCTTCAGAGAAAAGGAGGCGGAGCTGGGGAAGGCTCCATTGATGGGGTTCTTTGACTTCTTTAAGGTATACCGCCTATCTTGCTAACACCGAGAGGAGACAGACAAATGTCCTTGTTTTTCGTTTTCTCTTGAAGCTCTGTTTAAGAGCCTGTTTCAGTGTTAAGGAACATCCTGCCTGGAAACTAGTGCCTCACCTAAACATGCAATATTGCATACATACATCATCATCATCATCATCATCATCATCATAATTTATTATTTATACCCCGCCCATCTGGCTGGGTTTCCCCAGCCACTCTGGGTGGCTTCCACAAAGACCAAAAATACACCAGATGTCACACATTAAAAACTTCCTTGAACAGGGCTGCCTTAAGATGTCTTCTGAATGTCAGGTAGTTGTTTATCTCTTTGACATCTGATGGGAGGGCGTTCCACAGGGCGGGCGCCACTACCGAGAAGGCCCTCTGCCTGGTTCCCTGTAGCTTTGCTTCTCGCAATGAGAGAACCGCCAGAAGGCCTTCGGCGCTGGACCTCAGCGTCCGGGCAGAATGATAGGGGTGGAGCCCCCAGCCCTACTTGTGTGTTTTACTGCAAGCGTATACCCATTGCCTATCATTTCCTCCAGCTTGCGTGCATCCAAAATACATGCCTGCGTGATCATCACACCTGAGATTGCGTATGTGGGTTGCGATCTGTACCACTGCAGAGGTAGGAATTTTGGAGACTTTGAAGCAGCCTCCGTTTCAAAATGGACAAAAAAGATAAGGATGGCGATAAGTCATGTAGATGGCAGATTGCCTCCGGGATCACAGAGTCAGTAGGTCTAGGAATACCAGTTGCTGGAGAGAGGTATTGCACTCATGTCCCGCTTATGGGCTTTCCATAGACATCTAGTTGGTCACTTTAGAAGCAGGCTGCTGAATTAGATGGTCGTTTGGTCTGCTCGCAGCGGCGCTTTTATGTTCCCTTTGAAACATGAGATGTTTCCTTTAAACCACTTCAGGCTTATTTGTACACCCAACACAGTGTACAGTGGTACCTCAGGTTACATACAGTTCAGGTTACATACGCTTCAGGTTACAGACTCCGCTAACCCAGAAATATTACCTCGGGTTTAGAACTTTGCTTCAGGATGAGAACAGAAATCGTGCTCTGGCGACGCGGCAGCAGCAGGAGGCCCCATTAGCTTCAGGTTAAGAACAGTTGCAGGTTAAGTACGGACCTCCGGAACGAATTAAGTACTTAACCTGAGGTACCACTGCAGTCTATTCTGGCAGGTAATAGCCCTCCAGGATCTTAAACAGAGGTCTTTCCCATTGCCTTCTACCTGACGCTTTTAACTGAAGATGGCAGGCACCGAACTGTTCACTTTGTGCATGAAAAGGATGTGCTTTTACTACCAAGCTGCAGTTTCTCTTTCGAACCAGGGTCCGACCCACACAACCCCAAGCACTTCCTTGCATATACAGTGGTACCTCGGGTTAAGTACTTAATTCGTTCTGGAGGTCCGTTCTTAACCTGAAACTGTTCTTAACCTGAAGCACCACTTTAGCTAATGGGGCCTCCCACTGCTGCCGCGCGATTTCTGTTCTCATCCTGAAGCTAAGTTCTTAACCCGAAGTACTGTTTCTGGGTTAGCAGAGTCTGTAACCTGAAGCGTATGTAACCCGAGGTACCACTGTACTGGGTCTCCTTTGATGTGAAGTTCTGGTTTTCATTTTACTCATGTTGCATCAGCAGCTAATCCCGCAGACCCCCAGAGTTTTAGGTAGGGCTTATCCGATGGGTTGCTTGCTGTGGTTTGAAGGAGAGCTCAGAAAACCCCCTTGTACATGGCTGGAGTTTCCTATCAGGTACTTGGGATTGCAGTCTTGAGCTGAAAGGTGACCAGAAAACAGATAGGGTTTGTTGCTGTTACCCAAACTGAAACGATTTGACTTAGCCAAGGGTGCAGTGCTTGATCCCAATGCATGCTTGGTTCATGCTGCTTTCCTCCTCCTCCTCTCCCCTCAGTACAAATACCAAGTGAGTATAGATGGCACAGTTGCAGCCTACAGGTTTCCCTACCTCATGCTGGGGGACAGCCTTGTGATCAAGCAGGCTTCGCAGTACTACGAGCACTTCTATAAGGAGCTGGCGCCCTGGACCCACTACGTCCCCGTTAAAAGAAACTTGGAAGACTTGCTGGAAAGAATAAAGTGGGCCAAGGTAATCATCCTTGCCGCAGAAGAAAAGCTGGGTATTATAAATTGCAGCACCATTTCCCAGCTGTAGTCTGTTGTAAAGAAAACATGAGGATAGATAAGCCATGTTCCTGCTCTCCTTATAGGAAAAGGCAAGCCTTGGAGGGAAGGATACCAGATATAATAATAATAATAATAATAATAATAATAATAATAATAATAATTTTTATTTATACCCCGCCCTCCCTGGCCAGAGCTGGGCTCAGGGCGGCTAACACCAGTAAAATTACAATAAAAACATAATGGGGGGGGGAGGGGAAAAAAACAAGTTAAAATACGGGTTAAAATACAATTTAAAATGCATCCTCATTTTAATAGTAGCCCATTTGCATCAGCACCTAAGCTCAGCACCTTTCAGCTTCTCCGGATGTGATAGGATGTAGAATTATAGTTTGGTTCTCATAGCTTTGAAAACCTCCCTATGTTGGAGTCACAAACCACAGCTGGCAAGTTGTAACTGCCAGCCCATGATGGAGTGTATTCAGACTCCTTGTGGTTTAGGTAGGAACTGAGAACTTAGTAGATGAAGAGACAAGTGTAGTTGTTTAAAAAATACCAACCTTCCAAAAGTTCTAATCCAGAGAAGAGGGAGGAAAACACTAGGAACTTTGAAACATAGCCCCAGAACTGCAAAGTACAAATTCACAATTGTGTTCTTCTGTATTTTCAATCTAAGCCGCATTTCCTTGTATTAACAGGGATGGGTCTATTTTTCAGCTCCGCGGCACATAAATGCGTAATGATTATATGGGTGGAAGAAGACAATTACTGCTCTGTGTTCTGAGTAACCAAATCCGTGTGAGAGATGTCAAACCTGTCTGTACACTTAGCTGTTGCTTGGGCAATAAGGGTAGCTTTCCTGAAATTAAGAAATCCCTCTCTCTAACTGTGCCAGGCTGCTACTGCTGCTTGGGGGAGGATAATATCATTAAAGCTTTGGATAAAGTGTGGGTAAAAATATAAAAAGATTGGAATTAACTTTGGAGGCTCTTTCTGTGTGTAGGCTTGTACAATACAGTAGCTGTCCATAGCTTAGCATTTCTGCAGCTGCTGAAAATCTGAGTGCCCCTTCTTGCTGAACACAATCGCATAAGACTCCTTAGTTGCTCTATTATTTTATTCTTATGGGGTATTTATATCCTACCTTACTAACAGAAGTTCTCAAGGTGGCTTACATAATAAAATATAATATAATATAATATAATATAATATAATATAATATAATATAATATAATATAATATAATATATACAATTAAATAGACAGTAGCAGCACAGTAGTTCCTACAACAGCTGAGTCTCCTGGCCAAGTACTAATGCTTGAACACAGTTTATTCCTATTCCTTAGGAAAATGATGAAGAAGTCAGAAAAATTGCCAAGGAAGGACAGGCAGCTGCTAGAGAACTGCTGCAGCCTCACCGGTTTTATTGCTACTATTTCAAAGTGTTCCAGGTTAGTCCAGATTTCAGTCTATGCTTATGCTGTTCCGAACCATACCGTCCACTCTCTCATGAAACTTGACCGTGGTGGTCTTAAAATGGTCTGGTTTCACAGCAAACCAGGATCTGGAACCATGGTTTGCTCCTGCCTCACTAACCATAGTTTAAACCAGGGACAGGCCACATATCCTGCTGAGAGGTGGTTGAGGAGCCAGCCACACATGCGTAATCGCACAATCATTTCTCTCGCTAAATTAAAGTTGTACAATTAAAGTGGATTTGACCCTCTTCCAGCACAAGAAATCCACTTCCAGGAATTTTGGGGGACTTCTTGCAGTAGGGAAAGTGATGAGAAAATGCTTCAGAAAGTGCAGGATAACCTTTGCTTGACAAAACATAGTATAAACTGCCTGCAAAAACTAAGTAAATCAGAATGAAAGCTCATTAAGGAGTGGTGTTGTATAATGTCCCCACAAACATCTAAGCTCAATAAACAGAGTAAACATGCTGGAAATGACCAGGGTTGTGAAAGGGAGAGATGTTTTTGTTTTGAATAGTCTGCTGTTGTTTCAGTTTCTTTCCAACCTGTTTTACGTATTTCAGAAATATGCTGAACGCCAAGCTGGTAGACCTGAAATACGGGATGGGATGGGATTTGTACCTCAGCCTGATGACAGGACTTCAGTCTGCAGCTGCCACAGGAAAAAGCCTTCAAAGGAAGAGTTATAAGTAACCCTGCCAAATGAGATCAAATATATAGCCTGTTGCAAGAATGAGGCAAGACCTAAAATCACATTTAACACTCTGGAATCTGGAACTAGCTTGTACATGGAGAAATATTCACAATTCAGTCCTACAGCGTCTGTTCAGAAGTAAGCACCATTCAGTTTGATGGGGCTTGCTTTTCGCTAAGTGTGTGTTGGAGTGTTGTCTTGGATACCTTCCTTTGCTCTCTGTTTCCTCTACAAGTTGCCATGTGTGCCTTTTAAAAATCTGAACAGAGAATATATAATGGTAAGGAAAGCTCTCAGACAGACTGTATCCTTCACTTGCATGAAGTGTTTATGGGGCTAGTTTTCTAGATCACTTTCAAAGCACTCCACATAATTTGTCTCCTTGATCCTCGCAGCAGCCAGTTAAGGCAGGTCAGTATTATTTACTGTGTAATACAACTAGGGCTTGAGGGCACCCTAGATTATCAGCGAGTTTACACCTAGAGTGTGATTATAAACAAGGTCTCCACAGTTCACACACCCTCCCTTAGCGACTTTACCAGCTGTCTTGGCATAGATGCTTAATTTTTATTAACGATGGGGAGAAATTGGTCTGTTTCTTCATATTCCTTGTCTAAATCAGATCCTGCTGTTTAATGACTGAAACTCTTTTAAGAGCAGTTCTGCACGTTGTATAGAATGAAGTGGTAGAATTATGGGCTGTTTTGTTAATTATTTGTTGGGTTTAGATACCACCCTTCCTCCCAAAGGGAGCCCAGGGCAGTATTACCAGGTGCATTGGTGTACCACATTTCCCCACGTAAAAACAGAATAACTCCCTCGTTCAAATATCACTTCAGCTACGAATTCTGTAAGCAGCTACTAACCCTGAGTCTCAATTCCCATCTGAATCGGCGGCTTTGCATGTAAAAAGGTCATAGGTTCAGTCCCAAATTAAAGGATGCCACATAGCAGGGCTTGAGCAAGACTTTAACCTAGACTTGGGATAGCTGTTAGCATAGTCCAGGGATAGACAGTCTGTTTCCCTCCTGATGTTGTTGGGGACCAACTCCCATTATATCTGATCATCAGCCATGCTGGATGAAGGCTCGTGGGAGTTGGGAGTCCAACAACTGGAAGACCACGGATTCCTCATCCCTGATACAGTCAGTTCTGAGCCTGAATAATTGATCTAATGATGTAAGGCAACTTGTTCTGAAGGAGTGTCTCCACCCCCATTGTTCAGCCCCAGACACTGAGGTCCCGCTCCGAGGGCCTTCTGGTGGTTCCCTTACTGTGAGAAGTAAGGTTACAAGGACCCAGGCAGTGGGCCTTCTCGGTAGTCGTGCCTGCCATGTGGAATGCCTTCCTGTCAAATGTCAAGGAAATAAACATCTATCTGTCTTTTAGAAGACATCTGAAGGCAGCCCTGTACAGGGATGTTTTTAATGGTTGATGTTTTATTGTGTTTTTAATATTTTTGGGGAGACGCCCAGAGTGGGTGGGCCAATCCAGTCAGAGGGGCAGCAAAGAAATAAATTATTATTATTATTATTATTATTATTATTATTATTATTATTATTTGTAGGAAGTATACAGAGGGGACACTTATCTCCCCTGAATTTCTTACTATTCTAACCTCTGGCATGTTTTCCAGGCCATTTAGACAAATGAAATGTAGGTGCGCCATAAACGGCTTTGCAGACAGGTGAACTCTTTATGTTGTTGAGCAAGTGTCGTACATGTATGAATCTGTCAATGGAGTTAGTGTTGTTATCATTAATACAAGTCACATCTTGTATTTCAGAATAGGCACCTACCAAAAAGTTGCCTCCCAGATCTTTAAATTAGGTCACTGTGTAAAAGCACTGGAGTATTTTTTGAAGTTGCTGTGTAACAAGTCTCCACCCCCCATTAACAGGAAAGGAAAGCTTGCATAAATCTGCCAACGGAGCTCTGTCGTGGAATTGAACCACATCACCTATGAAGTTAACTGTTCATGATTCCCTGCCACCAGAAAGGCTTTGCTTGGGGTATCATTTAATCAAAATATCTGCTGAACCTAAAAAAGAAGAAACTTAAGTTGATGGAAGGCAGATGTATCTCTTCTAGGTGCACAGAAATTATGTATAGTGAGAATCAGGCAAGCACAGACCTACCCCAGCCTTTTCTAGAGCAAACCTTAATTCATATTTATCAATCCACCACAAAGCCCCGTTTGTCACACATGGAGCCAATGAACTGGTGTGAGATTAATCCTAGTCCTTGATGGTATTGGCTACATATGGATATATTTTAATTTTACACCAGGGATGGGGTGAACCTGTGGCCCTCCAGATGTTTTTGGACTCTCAGCTCCCATCAGGCCCAGAATACATGGCCAATGGTCAGCGATATTGGGAGTTGTTCTCCAAAACTTCTGAAGAGCACCATCTTCAGGTTCATCGTCTCCGATATACACCATGCCCAGATTTATAAACGAACTCCTTTTTGTAAGCAGTGGGTGACTCTGGTAAAGTGCTGTTTTGGTGACACTTTTATCTGGATTCCGGATGCCCAAAGCCAAAAATTAAATTAGGGGAGCTGCTTTATTTAAAAGGTACTGATATCATACTCTGCAAATAATCCTGTGGTTGCAGGTTTGAGGAGAAAATGAATCATAGCTGTAGTCCAGCCCAATATTATGTTCTGTGCAATCCTCTACACATCTACTCAGAAGCAAGTCCCACAGAGTTCAGCGGGGTTGAATTCCACACGCAAGTGCTGCAGCTGTTTAAAACTGCACATAACCCTGGATGTAAGCCTCCCTAAACTACTTGCAAAGGATTGGGCTGCATGTCCCATTGATTCCAATGAGAAAATGTAACACATTTTACAATGCAATCCTATTCACATTCACCATGTTTTTTTTGTTGCTGACCTAATACAGCATTAGCCAAATCTACAACATTGCAATAGCATTCGTAAATCAGTGTTGGTTGTTGGTTGTTTTAAAGCAACATGGACTCATTAAAAACAACTGCTTTTGTTTATGGTGTTATTACTAACCACAATAGTTTACATTCCTTACTTGTTTATAGCATTCAGTCCGTTTATGACTGATTCAAAGGTCCTTCAGATCTGTATAGCAAATCATGATCTTCATCTAAAACTTCAGCTTTTTCTGGTTATTTGAGTTTATGTTTCTGGTTTCTCATTCTTGAAAAATTTGGATTCTCGAATAAAGCATGTGGAAGAGTGTTTTTCAACCTACGCTGCAGTTTTGTTCCTTGTGTTTCGTAAAAGGGCACTACCACAATATAAAGCACAGGGCAGAAAGCAGGAGACCTGCCTACAAGCCTCGTCTTGAGCAGGCCTGCACAGCTTGTGACTCACCAAACCAAACAGAACACGCCAGCCATGTATTGTTGATGTCTAGTTCCTTCACAACCCCATTTTTGTACTCTGTGATCTATGTAGTTAAGCTAGGGGGCGCCTGTAGGCACCGGTGTAGCTGCCAGTGCCTTTTATGGTGTCTGCAAGAGTCAGCAAATCTCTCCTCCAGAATCCACAATGACAGAGAGGCTGTTTGCAACTAATAAAACAGAACAAACCCACCACCAATGCACTGTTATTGCATCAAGGTTATTTGCAATCTGTTATTACAGAGTACAGCCGCAATAAAACCTTTTGCAGGCGTAAAACCGTATTGAAAGCTGGACCATGCAGGTCTGCCCCAATGACATCATGAGCGCAAGTACTCGTGAATTAACAATAAAAAGAATCTATGGAAGGGCCCAAATAGTCACACACAAGGAAAGGGAAGAGATTGAATGACAAGATCAACATTTATCTTAATGTTATTTGTGTATATGATTCACGCTTTCATATGAAATAAGCTAAGGTCAGTGTGAACACTTCTGCTACTTTTCATGGAAGCGGGTTTCCGAGTGACTCGGCAACAAAACACTTCAGTTTCCTTGAATGATTTGTTCTATCCAAGTAAGAACATACCCTAGACTGGGACTGCTTGAACTTCTGCTTGAATATTGAAACGGGCTTTGAACATTAACCTTTCCACCTATTTTGTGTGCTTCAGCCCTTGTGAACACAACAAAGCAAGAGCTGAACTCTGATCTTTGGTTTGTCTGAAGTACTGTTCTTTGGTATGTCTGAGTGTTTTTCCCTCCCCAGCTGCTGAGAACAGTTTGACTAGTTTCATTTTATTTTGGGAGCATGCAACCTCTGCCCTTACCAAGACTGCTGGGATGCAAGACACTTTCGTTGCTAAGGACTATACCTAAGATCAAACAGAGCTTCAAATAGGTAGTTTGGCTCAAATCTCAGTAGCTAATTCATTTGCAGGCGAAGAGCCTATTTGTCGCTCTTGTCTGTGATTTATCTTTGGCTAGAGAAAGCTGTAGAGACCAACATGGGAGAGACACGTTTTATTGCAGCTTGGACAGATGAAGGTGTCTGGTTTCACTGTTACAGATGCACCATGACATTTCTTCTCTCTGCGCTCCTCCCAGCAGTCATTACTGCTCTGGTCACTGTTGTGGACACAACCTGACTGTCTCCAGGCACTGCGGTCATCTGCAAGGGATTCCCATATGACAGGGTTAATGTTGCCAGCCTTCATATCACATTTGCAGACATCTTTATAACGCAGTCGGTCTGTCAACAGGCCTGGTATCTGAAGCCAACTCTCTGTAGCACATCCTTGGGGATCGTGCCATGTTCCATTCTTTGTACATGACCAAGCCATTGTATAAATCTCTAAGACATAAGTGTGAACATGCCGGGAAGGTGGGCTTGGAAGAGCACATCTTTGAGACCCTGTCCTGTCATGTGATGCTCCAAGTCTTCCTGACACAACACATATGGAAGTCACTGAGAATTTGTTTCTGGCAGGTGTAAGTTGCCCATGACTCACTTCCATAAAGCAGAATGCTCAACACGCAAGCCTGGTAGATCTTCATCTTTGTATTGTTTGTTAGTGTCACATTCTCTCATATCCTTTTGGAAGGGTGTGCCATTGTCATAGCTACATTACCAAAACTCCTATCCAATCAAGTGTTGACTGGGAGGCTGCTATTTACGGTGGAGCCCATCTATCACCACAAGCATGTGGTCACCAGTGCTGATGCATGGAGTGCTGGTGACATCCTGACCCAAGATTTATTTCAGACAATTTACTGGAATTCAACCAGAGAATTAAGTATCCAGAAAACCACTTTAAGTGAAGATATTATTCGTTTTTGTGGCTGTGAAGATGTCTTGGAAATTGGAGAGGTGGGGATGGCTAGTGAGATGGAAGCTATATATAAATTAACGAAAAACATAAATACAAGCAGCAGAAGCATATTAAATGGCAAATTTTGCAGAGATTATTCAGACTACAGTGGAGATGGTAAGGGTTTTATAATGTGCAGTATTGGTTAATGTGCAGTATTAATTAGGATGCAACACGGCGTATTCACAGCTCTGGTTATAAGGAGAAGTCCTTTAACCAAGACAGTCGTTTCCAAATTCCACCCCCTCCCCGTACACACACACACACACACACCCCAAATGAAAACTTGTTGGATCACTTAATGACATTTTCTACCTGTTGTAGCAATTGTAATGCACTGTGCTAGACACTGTGTTTCTGGACTGTATTTTTATTGTGTCTTTTACTTCTTACAACAAATTGAATTCCACAGAATTCAAAACGTAGATGAATACAATAAAATAAAGTATAAGAAACAAAAGTAACATTTTTTAAAATCAATATAAATATTTAGTGTGATGGATATGTCGTCTCCAAATCCACAGGCATGTTGCACACCAGCTGAATGAAGCTCTGGGCTGCTGGTAGCCTGTTGACCAATTTGGAAACCTCTGAACTTAATTAACTAAGAATTAATACCCCTTAATTCTTCCCTGTTGGAACTACCTGTAGCTAGGAGTAATTATAATTGACCTGGGATAGACATGCTAGATCTTATTGTGGTTTTGGAGGTGTGTTATTTACGGCATAGCATTATATTCCACCTTTTCCTGAAGGCTGAGGATAACTCATCGCGATACAATTTCATGGGTTATTATTTACTACTGTTATTATTTATTAAATGTATATACTGCCCTATAAACACAAGTCTTTGCGGGGGGGGGGTGCAGTTTGCAAGATAAAATTGCAATATCAAAATATGAAATGCACAACCAAAATAAAACAAAAACAAAATCAACTCCCTCCCAAGTCCTTAAAGGATCAGTTAAAAAAAGAATGACTCCCCGGGAAAAGTGCTAATAATAATAATAATAATAATAATAATAATAATAATAATAATTCTTGCAGTTGCCTCTTTTAGAGCCTTTGCTGTTGCCATTCACAGGTGATTGCAAAAAAAACCCCACCACAACTTCACCTGCTACTAATTTCTGATAATAAAACAGCTCTTGTTAACATGGGCAGAAACAAGCTTGCTAATTTCTTTTCATGTTTTTATCGCGCCGCTTTTCGAAGACGGATGGACCTTCCCAACGGCAACGAAGCTAGACCGGGCCGAAGCTGCGCTGCTCCGCCTGCCTTCCCCTCTTCCACCCGGGGCTCCTCTTCACGCCCCTCCCTGGCTCGCCTCAGGCGGGGGAAGGGACTAGGCCGAGAAGCCTCCGGGGGTTCCTATGGCAACAGGAAAACACCCCGCGAGCGGGACGCGGAGAGACGAAGGCCGCTTCCTTATGGGCGCGAGGGTAAAAAGGGACCCGGGGGTGGGACGAGGGGAAGGGAGGCTCCGAGGAGGGGGAAGCCGCCACCACTGCCCTCGGGGGGCGCAGAAACGCGGAAGGGAATATGGTAGAACCTGTGCCTGCATTTCTTGGAGCATTCACATGTGCGCGCACACAGAGGTTCTGTTTGTGTGGTGACGCTTCCTAACTTTCAGGTGGGGATTCTTTGGCCTTCTCCTTGGTGACGAAGGGCTCTTCCAGACGAAGGGTGGTTTATTTGGCATTCGCCCTTATTTGTTTGCTGTTGAAGGCGCATTCCCCGTTTGTGGGAAGTTATTTTACCCGGCATATCAGCAAGTGTTACCTGCTCTACACCCACCGTGCTTTCCAGTATATATTTCCATCATTTTCCTTACCGCAAAAAAATCTGCTCTTTTGGGAAAGTGCAGGGTATTGGGGGGTGGGGTGGATGCAAAACTGCCAAACCAACTCGAGAATTACACAACCTGAATCCCACCTTAAATAGCAGCAGTCTGGAAGCTGCTCGCTTTTAAATCCTGATTTACTCTTCCCTGGGAAAGTCCCTTTGAAGTTTTGAAGAAACCTATAGTCTTTGCCAGCTGCCTAAAAGTCCTTAAAGAGGGAGCCACGCAGGCACCTCTCATAAAATGTTTTAAAAGTCTTGGCACCACCACTGAAAAGACCCCTCCCCCGTTTGTGTTTTCCTACCTAGTGTCAGAGAAAGGTGCTCTGAAGCTAATCTTAATGTTTGAGGAGATACATTTGGGGAGGTATCACGCACCAGTGCTATTCCAACCCTTATGCCCCAAAAGAGAGAACTTTGAATGGAGGTCAGAAATACACTGGTTGCAAATGGAGACGGCTTAATATTGAACTCATATGACCTGATCTATTGGCTCCCGGGTAATAATCTATCAGATTCCTTTTAACCAGTTGAAGTTTCCAAACCACCTGCAAAGGCAGCTTCACAGATAGAGTACATTGCTGCAATCCAATCTAAATGCGACTGTTATTAAGCATTTACAATGCAATCTAGAAGACGTGTTGATGAAGCCACTTTTATCTTCATTTAAACAAATTGTATAACAATAACCCCCTTCATGGATCACTGCCTTGCCGTGGCGAAGGGGCTTGAATAACTCAGAGAAGCTATGAACTATGCCGAGCAGGGCACCCAAGATGAACAGGTCATAGTGGAGAGTTTTGACCAAACGTGATCCACCTGGAGGAGGAACTGGCAAGCCACTCCAGTATCCCTGCCAAGAAAACTCCATGGACAAAGACAACAGGCATATAAAAGTTATGACGCTGGAAGATGAGCCCCTCAGGTCGGAAGGCGTCCAACATGCTACTGGGGAAGAGCGGAGGACAAGTACAAGTAGATCCAGAGCTGATGAAGCGGCTGGGCCAAAGCCGAAAGGACGCTCAGTTGCGGATATGCATGGAAGCGAAAGGAAAGTCCAATGCTGTAAAGAAAAATCTTGCATAGGAACCTGGAATGTAAGAACCATGAACCTGGGTAAGTTGGATGTGGTCAAAAATGAGATGGCAAGAATAAATATTGACATCCTGGGAATCAGTGAACTGAAATGGACAGGAATGGGCGAATTCAGTTCGGATGACTATCATATCTACTACTGTGGGCAAGAAACCCATAAAAGAAATGGAGTGGCCCTCATAGTCAACAAAAGAGTGGCGAAAGCTGTACTGGGATTCAATCTCAAAAATGATAGAATGATCTCGATACGAATCCAAGGCAGACCTTTTAACATCACAGTAATCCAAGTTTATGCACCAACTACTGGTGCTGAAGAAACTGAAATTGACCAATTCTATGAAGACTTACAAGACCTTATAGAAGTGACACCAAAGAAGGATGTTCTTCTCATTATAGGGGATTGGAATGCTAAAGTAGGGAATCAAGAGATAAAAGGAACAACTGGCAAGTTTGGCCTTGGAGATCAAAACGAAGCAGGGCAAAGGCTAATAGAGTTCTGTCAAGAGAACAAGCTGGTCATCACAAACACGCTTTTCCAACAACACAAGAGACGACTCTACACATGGACATCACCAGATGGGCAACATCGAAATCAGATTGATTATATTCTCTGCATGCCAAAGATGGAGAAGCTCTATACAGTCAGCAAAAACAAGACCTGGAGCTGACTGTGGCTCAGATCATCAGCTTCTTATAGCAAAATTCAAGCTTAAACTGAAGAAAGTAGGAAAAACCACTGGGCCGGTAAGATACAATCTAAACCAAATCCCTTATGAATACACAGTGGAAGTGAGGAACAGGTTTAAGGATTTAGATTTGCTGGACAGAGTGCCTGAAGAACTATGGGTGGAGGCTCGCAACATTATACAGGAGGCAGCAACTAAAACCATCCCAATGAAAAAGAAATGCAAGAAAGCAAAGTGGCTGTCCAACAAGGCCTTATAAATAGCGGGGGAGAGAAGGCAAGCAAAATTCGAGGGAGATAGTGAAAGATACAGGAAATTGAATGCAGATTTCCAAAGAATAGCAAGGAGAGACAAGAAGGCCTTCTTAAACGAGCAATGCAAAGAAATAGAGGAAAACAACAGAATGGGAAGAACCAGAGATCTGTTCAGGAAAATCGGAAATATGAAAGGAACATTTCGTACAAAGATTACCATAATAAAGGACAAAAGTGGTAAGGACCTAACAGAAGCAGAAGACATCAAGAAGAGGTGGCAAGAATACACAGAGGAATTATACCAGAAAGATATGGATGTCTCGTACACCCCAGGTAGTGTGGTTGCTGACCTTGAGCCAGACATCCTGGAGAGTGAAGTCAAATGGGCCTTAGAAAGCACTGCAAATAACAAGGCCAGTGGAAGTGATGGTATTCCAGCTGAACTATTTAAAATTTTAAAAGATGATGCTGTTAAGGTGCTACACTCAATATGCCAGCAAGTTTGGAAAACTCAGCAGTGGCCAGAGGATTGGAGAAGATCAGTCTACATCCCAATCCCAAAGAAGGGCAGTGCCAAAGAATGCTCCAACTACCGCACAATTGCACTCATTTCACACGCTAGCAAGGTTATGCTTAAAATTCTACAAGGCAGGCTTAAGCAGTATGTGGACCGAGAACTCCCAGAAGTGCAAGCTGGATTTAGAAGAGGCAGAGGAACCAGAGACCAAATTGCAAACATGCGCTGGATTATGGAGAAAGCTAGAGAGTTCCAGAAAGACATCTACTTCTGCTTCATTGACTATGCAAAAGCCTTTGACTATGTCAACCACAGCAAACTATGGCAAGTTCTTAAAGAAATGGGAGTGCCTGATCACCTCAACTGTCTCCTGAGAAATCTCTATGTGGGACAAGAAGCTACAGTTAGAACTGGATATGGAACAACTGATTGGTTCAAAATTGGGAAAGGAGTACGACAAGGTTGTATATTGTCTCCCTGCTTATTTAACTTATATGCAGAATTCATCATGCGAAAGGCTGGGCTGGATGAATCCGAAGCCGGAATTAAGATTGCCGGAAGAAATATCAACAACCTCAGATATGCAGATGACACAACCTTGATGGCAGAAAGTGAGGAGGAATTAAAGAACCTTTTATTGAGGGTGAAAGAGGAGAGCACAAAATATGGTCTGAAGCTCAACATCAAAAAAAACGAAGATCATGGCCACTGGTCCCATCACCTCCTGGCAAATAGAAGGGGAAGAAATGGAGGCAGTAAGAGATTTTACTTTCTTGGGCTCCATGATCACTGCAGATGGTGACAGCAGTCACGAAATTAAAAGACGCCTGCTTCTTGGGAGAAAAGCAATGACAAACCTAGACAGCATCTTAAAAGTAGAGACATCACCTTGCCAACAAAGGTCCGTATAGTAAAAGCTATGGTTTTCCCAGTAGTGATGTATGGAAGTGAGAGCTGGACCATAAAGAAGGCTGATCGCCGAAGAATTGATGCTTTTGAATTATGGTGCTGGAGGAGACGCTTGAGAGTCCCATGGACTGCAAGAAGATCAAACGTATCCGTTCTTAAGGAGATCAGCCCTGAGTGCTCACTGGAAGGGCAGATCCTGAAGCTGAGGCTCCAATACTTTGGCCACCTCATGAGAAGAGAAGACTCCCTGGAAAAGACCCTGATGTTGGGAAAGATGGAGGGCACAAGGAGAAGGGGACGACAGAGGATGAGATGGTTGGATGGTGTTCTTGAAGCTACCAGCATGAGTTTGATCAAACTGCGGGAGGCAGTGGAGGACAGAAGTGCCTGGCGTGCTCTGGTCCATGGGGTCACGAAGAAGAAGAAGAAGAAGAAGAAGAAGAAGAAGAAGAAGAAGAAGAAGAAGAAGAGTTTGGATTTGATATCCCGCCTTTCACTCCCTTTAAGGAGTCTCAAAGCGGCTAACATTCTCCTTTCCCTTCCTCCCCACAACAAACACTCTGTGAGGTGAGTGGGGCTGAGAGACTTCAAAGAAGTGTGACTGGCCCAAGGTCACTCAGCAGCTGCATGTGGAGGAGTGGAGACTCGAACCCGGTTCCCCAGATTACGAGACTACCGCTCTTAACCACTACACCACACGAAGAGTCGGACAGGACTAAACACCAACAACAACAACAAGGAAAGAGGCGGATTTGCCCTGCCAGACCTCAAACTTTACTATGAATCAGCAGCTTTTTGCTGGCTGAAAGAATGGCTACTTCTTGAAAACACTGACATTTTGGACTTGGAAGGTTTTAACAATGTATTTGGATGGCATGCATATTTATGGTATGATAAGGTCAAAGCACATAAAGCATTTAGAAACCACATTGTCAGGAAAGCGCTATTTAATGTTTGGTTAAGATATAAGGACTTGTTAGAAAACAAAACTCCAAGGTGGCTGTCACCAATGGAAGCGAAAGCCTTGAAAAAGCTCAATATGGAGGTCAAATGGCCGAAATATTGGGAAATTTTGGAACAAGATGTAGATAGACTGAAATTGCAGAGTTTTGAAAAACTAAAAAACAAAGTGCGAGACTGGCTTCATTATTACCAGATAATGGAGGCATTTAAATTGGACAAGAAAATTGGCTTCCAGGTGGAAAGATCAAAATTAGAAACAGAACTGTTAGAACCCAAAACTAAGAATTTGTCAAGAATGTATAACTTGCTGCTGAAATGGAATACTCAGGATGAAACGGTAAAATCGGCTATGATTAAATGGGCACAGGACGTTGGACATAACATTATGTTTGCTGACTGGGAACAGTTGTGGACCACAGGTATGAAATTTACGGCATGTAATGCCTTAAGAGAGAATATTATGAAAATGATATACAGGTGGTACATAACCCCAGTCAAGCTTGCAAAAATCTATCATTTGCCCGATAACAAATGTTGGAAATGTAAAGAAACTGAAGGTACATTTTTCACCTTTGGTGGACGTGCCCAAAGATTAAGGCTTTCTGGGAAATGATATATAATGAATTAAAAAAGGTATTTAAATATACCTCCCTAAGAAACCAGAGGCCTTTCTCCTGGGCATAGTCGGCCAAATGGTGTTAAAAAAGGATAGAACTTTCTTTATGTATGCAACAACAGCAGCAAGAATACTCATCGCAAAGTATTGGAAGACACAAGAACTTCCCACGCTGGAGGAATGGCAGATGAAACTGATGGACTATATGGAACTGGTGGAAATGACTGGCAGAATCCGTGACCAGGGAGAAGAGTTGGTGGAGGAAGATTGGAAGAAATTCAAAGATTATCTTCAGAAACATTGCAAAATTAAGGAATGTTAGAGTGATGTTGGTTCGAAAATAAGTGGTTTCCAGCTGTACAGGTCAAAGTTATTGATAGACTAAGATTAAAGATTAGGATTAAAGATTTTTAAGGAAATGGAAATTTGGTTATATCAAGATTAAAGATTGGGATTAAAAAAGTGGAAAAGAAATTGCTGGACAAACAATTTGGACTGGAATACAAAAGAGGGAGGTATGAGGAAGTCCAGAAAATAAGTAAATTCAAAAACGGAAATGGAAAAGTGATATTGTTTTTAATTGTTCTGTTTGTTTTTTTTAGTTTTTTTTCTTGTATTTTGTTTTCTGTGTATTCTTGTGTATACTTTTATGTTTTTTTGTTTAACTTTTATTGAAATTTTAATAAAAATTATTTAAAAAAAACAACAACAACAACAACAACAACATAACAATAACAAATAGGCTCGTTATTTTTTATTCAAATCCAATTTTGTTTACTTTGTAAATTAGGGCAGCAGTTTGTAAACTACATTGTCTGAAGCGTTCTTATTCAAGGCCGGCCCACCTGTGACCAAGGTGAGGTGACTGCCTCAGGTGGCAGGATGTACAGTATTGGGGCAGCAGATCTGTCCTCCAAGGAATGCAGTGGACGCTGCCGCTGGTGGCTTGAGGCACAGCTGGTCTCCTCCCAGCCCTAGGCAGGAAATGGTGAGGGCTCCCCTCTGTTTTCTCCTGGGTGCTGCACCTGCCTGGTTCAAAAGGGGCCCCTTTCTCCCCGCCACAACTGCTTTTGATACCCACTTCAACCATCGAGTAAGGTTGATTTGATTCCCTCACCCTACCCTAGTTCCCGATGTAGATCCTTATTTCACCCTTGTTCCTGGGGTAGATCTTCACTCGCCCTTTCTGCCCTGGCTCCATTTTGTGGTTCACCTCAGGTGCCTAAGTGTCTTGGGCCAGCCCTACTCTTAAATCTGTGAAGAAACACCAAGGATCCTGTTAGATAGAGAGAGGGGTTTGTGCAATACTGTTTCTGTCCATCTTTTTGAAAAGTTCCATTTTGCTTCTCCAACAATGTACTTATATGTGTGAATGAAAATTGGTACTGTATAGAAGGCAACCACTATTTTCCCGATGCCGTTCTTCATTTAGTGCACATAATTAGTTTTCATAAAGTCAGGAAAATGAACGATAAATCCTTGTTCTGGTCCATTGGTTCTTTGTATAGGATAATCCAGGTCCAAGCATTTTTCTGCAATGGAAATTAAACCCTCCAGAAGCCAGCAAAAGCGTGGGTAAGTCTGTAACTTGAAAGATACAAGTATATACAAGTAGCAGCCATTTTGCACACTTTCAATTGGCATGCAACCACCAACGCACATGTCATTTTCAGACCCAGAAGAGGGTGGAAAGGGGCAGGGGTGTAATGGGATGGGCTGGACGTGTGTCTGGAGCGCAGGTGGGAAGCTGCCTGTACCTAAAAATAACAAACAGCCTGATTCTATGCATTTTTACTCAGAGGTAAGCTCTGTTGTATTCTGTGGGTCTTACTCCTCGGTAAGTGTGTGAGCCCCATTGAATTTACTGGAAATTACTCCTGAGTAAATACCCAGAGAATGAAATACCCAGAGAATGTATGAAAGCCTTTAAGTTCCAGTGCATCACTTCTGCATGATATAGTGGAAGCAAGCCATTTTTAAACTGAGTGTATGATGTTATCATTGTGGATTGTAAAAGAATAAACTTGTAAGTTCAAAGAGTTTAGATTATGTTACTATCTATTATTGAAACCATTGTAAAAAATGCTTTTCTTTATCAAAGCCACCAGCATTTATTACCTCCTGGTTTCCCTCCTTGCAGGGGGCATTCTACTTTTGCTTTTATTTTTTTCTATGTTTTCTGCAGAAACTATATATAAATTTTGTGTAATCGTTTTGTTTGTCAATATCTCACCTAAATTATGAAATGTAAAATAGTAAGTCCAGTTCTGGTTATAGACAAAATTATCTTGTATAATTTTTTTAATGAGGGAAGTTAAAAAAAATGCAAAACTAATGAATTGCTAATTGTTTGAATGATATATCTTAAAATGTATTATTTGAAGGAAACATTCAAGACATTCAACATCTAAAACGGATGCTGTCGTAGAATTGTACCTCAGTGAGGAACATGAAAAAGAAAGTAGAGCAGCAACGGTTATTCAGAGAGCCTGGAAAAGATGGCTGGTAAGTTGGAAGTGCTACTTCTCTATACATTTCCTCAGAATAATCTGCTTCTGGGGTTTCTCTAGTATGAGTTAGGTTTTTTGGTTTTGGTTTTAATTTTCTGTGGTTTTCTAGATCATAGCTTATAACTATAATCAATGTTGTAATTCCAAGGAACAATGGTAAATGTTTATCTGTGTTTTTGTAGTTTTATCTGTAAGCCGCCTTGAGTCCCAGTCTCGGGAGATAAAAAATAAATTACCGTATTTTTCGCTCTATAGGACGCACTTTTTTCCCTTCAAAAATGAAGGGAAAATGTGTGTGCGTCCTATGGAGCGAAGACGCCATAGTCCCGCGACCCTCTCCCGGCTGGAGAGGTGACGCGCGGCTATGGCAGGAGCCTCTACAGCCCCGCGTCACCTCTCCAGCCGGGAGAGCGCGCGGGGGCTAAGAAGCACCCCGCGCCCCTCGCCCGGCTGGTGCGGTGACGCGCGGCTATTGAGGCTCTTGCCATAGCCGCCTGTCACCTCTCCAGCCGGCAGAGCGCGCGCGGGGCTAAAGCAAGAGCCTCAATAGCCGCCCGTCACCTCTCCAGCCGGGAGAGCGCGCGCGGGGCTGCTGGAGAGGTGACGAGCGGCTATAGAAGCTCCTGCCATAGCCGCCCGTCACCTCTCCAGCCGGGAGAGGGTCGCGGGGGGCTTCTTTAGCCCCGCGCACGCTCTCCCGGCTGGAGTGGTGACGGGCGGCTATGGCAAGATCCTCAATAGCCGCGCGTAACCTCAGCAGCCGGGAGAGGGTCGCGGGGGGCTGCTTTAGCCCCGCGTGCGCTCTCCCGGCTGGAGAGGTGATGGGCGGCTATGGCAAGAGCCTCAAGCGCCGCCCGTCACCTCTCCAGCCAGGAGAGGGTCGCGGGGGGCTGCTTTAGCCCGGCGCGCTCTCCCGACTGGAGAGGTGACGGGCGGCTATGGCAAGAGCCTCAATAGCCGCCCGTCACCTCTCCAGCCGGGAGAGGGTCGCGGGGGCTGCTTTAGCCCCGCGCGCTCTCCCGGCTGGAGAGGTGACGGGCGGCTATTGAGGCTCCTGCCATAGCCGTGCGTCACCTCTCCAGCCGGGAGAGTGCGCGCGGGCTAAAAGCCATAGCCCAGCGACCCTCTCCCGGCTGGAGAGGTGACGCACGGCTATGGCAGGAGCCTCTCCGCTGCGCCTTTCCGCTGCTCCCTGAACTGCTCTTTGGGGCTGGTGGTGGGCTTCCCCGCCAGCCCCAAAGAGCTGGTGAAAGGAACCTGAAGCCTGGAGAGCGAGAGGGTCAGTGCACACCGACCCCTCTCGCTCTCCAGGCTTCCAAGATAGCCGCACCTTGAACGGCACCTTGTTTTAGAGGGGAAAACAAGAGGGGAAAGTTCTCCCCTCTCTGCGCAGCGCCTCCTGCCACTTCGCTGAAGGGGCGCTGGGCAGAGAGGGGGAGAATTTTTTTTCTTGTTCTCCCCCCTCTAAAACAAAGTGCGTCCTATTGTCCGGTGCGTCCTATGGTGCAAAAAATACGGTAATTAAAATGAAATAATAACCGTATTGGTGATGTAGCACATGGACTGCACTTTAGCTTGTCAGCCTGGCATTCCTGTACCTGAGGGTCAAATTATTACCATATACTGTACCAGGTGTGGGGAACCTTTGGCCCTCCAGATGCTGCTGAACTAGAACTCCTTTCAGCCGCAGCAAGCATGGCCAGTCTTCAGGAGTGATGGGAGTCTGAGGCAACCCATCCCATTTTGCCACCTGAGGCGAAATGGGAATGTGCTGCTCCCTGCCCCACCTCACTGCTGCGCCTCCACCACTTCTCGGCAATAGCAAGAGCTTCCCACTGCTGAGCAACAGTGTTTTGCTAGGTGCGGCTGCTCGTCTTCTTTACCTCATGAGCAGGGGCACTGCCTCTTGCGCTTCCACCACCTGAAGCGGATGCTTCACGCTGCCTCTTGGGTGGGCTGGCTCTGATGGAAGTTTGAAGTTCAGTGACATCTGGAGGGCCAAAGGTTTCCCATGCCTGCCTTATTTTATAGCCTACCATATGAAAGCAATTAACATGTCATTTTTGAAATAGAAATAGCACCCGATGGGCTTTTTGAGGAGAATTACAGCTGTGGGGAGGGAGAAGAGTCGTAGTCCTTCCTCTCCTATCATGATCCCAGAGACATCAAATAAGAACCCCAGCTGATCTTAGTTCCAGAAAGGAAGCTTCCATTCCTCTGTAGTGACCCCCAAATCATATTAAAATGTTACAAAACTGACTTGAATGGGGTGTTTGCAGACTTTTTCAATGGTGTTTCAAATATACACGATTTCACTTAAACGCACAATGCCTTGGAATGTCACCCCCACATAAATTGGGAGCTGCCTGTATTGTGTATCACTGCAACTCAGGAGAAAAACCCTCTAGTGAAAGGTTTACAGAGCAAAGCATAAAGTGGGGAGAAACCACAAAAGGAAAGGAACAAGCCACAAGAATTGGGGCAAGATGAAGCATTGAGAAGGGAAAACCAAACATGATTACAAGTTCCTCCAAATAAAAGTCATATACAGTACTTGGATGAGAGTGTCTGTCTGTGTGACTGCCTATAAATATATGTCACAAAGAGGCACTAGTCAATGGTAAAGTGCCCTGGGTTGCCAGTGCCTCTTGTAACCTGAAGTTCATGCACGATCTTTTCAGAAAAAGGTCTTCTTGAACCAGTTGTCCAGTGTGAAACTTGAGACCATGTACACCAGCCTTGTCTGCTCTGGCTGGCAGCAGTTCTCCAGGGGTGCAGGTGGATTCCCACCCACCCCCCATCATCTGCAACGTAGGAGACTGCCTTATATTGAGTCAGACCATCTATCTCAGTGTTAAATCCACACAGCAGCTCCCCAGGGGCATTCAGACAGTGATCTTTCTCAGTCTTACCTGGAAATGCCAGCGATTGAATTTGAGACTGTCTGCATGCAGAGTTTGTGCTCTATTAAGGAGTCCCAGCCCTTCCTTAAGCTGTTTGGAACAGAGAAAGCTACTTGATTCTTTTAAAGCAAGGGGAGAAGAAGAGTCCACAATTTCATGCCAGGATGTATTGGCCTTTGAACTTTTTTTTTTTAATTATTCACAAACTATAATGGTGGTGGTAATAATACTAATAATGATGAATTTCTTGGATCCCACCCATCTGACTTGGTTGCCACAGTTACTCTGGGTGGCTTCCCACAATAACAGCTGTTATTTATCTCTTGTGGCCAGGATATCGGTGTGTTTGACTACTATAAAGACCTAATTTCCTTTAGAATATGCGGAGAACCTTATCATCTGATGAGGTTCATTGATCCTAAAGAGGTAAGGGTTAGATTGAAGAGGATCATTGTTTTAACTTCACTGTTTCACTACTAACTGTCAACTATTATTTATTTATCTGTTATTCATGCATAATAGTATTTATACACTACCCTCTTGCAAAACTCGGGGGGGGTTACAACAACATAAAAATACTTAAAAGCGATACATAGCAATTATTAAAATGGCTGACTACTCAAGAAAGGTTTTAGAGAGCTACATACTATAGACCTGTTGACAGTAAATTATCATACCAATAATTAACTGTGTCTGTTGCTATGAAACACTCAGTTTTGACTCCAGTAGACACATTTAATGTGCTTTGACATCACAATCCTATAAGTATTGCTATATGTATCCTATATGTATTCCTGCACTGCAGGGGGTTGGACTGGATGCCCTTCTCTTCCAGCTCAACAATTCTATGATACTCTGAATCTTTGTATGTTCAGTGGAGCTTACCTTCAGGTATGTAGGTACAGAACTGCAGCCTTAGTGTGCTGAAAGTGAGTTTTGCAAATCAATATTTAAAAACCTGTTTGCCTACCTGCCTGTCCTCCTTTTCCCCCCTGCCTCATCTTGCTAGCCATAATTTTGAGATCTCCATGAAGCAGTCAGTTTATATAATTTTAGATTAATTGTTCCAGCCAAATTTCTGCAGGTAATTAGGTATAGGATTGCAGCTCCTTAATGCGCTATAAACTAGGTTTGCAAATAATTATTGTTAACTGGCTAGAACAGCAACAACAACAAAGCAAAGCAGTAATCAAGATTTAAGAGAAATAGGGAGCTAAACAAGAGTCTACAACCCAAAAAGCTTAGACATATCTGTTCTCCAAGGGTCTCATAACAAACAAGATGCCATAATTATTTTCCTTTGGTTACAGGCAGGATTTATAGATGCTGCAGCAGGGATTCATATAAGATTCAGACTAGGTGGGGTAAGTATAACTTAGATTAGGGGTGGGGCATCTCAGGCCCAGGAACCAAATGTGGTCTTCCAGACCTCTCTGCCTGGCAATCTCCCTGGGTCACTCCATTTCTCCCCAGGCTTGTTTTGCATGACACCTCCAGTGTTTTCACCTGCCTGGAATGTATTCTTGAACTCTGCTAATGCCCCTTGCTTGTCTGGATGGAGAATAGTATGGCAGTATGTATGGCAATTAGTCTCCTGCACAAAGATAAGATTGTGGTTCATTGCTCTGCCCACAGCTGGCATGTGGCCCTAGGAAGATTGCTGTGAATGGAATGAGGCCCCCAGGCTGAAAAGCATTCCTCACCCTTGGTTTAGATGAATGTCAAAAGTGCAAATGATACCTAAACATCTTAAGGTAAAGGTAAAGGGACCCCTGACCATTAGGTCCAGTCGTGACCGACTCTGGGGTTGTGGCGCTCATCTCGCTTTAGTGGCCAAGGGAGCCGGCGTACAGCTTCCGGGTCATGTGGCCAGCATGACTAAGCCACTTCTGGCGAGCCAGAGCAGCGCACAGAAACACCGTTTACCTTCCTGCTGGAGCGGTACCTATTTATCTACTTGCACTTTGACGTACTTTTCAACTGCTAGGTGGGCAGGAGCAGGGACCGAGCAACGGGAGCTCACCCCGTCATGGGGATTCGAACTGCCAACCTTCTGATCGGCAAGTCCTAGGCTCTGTGGTTTAACCCACAGCGCCACCCACGTCCCTAAACATCTTACATACTTTATATTGCATATTTTGAAGTCTGTTAAATGTAAATTAATAAAATTGAGATTTTCAGACTCTAATACTCTCCCTAGAAAAGTAATCTTCATCTACATGGAAAGCTAATACATCAGGGAGAAGGATTTTATCTTAGCAATTAAATGGTCGACCTGGGAAGATGAGTCCTACATGTTATTTCTGCTCATTTGAATTAAATACCTGTAAAAATTGCTTTCTGTTCTCCAGTCTGTCAAATGCAAATGATAATGAGTTCCATCATAGGCCCTAAATGTAAGTTTTAGGGAAATGCAGAATCCAGTCTGCTTCCAGTTCTGAGAGGAACTAAAATTAAGGGCCATTTACGACAACCAACAGAGAATTAAAAAAAATAACAATAACACTTTTTTTTAAAAGTGCAGTAGTCAATAATCAAGTTTCTCATTTTTAAATTGTATATGTCTCTGCAGGTGAAGTTTCCTCCATGTGTATATTACAAGATATTTACCCACAGACCTGTTGTGGATCTATGTGCAAACAGTCCCAAAGACTACGCAAAGCTAGCAGCCAAGTCAAGGCAACGACGAAGTTTCCAGGAAGCAAGCTTTGACGATCACAGGGATTGGTACCAACGCATAGAGAATAATGGCTGGAGACTCCTTTCCAACAGAGTAATAAAATAAAAGCATTTTCATCTGCTGCGTCATTCTCAAATACCAGCAAAGCTAATTTATATGACATGACAAGGTGCCTGGTGGTGCTGATATACCTGTAGGAGCCTCTCCACCCCCATCATTCAGACCGGACACTGAGGTCCAGCTCCGAGGGCCTTCTGGCGGTTCCCTCACTGCGAAAAGTGAGGTTACAGGAACCAGGCAGAGGGCCTTCTCGGTAGCGACGCCCGCCCTGTGGAATACCCTCCCATCAGATGTCAAGGAGAAACAACTATCTGACTTTTAGAAGGCATTTGAAGGCAGTCCTGTTTAGGGAAGTTTTTAATGTTTGATGTTTTATTGAATTTTAAAGATTTTGTTGGGAGCTGCCCAGATTGTCTGGGGAAACCCAGCCACAAGGGCGGGGTATTATTAATAATAACTATTATTATTATTATTATTATTATTATTATTATCATCACTAATCAGGCTGCAACATTCAGGTTCTGATTGTGGGCTTCCCATGGGCTTCCCTGGTTGTCCCCTATGAAATCAGGATGTTGGACAGATGGGCTCTTCTCGTGTTCTGAAAAGTCCAGTTAGCTAAAATTACTGTTCTAACTGGGGATGGGGTTTTAACTTGGGTTTGTGTTGTTTTATTTATTTTATTTAAATTATTTTAAAATGTCAATTTGGATTTTTGTATTTGTGGGCTGGGGGTTGTTTTGGGGCTTTTGTTGGGGAGTGTATTTTTTATTAGTTTGTATACATTAGAATTGCTTATTGTTTTAATTATTTTTATTACGTATTTTGTGCTTTTGTATTGAAACTTTTATGTTGTGAACCCACCTGAGACCGGTGGGTATATATACAATTTTAATGAGAATAAAGGGAGAAAGCTCTAGGAGAGTGTCCTAGAGTATCACAAGGAAGTACAAGTGAGTATACCATTCGGATTTGAGTTTTCTGCAGCCAGTAGCGAGTTCAACAGATTGTGGAGTACAAATAGGGTACCACATGTATACCTCTGGTACACTAACAGATTATAATGTGGCAGTGGCGGCAGCAATGCTTTTATTTATAAAGATATTTACATACTGCCAACCCATACGAAACATCAAAGCGATGTACAACCGTATATAAAAGTATAATGAAACATAAAACACCATAGAAACAATTAGGGAAAAACCATCATTAAAATGACTGGCTAACCAAGAAATAGCTGCATAGATATGTCAGCATAAAAAGATCTTCAAAGAGATGCTTGAAAGTCAGTAGTGAGGCTGCTATTATTAGTAAGCTGCTTCCTTCCTGGGAACTTGTAAGAGCACCAAATTAGGAAGTGCCTGGGATGGCTTAATTAAGTTGTAGGGAAGAGCAGGAGGGGAAAAAAATACGTTCCCATGTATTGGAGTTCTTGTGCTGATATGTATACCTGAGGAGGATGTCTGTATGAATCGATGTCAGCAAATGCCAACTATTTTTTGCCCTGCATGTCTGAGGCCTTGGTTCCCATGTTTTACCAGGCAGCATGGATCTTTCTGGAGTTAAGAGACTACCAGAACACCTAAGATGACAGCAAGGCTAAACTCTGTGGTAGCATCCTCTATCCTCTGTATTACAACAAACACAACCATTCTCTGATGTTCCTCTGCCCTTGCAAGCAACTGTCAGTTAAGCGGAGCATGGGCAAGAAGAACTGAAGCTCATTGATTTTATTTTTATTTTGCTTCACTACAAAACAAGAGGGGGAGAGGCAAGGAAGTTACATTTCGGTGGCTGTACAGGAACAGCAATATCCTCTGCAGAGCTGTGTGTGACCAGGAAATTCATATATAGTGGTACCTCGGGTTACATACGCTTCAGGTTACAGACTCCGCTAACCCAGAAATATTACCTTGGGTTAAGAACTTTGCTTCAGGATGAGAACAGAAATTGTGCTTTGGCGGCGCGGCAGCAGCAGGAGGCCCCATTAGCTAAAGTGGTGCTTCAGGTTAAGAACAGTTTCAGGTTAAGAACGGACCTCTGGAACGAATTAAGTACTTAACCCGAGGTACCAATGTAGAGACAGTGGCATAAATGGAGAAAGAAGGAGGTTAGCATTGACAAGGGTCAGAAAATTATTACGCATTTGTAACAGTTTGTGAAAAAATGTGTTTCAGTTTTGGAAGGGCATGGATCCCTTAACTGCTAAAGACAACATCCGAATAAAGGAATTCCACTACTGCAAGGTGCAGAAGAAACAAGCTGTAGAAAGAAAAAGAAAAAGAAGAAAAATAGAGTGGCTGAAAAAAATGTGAGCTTCTGCAGGTTTGAAGTGCTGTACATAACAGTGAACTGTTTTAATTTTATCTTCTGAATAATTTTATTACCATTCATACAGTTGTCATGATAAAGGCCTCCTCCTTCAGGCACTATATTCATTGGCCAACTAGACACAGTTTGCTATAAATCATAGGTTAAAAAGTTCCATCGCTTTTGCTGGCTCATTTCGGCCCCACCAAGCCCAAAGCATCCTGCCAGCCAAGTAGGGTGGCCTTCTGGGATCTTAATAAAACACCTGTGTTTACTGTGTTGGAAAATGCCTGAAATGGAAAAACAGACAGCAGGTGATGCACTTTGAAGTCACAATTGTGCTGCCGATTAAACTTCTGAAAACCAGTGATTTAAAGAACAGCAAGGGGATTTTACAACACAGAGGTTTTACAACATAGTCCTGTTTGGCTCTTGGAACCTCTGCTTTTTGGAGGTTTGAAAAGCAGAGATGGGGAGGGAGAAGGGCTTTCCATTCAATGGAAACTGCTTCAGCCTCCCACTGCCAATGGGCAGGTACAAGCATGTCTTGCTCTCCTGCCAGCTGTCCGTACTGTAAGGGAAATGAGCTCAGAGGGAAACTACATGCAAAAAGAAGAGACACTGGTTTATCAAAAGGTGATCAGTTGACAAGACAGTCCTGGTGATAACACAATCCCCCGGCCTTGGTGTCACATGTAGTGTGAGAAAATCTGCGCTTTCCACTCAAGCAACAGGTGAAAGAATTGAATTGCCTGATAAATTTTAATTCAGCAGTTTCATCCTGGAACTTCCTTTTAAAGTTCCTTTGTTCAAGGATGGCCATCTTAGGATCCGATATAGAGGTGTCCTGAGAAGTTTAAACTTGTTACTTTCCAGGTATTAACATGAACTTTCAGTGTTCAGAAAGTAGCAGAAAACTAGCAACCTCCTAGGGTGTTTACATTGTCATGAACACTGCCTTGTTGGTGGTTCACTGCTTTTAGGCAGTTGTCACTGCCCTTTTTGTGTTAAATCTCCATCTAACCCCCTCTCCCTTTCATGTATGATAGCCAGTTTAGGATTGCTTTTCATGCATATGAAGATTTGATGCCATAGTTAATGCATTAGCCTTTAAGGTACCACAGGACACAGTTATTTTTGCTACCCCTTTGTAAAATGAAACGTCTGCTCCTGTTTCCTAGGTACTTTGGCGAAAGCCTGCAAACTAAAACTGAGGACACAAATGCAACAGTATTAATTCAAAGAGCAGCAGAAGGGTTAATCAACACTCTGAAGGATGAGGGGATAGATAACGTAATGGAATGGGAAGTGGATGAATTGCTGAAATGGACAAATGCACTCAACTACGAAGAGTAATTTGACTTTTTATTCTTCATCCAAGTCTTAATTATTTATTGTCAAAAAGGCTGCTCTTATTTTTAAATATCCAGGTTATGTGTTAATGGCAGCATAGTGCCATATTACCATATTACCTATATTTCAAAGCATTAAGCCATTCCGGGGAGAGTGTTTCTGCTAACCTCTGTTCCATTTTACTGAATGGACTTTGTTGTCCCTAGGTATGTTAAGGAATGGAAAGAAATTGGAACAAGCAGGATTTCCAGCTGCATCCAAGGTAAAGGACCTCTGCCTCTTTCTGGCAAATCTCCATGTAATTTTCCAGCATGGGAGACCCAATTGACACACAGTGCTGGCAGAATAGCTGTGTTGCAGCTACCTGCATGCTGGTAACATGATTCCTGTTAATTTACAACCAAAGCAGAGTCTTTCTCTAAAGTGAATGGCTGTGGATAGAAGTAGCATGAATCGTGTGAGCAGATCTAGTTATCACCTTACCAACCTAATTGTTTGGGTTGAGAGCTAAGTGATAGCCGCACGGACTGTATAATGCATTATTTGGATCTGTTTTGCATTTTTCTTCAAGAATCTTCACTTCATTAAGTGTTTGCACAGTAGAAGTTGCTGCATGCATCTGCATTTCACAGCTGGCTCTAAAATTCATTCTCTGAATTTCATGAAACATGTTAATGCCTAAATTTCAGAGGTATTGAAGAATGTGTGTAAAGAACATTGCTTAGAGAATTTTTGCTTAGATTTATTGCATCTTCAGTAACCTCACTGTTGTCGTATGGTAAAGAGAAAACAGTTCTGTCCCAGTTAAGAAGTGAAGTATGGAATTTGAGGGAATTCTGTGGCATTGTACCAATTAAGGGTGTTAACTAGTTCAAAAGGCATGTTTTTTCTAGTTATGTTTGCTGTTTGGTTTGGTTATATTATTCAAAATGTAATAACTGACATTATTGTCAACATATTACTACTGACACAGAGTGACTGTTCTGCAATTCTGTATAAATGCAGAAAAAGTGCTGAGCTTGGCAGCAGGCAAGGAATCTTAACAGCATGTAAAACCGCAAGTAATTCTATAAGACTACTCAGAATTTCATAGCAGAGTTGAAATTTGAATGGAGTGCATCCCAACTAATAGCTCTTACTACTGTAACTGCTGTTTAACATCATCTACGAATAAACTTCTGAACACAACGTTCCATTTGAAATAGTCATTTAAAATGCATTTCTTAAATTTCAATTCTGATCTTTAGGTTTCCAGTTTACTGACAAACCAATCATCTCTTTGGAATTGAATGAGATACCAAACACCATCAAGCAACTAGTAGAGTCACAAATGCATTCGGATAAAAAGAGTCAGCGCAAGGTAAACACTTCGTACAGTTCAGTGGCAAAACTCACCTGACAGCTCTACAAGCAGCAGCTACAGCAGCAGCAAAACAAAGCTTCAGAAGACAGATAAGCAACAAAGAACCTGCATGTTGAAAGATAAGTAGCTATCTCTGTGTACTTGTGTATTTCGCAGCCTTATTTGTCCTGGCACATTAACACAAAATCCAAAAGTATTTTAAGTCAAACCTTATTCCAGTATTGTGGTGAAGCACATTGAATAAAGGAGTTGCTTCTGGAAATGCAGATACTGTTTTAAACTTGTATGTCTACTAGCTGAAAGTGCCTGGTGTTGCCCAGACATTCTAAGGACCCTCAAAATAGTGAGATGTATGAACAGGTAGTCAGTTGTTTGTTTTAGAGCCGAGCATAGCAGATACCCCCCCCCCCCACTCCCTGCAGTCCAGGGGACCTAACCCAGATCCGTGTCAGGTCTGCTTGGTCCCCCCATTGTCATCTCACACACCCCCAGCAACATCACTGCCCATGTCCCCACTGGGCACGGCTCAGGCCCCAGATGTACCCACCAACAATGCCATCTTGTCCCACTCTATGGCTGCTGTTGCTGCATTGTTGGAAACTTGCCTCACTTGCCACCTTGCCAAAAAAAATCCCAACGCCTGCATCAACGGTTGCCATTGCTTCTTGGGCCATTAATGGATGACGAGAAACTGTCCAACCACTGGCACTGAGATAACATGGGTGGATGGGAAGTAACTAGTCCTGCCCCCCCCCCCAAGTCCTGGGAATCTCTGTGGCCTCAGACACGCTCTTTTCAGTTCTGCTACCTTACCAAGCATTTGTTCTTGGTTAGCAGTTTGTGGTTTGTCTGGAGACCAGTCCCATGCTCCCATATGGATGCCACTGTTGCTCAGCTCACAGCAGTAGGACTAAAGGAGTAAAGTAGTCACAGTCTCCCTCTGCTCTGAGAGTACTGTTCTAAACCATGGTTTGGCTTACTGCTCAGTTTTTCTATACTACTATATTTAGTCTCTTACAGGACAAATGTAAAAAAGATTTTGGAGACAATACTTGTCTATAACAGCATAGCTTTATTTCACATACAAGAGTTTTGTCACTAGCTTTTGAGCTCTACAGGATTCTTGTCAGGATCCGGTGGATGTTATTACCCATTTTGTAGTGAATCAATACTCCAATAGCACAGAATGCAATACCAAGTACATAAACAAATTGTTTCCTTCCATGGCAAACACATGCCAGAAACTATTACTGAAAGGTAAATACATGTTTTCATATATCTTAAACTTACTTAGTGTTTATATTCATTTATAGTGCCCCTTTTCCCTCCCAAGGATTACATAATCAGTGGTGGGGATAAAAGAGCAATTTACATTTTTAAAACAGTAACACAACCATTAGAAATTGAATGCATGTTGTTTAAACACAAAATATTGGATAAAGCCACTATTTCCATGATAGAAAACAGGTTAAAAAAAATATATCATTTTTCACATGGTAAGATTTTGCTAGCTAAGAGTAACAAAAATAATATATTTTTGAAAACTGAAAATTCAATTATCAGCATTTACAAAAACCAAAAGGGTACCCAGATTATTACAATGAATAGTTAATAGATCTATTTTCTTAAGGCAAATAATTGCAGCCATCAGTAACAGTAATCTATTGTGAGTTTACACTGTGCATATGATTTTTAATTCTTCTACGTATTTTTCTTCCCAGTTTTGATATGGAGCCTTGTTTTGGGCAATGTACTTGTCAGCTTTAAGTCTAATGTATCATTTCATAACACTTCAGTTTCTTGTCTCCAGGTTTAAAGCAATGGAAAACTTTGTGCACCTTCCATATGCCATAGATCAGGGACTTCTAAATGTTAGTTATCTAGCATGGATAGTGATCATGGTTGGCACACACTTGTAGCCTCCTGTCAGTGTTGTGGCGCCCTCTTGGTGAAGTACATTGCATAGCAGCAAAACAAGGGGACCACTGTGCGCATTCCACTATCAGTTCTGATGATTTTAAATACAGCAGGAACAAAGTTCTCTTGCGTTGCAGCAACATTTTCTACTCATTAAGACCAACCCCGCATTTTCACACCCAGGCTTTCCACCCTGGAAAGAGGCGGCTGAGATTCTTTGGGTCCCTGGCTTGCTGTATGAGAAGGTTCACCTGACCTCCTACACTGAGCACTGTCCCCTCTTCCACACCTTTAAGCTTCTCCTGAAGTCGCATCAGAACACGCTCTGCCACTTTATTAAACGTCTGGTTATCACTGTTGAGAATTAAAAAAAGTAAGAAAATATAAATTGCAGAGCCTCGCAGATGTTCATGTTAGTCACAACCCCCATCCCCGGTAGTGATTTCTTACTTTGATTTTTTGTTACATCCCTGATCAGCACCATTGAGACTTGAGTTGATGTCTGTCTCATCCTCTGGCCTTTGCTGCAAATACAAAGCTTTCAAGGGATTCATGGTCCAGTCAAAAAGTGGGTCATACAGAAGCACCTGTAAAACAAGGCAAAAATATGTATCTAAATGAAGCTAGCTCAATGCCCTAAAAAGGCAGGCAAATAAAGATTCCATGTTTGTAGGAGAATCTTTAGACTGGCAATGTTGTTCAGCATGTGAATTAAATGTTAAGATTTGGTCCCATCTTGGTAATAAAACATTTCCATTATTTTAGCAATTGGGCAGTTATAAATGTTCTGTCAACAGCAAATACAGCTACAATGAATCTGCTTTTTGAAATACAGAAACTCCTTGTAGAGTTTCCTCTAAGCTGTTTGGGGCCACCTGATAAATGGTAACCTCTAGGTTGAACTACCATAGTGTGTGATTTGTAAGACTGTCTTCACACAGTGTGAATACCAACTGTTCAAGACAGCAGTGGCTAGGTTGCTAATGGAAACTGGGTAGAAAACATCCTACAACTGTGTTAAAATATTTACTAAGGGTGGGACAGAATTCAGGGCCCTTAATGCTGATCTCAGGATTCTGGTTGGTTCATATATGCATGGACATTCCCTGAGAAAATAAGGTTCTAGGCTGCTTGGGGTTTTAAAGGTTAACTGCACCACTTCAAAACAAACTGGTAACCAGTGTAATTTGTGTTGTACTACATGCTGGGAGTCTTGATCCCAAGCCATCCTTCATGTGCAGATGTGTGTGCATGCATGCCACATGCTGGGGCTTGATCATGCCCTCAAATTTAAATAATTTCAGTTGTGTGTTCAAATGGGCTCATATGTCAGTCTAACATCTTTTCCTTCCTTAAAACATTCTGCTCCCTTGAAACAGAAAAGGTTCAGAGCTGCATTACAATATTTCAGTAAATCTCCTGTGACAAGTTATAAGTGCTTAAAATATTTATAAACTTTTCGTGCGCCTAACAGTTTAGAATGTTGAAGCAAACTTTTGCACTAGGAGCTGCCACAGTTTAAATGCCAAAGAAGTTTATGAAAGTTTTTAAATACAACCAATACCTTTCAGCTTTTCATCGACAGCCACCAAAAAAAGGCTTACCTCTACAATAGTAAGCAAAGCTTCTTGGGAATTTCTCATAACCACCATAGTTTTTTCACAGCATCTAGAAGATATTTTCAGAACAGTTTTCTAAATTATTTTCCACTAATAGTTTCAATACACAACAGCATTTTGTTTTTTATAACTAATGGCAGTGTTTCTTACTGGGTCTCATTAGACCAAAAATAAAAATGTAACGAACATGGTTTTCACTGGTTTACACTACAAGCTTGTTCAAAAAGCTGAGCTGGTGGAATTCTATTGTAACTTTAACAGTGAAATGCTTAAGAAGCAACTGCAGTTATATACTATACCTCCTGAAGACTCCTTCTACACCAGTGATGCCCATTCCATCCACTATATCTCTTGTTAGCCTGAAAGGTATGATCTCTGGGGTAGGAAGGATTTTGCCCTGCTCAAAAGCAACACCTGGCAGAGGAAAAGAGAAATGCAACGTTTTTAAAAGGGTTATATATACACAAAATAATAATATATGATCCCTTGTGTTTATACATACCTAGATCAATGTGCACGAGTTCTGCGCTTTGCTCATCTAACAGAATATTCTGTACATGTCTGTCTCCAAGACCAAGTATGTAGCCAACTGAAAGAAGGAAGTCTCAAAATGAACCCAGAAGCCCTTGCCTACATTTCATTTTTCCCCTTTATACATATAACTCACAGCTTCTCTCTCCATTTATTTATTCCCCGCCCAACAGGTTTTCCTTGCTTGTAAGGTTCTGAGAAGGTCTATTCTCCTTTTCCAACCACAGTCTACCATGTTGCATTAAGTGCTACTCTGGAAGGTCCCCTAATCTTCAGCAATGGTTTTTCAAGAGGAACAAAGAACTGGTGGGAGGATTGAAATGCTTGGGAACATGCCTAAGGATAGAAAATACACCTGAGTGCGGCTCCCTCTCTTTCTCCCATTCACAAAATAAATTAATCCCATGTAGTGCTATGTCACAGTGCCAGTACACTCATGCTGCCATCTTATATTTAAAGCAGCTACTGTACACTTTTGGGCAGCATAAACCATACCATTTTTAATGATAGTTTACTTTTTAATTATTAAATAGATTAAATCTCAGTAAACTTTCACACATGGGTGCATTTTGAAGATGCCAAAACAAGTGGGAGGTGATTCACAGTTAAGTCAACAAAGAAACGAGTAACATTGGCATTTCATTCCCAGTCAGCTATACACCTGAATGAAAATACCTATAGAAAAGAAAGCAGCCCTCTAACTGCGCCAAAACTATCAGCCCCAACAATTAAAACTTGTCCCCTGTGATCAAAATCTATGTACTATCAACTAAAGCTCATGGAGCACCTTGGAAGAGGAGGACAAAACAGCAAGAGTCATTACATTTTAGTTATTAAATAGATTAAGACCTTTAGCTCTTGTTGAAACAAAACACTATTTTCAATTTGTCTTTATAGTTAGAAAATTATTATTGAAGTGTGCAAAAAACCAGCCCTATTTTTACAGTACCTATTGATGAAGTAGCAACACTGCGAGTATATGCCAGCCGTTTCTCAAACCATACTGCTGGATCAAGAAATTTTTCCATGCAGAAATAACGAAATACAGGTTGAAAATTCTGACATACATCCATAAAGACGTTATATTTCTCCTCAGGATTTTTCCTTTGGGTCTCCTTCAAAGTAAACCATAAACAATTTAAAGATGGGTGTGAAAAATACTTTTGTTGCTTATGTACAGCTATATTTGCAGTGAGAACACAACACATAACATTTATGAAACACCTGCCCTTCAAAATACCAATAGATGTGCAACCATTGGGCAAAACTGAAGTGAAGTGTAGCAAAGTGGACAGTGTGCTGGCTTAAGGGTGGGGGAGATAAAGGCTCAAATCCCTGCCTAACCTATAAAGTTCACCAGTTAACTCTGGGTCAGATATTATCTCTCACCTGAACTGACAATGGGAGAAGGGAAGCCTGGATGGTTTACTATGAATGCACTTCCTCTGGAGGAATGAATGGGGGATCCATCCATGAATGGGTGAAGCCCTTCTTCCACCAGGAGAGGCACATGCAACTATGTGATAAGCTTCTGAAGATCTACGCTCAAGCGAGTATAGAAAGATCTGAGGAGTTGAAATGTCCCCTAATGTAGGGGTCTAGGCTTGTGAAACCGAAGTCAGTCCCTTGGAACAAGGTCCGATACAGACTAAGAAAATTGAAGCTCTGGCTGTCTTTCGAGTGTATGTGTATGAAGGTTGAATGCTGGCACCAGGGAAAAGTCTCTTTCACCCCTTTCACATAAAGTACCCAAGCTTCCTTTCTCTGGATGGCATTAAGGAGGATACGACCCATGGATGGGATGCTCTCTATCTAGCTAGGTCATGTAGGGTGGGTAGTGCCAGACCTGGAATATAGAAGGAGGATAGAATCTGTAGAATTCTCCTGTCAAAAGTTGCTTCTGTTGAACCTAAAGTATCTAACCTGTAGTTTTGGTGAAGGTAGATGGAGACTTCCAAGTGGCTGTCCTGCAAATTTTGGACAGTGGGGCATTAGCGGAAAGTGTTTGGGAGGGCAGTTACTGGTTTGTGGGTGTTTTGTTTTTGATTTCTTAAAATGTATTTTGTGCTTTTTTATTTATGTTGAAGGGCGGTATACAAATTTGATAAATAAACAAATAAAGCGAAGTAGACAAAAGACCTGGTGAAATGTGCTGTGACGTAGCTAGGCCATAAAATCCTGTAATAATTTTATCCTCTTTCTTGTGGCAGCTGTGAAGCTGCCAATAGCCTTTCACTGGCAGACCCACTCCCCATTCACGATGAAAGGTTATTGGGGAAAGTGTGGGATTTGACTTCTTACAGATGTGAACACATCAAAACAGATTGTATGGGTGGGTGTGATGAGAACAGATGATTTTGTGGTGAGTGTTCATAGCCTTAATCAAAAATAAGGAATATACCGCTAGACACAGCAGATCATGCTTGGGAAGGATTTGCTTCTGACTCACCATCATTTTCCTTTGGCAATCTACGCTACTATAGTCCTTTGGCCTATATCGTTTGTGAGCACTGCTGTCAGTATTGATGAGGAATTCACCCAGAGGAATCGTTCCTGTACACCACTCTAAGACACCGCTTCTCTGTGAAAGGGGAACCACCTTAAGGAATAAGCAGACGTATTAGCTGTCATGATTAACCAGTGCTAATTCAAATCAGATTCCTTTGTAACCTTAGTTTGAAAACCCATTTTGGAATCATGGGTACAATCTCTAGTTTACATTGGAAAATGCCCTGTGGAAAGTGAAATAAAATCCCGAGAGAGAGAGAGAGAGCGCACACATGTATTTATAACACTAGCTCCCAGTTTTCAAACTAGTTTGGCAAGGAGAGGAGATGTTGTGAGAGCAACAAGGTTTGTGTGCAGAAGCTCCAACATTCAGCAGAATCTCAGGTAGTAGCTGCTGTGGAAAAACTTTGCCCGAGTCCCTAGAGAGTCACTGCCATACTGAGCTAGATGAAGCAATGTTCTGTCTTGATATAAAACAATTTTTTTATGTTGGAGATGAAAGATGGGCGCTCAGTGGCAGAGCATGTGAGGTGCATGTAGAAGGTCCTAGATTCAATTCCTGTCACCTCCAGCTTAAAAGATCTCGAGTAGTAAGTCCTAAGTGCCACTTTCAGAGCTAAATTCAGTAATTATCAGAGCCTATATAAAGGAAGCTTCTTTGGCTGATGAACCCACATCATGTCTGCAACAGGCTACTTTGATGGAACAAGAGCAAAACTTGCCTTATATCTGCGGATAGTCAATTTTCTCTTTCTGGTTTCAGTATTTTGCTGAAGCAGAGCATTGCACATCTGGAAAACCTGCTGCATGACAGCATCCTGTCTCAGGTCATCACGGCCCTTTAAGAGATACAAAAAAGGCAATGGTATAGAAATGGCATCTGCTGAACACTACAACAACTTTATGTTATTTATATTTATTTGGAAGTGAGGGAAACTTTTATTCAAAACAAGTATGCAAAGTACTGTAGACTTAAGCAACAGGAAAAGTATCCAGACAATTGTATCCAGTACAAACTGTCACTTTATACTTTGTCTTCTGGGATCACTCAGAAGTTTTGAAATACATTGTACATTTAGTAAATAAGTAAATATATATTTAGAAATGTGTAAGAACGTACTTCCATTCATCCCTGCATCAGGCGCTTATAAATTTCCCACGGTTTTACTTTACAGCAGCTCAGTATTTTCAATACAGAGAAATAAAACGTATCAACTTCCACCAAAGGCAAGGTTCACACCACAGAACATGGCATAAGTTAAAAACCCAATATTCTACATTCAATTTACAAGTCTCATGGTTTTTAAATCAAAAAAGACACCTCTCTAGCACGTGCAACACACAGAACTTACCTTGACAAGTTGCCTCCTCTCTTTCCCATCTGATCCAACACAGTCTATTATTTTTGGTAGATTAAGGCCTCCTGCTAAGCGAAATTCTGGCTTGAATGACCTTATTGTAACCAAATTTTCATACTTCCCACTTGGATCCACCTAAAATCATAAATACATTTAGGCGCTGCTGTATCATGTTCACCACAATATTACATGTTCACTACAGTACTGATAGCCATTTCTCTGTCTGCTAGAATGAAACATGTGCAGGTTACAGACTCCGCTAACCCAGAAATAGTACCTCAGGTTAAGAACTTTGCTTCAGGATGAGAACATAAATCTTGCTCCGGCGGTGCGGCAGCAGCGGGAGGCCCCATTAGCTAAAGTGGTACCTCAGGTTAAGAACAGTTCAGGTTAAGAACAGACCTCCAGAACGAATTAAGTACTTAACCCGAGGTACCATTGTAATCCCCGCTAATATGACTATGTAAGGATTATTACTGAGATAAACCAGTTTCATTTACCTTGATTTCCATGGTGGGTACAACAACATCATCTAGATTCTTTAGCTTGGTGATAGGTTGATCAGAAGGGATATTTATGCCTCCTGCATAAACAACACACAAATTACCTTAAATGCCATTACTAACATTTGTTGCTATATGAACTCCTGCACACTGGACTTCAAACAATGATGAAACTTTCTAACATGTCTCTGATATTACAGAAATTATTCTAGATTTTCTAGTGTGGTGCCATCTACCCCTTTGCCTTTCCACTGTGTATCAGACCTTCTCTACTATTTTAACTCTTTTTAATATATCTAATTGTACTATAAATATTACATTGTAAATTGGCCCGTGCCCAAATACCAAAATAACCAGAGTACTGCCAATTTGCTCTGTGGCAAAGGCTGTTACAGATACCTGCACAAATTGGATACAGTTCACTGGCTAACAAATATCATTACAGTGGTACCTCGGGTTACATACGCTTTAGATTACAGACTCTGCTAACCCAGAAATAGTACCTCAGGTTAAGAACTTTGCTTCAGGATGATAAAATAAATCGCACGGCGGCAGCGTGGCGACAGCGGGAGGCCCCATTAGCTAAAGTGGTGCTTCAGGTTAAGAACAGTTTTAGGTTAAGAACGGACCTCCGGAACGAATTAAGTACTTAACCCAAGGTACCACTGTATAGAATATAAATTGCACAGTTAATTTACTCTCAACAAAACATCCTGGAGAAGCAAAACAATATTTTTCAGCTATTTATTACACAGTATGAAACTGAAGGATTATTGTTGATTTTCAACTCCCACCGCAATTATCCCCATTTTCCATATTCTTACTTCTCTCTGACTTCCAGGGAGTTGCGTCCATGTTTGCTAAAGTGATATAAGCATTGCAGAGGGCTTCGACATTTGCCACCATATCAGCTCTTTCATGCTTGATGATGCTAATTATATTGCTAGCAGCTTCCATCCGTTCCTATCGGTTGAAAAAAGAATACTGGTAAAAGCGAGTGTTTTACTTACAATCTGTTGTTGTTTAGTCGTATCCGACTCTTCGTGACCCCATGGACCAGAGCACGCCAGGCACGCCAATCTGCAATCTACTTTAGATTACAATCTACAATCTACTTTAGATTAAAACAATTCAGAGCTCTGACAACAAAGGAAGCATTAGGAAACTGGGCCAACTGCTGGTGGGTAACTTTACTGCAGCCCTGACATTATGAAAAACAGGCCCCAGCTACAATACTGTCCATGCAAACACAAGACACTTCCCGCTCCCCCAGCCTAAAGCACCCCAGAAGCAGGTGAATGAAAGTACCTTGTCAAGTTGAGAAGTTTCTTTTGGTGTGTTTTTTGTTTGCCTGCTGCTTGCTGCTTCCGGCTTTGCGAAGAGTTCATCCTTGTTGGCATTCACCAATGCCAAGATTATAAACAAAGTGTGATGTGGATGGTCCAGAGAAATTCTAGCTATAAGCTGTTAAGAAATATATTTATTTAAAGAAAAGTTATACAACTAGCATTCTTACTCTGTGATCTGCATATTAAAGCAAGCATCAAAGGTTCAGCAGCAATGCTTAATGATTCAGTTCTATACTGGACTTCATATTTCATATTTCTGTACTGAACTTCATATTTCAAATGCTATTTCTATTTGAATGCGACAATAAACCACGTTTCAGCACTATGTGAATGAGCTTCAATGAATTAATCTGGGTTGAAGCCTGGCCATGGGGCAGAATTGTTCTTGCAGGCCCTAATGGATGACCTACAGAGAGTAGGATAGAGGGAATGTGACTTTACTGCTGTTTTTAAAAAATCTCTCTTCTCTGCAGCTTTCAGTACCACTGACCATGGTCTCCTTCTAGACTGCCTCCATACATTTTTGCCTTTAAACTACCCTCTGACCCTCAAATAAAGGGTGGTATATAAAATAAAGAAATAAAATGGAATGGTAATTGGGAGGCCAGTGCTATAGATTCCAGTCCTACCTATGAGACAAAATCCAGCAATGGGACAGTGCTTTTGCCCCCCTTGCAGATATCCCCAATGCTATTTAATATCTATATAAAGCTACTGGCGGTTGGCATTAAGAGTATTGGGGGCAACGTGCCATTAATACACTGAAACTCAGCTCTATTTCTACATAACATCTGAATAAGGAGAGGCTGTGTGGGTGCCAAACTAGTTCCTGGATGCAGGAAAAATTCAGCCCTGTCAAAGGGACAAAACCTCTGAACTAGTTACTGAGGACTGCACATGCGTGTCCTCAGGCTCCTTGACCATGCGGCACTAGGCAGGGACATTTTATTTTATTTTTCTCCAATGCTGGGCAAAGGTGTATGAGACCAGGGAGCCATGAGCAATTACAGAGAAGAAGGGAAAAGCTGGACAAAGGACAGAGGAGCTGGGGATGGGAAGAGATGGCACAAAGCTCAATGATCAGAAGGAAGGAATCAGGAAGTTTCGTTTTGTTATACAGTAGTCCATTTCTGGGCTGCAAAACTGGCTGCAAAAAATGAAATAGCTAAAATCTAACATTGCAACACTGTAAAATCCTTAACACCCAAACTATCTACATGCAAATAAAGTTGGTTTTTGTATTTTGTTTCTGTGTTTGTTTTGTATTTGCGTGTTAAATGAATACAGGGTATCATGGTTGAAGATCAATTACATTAATCAGAATCTGATGAAATCCTTCTGCCTTGCTTTCCATTCGAGCAGCTAGTTGATACATCAGTGGCAAGAATTTGTAAGAGGGTATTTTCTTTGCCTCCTTCTGTTAAAATAAAATCAGCAAACAAAAGTAGAAGGTGAGACTGCTTAATAATATAATACAAATTGCATGTATGCTCAGATATCAGTACATCACAATATTTTTTTCTACTTGCTATCAGTGCAAGACATTCTTTTTCACAGCAGCACTTTTATCATCCATTTCTCACACATTTTCTCGCCAGGTTTTACAAGACAGTACTGTACAAGCTGGGGAATAATCTATAGTATTTTAAGATGCAAGCACTGTTTATGACGCCAGAGAGTCAGGACAGAGTGCTTCTTCATCCCCTCATTGTGAACTGGCTTTGGCACAAAGATTTTGGCGTATATTAAGCCAAAGTTCCTTGTTACATCTAAACCGGGGAATTCTGACTTAATGTCAGTTAAGAAACTAGGAAAATAAACCAGGGAGGAGGAGAGGAGGGCTTGGCTCTGATGCCTGTTTGCATTTTCACAAACAAACCATCAAGCCTGAACTGATTGTCTGAACAAGGCCACTGCCTGGCAGTATTTTGCATGGATTGTGACTGTGAGGAACCTCAATTCCTATGTATTTATTACAGTGGACGATGAAGCCACTAGATTAGGTAGTTTTGTGGTGTATCCATTACATTACTCCTGTTATTTATAAAAATCCTGACATAAGTAAGGAATGATAAGGTAGAAGAGGACTCTGGGGACAAGAAGCAGAAAGTAGTAATGAAAGATACTACTTCAAAGAGAGACTGATGGTGGGTTGATTCACTACATGTTGCACCTACTCCGAGAACCCAGAGTACTGACTGTGGTGGGTGGGGGAGAAAGCGAGAGTATGCAAGCTACAATGGTCTGGGTTCAGAGGAACTTCCCTGTGAATAGAGGCTACGTAAGCTGGGAAAACAAGAAAACTTTCCACTCACTCGCCTCGGCGCCTGCTAGATATGTCTGTATGGAACAGGTATGCACAGGGCCTAATCATGTAAAATCCAAGGTACATGCGTATGAACTGTACAACTGATAACCCACACGATCTGAGACTTAAATGTTTTAGATTTTACATGTGGAAAAATGCACCCACGCATAGACATCCAGTGCAATTTGCTCCCCAACCTTATATTTTACTTCACTACAAAGAGGGAATGTATACACAGATGTATTAAAGTTGTATCTTTGTATACACAGATGCAGTAAAGTTACGGTGAGACTAACCTGAATCATCACATTGACTTCATAAACACCAGAGTTCTCAAGCCAGAGAGAACAGAGTCGAAAGATCCACATGTCATGCTCTTCCCCACTCAGTAAACAGTTAATGTAGTTCTCAACAGCTTTGCATAAGAAACGTTTGCGATCCTCTCTCAGTGCGCGAATTGCACCTTCATCAAGTTGTAGTTCCCGCTGAACTCTGACTGTGTATCTTAACAACAGAAATTTAGAAATAAGACTACAAATCTAAAATTCATTTACTTATATGCTGACAGACACTGACTTTATAAAAAAGAGAGAGCCTGGGTTCTCCTCATTCTCAGTACCTGACCCAATGATTACTTCTATTGGTTTACACAATAAAATGGCAGAAGCAGGAAAACTCCTAAGATAATGGTTCATTACTAAGAACATGCTCACCGTTCCCAAGAATATACATGCCAAAATATAGCTAAATGAACCCCAACCAGCTGACAGACCTGCCTTAACTTACTTACTACGAATTGGTGGCATAACATACCTCAGTTAGAGAGGCCTACCTGTTTGTAGGAACTTTGTGCTGCTTTAAGAGGCCAACTTCTTCCTTGGCCTTCCTCAACAAAGCTTGCTTGTTTTCAAACTCTGATGATTTCATGTAGTTCTCAATTCTTTGATACTGAGTGTCCGAAAAACGAGCAAGGGACAGAAAAGCCTTCATCTTTCCACTTTTGAGTTCGGTGCTACTATCATCGTTTTGGCTCCCAACAGCTTTTACTGCCTAGAACCAAATGTTATAAAAACGATAAAACAACAGCCTGGCCATTAAACAACCACCATTTAATGAGTAAGCACGCAAATAAGGTTTCAAAAATATTTGCAGAAGTTGTTTACCTTTTCCAAGTAATTCTGCATAATGACTGTCGGGTTTTCTAAGCATGTCTCTGCTAACCAGCTTCCACACAACCTCAGACATTCTGTGTAAATCAGTCGCAGGCTTGGGTCTTCTTTAACCTTAGAAGAATATAATCATGCAGGTCAGACATACTCACTTGTATATAAAGTGACCTCTCCCCAAGCACTCTTTTATTTTGAATTCCCCTTTCAGTTAAGGTTTTCTTCATATGTTTTGGCCCTTCACAAATACAAGTATGTCACATATGTTGCCCTTGTGTTTCTTCAAAGCAAAACAGGAATTTAAACAACGCTGCTACTGTCAAGCTGACATAGGACAAAATGTACCATGTCATCTTCATCCAGTTTCTTAATCATCTCCTTTAGGATACTCAGCGCTAAGCTTTCTTCCTTTTTAGCCCAGAACACTTGTGCTTCCTCCAGCTGCCACACACATACCCCATGTCCAGCCGGACTGAACTGTTTGATTTGAAACACTGCTCTTTCTGGAAGCTGGAAAACAAAATGAAGCAAAAAAAATTTATCTTAAGTTTTGAGATATCATCTATTTCTTCATATTTCTAGAATCCAGTGAAATCTGATACCAATTGTACCTTGTTACAATTACATCCCATCCCTGATCTAATTGCATGTTCATGTACTTAAATCTTCCAAGAATGATTCAGTATGCAAATCCTATTGCTGGAATGAAATGAAAATTCATTTCCTTTACACCCATGTTAAAATCTGTACCACTTATAAGCCACAAATAGTTTGTCCTACATTATATGGCTGCAATTTAAGATATGGCATCAGAGTACAGGGGAATCTAGATCTAGTACTATTAATCAAATAATTGCATATGGAAGACTGAGCCCAAGATAACAGTATTTAGCCTTAAAGGATCTATTAATTTTATGGCTCACGTAGTGAATTTATGGTTGTGCTCAAATTCTTACACCAGAAACAGTGTACTGCAAATCACTGATCACAGATTAGTATATTTTGAACCTTCCCTTTTACGCCTCATAACCAGAGGGGCTATAGAATGATAAATGGAATGATTTCCACTCACTTTCACTCCTAAATATACTTTCAATCTGTACAGCACAATTAATGAATAACACACTAAGGCTGGAAGCTATTTAGGTGAATTAATCCAGAATAGGAACCTGTGGGCATGTGCAAGTGGTGTCCAGCTTTGAGTAAATAGAAATATATTCAGGCCTATAATTGTATGCTATATTATTTCACAGAAAGGACAACTTATTGATCCACTAGAAAGTTTTAAACTACCAAAAAAGGAAAGAGAATTTGCAACTGATGCAATAACAACAACAAAATTATGCACTTCTTTTGGGGAATTCAAGAAGGTGACTATCTCATGCTGCTGCTCCATAGCTCTTAGTCTTGTTAAGGTGCCTAATTGCCAATCAGGCATACTGCAGAAAATGAGAAAATGCACTTGCCAAAATACAATGGCTTGACTTTCACATTTAAATATTTTTTTGTTTGTTTCCAGGCTAGCAAATGTGACTATAGGACACAAGTAGTGTGTTCTCGAAGCTACAAACATGAGTCTGACCAAACTGCGGGAGGCAGTGGAAGACAGGAGTGCCTGGCGTGCTCTGGTTCATGGGGTCACGAAGAGTCAGACACGACTAAACGACTAAACAACAACAGCGTGGTAACAAGACTAGAGAATTATAATTTCCTAATACATCTTGGAGAAGCCCTGGAGTACCTCTTTAAAAATAATAACATCAATCTATACTTAATATAGCAAAGGGAGAACATCTAGACTGAATTTTAAGGATTTATTTACCTGTGTGTTTTTTGCCACTCGAGCCAATCTGGACAGCTCCACCAGGTGTTTTGTGAGGATGTCTTTGATGCATTCCCTTTTGGCATTCTCAGTTTCCTTCTCCAGAAGGATCTTCAGAATTACTGTGCGGAGAGCCATGATAGGTTCCTGAAAACTAAAGTCGCTGTCTTGGAGAAGCTGGGACTGTTTCTGCCACTTCAGATACGTACAATTCAGCTGGCTGGCAGTAAAAGATCTGAAAAAAGAAAGCATATGGAAGTGTGTGAGGAATTCTGACTAAATTTTAATAAAGCTGCTTCACGTTGAGTCAGATCACTGGGTCTATTTAGTCCAGTATTGTCTACACTGGCTTGCAGTGGCTCTTTGGGATTTCACACTGGTGTTTCTCCCAGCCCTAACTGGAGATCCCAGGGATGTAAGCTGGGACTTTATGCATGCAAATTAGGTTTGCAGTGAAGGAATGCAGATTCTGATTACCCCATAGGAAAAAATTAATTTCCATGGGTGAAATGTGTAAATACATCCAGGGTCATAAGGAAGGAAAAAGTAAAGCATTGGTTGGAAAAGAAAAGTACCCAGAGAAAAGTTGTCCTATGCATTCCAACTCTCCAATGGTCTGCAGTCTGCAGAGTGTAGGCAGCAATGAATATACAGACTCAAGGCTGCCTTTAGACAGCTCTTCTACTTCCTTGACTCTGCAAATATAAGAAAAAGATCATTGTAACTTCTGATACCTGCCAAAGCAATTTCAAATCCCACTACACAGTGAGCAGAAGTCAGAAAGGATATCTTGTCAAGCAGCACTTAATAGAAACAGGCATTACATACAACTTCAACTGAAAATAAATCTGACTGTAACACATGCCTACAATTAAAAAATGTCTTGACTCCATCAAAAGATAAGAGAATTTTCTGATCTACAAAATAAGGGGCATATCACACTACATGTAAAAAGGCAAGTAGCTCCTTTGCAGCATCCAACCTTCTTATCTGCTTAAGCCTTATCTCTAATCTTCAAAATGCACTTCTTTCAAAAGTTTCAAATCGCTATGTTATGCCTTACATAAATTGCATTAAAATCCATGGAAGCTGCATACATTTTACACAAATGAAGCACTGATGTATACATCTCTTATAACATAAACTGCAATGTGTTAGGAAAGCTACAGTTTATTGGCATTTTTGTTGTTGTTAATAACATACACAGACACCTGTATGCAAAGCTTGCTACTTACCTGGCACACTTCAGTCTTTCATAAAAAGTAGAGAATTCATTGTCCCTTAAACACTGTAGAGCATCATACAATGATTCATGGTAGCCTTGTCCTCCAATTTCATCTCTTAAAAGAGAATTAACAAAATTTCTATTTGAATGCAAACACTTTATTAAACTGTCCTTTATAACAGTAATCCTTTATCAGCTTATCAACTGCTACTAAGGCTCCCTTCGTAGCAGTTTTAGGTAAGGGACAAACATTTAAAAATATTACATCTGAAAAGTGATAGTTTGCATTACTTGACGGAAGAGATTTGATCCCATTGCATGTTCCTCCAAGCTGCCTGATAACGAATCTCTTGCAATTCCATAGAACATTCTTTGTTCTCTTGTTCCAGTCCTTTAAGGTAGATGGAGAGTGTGTCACACAGCCCAAAATTCTGCAAGGCCTGCCGATCAGTGAGATAAAAAAGTTAACATGAAAATGAGCAGATTTCTGAAAATGCTTTCCAACACTGGTAGTGAAGCATTTTTACTACACCCAAGTCCCACTTACTTCTAGTCCTAGTAGGACTTCAGGCTACCATGTTCAAGGTCAAAGCATAATATTAGATTTTTTTTTTTTTTACAGAATTAAACTGTTACAGTCAAAATTATGGACATTGTCATCTAACATCTGGGGGGACCATACTGACTACCCCTGTGAATGTGAGCATTTGGGGGGGAAGGGGGGGAGATATGCATTGCTTTAAAAATTACCTCTATTATTCCTGCCTGCCGAGTTGATGGTGGAAGAGTCGTTTCAAGGTCATAGGTTACTAGGGCTTTCTCCCATCTTGCTTCATGCTCATATGTTCTTATCCTATCACGGATAAGAGAATAATAGTAAAACTGATAACACTTTGCCTTCAGTTAAAATTGCTAATTTCCCCAATAAAATTATTACCTAGTTAAAGGCTGCAACATTCTTCCACCACCACAGCCATAGAGACTATCGGGTTCTCCTATGCTTTTGTATATTTCCATGAGAAGGTCCTAGGTACAAGTGAAAATAGTTACTTGACATTCTTCCATCCTACAGAACAAAAAATATTGCAATCTTCTATGGAATATGTTACATCTGACCAATACTTGTCTTTGCCTCTGTTATAAACTTTTAGCACACTTTGATAGACCTCCCACATCCAAACAGAAAGCCCTGTGGGCTATGCTCAGAGACATTAATATGTTTTCCTTTACACAAAATACATAGAGGCCAGGAGCTAGAGAACCATGAAACTCATAAGGCTCATATCTATTGAATAGCAACAACACATGACACATAGCAATTTACTTTTGAAATGGATGGGTATTGGAACATTGGTTCATTTACCATGAATGGACCTTCTAGGCTGCCTTAGTGAGACATCCACGGATGGGCTGTGTCTCCCAATTCATCCTGGACCCACAACCACACACCAGTCTAAGAATCAAAAGCAGCTTGGGCCTGCTGCTCAAGTAACTAAAGCCCAAAATTTCACTGAGAGCACCTAAATACCCTTTTGGATCCTAGTTGTATTTTACTATCATACTGGATAAATAAGGCCAAAAGCAAGCTGCATCATACATGAAGCTGAAAGTTAAAATACAGCCTCAGCTCCCATCCCAGAAAAAGCAATATCTGTGAAGCGAATGGCAATGCAGCCCAACACCGCACTTTCAAATAGAAGTCGACACAGTATTTTAAGTCAACAGTATAGTTTATGGAGGCTAGTGGGGCCACACAATTGTCAAGTTGCCTGGTAACCATAACTTACTTGTTAGAAATCTTAGAAACCTATCTATGAGTGAACTAGTTGAAATATTCTCAAAAACAAGATGTACCATACCTGCAAACTTATTCCAGTTTCCTCTTTGCTCTTCTTGCTCAAAGAAGTTAGTGTTAAATTCTGACTTCCTTCCTCAAATATTAGCTGCTTAGCTGCTTTGAAAGTAGACCTGCAGAAAACAAGTTTAAAAATTGTTCTTCAAGTTGGATATGAATTCTTTTAAAATGACAAGATATACCGGTAAATCTAAGCCGTGAATAGGTCCTAGAGATACTCTGTTACTTAACTAAGCTGAGTCCATTTCCTTGGTCAGACCTGTTCAATCAACTCCTTAAATGGAAAATTGGATAACTATAAGTAGGTGCTTTGGGAGGCAACAAAGGTCTCCCCTTAACAAAACTGTGTTGTTTTCATTTTATTTAAACTACAAAACCCACAGAATTTCAACAAACCAAGACATGGCACACTGCCACTTGCCACTGAGATAGTCTCTAGATTAAGGCAGGGATGGACTTTACTAAAGCCAATGAGACAAAACCATCTGGTTGGTGGAAGTTAATGGATTTTGTTTGAAAGCAGTATTGATTTTTAGCATGAGGAACTCATGCTGAAACAAAATAACCAGTGCAATTTATCCAAGAGGAGAATCCTTTGAATCAGACTCATCCCACATGCACGTATATCAATGTATTTTAGTTTAACATAAATGAGAATAGGCTGTATTTAACACTAGTACCTTGCTTGCTGTTTGTCTGAATTTATCTTGTCTGCATAGATTTCTGTGTAGAGCAAAGCTGTGAAGTGAGCAGCACAAGACTGAGCTGCCATGGCAACCTGAAGGTAGTCGAGTTCCAGCCAAAAGCTGTCACTGAAGACTGTACTTGAAGGACTCCTGAACAAAATATTAAGCACAAGTGCATTCATCTCACTTTATAAAACGGCTTTAAACTGAAAGCAGCACATGTTCTATAAATCTATAACCTATCCCCCATTATTATTTTGTCAGGACTATAACAGTTGTTGCTTTAAGAAATAACACAGAATTATTTGACATCCTTAGAAAGATTTTAGAAGTTGCTTCAACTTAATTGACAAACACAATTCTGGGCTACATACAAAGCCACTTTCAATGGCTGTTTTGTTATTGACGATTGAAACAGGTCTTCTAAACAGATAACAATATATAACAGGTCTTGTAAATGCAATTGACTGGAAGGGCCCAGGCCCTTTGGTAAACCTGGTGGGGTTTGGTTTTTTTGCAGGTATACTTTGCAACAAAACTTTGACACAAAAATTATGCATTAGTGGTGGATTTATAATGGACCACCCACACAATATTCTGCTTTATTAGTTGTTCTAAAATGGTAACTGTAGTGGTTCAAGGGGTTGCTCGTGCGTAAGCCGGTGCCCACACCTGGCTGGGTTGCCTAAGTGAACCTTTTCTGTCCGGACAGCCACTCACCCGTGGCTGTCTCAATCGCTGGCAGAATCCGTCAGTGGGCGTTTCTTAAACTTCTTCCAGCAAAGAAGTTCTTTCACGTCCAGTCGCCTCCTACTTTCCCTGCGCGGAAGCCTTCTGCGCAAGGAAGGCGTAGGCAGCGGAGGACCCTTCCTCCCCCCACTGGTCCCAGGCAAGGAGTCATGTGACTCCCTCTCAGATTCCCCCATCTGCCCCCCTTCTCCACTGGAGCTGAGCTGATTCCCTTCCTCAGAAGATAGGCTGCCTCTCCCAATCCCGTGACGCTCTCTGGGATCCCTCTGGAGCTCTCTCCCTCCCTCCGGCACTGATGGAAGTTCCCTGACAGTAACCTAACGTTACGGCATTATTGCCATTTGGAGTGGAACTCTTGTGACAAAAAGGGGACATTTACTGTTTGGAAATGAAACAGTGCCACCGCCCCCAAATGTTTGAAGACACAAACAGTATTGAAAGAGGCAACATGTGTAACCATCCCATATCATCATGAGAACAAATCACTGTGAGTGCAAAAATAACAAAGACATCTGAGAGCCCTCCCTTCAATGTCTAAATAGACCTCTGTTGTAAAATTAAAGTACAATAACATAAATGCTAACACAGGAACTTCATCCACCTCTTTTGCCGTCTTAAGAAGTCAACAACAGCGAGCATTGTCCGTCGAGATATTTTATCCAAACTTCCATGAACAAAGGTTTGTGAATCTGCATTGGAAAAAAACTTTAGTCAGAAGGCTACTGATCTGATGTACAATAACAACTCTGAATTAGGGAAGTTAATAACAACGAAAACCAAAATAGTAAGGGATGTTATGCTTAAGTTTTCAATGTTCTTTTGAATCTCCCTGATAAGTAACTCCCCCGGTAAGTCATGAATACATATACAGTGGTACCTCGGGTTACATACACTTCAGGTTACATACGCTTCAGGTTACAGACTCTGCTAAGCCAGAAATAGTGCTTCAGGTTAAGAACTTTGCTTCAGGATGACAACAGAAATTGTGCTCCGGTGGCATGGCAGCAGCAGGAGGCCCCATTAGCTAAAGTGGTGCTTCAGGTTAAGAACAGTTTCAGGTTAAGAACAGACCGCCGGAATGAACTGAGTACTTAACCCGAGGTACCAATGTATTTTAAATGAGAAAATGGTGTGTGAAATACAGACGTACCCCCACAGCTATTAAGAAAGTGGTTTATAGCAAAGCAAGAATCTGAACCATCTATTAAACTATGCTGTCTCTGCTATTTAACAAAAAGAAATAGCTTTGACTCTTCTGTTATTTCTTAACAATGTTAGTTTAGCTCAGCTGACAAACTAGCAACATTTGGCTCTTCCTCTTCTTAAAACTCTTTCCATTCTAGCTGATCATTACCAGAGTACCAGAGCCCTATAACGAAGAACCAATGCTTGAGTTGGGTTTCCCCAATCCTCATTCTCAATATCTTGCATGCCATATCTTTAAATTATTAGTCTTTATTTTTAAGAATGGGGGGAAATGCTTTAAATGGAGCAGCAATTTTGCCTCCAACCACTAGATGGAGCTCAAATCCCACCTAAGCTCACCCTTACATGCATAATATCTTGAGGCATAGGAAAAGCTTTATGGCGTTACCTGGATCTGAATTTGCAGGTGTAGATGGCCTACTGGGAGATAATGCATATTTGCAACAGGTGGTAAAAAACATCTGAATGTGTGTTGATAAAAGAGATTGCGCAGATTCATCTAAGTCATGAAGTAAAATGTCATGAATCAAATATGGAAGGACAGCCTGACAAAAAGCAGTTTGAACCTAGAACACAAAGAAAGAAATTGCTTGAACACATTATTAGTTTCAGTTTGCCTTTAGTAGTCAGCTTTATTCTTATACTAAGTTATAACAAAGCATTCCATATATTGTTCATTCAAAAAGTTCACACACCTCTAAATGACATGGGGAAAGAGAAAAAAATGTAGTAAGATGAAACTTTAAAATAGGAAGGTGACAGGGCAATAGAATGTAATCCTACCAACAAACTTATTTTACCTTACACAGTGGCTTCAGAAAAAGAAGGGGTTCACTTTTTATCCTTCCACTATCCAACAAGGCACAAGTCAAGGTCTTAATCCAAACATCATGGCTTTCACCTTGAGGAATCCACAGATTTGTATTATCCAGATCTTCGGAAAGAGGGTCTCTTGCTTGTTCGGGCACTTCCAAGAACTAAATATCATTTTGTGTTGTTGTTTTTTAAAAAAGAAACCAAGTGTCTGTTAAAATTCCTTAAGCAGCATTACATAGCCTTCTCTCCTGAACCACCAACTCCAGCCTCTATTAAGGCAGCTCACAATTCCTTTATCTCACTATGCAGAACTGCTGGGACAAAGAGAATTGTATTTTAAAAGCTCTGGAAAATCCAGGAGTCAGTCAAACTACTTCAGATATTTGGACACGCCTCTGGAAATGTCTGGGAGCAGCTACTGATCCAAGATAGTCTTACCAATTAAGACAGGAGAGTTAGGGTTCTGCATCTAGTTTTATAATACAGTACAAAACACAATACCTTTTTCTTAGACACCCTGAAAGGATGGAGGTATACCAGCATGGGATCAGTCTCAGTTTTGTAAATATCCCAAAATCGATGTCCAGTTTCAGTGGCTAGAATGTTTTTCAAACATGCAACAGCAGCAGATCGAACGTCAATACTGAAAAAAATGTAACTCTTTAGAAATTGGATATTGTCATCTCAGATTTACTTAAAGGCAACATTTATACACCATGTTAAATTTTCTCCTGTATACTTACCATTGATCTATTAAAGCATTATTTATGAGAGTTAACATTATGAAGACCCATTGAAGTTCTCGGTCTTCAAACAGATCAACCGCACTTGAGGATGAAGCGCTTTTAGTGTGCTGCAATGCTGTGGTGGAAAAATTGATAGGACCAATTTCTCCCAAACAACTTCCAACTGCATCTGCAAATGTAGACATTCATATGATGCTTTTCATATTTCACTGATGTTTTTCACATTTCACTGCTTTTCATATTTATGTACAAAATATACATAATACAACTGGACCCTTCAATATGAAAATAAAGAAAAAAGGTAGCATACTGTTTTAATATGTTGCGTTTTCTCTGTGATTTCCACTACAGGGACTCTAATTTGTATAGAATTCAAGGGCTAGGCCTAAGCATTGCAGTGATAGCACCAGTGTGTATAAACAAGACAGGGAGAACTGTTTCCATCACATATGTTCCCTGAATTCTTATTGGTTAATAGCAGCAATAGCTTACAAAACAAGAGAAAGGATAAAAAAAGGGAGGGAGATCTCCCCCCAAATTTCTTTGCACTTATAATTTCAATTGGTACTGTTATACTGTGAGGGGCTTACTGAGCTTTGAGAACCAGCACCAGTACTATTTTGAGAAAACATTTTGAAAAACCAATACATTCCAGTTTTAGAAATACTCAAATGGCAAGGATTAGTTAGCAATTTAGGAAAGCAGATACTTTTTACAGGAGACAAAGGAAGTAATGCAAAGATGAAGTATAATTAACTAAGTCTTGTTTTTCAAGCTTTAATAAAAATAACTATTTAGTAAATAATACTTTTTTTAAAAGCTAACAGAGCAATATCAGGTTTTTTTAACAGGTTTCTAGGGGCTATCTTTCAACATTCAAGTCAAAATTTCTCTGAAGTTATTTACTGGTATAAAAATATTAAATGTTGTATGACCTTGGAACATAATCTAATTTTTACCAATTCTCTTCAAAAGAACTCTACTCATTTGAATAGCTAAATTTCTTACCCAAGGCTCTATTGGTAGAATTAACAGCTGTTTTTGAAAGTTGTAAGAAACACGCTATCAGCTTCACTATTATACAGTCCTTTGGGTTTTCTACAGTAGGGTGTAAAAAGTATTAAAAGCAGTATTAAGTGAATGAATTATTTATTATGGTCACAGACCAATAAAATTAATTATACCATTAAAATTATACGATTAAAAACAGACATTAAATATACAGATTACACATGTAAGATTTACTAATGCTACTAATTTAAACATTTTTCATTTGAAGACTCCAAAAAAAAAAACTAAACAAAAACCAAAAAACTACCCCACAATATCCATATCAACCATGTGTGGAAAGTTGTAACCAAACAAATTTTTAAAATTCCTCTTAAATGCCAGTGCTTTGAAATACACAGACCCTGTTAAAAGGCAAATGAAATTATATTTACAGAAACTCACAGGACTTGCCGAACTGCATTTCAAACATATTAATTAGTCTATAGTATGATATGCCAACACTGTCCCCAATGACACAAGGCAATTCATCAGTGAAAGAGAGGCTCTAGAAAGTAAGGAGATCGGCTAGAGCAGATTTATTTCTATCTTTGCTTTCTCCAATGCTATTTTCTGAAGTGTGTTGTGAACAAACAAAAAAAGGACAGCACTTTTTAAATTGTGGTACCCACTGTGAAATGCATTCTCAATGTTATGTTTCGCCTAGTGCCTTCCTCAACATCCTCTAGATAAGAAACAGTTTCTCCCTAATCCTTTGACTGATATTTATTTTTGCTTATTGCATTGTTCATAGTATAAAAAATAGATACTGTACTGGTATCTGATTTAGTTCGTTTTAGGGTTGATCATGGACCCATGCTGCCCTCAGGTTAGTCATCCCCCCGCAATATGCGGTACTCGCAGGAATTTAAAAAGCAGTCTCAAACCCATACCGTGAAATTCTTTCATAAGGTCCTTCATTTGTTCTTTATGCTCCTTAAGTTGCTTACGCAAATCATTTAAACCTTCAAGTCTCGTTAACAGTAGCGAATCAGAGGTATTTATGGACAGAAAATGGTTAATTTCCTGCAAACAACAAACAGATTTTATAGTAAGGATACACACAATTATTAGGGAGGCGGGTGGCGCTGTGGGTAAAACCTCAGCGCCTAGGACTTGCCGATCGTCAGGTCGGCGGTTCGAATCCCTGCGGTGGGGTGCGCTCCCGTTGTTGGGCCCAGCGCCTGCCAACCTAGCAGTTCAAAAGCACCCCTGGGTGCAATTAGATAAATAGGGACCGCTTACTAGCGGGAAGGTAAACGGCGTTTCCGTATGCTGCGCTGGCTCGCCAGATGCAGTTTGTCACGCTGGCCACGTGACCCGGAAGTGTCTTCGGACAGTGCTGGCCCCCAGCCTCTTAAGCGAGATGGGCGCGCAACCCCAGAGTCGGACACGACTGGACCGTACGGGCAGGGGTACCTTTACCTTTACACACAATTATTAGGTACTGTTTTTCATAAAGCTCTACAATTAGATATAATCAAAAAGAGTTATACATGTTCATTATCTTAAAAAAAATGTAGAGACTCTGAATGGCTGAGTAATGTGTCAATTCTTATCTGGAAATTAACATCACTAAGATCAATGAGACTTACTCATGAGTAGATTATGAATAGGAAGACCTAATCCACTATGATTTCAAAGGCTTGAAAACTGATTGTATTACCTCCAGGAGAGAAAATCCACCATTACTGTATTTTATTTTTTGCTGAATAGCACGCAGGTCTTTAAAAGCAGGGTGATCCGGAAAAGGATCCAGATGTTTGATTGCCTGGTATAAGTTTTCATTGTCTTTGTTATCTATCACTAGGTATCTCAATAAGCCCAAGACCTAAATGAAAAGGAAAACAAAAGTGGAGGAACAAAGAAATGAAACCACTCTAGAAAGTCTTCATGTTTGTGCATGGAAAAACAGCAATCACAATACTCTGATCCACAGTCTTCAGACTAGCTGCTCAGCAGTTACTTCCCTCAATGCTACCTCTAGGCATGGTGAGACTGGGAGCAGGCATTTTCTTTCCTTACTGCATAGAAACCCATACCAAATAGCAGATCCTGCACTTAATTTGAATGCAAAATACTCGCCACTTCCATCCACTCCTTTGACGCTGAGCCTTGTTTATCAGGCTCAATAGCCAATGTCAGGGAAGACCCTATATTTAAACTACAATCCTAAACTGGTTTATTAGGCAATAAGGCCCACTGAAGACAATGGGACTTACTTCTGATCAACCATACCAAGGACTGTGCTGTTAATTCCTCAGTTCACATGTGCATTTCAATATGCTATGGGCAGAGCAGATGAAAGGCCTGCTTTTGATTTCATGGTGCATAAAGTGGAAAGGCAGAAGCAGCATCTAAATATCCACAGTGGCCACATGTGCACATCACAGTAAGACAGGGTTGCTGGCTTACTGTGATTTAAAGGAAACGAACAGAATGCTAGTGCATGCTGCCTGACCACTCCTACTTTACTCTTATAAATGTAGATGTTAGTGACAAAGGTTATGTATGGACCTTCTCAGACTGACTGCAAACTAACTATTCTAACATCCCAAATTCCTCTACATACTACGTACGACCTTTCACGGCCTGCAGCTTTTACATTAAAATATATCAGCTGGCTGCAAAAAAAATAGCAAAACTATTTAACAGAATTTTATAACATTAGTGATATAATTATATGCAGTAGATTAGCGTAACACATATCAGTTCTTGCCTTTAAATATATCTAAATGTAAATTCTGCAGCCCACAGCTCACAGCTTTAATGACACAGACACGCTAAGACTCATAATTAAGATGAGCAAGCATAGAGCCCTGATTGTATAATTTATTTCTTCACTGGCAAGCATTTTGAGCATAATTATCCATATTCGCCTAAAAAGAAAAAAAGAAGCATTTAAATAATGCAGATAGTTAAGTTGTTCAACTTTCCTACCAATTAAGTAGACATTTAAGGCAATTTAAGGCAGACATTTAGTTAAGCTTGGGAAAGAAACAGGAATTCATCCCTGATCTCACACTGAGTGTCTGAGATGCAACACAGGTCAAGGACAAGATCTTACTCCTTGTGGAGGAGTGAGGAAGAGAACTGGTGACCAAAATTTGTGGGCATACACATGTAATGGCAATGGGATCCAACAAACTGTGCAATTAATTGTGCACTTCTTAAAACAGCAGCTACTAAACCTCAAGATTTTGAGATTGAAGGGATCTCAGAAATTTGGAATATTGCCTGGGGCTTTCAAAATACTCTTGTGCATACCTTATTCAGTAAACCTGCAACTTACACACATTTAACTTGTGTGTATTCAGCTTTAGGTGCTTGGGATTTTTTTAAAGAGGTAAAAAGAGTGGGCATCCAGGGGGGAAAAACTTCAGCAATCCCACCTGCTATTGCTCCTTACATTGTTTTGACTATACACGGTTTTTGTTCCATGCACTATCCTTGGAACATAACCCCTGAATAAGTTGTGGGTTTACAGTAATTGCCTTTTAAAAATGTTACTAATTGATTTTTGCATTTATATTGTTCGCTTCGTTCTCAGGTGGAAAGGTGGAGTATGCATATTCTAAACTGACCCAAGTAAACCTAAATCAAGCAAACATAAAATGCCTAGCAAGTGCAGCTTATTAAAACTTACTTCTTCTTGGGTTTCAGGTTGTTCTCCAACTATGGGAATCAGTGTCCCCACAACAACATGGAGGTGACTCCCTAGGGCATCTCCACAATATATTACTGCTGTATGGCAAACACGACTGAGAAGGTCACAACATAGCAAGAAGCTCCGGAGGGATATCCCTTTGAGAGGAACAGGCCTAAAACACATTTTTAAAAATGAAGCAGCTTAGGGGAGCTACGATACACACTTTAATCAACACAGTATATCCAGACAAGGTGGTGATGTACAAATGATTTTTACAACATGCTCCCCTGTCTTCCCTCTCCCTCAAATGAAAGCAATGCCACTTTTTCTCAGGATGATGAGGACCTATTAGTGAGCACTCTTTGAGTCCGCTCAGCCAACCAGCTTCAAATCCACCTAACAGTTACCTCATCCAGCCCACATTTTACCAGCTTCTCCACAAGAATATCATGGATGCAGTGTATCTTGATTTCACTAAGGCTTTTGAAATTCCTCATGATATCATTGAAGGTCTTTGAAAGCTTAATACTTTAAACCACCAATCAAGTTCATGGCTTACTGGTATTGGACAAGGTTCAATCTCCATTTATAGGAATCTTGAATAGTAAGGCCTGAGCTTGAGCTCTTTAAATACCAGTCACAGCTGATAGCCATAGACAAGATGGGTTGTACCAGTGTACCATAAATGGGTTGTACCAGTGTACCATAAATGCTATGATGCCCAATCCCAGTTACTGAAGTATTTTCACACTGGACATGTATATAAATAGTACATAATACTCATACCTGTTGCTGATGTGGTAAATTGTAGTGTAAATCACATCCCGGAGTACAAAAGCCCATGCTCCTCCTAAACCATCCTTTATTTTTTCCAGTAATAATTGAACAAAAAAATGATATATCATAATAATTCTATGTTTTTTGTATATATTATTTGTTTCGGATGCTTGCTTACATATGGCAAATAAGATTTTTTGGAATGACTCCTGCAGAAAAAAAGATAGAACATTAGATAGTAATCTCTGGGGATTTTCTGTTTTACATTGCCTGGAATTAGATTTGATGATTAAAAAAAAAAAAATATGACAGCCAGCTATCTAATTCTACCCTTCCCTCCCTTGCCCCCAACATCTTATCCCTGTCCTGAAGTCATGATGTCATGCATCTCCCCACCACCTGACATTACAGGCGAACATTTAAGGGAGACAAGGAAATGAACCCTATTGTGACATTAGGGTGAACTAGCTGGCATTACAGAAGAGGAAGGAGCAAACAGACTGGATATTGCAGATTTATTACAGTGGACGATGAAGTCTTCGGATTGGGCTAATAAATCTACTATTCAGGTAGGACCAGTAGTTCTTTTTTAAGCAGCACCTGCATGTAGGTCACAATGTGTGTCACAAAACTGAAATCAGTTACTTACAGGGTGCTTGGAAAGAATTGCTACAAGACCTTTTGATTTTGTTTTATGACAACTGCTGATGTAATCCAATGTTGCTTTGATGACACGTGATGGAAAATGAGGAGGATTAGGAGTGGGATCCAGATCCCTGGAAAAAAAAATGGAAACCTTTCAAAGCCTTGATGAGTCCCCAAACAAAAATCTTCTGTGAAAAGAAATATGAACAGATTGGACTGAAATACTGATTCATTTCTCAGCTGGGAGGAAACAAACTAACTTATACAGGGTGAGTCCTTTAAAAGAGGCCCCGTGGATACAGAGTACACATGTTCCACGGGGCCTCTTTTAAAAGACTAATGCTGTATTTAAATAGGTGTTTTAATATTACCTATTCTATATCTTATATTCTATATTCAGATATATTCTATATCTGAGACTCCAATATTTTGGCCACCTCATGAGAAGAGAAGACTCCCTGGAAAAGACCCTGATGTTGGGAAAGATAAGAGGGCACAAGGAGAAGGGGACGACAGAGGACGAGATGGTTGGACAGTGTTGTCGAAGCTACCAGCATGAGTTTGACCAAACTGTGGGAGGCAGTGGAAGACAGGAGTGCCTGGCGTGCTCTGGTCCATGAGGTCACGAAGAGTCAGACATGACTAAACGGCTAAACAACAATAACAACAATTCTATATCTCCTCTCTTTTTCTCTCTCTCTACTGCTGATCTAATTTGGATAACAGTTTATTGTCTAGGGACAATTTGCTGACTCACCACTGGGCTAAAAGTATAAAGACAGACTCCAGTTTTATTTCAAACATATGAGTGTGTACACCAAGTGCACACTGGGGAAATATGACTGCTTGCCTTTCTGTGTCCACATGCCGTAATGTGTGCATGAATATATTTCTATACACTGTGAACTAGAGAAAAGGAACTGAAGAATCATACTGTGCTAACACCCATAGAAATATCTATAAGCAAGACATTATTCACTGACAGACCACAAACTATTGTGGAACCACATGGTGCATTTTGTCACTGGTGAACAGACTTCAAAAGTTGCAAAGTAGGATCACAATTGCAGGGCAACGTTTGCTTCAAGTAAACATAAGAAATAAAATGACTCCAAGAGAGAGAAATCCATCAACTTTCTTTGCAGCATCAACAGTTCCTGCCTTCAAGCAGTTGGAGGAACACAGTCCTACCTGGAGGTACCCTAGTACCCAACAGGGAAGGCTTACTTTGGGAAAAATGGGCAGTTGAGACAAGAGCACTAACATAATTTCCTTCTGTACATACAATTATCAGTATGATAAAGGTCATGCCATGACCCTGGACCCAGACTCCTTAGAGGCAGAGTCCTCTGGCAGCTGCAGTTCTCAGGAGATAGATCTACTCTCTGGTTCTTCCCTTGTGGGTCTGTAGACACAGGAGGCTACCCTGATCCCCCCAATGAGAGACCTCTGCCACTAGATTCTTAAGGCTGATCCACAAAGTCCTTGGGTGAGCAACAGAGATCCCCACAGCTGGAAACCCAATTACTCTGAAGGAGCTACAGTGGAAGGCACCTGCCATTCAATCAGCCAGGAGGCAGCACCAAGTGGATGGGCATCCAGTTGCTCTGCACTGAAACAACTTGAATGTTTGGATTCACCTACAGGAGCACTATCCATGGTTCTGAACCCACACCCTGGTCTCCTTCCAAGTTGCCTTGCAACCAGGAGCTTCTAGCCTCTGCTTCTTTGAGCCATCACCTTTCCTCAGTGGTGGGCATCCCCATTAACTACAAGTGAATTTTATGACCTATTGCTATGTGTAGGTTCATGAGAACAGATTTTCCTGTTCTTAAGGTACTATTACTAACTCACCACTTTCTCAAATAGAAAACAGACCATCAAACCACTACATACCATCCCCATTTCTTAAATATTTGCTTACAAAGGTTAAATAACCAACATGTGTTATAATCGGTAGGATGGGAAACTGTACCCTGTAAATCTCGTTAGATCAGAATCTTCTTGTGCTGCGATACCGACTGACTCATGCAGTGTCATCAATACCTCCACTACAATCTCTGGTAAATTACTATGAAATAAATTGTCAATCAGCTGTAAAAACAAAACAACACAACACAGGTTTAGTTTTATTTTAAATATGAAATACAATACAAGGCTGGTTATTACACAGCCTGTCAGTTTCCATGCTGATGTTATATTCAAAAGTATTAAACTCAGAAACTGGATAGTTTACCTACTTGCCCACCACTGTGTGTATGATCTCCTCCTCATTATTACTATTACTTTGTTTATGAATTGCTTCCTATGAAGGTGGAGGTTCTTTAAAGCAATACTCTGTTTGATGCATGAACAGGGGGCACCTTCCATTTCTCCCCAAGAGCAACAACCTACCCCAGCAAAGCATCCTTAAAACAAACTGGGAGGAAAGTTCACTTAAGGCAACTTTCCCACTGGGGGTGGATGGCACAGATTAACATTTATCCCAAATTCCAACAATCATCTCTTTAAGCGCCTCCTTTTCAAAAAGGCAAAATCCCTTAAAACCAAGAGTTGAGGATGCCCTTAGATTGTTCTCCTGCACCATCTGGTGGCTAATCAGCAAACTGCTTTTGGTTCCTACAGACAGCACCACATTTGTTGCTTTCTCCCATCAATTAAGCTCCTTGGGGTGATTCAGACCTCAGCCATCTAAAATGGGGGGGGGGGAATCCGTATGAGAATATGCCTGCCCTCATCTCAACTACGGCCAGGATTAACAGGGTTTAGAGCTGCACAGTTACTGGAATCCAAGATGGATATTCTTGGCTGCTCGTGAAAGGTTGGTTCAGAGTCAGAGCTGCTTGTTACTGAATAGCACACTGCTGCATGGCTTCTAAACAGTCTCACATGCTTTTCCATCTTTGTTGGTAGCATGTTTCCCTGAAGGAGCCATTGAGGAGAGGCATTGAGGGGAGGGGAAGAGTTAGAAAAACTATGTTGGGGAAGGAAGGCCTGAGCTATGAAGCAGAAAAATGAGAAGAGGAATGTATCTTCTGCTCTCCTCTTCTGCAAGGCAGGAAGTGAATACAAAAGAGCTAGCAGAGCTATCGGGAAGAGGGGACTAAGTCAAAAGCCTTACTGGCTTCTGTGCAATGGGAAGGGACACAAACCCCAGTAAGCGCTGGATGCCTCTTAAGCCAAACAGCAGAACACATAGCATTTTAGTCTAGGAATTCCAACAAGTTTATAAAAAAAGTACCTGTTTTCCTAACCAGTTGTCATCTTTCAGCCTCTCATAGACTTCATGAGCTGTCTTTTTCTTTTGCGCAAACTCACCATCTTCATGATTTTCATAGGCAAAATAAGGGAGGATGTTGACAAGTATTTTGGGGAAACAATGTGCCAAGAGCTGTTGCGTCTCTCTTTCAATCTTGTTAGCAATGGATGTAACCTCTTCAAACTGTTGCTTAACAACCAGTTGTGGAATCAAAACTTTGTAGCAGGATCTAAAATTAAGGATTTTCTTTAATTATGGCAAAACAATTGAGGGGGAAATTACACTTCAAGTATAGTATACAGTGCAAGCTACAACAGAATCCAACAACTGCATTCTTATGACAAATTATTCTTGAAAAGTTCATTTGATCACCTATTTCTAATTAGCTAGGTAAAGGTAAAGGGACTCTGGCCGACTCTGGGGTTGCGGCACTCATCTCGCTTTATTGGCTGAGAGAGCCGGCGTACAGCTTCCGGGTCATGTGGCCAGCATGACTAAGCCCCTTCTGGCAAACCAGAGCAGCGCACGGAAACGCTGTTTACCTTCCCGCTGGAGAGGTACCTATTTATCTACTTGCACTTTGGCGTGCTTTCGAACTGCTAGGTTGGCAGGAGCAGGGACCAAGCAATGGGAGCTCACCCCATGGCGGGGATTCGAACCGCTGACCTTCTGATCAGCAAGTCCTAGGCTCTGTGGTTTAACCCACAGCGCCACCCGCGTCCCTTCTAATTAGCTACTGACCAGTTAATTGCAGCAAGAGCATAGTTTAATTTATGAAGGGTATTCCAAAATATTGGTATTTTAACTCAAAAACTATGCACCTTTCTGAGAATATGCTGCTTCAACCAATAAAACACAAAATGTGGCACCTGGCATATCGCTACAAAATATTTTGAGTGTTTCCAGATAATTAGTGGGGGAATCGCACAAACATAATTTAGAAGCATACCTGTAGAACTCGTCCAAAGTACGGTAATTCAATAATGTATATGGAAAATCCGGAAGGCTGTAGCTGCAGTTCAGCCATTGGTGAACAAGATAATCTAAGTGTGTATTCATGAAATCTTCCACACTTCTGTATCCAAGAGTACCAGGAATTCTTTCCAACACCTACATTCGAAGAAAGGGCAATTCCAAATGAGACCACCACTGGTAGTAACTATAACCACTCATAGTGGCTTCGTTCACATATTCCTAATTTGGGTGTAATGCTAAGCCAAGGAATGTGGTTTGTTTCTTCCACAAAGTAGGAGGAAAGAGTAAAAGATGTGATCACAGTAAACCATTAACTATTGTTCACTGTGATGTGTGAATGACGGCAGTGTCTATGAACTAAAGGTCCTATCAGGAATTAACACTATGGAGAAAAACGAGTAGTGGCTCAGACCTATTTATGACAACCATTTTATACAGAACCACAAAACCATGGACATTTTTATTGGTTCAAATCTAAGTAATATGGAAATTCTTTGAAAACTATTTGAAGTTTTTTTTAAGCCCTGCATGTTCATTTAGAGTTTTTAACTGTGTGCTTTCCCATACCTTCCTTACAAGGTGAGGCTCTAATCCGTTCTCTTTTACACACTGGAAAACTGCAAACAGTGCCTGCTTTTCACACACAGGACTGCAGCGTAAAATCATCGTTATTAACATAAGAAGAACTGATTTTCTATTATACTCTTCATCAGGAAGATTCTCTTGGTTCACAGAGCCATGTGCCTGTAAGAAGAAAACACTGAATGAAGACGAACTTTTAATATATTTAAGTGATAGATGTAATTTAAAAATTCCCTCAACCATTTATATTTTATTAAAATATGATCCTGAAATTGAGAAGTAAGAAATAATCCAATAGGTCTACTTTGCAGCAATCATTTTTATGTTTTCCTACTGGAAGTTTACAGGCCCCATGCAAAACCTAAGCATGATTTCCCCCTTACGCTTAACCCACACATACCAATTAAATTAGATAAGAGCACCGTTATTTTTGAGTGAAGCAAACACTCAAGACCCCTATTCCAGGAAAGCTTGCAGAGTGAAGCTGTGTTAAAATTGTAGAGATAAATACAATAGTTTATCTGATGAAATTAAAGGCCACAGCAAAAAGGAACATTTAATCAAAGAAAAAAGGTACAAGAGGGGTTCAGCACAACAAATCTGAAATGTTTAACACAAAGTAGACTAATAATATTAATCATAATAATAAACCTTAGCATTACTCTTAAACGTGATAGCTCTTTTCCAGTATCAGCACAACTACTGTGCCCACCACGTCATCAATGAAACAACTTCATTTAAGTCACTATGTAGCCTGTGCACCTGGTAAGTGAATGGAAATATGTTCATTTTATTGTATTACCTAGTTGGAAGATTAATTAGAAGCAAAGACTTAAAAACAGGCAAATCCAACTAAACTTCAGTGGATTTGGGGGGAAACGGTTAAAAAGGACACCCAGCAACAACTTCCAATGAATAAGAGAAAATGTTACAGTGGAAATGTGTATGTGTGCTGGGGGGGGGGGGTGTATTACCAGTTTCTTTGTTCCTTCTTGAACTGTGAGATACAAGTTCTCAAAAGCCCTTTGCTGGAGCTTCAACGGAAGAGCACTCAGTAAGCCAGTTGAATCTCTCAGCTTCACATCTTGAAACAAACTTAGCATCAAGCAGGGAGAAAAATAAAATTAGAATAATTTACAACATTCTCTGTTTTCTAAAATAAAGCCTTAAAGGTATTTAATTTTGAGAACCCTTCTGTGGTTCTTGGGGGTGCCCCCCTATGTTTGTGATTAAGCAACCGTCACTTTGAATCCCTTCCCAGAGGGAATGAGTTTGCATAGCAAAAAGAAAAAGCCAAGGGGCCTCCATCAAAGATATACACCTCATAGTCCAGCTGTTTAAGAGCTATCTCCCATCATTTTCTTTAAAGGTTTCTTGTAAACTCCTGAACTAGATATTTGGCATTTTGTCAGTAGTATCTATTTCTCTTGCAGTTAGCAACAAAATTAGGAGAGGTAGAAGCTGGATATCCAGTCCTACCATAAACTTCTTCTACTTCTACTTGTATGTCTTTCTGGGAGATGGTAAAGAAAAAACGCTAAGCAATTCTGAATGTGTAACTTTTGTATACTACCTTTATGTCAAATAATTAAACTACAAAGGCATACCTGCTTATTGATTTAGCTGCAATCATGCAAACTTGAAAACTGCTATCTGCAAGGAAGTGGGGGAAAGCATCACTCACAGGGAGTTCTTCACCATTAACATCAAGCACAGCCCACTTTGAATGAGGATCAACCTGGTGAGGGGAAAGAGAGAAAATGTTAACACTACATTTTTATGGAACTTGGGAAAGCCAACAAAAACCTTTTGTTTAAATATTTCTAGCTATTGACTTACCTGAAGTAAGGCTTTCATACAATTCACTAAGGCAATTCTTACAGGAGCTGTGTATTTTCCTTTATTTGCTAATTGCCTGGAACAAACAATATTTTATGATAAACTTCAAAGAGGCAAAAAAGTCTATACTTTTGGCAGATCACTCAGAATAAGAAAGAAAAAAAGTATTTCTTTCCATGCTTCAAAACTTCTTGGCTAGTTTTTAATTTATGCAGAGTTCAAGAACTGATAGTATGAACAACTTTCTGATCAAGCTAATGTTGCCTGTTGCTTCCTTCCTGAAAGCAAAGTGTTCTTGTCTAAACTAAACATTCATTCCTTACACCATTCACAACTAATACACATTACGCTGAGGGCACTTAAGACTAGTATACTTTGAGAAATGTTATAAAATTTTATAAATATAAATACAGTTAAAAAAATAGAGCATATCCTTGGAAACCAGATTGGAGGGACTGGAAGAACAAACGTAAGTATTTCATATAGAAATAACATACATACGTCATAAAAAATATGGAAGAGTCTGCTCAATCAATAAGACTGTTGATACTTACCATGAACAGGATTTCTTGAGCCTATATACAGTGGTGCCTCGCAAGACGAAATTAATCCGTTCCGCGAGTCTCTTCGTCTTGCGGTTTTTTCGTCTTGCGAAGCACGGCTATTAGCGGCTTAGCGGCTATTAACGGCTTAGCGGCTTTAAGAAAAAGGAAACAAACTCGCAATAACTTGCAAGACGTTTCGTCTTGCGAAGCAAGCCCATAGGGAAATTAGTCTTGCGGAACGACTCAAAAAACGGAAAACTCTTTTGTCTAGCGAGTTTTTCGTCTTGCGAGGCATTCGTCTTGCGGGGCACCACTGTAAGCTGATGCCAAGGATAGTATTTAGCTCCCTCTAGCAGTCACAGGCAAAATTGCAAGTTGGAAGAATTTAACTGAACTCTTCCCTCCCTTGCAAGTCTGGGTTTTTTTTATTGCAACAAACCAAAGAAGGAAAGGAAAATCAGACCCAAACAGCAAAAGGAAACAAAGAGACTCTGAAATCAGACCAAAAAAATGTATATACAAGCCAGAACCCAAGCTACAGGCAGCAAAAACAAAACAAAACAGTAAGACAGGGCAAAACATCAGTTTGTATATGTCCAAGAAATCCCTTTCATGATAACTACTTATGCTTACTGATCCAAGAAGGGTGGTGGGAGGGAGCAAATGCAAAAGACCATGTGATCCAACACTTGGCAATTGCTACAGCTGACAAGTTTATGACCATGAAATTAACTGCATGTGAAAATATGCTTATCATACCAAAATGCTGCAACAACAGTTAAAAGTGGACCCAGGGCTTCAGTATTTGTTCTGGCAGTACCCAAGGCGGTCACCATAGGAAGGAGATTATATAAAATTGCTGAGCAAACTTCTTGATCTCGACGGTAAAAGGGACATATATCCCTGTAGGAAAAAAGAGAAACATTGAGAAAATGTATCTGCAAAATATCAATGTCACAGTTATTTCATTAAAAACAAGATTCTCTTACGAAAGAGGCTTGAGAAGGGAGACAAGGTGGTCATCTGGCAAGGGGTTTTCCTCACTGGGGAGTTCCTTCAACAAGACTAAGTACTAGAACGAAACACATTTTTAAAAAGCTTTTCTAATGCTTTTATTCATTTATATTAAACATTTTAAATTCCATATATATTAGGCTGCATACTTGTACATTCATGCTTGGTTTATAGGTTTTTCATATATTTTAACGTAGAACAAAGCTTATTACTGTCTAAAATCACACAGCAGCAGAATTGTTTATAAAACGCCTACATGATGTTAAGGTTTCAAGATCCTCCACCTGTTGCTAGAACAGTTAGCCAAAGACTACTTAACACACAGCAGAGTGACTTTTCATACTCACTACATGCAGATGCTGCGGCTTAATATAATCAAACATGTTTTCCTCAATTAGCATCAAGAGTTTCTTCCAAATTTCAGACGCTCTAAAGCAAACAGTTTGCACTGGGGTTGCTGTGGCAGCTATACACAAGAACTTTAAAGTATCAAGGAGCAACAAGTCCTGCTTTGCCAAATGTTCTTCTGACAATGGGCTTATGGCACCTGTACATAAAACAGTGTAGTGTTAAATAAAAAAAATAAGACATGAACTTCCAAACATTCAGTGGATATATGCCAGGAAGCCATAACTACTAGTTTCCTGGCAGACATACCCAAGTATCTGAAGGCACACGTAGACATATGCAGCAGTAAATTAGTGTTCCTGGACTAGGGATGGACAAATCAATCAAAATCTTATCTCTATCAATTTTACATGTGCTCGGTGGTAAATCCATTGTGACACATTTATGCACTAATCGTAGATCATATTTTTAATTCCTTGTGAAAAACCATGTTTAAATCAGCATTTTATCAAAAAACCTAATTAGATCCATATGTTTAGAAATAAATTCATTGAGAAAATGTATCTTACCAACACACAGAGAGACAAACACAATTTTTGAGCTGAGAACTATATTGCAGACCAAACTAAGTTGTCCTCTATTCCTAACCTGGGCAGCTACATAGAGAGTAAAGGAATTCTAAAGCAGTTATACCAGCAACCGGGTCAAAAAAGAAACTGCAGTATCAGCATTTGCTAAAGTATGAGCACATTATGCAAGTCTGGTAGGGCTAGGAAACTTAGTGTTTAATACCAGCCTTGACACAGATTGTGTGTCTTTGAGAAAAAGACAAATTCTGTCCTAGTTGTCTGTGTACTGTGATTACACTGGAAGAGCAGGGTTTAAGTCCTTCCCCAGTCACCTCTATATTCTGGAAAAAATATCAGTCAGCATATGTAGGAAAAAAACAACTCTGAAGGTGGCTTTTGAACCTCTGATGTATTTCTAGAGGAAGACAATTTAAATACAGGAACACATACACACACACCCCCCATTTCCACAGGGGTTGCCCCCTTTACTTGCCACTTCCAGGTTTGCAGTGATGCACACGAGCAAAGTTGCACAGGCTTTGAAACATGTAAAATGGTTGTTGGAATGGTACCCTCAAAAACTTTTAAAACCATTTAGTTATCCCAAAACGATACAGAAAGCAATTTAAAGATACCTGTCAAAGTTTGCAACTCTCCACCCTCATTTACATCACCAGCTTCAGCAGAGCGATCATCAAAAAGATCTGACGTGGTCGGATTTTCTCCTTCCATCCTACTCTCTTCTGGATCATCTTCCATTAAATCCATTTCTCCAGCTTCACTTATCCGCCCAGTAGAAAACATCTAAGAGAAGTTATTTATTTGGAATTCTTTAATCACATCTTTCTTACAATAAACTCAAGTTACTTTATAGAAAAAGCTTAAAATTCTCTTAACTGAGAGTTCTGTGTACGTTTCAGTATATAAAAACTGCACCACCTGTATACAAACCAGAAAAATGTGACTTCTGATTGTTCCGGTAAATGTGGCATCGCTGTCCTGTGGAAGATCACTGTTTGATACTGCTTAGTTCCTTATGGGGCTGGGACTTTTACTGAGGAGGACCTCCATTTCACTTTGTAATTTAAGTAAAACAGAGAGACAAAACTCACAACTGAGGAGTCCAGATTGACCTCAGCTGGCAGAGAAATTTATTCAAGAGAAATACTCCCTCGGCTACACAAATCTCAAGCTATTCAGAGATTAGAGATCCACACCAATGTCTCTGTAACTGATCCAGAAGCCCACTGTATTGTATTACTGTTAACGTGAGAGTTACAGTCATGGAAGATAATGGACAATTTCACATTTGTCAAACCTAATGGTATACAACACTCATTCAGCCTTAATTTTTACTGTCTCTCTAGAAGAAATAGAGAGATTCAAGCAATAACCCCAAGATGGTTCAGCTTAGCCAGAAGGGAGCATAGCAGTGCAGTGCTAGCAGTGGCTTGGCCCCCACCATTAATAACAAGGGTGCCCAAGGTAGGGCAGAGTTGAAGGAGAAGGAAGATAAACTAGCAAGGGGAAAGAGAAACAACAGAGAAAGTAAGTGTGAAGCAGGATACATGCAACACTGGTGTTTAATGGCGGAGCGGGGGGGGGGGAGCATTGCAATGTACATAGAGCAAATTGGTTTGGCTACATTCTTCACTCTCAATAGGCATAAGAAAAGGTCAAACCCAGCATGTTTTGTCTGTCTTTCAAGTGAAATATCTGCTTATGTTATACACTTTTTGTTGTCCAAAATAAACTGTGATGAGGAAGTCATGCCATACACTATAACTACTCACCAGATGTTTGCAAATGTCTACAAGATCATTCATCAGTTTTGAGGTTAACAAATGCAAGAAAATTCCAGACAGGATCTTTCTTGGGCTGTTCTGTCAAAACAAACCCAATATATACTAATTATCGAACACATCCCCCAAAACAGGATTTAATCACTTTAACTAGGCATGGAAACATAACCAACCACTTTAAAACTAAGCAAAATTAGCTACTGCTAATTTTGAAACTGAACTAATAAAAATTATGTGTGCATACATACACCTGTACATGATTACAAATTATTAAACTGATTGGAGAAATAGGTTTGCTGCAAAAGGGACCTAACTAGCTTAAAGTACAAGGATTTCAGCATTTCTTAATTGTGGCATGGACTGAAAGATCGACAAGTGTCTTACCTGCTTACAATTACATGCGCAACTAATACACTGTCCTATTAACGTCCTTAATGAAACGATCCTGGAATCTTCATTTAGCTTGTTTTTTGACTGATAAATAGTTTCTCCCACATAATGAGTAAGAGACTGTGCAAATTAAAAAAAATAAATGCAAAGAATTAAAGAACTGTCTCAGATATATATTGCTTTTATCGCATTCCATCCACATTCAAGTCTAATCATGCTAAAGAAACTTTCAGCTTTTGCTAAGGCAATCAACCATACAAAGATGAGTAACTTTGTCTCTACTAACATTTCCTGACATCATTTATTTTCCTATTCCTTGTATTTCTCGCTTTTTTCACAAAAGTGCCTCAAAGCTACTAATAATGTAAAAATAAGCATTAATCAACTTGTAAAATAAGTGACAAGGAACTTAAATGTAAAAAATAAAAATATATGCTTCCACCACTGTTAAGATATTTCTCTTGCTTGGAAACCAGAAATTTAGTGTATCCCTTAAAACACAAAAAAGCCTTACCTTGGCTTTATGAAACAGCTTTGATTTGCGTGCTTCTTCTTCTGTCAGTATGCCAGCATAGCAGTAGCAGCCAAGAACACCAGTCAGGAGGCTGACACAACGTACTAGGATTATTGCAGATGCAACCTTCAAGTCAAACACAAAAATACATGCTAAGCTTTGCATCTGAATAGTTACTAATATTTATATAAAGTTCAGAATACAGTGGTACCTTGGGTTACAAACACTTCGGGTTACAGACTCCGCTAACCCAGAAGTAGTACCTCAGGTTAAGAACAGTTTCAGGTTAAGAATGGACTTGCGGAACGAATTAATTCATAACCAGAGGTACCACTGTACCTTCATGAATTGCAGGCTGCTAAGATGAAGCTGGTAAACACAGCGTACTTACTCTGCCTATGTGTGATTTTAGACTCACAGAACAACCCTACCTGACTGGGAACAGTGGGGCAGAGTGACCACAGCATCTGAGGCCCTGCCACTTCTGCTGGCCAAGGCAGAAAGTGGGGTTGAAGTTTTTTGTGGTAGCTCCAGGCTACTAGCACCCCACCCCAAATTGTCTGATTTTAAGGTTTTCTTCTGGCTATCACCAGCAACAGCTTCCCACCTGCCAGGGCAAAGATGTTGCCCCAGAGGTGCTCTTCTGAGCTGGTTCAGGCACAGAAAGAAACTTATGCCACCCAAGAGCAGAAAAGAGGAACTCCTCCCACTTCATTGCAGTGGCACACCCACCCACACCATGTTTAGATGAATGTCATGTAGTATGAACTGCCAGGGAAGGCTGGTCCATCAACAGGCATGGGGAACTGTCCCACTAACCTCAGCTTGCCCTCAGCAGACCCCACCTGCCCACCTTCTTAATTACAATCAGTCCAAGGAGTGGCACCGCCTATCAGCTTGCTTCTTCCTGGTCTCTGTTTCCCCTCCTAAAAATCACAGGGAGGATGGGGACAAAACTCTGGGACAAAACTGGGGACAGGCTTTGCCTGTCCTTGGATCTGACTCTCCATAATATTGGGTCTCCCTGCCTTCTTTCCTACCATTCCCAATGGGCACCAGCTACCATGGCAAGCGACCATTTATCTATTTTATTATTTGACATCTATCAAAAGCTGCTCACAAATATTCTTCAGAAGGATGGACTTTGAGAGACCTTTCTTTTCCAACTTACCTCAGGCATAAAGTTACTCAGAAGTTGTTCTGATATCTCCAACAAGTTCTGTTCTAAGGCTTCTCTGTGTTTTTGACTGACTGTTAATCTGGAACTGAGCAATTTGCTTTCACATGTATCATTAGCCACATTTCTAAAAATGCCTATTTCATCGAAAGTTGTTTGCATGTAGAATGTTTCAATTTCTGAACGGCTGGCTTCTTCTGTGTCTTGTGCATGTTGTGTACTTTAAAAAAAAAAAAAGATGACAAATATTATCTATCACTGATATTTCATGACAGTATTTGAAGCCTTTAAAACCAAACACAGAATAATTAAAACTTTAATTGTATTTTATTTCCAAAATATTATAATAGATGATATAAAGGCCTGTCTTCATATAATGAACATCTGTACCCCGTCTAATGAATTATGAACAGTCTCCCCTTTCCCACTGAATGTACAACCAGCTCTGTTCATCTCTTGAAGAGCAGGAAGATAAGGCACCATAAACCCAGCAGCAACTACACAGCCTTATGCAAAAACTGTACCTCTTTGAAGAGAAACAATACATGCACAAGTTTCTGAGGAGAGTGCTAAGAATTCCTCCTGCCATTTATAGCTGTCTATTACATGTGCAGTGAGGGCAATCCACATATAGAAACCTACTTCACAGACAGATGGTCTTTAACTGTATAAGGCAGCATTGGGGAATATCAGCCCAGGAGCCACATGCAGTCTTCAGGAAGCTTAAGCTATCATGACTGTATTTAACGAAAGCAGGAAACAAACTGGATTTTGGGAGCAACCTACTTCCCAAGTGTTTTTTCCTGCCTTTGACCAGTTGATTGAGCCAAAACCCAACCTACCAACCCTGCTAACCAAAGGGAAATTGTACCCTAATGTACTACAGTAAGAGCCACATCAATTGCTCTGGAAGACAGTATAATAATGACCTCTTAAAAACCATGTTTACCCAAGCTTGCCTGAACCCTTTTTAATTTTTAGTTGTCTTTTGCTCAGCCTCATTTGTGACACTGAGTTTTATTTTGCTTTCATCTAATTTTTAAGTAGTTTCTATTGAATGTCATTGCCCCACTTAATAATTTTTTTTCTGGAAACTGCTTAGATTTTTGTTACACACACACACTTAGACACACACACACACACACACACAGAGAGAGAGAGAGAGAGAGAGAGAGAGAGAGAGAGATGGAATGAAGACTTTGGGCTGAGAAAGGTTCTTCACCCTGGTATGGGGTCCATGAAACAGATTTGTAAATTCTGCCCATAAAACAGAGTAATTTTTAAAAATGCAACCAACTCTTAAAGATAATATCTCCAAGTGATAGAAATACTTATGTTGATCTTTAAAACATACCATTCTGAAGCATTGTGAAAAAAGTCCATTGCTGCTCTACTATTTTTCATAGTCAGACTTACAAGGATTTTTTGCAACTCTAATTTGGGAAAGTCACTGTAAAGAATCAAAAGCAAGTTTTAGACTTGACACTCCCCAATACAGCATATCTGTTTATCTCTATGAGACCTCAAATGGAAACTTGATTAATTTTTTGAATACAGAATTTTGAACAGGTGCAATAAAGGATACAGAAAAAATACATATCTGATATACTGGAACAAATAAATCTAAATTAATATTAAAAGAAATGAAAATGTTTAACTCTTGTTTAACTCTCTAACAACATATTCTACTGCCAGTTGTATTTAATTGGTAATCAAATCCATTCTGAGGGTTCAGACAAATACAATGTGTTATCTACTTCTGAAACCAAGCTGGTCAAATAAAACCTAACAATATTAAAGTTTTATTTTCCTTTGATGTAAGACTAATTCTGTTTTAAGCCACTATTTCTCAGGCTGTTACCTGCGTAGGATGGGTGGTGGCTCTGTCCTGTGTTCCATTTCCTCCTCAAAGTGGCAGAACAGAAGCCACTTCATAATGGTTTCTTTTACTGTAGAAGCCGCACTTCCTTCCCAGTCATTCTGTACTGCCTCAGTTTTCGAAGTCTCTGGCACTTCCAAAGATGTCATCGCTAATGCCAAGCACTTTGCTGCAGAACTACAAGACATTATTTGCACAAGATTACCACCTGAATTTACAGCTCCAGTGTAGACCTGCATTTTAAATTTACAAAAATAATAGTGCCTTTTTGCAGGGAGGTGAGACTGTAATTGGTTTGTTCTGATCTAAATCTGTTTTAAATATGACAAGTCTTGTGGCTGAGTCACATATGCCCCTTCACCAAAAAATCTTCAGACTTTTAACTGACATCTCCCCCGCCCCCCTCTGTGTAGGTTAACAGTTCTATCCCATACATGTGTACTTTAAAGTAAGTCACATGAAGTTAAAGGAGCTTATTCCTAGGTAAAGTATATAAGTTTTCATTCAAAAATATATTAGCTAATCTATTATAAAACACCCCAAATAGAATTTGTAATAGATAAGAGCGTTCTTATATTAGTTACAAAAATTAAATAGAAAAACAGTGAAAGCACAGCAAAAGTTTGACAAATACAATTCTGGATATTAATTGGATTTGTACAAGTTGTAGTATAGGACAGAGCACTTGAAACCCCCTTTGTCTGCCTTGCAGGGAAGAGTGTTGATTAGGGCAGTTATCCTTCTGCTGGCCACCATCTGTGTAGTGATGCTAGGCATCACTACATCGTTGTGGAGTTCCCCATTCTGTCAATTCAAAGGGTGGGAATGGGAAGGGTTGAGTCAACATGTTTGCCATCAAGTGATGGCACTGGTTCCAAGTTGTTGTGGCAAGTCCAAGCTACCACAGCAACCTGCCTATGCATCTCACTTTGCTTCATAAAGTCCCACTAGTCTGTGGAGGGGGAAGTGTCGGAAATGTTTTAAGGAGCAATCCTACTAATCTTACTAATGCAGCAGAAACAGTTGGTGCTTACGAAAGGATCCACGTTACCTTGAAGGTTTGCATGCAGATAGTGAAAATATCTTCCAAATTTCTCTATCCATTGCTATTAAGCTTCCTTGAATCATGACTTGAAGTAATCCAAAGCATTCCACTTCAGTTTGCTGAAGACTTAGGCTACGAATGACCAGAGACCAAACTTTTGACCAGATTCGCTGCAGTTCTGAGTTCTGCACAGGTTTCAGATCTACCTGTTGGCTTTGACACCATGCAACCTCTTTAAGACAACGTAACACATAAGGCATCCGTTCTCTTCGACGCTGTTGAGACAGCAGCTGGTAAAGTATACTAAGCAAATGAGGACGTTCACAGTGAGGAAAGCTCACAGGGTACTTCGATATCAATCTGGTCGTAATCTGCAGCCTTGAGGGTAGAAAAACCAGAGAGATCTGAGAAAAAATGGAACTTGGAAAATTGAGGGGACGGGGGACGGACAAGAATGAATGTTTGTTTGTTTTTACCAGGGTATGACATAAAAGTCATTCTGTGAACTTTGCAGGTTGCTCCACACCACCTCCCAACCTGATTCAATTCTCCTACGTTTGGATGGTACATCTCCACATTCTCTCTGTGTAGCAGCATACGGCTGAGTTATCTCCAGGACTTTGGTATCTTCAGTAAAGACCTTTGCAAACAGTAAGTGCATACTATAACATAACATTTTACATCAAAATATGCATTAAGAAAGAATGTTGTAAGGCCAAAGCACTGTAGCTCCCAGCTCAAAATGGTGGACCAAACAGAAAAGGCCCTCTAGATGGGGATACAGTAACTGCACCCAAGCCTCCCAAGCCCATCTTAGATTGTCACTGTGGTACCCAAGTACACATCTGTGCATGTGCACTGGGAAGTAGGGGAAAAACATGGTACTTTTAGGTCATACTGGAGTGTCTCCGTGCTCAAGCACCGTACTCTAATAGGAAAGGATTTACTCCTTTTTACAAGAAACAGTTTCTGAAAGCAAAACAATTTACCTGATGACAAATGTCAGCCATTAACTCAACCAGGCTTTCCTTCACAGCAATACTGCGCGACCCTGCAGAATACTTTCCTCTGCTGCCTATGAGGTTTATCTCGTTCACTAATAGTTCATACAGGTTGTATACAATTCTTTGCCATTTTGTCGGGTCGCATACTCCTGTTTGCACAAGAACAGGACAAATTTAGCTCTGCGTAACTTATAATATGTGAACCAACCCCCAAACAATCTGTTCAAATATTTTAAAAGTTCACCAGCTATTAAGAATACCTAATATAACAATGCAAAAAAGTAACAGTTAAATCAAACAAGTATTTGAATAGACACTATGAAAAACAATGATAGTATACTAGCCAATTTAAAAATATCTGAATACTTTCCACACAAGAATGCAGAAGTTTAGGCACCCTCCAACAGTGCAAACTGTTCCTGTAATATCTCTTCACAATTGGGCATGAAGTAACTTATGCATACCTTTTTCTTTGGCTTTCGCTCCATTTGGGTGATGAACACGAACCTGCAGCTGAATAAACTGAATGATCTGCTCCTTCAGGAAATCTTTCGGCTTATACTGATCCCATATATAGAGCACAGTTGGCAGAATTTCCTCTCCTAGCTGACAAACCCGCATACGGTAGTTGACTGCAAATACACTCAAATATACATTAATGGCTGCAAAAATATGATCGAGGCCTGCGAGGTTTCTTTCTTGCCTGCAACAGAAAAAAGTCATGTTTTGTTATAGTAACTAATTTAATGAGCATGCAAATACTAACCTCTACTGGGTATAGAGACCCAAGCTATGCTATGCTATGCTATTTTATTTTAATTCTGCCTTTTCTCCAAAGTACTCAAGGTACGCAAACCATCAGGAGGAGAAAAAATGTAGTTCAGTTCCAGTGAGAGAGAGAAGAAAACTGTACCAGAAAGGCTTTGGAAGAGAGGACAGTTATGGGACCCTGTAACTGATAGGTTGACAGTTTTTGGTAACACATGGCAGTGATAAAGGTAACTATTGTCATACATAAGGAAGAACCTAGAAAGTTGACCATATTGAGCTGACCAGAAGAGCAATAATTTCTGCTGCAGCCAAGCCTTGCAGAAAGGATTATACAAGATTGGAAAATATGGTGGCAGCTGGCTCACAGAGAAGTTTTTTTCTAAACCTTTTTATTATAAGGAGTTCTCAAAACTAAAAAAATACAGATTTTGGAAGAAAGATATCATTTCTGCTCTTGTGCTGCTTTTCCCAAGAAATGACAAATGTTTTTGAAGCAAGGAAAGTGCAATGCTTTAATTTTAAAATTGGCTCCAAATACCGTACTTGAAAGTAATTCAAAGATTTGAAAGCAAGATGTAGAAAAGATTTAGATTAGTTCAATGAGACTGAAAAGCAAGTGAACTTAGAATACATTAGAATAGTGGAGGTTTAAGTTTAGAAGAGTAACCATGTTAAACTCAAAATTGATTCACCAAAAGAAAAGGACATTTACCTTGCAAGCTGCATAGCTTTAGAGAAGAAGCTTAAAATAGTAGAATTTAACCCATCAGTTTGGAGGCACAGTCCTCTGGTCAATGTATAAATTATTCTAGCCACCAATACTTTGTTAATATCTCTACAAGGTTTGAGAAACAATTTGAAGTACAGGTTTTGAAGATCTAGAGAAGTAAATCAAATTCATATTACTTAACTAAGTCACAAAAACACGTGTTTACTAAATATTTCCAGTCCTTTCCATTGATCATTCCTATGTTAAGACTAGTTGCAATGCTAAACAGGAAGCTCCCCGGTGGGTTCATTTATGTTAAGATGTCACACACTTGAAAAAGGTGTCTCTCATTATCCCAGCCTTGTACAGTGGAACCTCAGTTTTCAAACGTAATCCATTCCGGAAGACCGTTTGACTTCTGAAACATTCGAAAACCAAAAACTGAAAGTGGAAGCCTCAATTCAATAGGGAAACTCAAAACGGAAGCAGCGTCAGACGCTCAGGTTCCAAAAAACATTTGAAAATTGGAGCATTTATTTCCGGGTTTCCTGAGATTTGACTGTATTTAAAAACTTGACTGTATTTAAAAACTTGCCTGCTATCACATCCAACAAGGAATTGTATGCAGGCAAGTGAGCTGCCTGGTGGAGAAAGGATGGAGCACCAGCTATCTTCTGTGCTCAGTACAGAATTGGGCAGGCGACCAGACAATGGAAGCACTCAGTATAGAAATACAGCATGTTGCTGCAAGAGAGTGGAGTTCTTAACCCCTCCTCTACTAGTCCCTAGAAGGCTAGTAACAAATTTGCAGGTATATGTAGGAGGACATTTTAGCTGAGAGTACCATCTCTTCCACTTTGTCTCGACTTTATGCAGCAAACACAAATACAGCATACATGCAGGTATTTTCTTCAGCAGATATGTAAACTCTGGAAGCCACAATGAGCATGGTTTTGCCACAGAGCAAAGCCCGTTAGGCCAGCTTTCCCAGGTACATAGGTTTTTAAAGATGTGTGTATGGTTCTACTGTTGTAAACCGCTTTACTTTTGTAAACCACTTTGAGGTTTTTCACAATCAAGCCGTGTACAGTCATACCTCAAATTGCATAACCTCCAGGTTATGGAATCTTCAGGTTACGGCCGCGGCAAACCTGGAAGTGGGTTTGCCCTGCACAGAAACACTCTGTGGCACCGCGCGTGCGCGCAGAAGTGGTCCTCCAGTTACGGAATTTTCGGGATACAGCTGGGCCTCCGGAACGGATCCCGTTCGTAACTGGAGGTACCACTGTATACATTTTATGAAATAAGTAAATAAATAAATGATGTCCATGCTTTTACATGTTTCTGGCAGGAAATATCAATATGTATGAAGCAATTGTATTTTCAATGTGTCTGAGCTACTCTCAATTGCCACTGCAGAAAAATTCAAGAGAGGGCTGCATCCATGTAAGCAATTTAGTTAAATACAGTGAATTCAGAAAATGAAGTCCAACTACAGCCACGTTTCATGAAAAGTGGTTATAGACAGTGAATAATCAACAATGCAATTCAGGCACATAAATGTCAATACAGATAGAAACTGTGGGAAGCAGGGTATTCTATACTCATGCAGCCCCCCACAAAAGAGCTTCCTTATTCTTTTTAAACTAAGAAGGGAACTCTGCACAAGCATACCTTTGTACAAACTGGCCTCATGATTACCCAGATCAACAATAAAATATTGTTGACATGATGAAATTGTTTGGTTTGTAATTTCAATATGAGTATGTAATTTGCGAAAATCCCTATAAAATTAATGAGGTCAATATTAAATAATAAATCAAGCAAAGCAAGGATATTAGAAAAGCCAAAATCTGATATTCAATGACAGAGGAAGAAAAACCAAGAATAGAAAAACGTAAGTTATTCTATGGTTCATTATGGGAACTTCGATTACACTGGTCAACAACAAATTTGTTGTCTGTGTTTTTTCAGCTGATTTAGGACAAATCTGATGTGCTGAATCCAAAAATCACATTGGTTTTGCTCAATCAGGTCAAGTTTTTGAGCTATAGCCACATGTCATTTTTTTACGTTTTTGTTCACATGTACGCTTGTGTGGAGCATTTTAGAAGAAGTTGGTGGGGGTAAAATGCCATGTCGAATAATTGTTTTGATTGGAAATCATTATTTTAATGACAAGAAGTATTCAGGTCCGATAGTTCTGGGTGATTATGTCGAAAAGGGATCAGTTTGAAGTCATAAAACCTCGAAAACTTCCATAAATTGGTGCGGCAAAGCATAAAGTTGGGGGATCAAAACCCCTGGCTCACTCAAGTACACTGAAGGAGAACTATGAAGGGGTGAAGTATGTGCTGGAGAAAATTGGTTATGATCAGCATAAGTGGTTTATTTGTGTTGACCTGAAGATGGTGAACTTTTTGTTGGGACAACAGTCTGGCTTCACCAAGTACCCATGTTTTCTGTGCATGTGGGATAGTAGGGACCGTGCTCAGCATTACACGAAGAAGGACTGGCCTGTGCGGGAGGAATTGGTGCCTTGCAGAAAAAGGAACGTCATCAACGACCCTCTGGTAGACAGAGACAGAATACTCTTCCCACCGCTGCACATCAAGCTTGGCTTAATCAAGCAGTTCACCAAGGCTCTGGACAAGGATAGTGACTGCTTCACTTACTTGTGCCAGGCTTTTCCAGGATTGACCATGGAGAAGTTGAAAGCTGGCATCTTTGACGGACCTCAGATCCGTCAGCTCATCAGAGATCCAGAGTTCGGAAACTCAATGAACGAAGTGGAACTGGAAGCGTGGAAGGCATTTGTTCTGGTAGTGAAGAACTTTCTTGGCAACAATAAGGCCAGAAACTACGCAGAACTTGTCAACAACATGCTGACTGCTTTCAGAAACCTGAGCTGCAACATGAGCATCAAGATGCACTACCTATTTTCACATATGGATCGGTTTCCTGAGAACCTGGGTTCAATGAGTGACGAGCAGGGGGAGAGATTCCATCAGGGCATGAAAGAGATGGAGACCAGGTATTAGGGTCGCTGGGACACAGTCATGATGGCTGACTACTGTTGGACTCTGAAGAGAGACCTCCCTGCCGCTGAGCATTCCAGGAGTTCCAAGAAATGGAAGTTCAAGCCCTGAAGTTTGAAAAATGGTGAAGCAACATGCAGTTTACGTGTACTTACCTTTATCAATGCCCACCATTCAGTTTACAGTAATCGATGTTTCTATCAGGAAATCAATATATATTGTTGGAGAAACATTTTTTTCTCTTAAAAACATATTTAGGATGATATGTGTTGTCAAAAATCAGCTGATAATGCCACAAAAATGTAATCGATTTTGTCAGAAGATCTGATTTTTTTCAAATCAACATAGCACAAAAACCTGACCTGATGGAGAGAAACGGATGCCATTTCCTGATTCAGCAGTGCAAAAATACCCTAAATCAGTTGTAGAAATCTAGACAACATTCAAAAAGTAAAAAATTGTTGCCCAGTGTTATTGGAGCTATATAGCACACATCTTCAAAGAAAATAAGTTCTGCTATATAAAATGTCTCTTGACGTCACTTCCAAGCAGTTCATGGGATTTCAAGCATAGGAATAATATCTACAAACCTGACCACTGTTGTGAAGGGATAGCACACCAATATGTCCTCACTGTAAGAATATCCTTTAACAATATGCTGCTACAATCAGTTCCATAAATGGCACAACTTGATGGATCATTTACTGTGTCCATGACAAAAATCAGAAGCTCTTGGCATTTTAACCTGGGTGCTCCTGTGCAAAAGCAGAATATAAATGTGAGTTTTTAACTTTTATGAGTGATCTCAAACCAGGTCAAATTCAGGGAAAATCTGTTGAAATACAACCAAAAATTGTAGCATTTATTAGAAAACAAGTTACCTGATACATGGTAGAGTTAATGAAATGAACTGTAGGAATTTTTTTCGAAAATATATCTTAATTATGTCTGTACTGAGTCACTCACTTTTATTGGCACATCTGATGAAATATTTGACCAAAGAGCTGATCTCTTGCATCTTTTTATGTCGTGTTGCTTGGGTTGATGCAGACACATTTGGTTTTGCTAATCTTGCACTTTCAGTTTCCTTCTTAATGTACTTCTGAAGAAAACTTAAAAGGCAAAAAATAAACACTATTTATAGGCACATAATCTAATTAAAATAAAAAAAATGCTCAGCAGCAACAACAATTTATTCTTTTAAATAGTGAAGTTTCAGTGCAAGCTCTTCTATGATATTCTACTAGATCCTTCTGCTCCACAGGGATATTAAAAAACATATGCTATGCAATGTGTGACTTGCTTACCTTGAGAAAATACAGGCTGTCTCTGGACAATCAGGGCAAACTACACATGATCACAGTCACAACATTTCTCAGGCTGGAAAAGCACAGCACAACCCTGCGGCTGCTGTGCTCACTACTCTGACAAGCAGGAGGGAAAGGAAAAAATAAACACTGGGTGTGCTGATGAGATATATAATAGCCATAAGGAAGAGGTACAATAGCTGGATGAACTGATACAGAGGGTGGCCAAGCAACCTCTGAACATTCACTTGATTGGCTAAAATAATGATATATTGCTTCCTTTCTAGTAATCAAACCACAACAAATAATGTAGCATAGCAGTAAAGAGACTGATAGGTGAACCAGAAGTCCTATGTTCAATTCATGGGTTCCTGAACTGTTTCAGATATTTGATGTCCTCCTTTTCAACTTAAATTTCTAGAGTGATTTCTAACACAAAATGAAGTAATAATTAATCACAGTTATAGCAAAACAGCAATCAGATAAAATGTGAGATAAAAAAGAGATCTAAAAGAAACGGAAAATAATATAATAATAATAATACCCTGCCCATCTGGCTGTTTCCCCAGCCACTCTGGGCAGCATCCAACAAAATATAAAAAATAAAACATCAAACATTAAAAACTTCCCTAAAAAGGGCTGCCTTCAGATGTCTTCTAAAAGGCAGATAGTTGTTTATTTCCTTGACATCTGATGGGAGGGCGTTCCACAGGGCAGGCGCCACTACCGAGAAGGCCCTCTGCCTCTTTCCCTGTAACCTTGCTTCTCACATGTGATGGAACCGCCAATAGGTGCTCAGAGCTGGACCTCAGGCTGAACAATGGGGGTGGAGACGCTCCTCGAAAGGTTTTCTCCTGGTGCCGAAAAGACAACAGACTCCCTAGATGGCCTTAGCTCTTACCTAGATGGCCTTACCTGGAACCCCTATCCCAAATTTACAATCTGGGGGCAAGTACAGACTTTGCTGTGTTTTTGTAAGAATTACTGAGATGTTTGTCGAACGCTTGATATTCAACAAAGTTTAACACACATCAAAATATTGTACCTGAATACAGTATCCCAGTTCATCTGTTTGCCATTTTTGGAATCAGAATTTCGATCCAGCTGTTGAATTGTTTCAGAATCCCTGATGAGACGCTTGAACTTCTCAATTTCCTTCTAAAAAAGTAATCCAGAATAAAGAATAACACTATCATGTTATTGTACTGTTGCATATTAGAAGTGCAGGAATGGTGGTTTATTATTACCTTTCGGTCTGTGGCCTTGTCACTTTCAAGATGGCGGCAGCAAGCCAACAGGTCTTGGAGTGCAAAATTCATGGCTCAGCTAAGTTGTAGATGCACTCATAGCATGAACCTGAAAAGGGAAATAACAATAGTTTTTTCAATAGAGCCGGTGTGGCACAATGGTTAAGTGTTTGGCTCTGGAGACCAGGGTTCAAATCCCCACTCAGACATGAAGCTCACTGGGCGTACAGTCACCATCTCTTAGCCCAACCTACCTCACAGGGTTGTTATGATAATTTAGTGTGGCAGCACCTACTCTCTGGAACTTCCTGCGTATTGATATCAGGCAGGAGCCTTGACTACCCTTTTTGACACCTGCTTAAAACATTGTTTAGGCAAGCCAATGCAGGCCCGTATAAATTACGTTTTTTACTTCTTTTTAGTTACTGCTGGTTTTAATCATTGTCTGACTATTTCTAAATACAGTACCTGTTTTTAACTAATACTGTACTGTAGTAACTTTTAACTGTACTGTAATTTGAATGTTTTGTTTTATATTTTTGTAAACCATTTAGAGGTTTTCTTTTCTGAGAGCCAGTGTGGTGTAGTGGTTAAGAGCGGTAGTCTCGTAATCTAGGGAACCGGGTTCACGTCTCCGCTCCTCCACATGTAGCTGCTGGGTGACCTTGGGCTAGTCACACTTCTCTGAGTCTCTCACCCCCACTCACCTCACAGAGTGTTTGTTGTGGGGGAGGAAGGGAAAGGAGAATGTTAGCCGCTTTGAGACTCCTGAAGGGGAGTGAAAGGCAGGATATCAAATCCAAACTCTTCTTCTTCTTACAATTGAAAATAATGAAGCGGCTTCCAGATCAGCCCCACTGCTGTAAATGTATTACATTTGTTCAATAAGATTATCATATGCCCCAATTTTATTGCATTGTAGTCTGTAGAACTAGGTTAGACAGCATCTAATCAATTGAATACTAATAGAACAACCTGGAATTGCTGACTCGTTTCATGTCAAGGTTCTCCTTCAGGATAAGTTTGATACTTTTACACTGGCTGTAGCAAAATTTCTCCCAGAGGCAGTAAACATTATTGGAGGGTGCAATAATGAGCATGCCTAAGGCAACGTGTGTGTATAAGCTTGCCTGCAAGCTACATCCTGTGTATCAGCTCTGCTTTTATCTTCAGATGGGTGTGTTAGTCAGCATTTAGGAAAATGGAACTAGGCGCATCCTTTCTTTAAATATTTTAAAATATGTTCCATAAATGAATTATGAATTCCCAGTTAAGAATTTACAACTAAGCTTTGAATTCCCAGTTAAAGTCCAAACATTTGAGGCAGTTATGTATCACTTAGGCTTTTTCTGATGCGTGGTTCAGGTATGTTGATGTAATAACCTGATCTATTGATTTATAGGTTGTCAATGTGGCACCCTGTTGTCTTTGTCCATGGAGTTTTCTTGGCAGGGATACTGGAGTGGCTTGCCGGTTCCTGCTCCAGCCCTGAGTGCTCACTGGAAGGACAGATCACTGGAAGGACAGATCCTGAAGCTGAGGCTCCAATACTTTGGCCACCTCATGAGAAGAAAAGACTCCCTGGAAAAGACCCTGATGTTGGGAAAGATGGAGGGCACAAGGAGAAGGGGACAACAGAGGACGAGATGGTTGGACAGTGTTCTCGAAGCTACCAGCATAAGTTTGACCAAACTGCGGGAGGCAGTGGAAGACAGGAGTGCCTGGCAGGAGTGCCGTGTCCATGGGGTCACGAAGAGTCGGACATGACTAAACAACTTAACAACAACAACAACGTGGCACCCGCAGAGGTCTTCTCTGAAACATGCTGGCTGCCATTCCCCTAGCTCCTCCCCTGGATAAGAATTGAAGGAGGGGGGGTTACAGCAAGGAAGGGGACCACTAACTTGGAGGGGAAAGTGAAAACACTTTTCCAATCCTAATTGCTTTTAGAAAGAGGTGGGGGAGAAGAGCAAGTCTGCTGTTGCACTGCATGCACGGTACCCACGACAGCTTCTCTACAGGCCCAAAGGTTAAAAAAAAAGTCTGGCAACCCCTGATTTATGATGCATTCCGCATTTGTTTTAATCAACGCGATTTCATTGTTGATCTGATGTTATTCGCCACTACTTTGGTGTGTAACAAAGTAATTTTAAAGTACATAGTAATGAATGTTATTCATTTTAAAGTAGTAAATGAATAACATTCATTTACTACTTTAAAAATTACTTTGTTACTCACCAAAGTACTGGTGAATAACATCAGATCAACAATGTTATTCATTACTAATTTAAAATGTTATTGACAGAACACTAAATTTTGCAGCTAAATAAATTCAAGTTCAGCCGTTCCCTTCCGACGCTTACCATTTTGCGCTAAAGGGCAAGGATGCCACACAAGCGACACTCTAGAAGGAAGGGACCTGAGGGGCTCAGGGCAACGGCCCGCGTGGCCGAGCCCCCTGTTCTCACAGCTCTGGGAATTGCGTGACCCCCCCCCCCAAACCCCCACTTACACGACGACTTCGCACCGCCACGTCCCGCTCACGGCAGCTGGGACGTCCAAGGCCGCCGTGACGAGGCCGAGGCGGGTCGTGAGGGAGGGAAGACACCGGCCACCCCGGTCCCGCCTCAGAGGCCACGCGGGCAAGACGGCGGCATTCTTGCCAAAGGGGTGGGAGAGAGAGGAAGCGGCCGGAGGAGAACGAACGGAGAGAACGAGAGGGATGCGAGGGAAAACGAAACCGAAAAGATGAATGGGGGCGGGGGGGAGCGAAGTGAGGCGGAGCGGCGAGGCTCGCGCCAGGAACGAGCGGTGGGCGGGGCCTGAAGGGACCCACAGCGCGGGCTTCTCGCTTCTTGCGCGCGCAGCCGCCCTCGCGCTCCGACGAACGCGGGGAGGCGTGGCTGCTCCGCGCTCATCCCCAATCGACGTGGTGTTTTGCGCCCCCCATCCCACTCGCGTTCTAATCCCACCCCCGCTGCCGGAAGCGGAAAATCTCCTGTTTTCGCTCCTGCTGCCGGAAGTCGGTGGGCGGGACGTAGGCTGACGGCTACTGATGCTGTTGTGGAGAGGTTTTGGGCGCGGAGAGAAAGGGGAGCGCGGATAACCGCCTTTTCTGAGAGTTGCTGCCGCCGCTGCCCCGCTGGGGCGGGAAGGGTGCGGACCCCCCCCGTCCCTCCCTCAGGCCCCCTCACCATGTTACTGCCGTCCGACGTGGCACGCCTGGTGCTAGGTAAGCGCGAGCGAAGGGTTCCTCTCCTGAGGGGGCTTCCGGGGAAAACGGGCCCCTCTTTTTGCTCCTGGCCCCGCGGTGTGTGTCTGTGTGTGTTTCTGGGGGCCTCCGAGAAGGGCAGGCCAAGGGCGCCCCTCGCATCTCCCACCGTTTCCAAAGCAGAAGAGGGACACGCCCGCGATGCCCCAACTCCTAATTCATCGCCGCCGCCGCCACACTGTTGTGTTTTGTTGTGAAAAGCTTTGCTCCCTCTCCTGCACATATCGCTGTTCTTTATTTACTATTCCATAGCCTGCCCTAAAAGCAGAAATATTGTCGATCGTTATTTTTGTACTTCACCATCGCCGTCCTCCGCGGATCTAAGAGCTAAAGCGCGGTTAATTTTGTTTATTGCTTTACTCCGCCGTAGCTCGTCTTCTTCCACTAGGGTCACGGGCTAAGGCGTTGTTTATTACTTATTTGTTACATATATATATATATGATGCTCTCCCAGCCGCCCACCTTTTATTCCCCCCTTTCTTTTCTTGCTAACATGGCTCCCAAAATGGCTTAGAATCACAAGATGGCTGTGTGTCTGTTGTGGGGAGAGAAGGAAGAAGGGTGATTTTTGTAGCTTGCTATTTTGGCTTTTCCTACTTGGTGGTTCTTTGGTTAAGGATATATTAGGTAGTGGCCTATTCTATCCATGTTATAACAATATAGCAGTAGCTGTCATAAGTGAAATGCCAGTCTATGCAGGCATTGTGAGCCTAGGGCTTGCTGATCAGAAGGTCGGCGGTTCGAATCCCCGCGACGGGGTGAGCTCCTGTTGCTTGGTCCCTGCTCCTGCCCACCTAGCAGTTCGAAAGCACGTCAAGTGCAAGTAGATAAATAGGTACCGCTATGGCAGGAAGGTAAATGGCGTTTCCGTGCGCTGCTCTGGTTTGCCAGAAGCGGCTTAAGTCATGCTGGCCACATGACCCGGAAGCTGTCTGCAGGCAAACGCTGGCTCCCTTGGCCTATGGAGGGAGATGAGTGTCGCAACCCCAGAGTCGTCCGTGACTGGACCTAATGGTTAGGGGTACCTTTATGCTTATATATACATGTATAAGGGCTGCCCCCATCCAAACTGGACTACAATCTTATGCATGGTTAGCTGGAAATACTCAACTGAATAAGATGCAAATGCTCCACCAAATAAGGTGGAACTTACTTCCTAGCAAGCATGAGTAGAATTGCAGTGGCACCCTGGATTTAATGTCTAGTTCCCGGAGAAGGGAGTTGAATCATTGAATTGTAAAGTTGAAAGATGCTGAGGATCAACAAGTCCAATTGGTGCAATGCAGGAATCTCATCTAAAGCTTCCATGACAGATGGCCATCCAACCTCTGCTTAAAAACCTCCAAGGAAAGCGGGTCCACCATCTTCCAAGAGAGTCCGTTCCACTTTTGAACAGCTCTAACCACCAGAAAGTTCTTCCTGATGCTTAGAGTGAGACGGCTCTGGTTGCCCTAACAGATGATCTTCGTAGACAGCTGGATCAAGGCGGGTCGGGGCTGCTGATTCTTCTAGATCTGTCAGCAGCTTTCGACATGGTCGATCACGAACTTCTGGACCACCGCCTTGCCGACGTGGGATCCAGGGCACAGTTCTTCAATGGCTGCACTCGTTTCACTCTGGTCGGGGACAGAGGGTGGCGCTTGGGGGGGAATTGTCATCGCGCCACTCCTTGGTGTGTCGAGTACCTCAGGGTGCGATACTCTCCCCGATGCTTTTCAACATCTTTATGCGCCCTCGCCCAGCTTGTTCGGAGTTTTGGGCTGGGTTGCCATCAGTATGCCGATGACACCCAACTCTATCTGTTGATGGATGGCCATCCTGACTCGGCCCCAGACACACTGACCAGATGTTTGGAAGCTGTGGCTGGATGGTTACATGGGAGCCGGTTGAAGCTAAATCCTTCGAAGACAGAGGTCCTGTGGCTGGGACGGGACGATATGGGATTGGGGGGGCAACTCCCATCTCTTGCGGGGGGCGCAATTAGTGCCAGCACCGTCCGTTAAGAGTTTGGGTGTAATCTTCGACACCTCCCTTTCCATGGAGGCGCAGATTGCAGCTATAACAAAGGCGGCATTTTTCCATCTCCGCCAAGCTAAGCAGTTGGCTCCTTACCTCTCTCGACCTGACCTAGCCACTGTGATCCACGCAGCGGTCACCTCCAGACTGGATTATTGTAACTCGCTCTACGTAGGGCTGCCCTTGAGACTGACCCAGAAACTCCAGCGGGTGCAGAATGCTGCAGCGAGACTCCTTACGGGGTCTTCGCTGCGAGATCACATTCACCCGGTGCTATACCAGCTGCACTGGCTCCCGGTGGAGTACAGGATTAGGTTTAAGGTGCTGGTTTTAACATTTAAAGCCCTATACGGCCTAGGACCCTCGTACCTACGGGACCGCCTCTCCTGGTATGCCCCACAGAGAAACTTACGGTCTTCAAATAAAATCATCTTGAAGGTCCCAGGCCACAGAGAAGTTAGGCTGGCCTCAACTAGAGCCAGGGCTTTTTCGGCTGTGGCTCCGATCTGGTGGAACACTCTGTCACAAGAGACTAGGGCCCTGCGGGACTTGACATCTTTCCACAGGGCCTGCAAGACAGAGCTGTTCCACCAGGCCTTTGGCCAGGGCACAGCCTGACTCCCTCCCTCGGCAGTCTTCGCAGAGCTCTGGCCCAATGGTTGCCAGTGGCTTGAATTAATTAATTTTATAATGAATGATTTTAGAGTGTTGTTTATGCTGTACTTTTGTACTGTTTTATGTTGTTAGCCGCCCTGAGCCCGGCTTCGGCTGGGGAGGGCGGGATATAAATAAAATTTATTATTATTATTATTATTATTATTATTATTATTAGTTGGAATCGCCTTTCTTTAGTTGGAATCCTCTCAGGAACTGGCAGTGATGCTTTGGGTTCAGAAGGCAAATGAGCAGTGTTGCCCTATGTGTGCTGCCCTACCAATTGCTATTGCTCATAAGGAGGGCAGGAAACTTATTTTATTTGCATAAATTCAGTTTATAGCGAGCAAGAGAGGAACTGCTATTAGTAGTTTTTACAAACAAGAAAATATAACCAGCTGCTATTAACTTTGTTGTCAGTTAAATTCTTGTTTATATTCCCATTAAAATGAAATTTAATTAATAAAAGTAGACAAAGCTATTTACATAATTGTTTAATAGCAGATGGTTTTGTTTTCTTTCATCATACCATACAGAGTGATTCTCTGAAGTCCACATGAAGACAAAAACACAGGAAAAAGTCACAATTGCTCTCAGTAAGGGAGCACTTGCTCACATCTTGCTATAGATTTCACATCACCCCAAAGAAGAGTGCTGGTTTTGTCAAATCCTAAATCTTGAATGCATTGCATTGTAATTAGGGTTCCCCACTACAAACCAAGCTTTGATGCAGACTGGGATCAATCTTCTCCTTGTCCACCCACCTGTGTTTGCTTGAGTGAAATCATGCTTTGCTATCCACGAGTTGCATGTGTCCCATCTTCAACATCACCAGACACCTACACATACTTTAATAAGGTGCATAATGTGCTGGCATCACATGGTTGTTTTCCACATTGTAAGTTGTATATCAGTTCAGGCCACATGTGTTTAAATGTATCCTTTTATGTGTATACATTCAAATGTTACGTTTGTGTGTGGCTGCTAAGTGGATCAGACATGTAAAGTGGAGCTGCACATATTTGTTCCCACCACCACCATGCATAAACAGAACAACAGGAAAAGCAATGTCCACGCTGTTTCTTTGGTACATGGTTCATGTTTCCAGTTTGGTAATAAAGGCACAGATAGCAATATAAATATATATATTAGCAGTCTTATCATGGGTTGCATCCTCGTTCATACCATATTTATGTGAATCTATTGCGCACCTCAATTTTTGAAACCTTGAAACCAAAAAAGGATTTGCTGGCGCCATCAAATCTAATGTGCTCCCTAATTTTCGTGAAGTGATTTGGCCAAAAAACGTGCACATTACATTCAAGTAAATATGGTATTTTATAACTCTGAACTTTAAATCACTGAATTTCTGAAAATATTTATTGGCTTTCTTCAGAAAGTGTTTCTAGCTGTTGTTGTTGCTGGTTTTGAAATGGTATCGTAATACGGCAATCCTAAATTTATCTGCTCAGAAAAAAGTCCCACTGTATTCAATGAGATTTTCTCACAAGTAAGTGTGTGCAGGATTGCCTTGTAAAAGAACATTCCATATAAACCAGGCTAGACTCCTTTTCACAGTGGAATGATCATTTTTAAAACTCATGATAAATATATGAGTTTAAGTATAATATCATTGGCTTTAACTTCTTGCCTCGTTCATATTGGCACAAAGGGTCAGAAAATATTTTGTCTGTTACAGGTTATTTACAACAAGAAAAGCTTTTAGCCACATGTCGGGCATTTATACTAGAAAGCTCAGATTTAAAAGAATACGCAGAGCACTGTACTGGGGAAGGCTTTGTTCCAGCTTGTTTACTGGTGAGTACATATTTGTGAGAAAGGTGGCTGTAAGTTTTGATCAGCCCCTGAGCTTTCTACTTTCCAAGATAGTTCTGCATAATGAATATTTCAACTTAAGGTTGATTCAGGTAATAAATGTTAGGAGCTCAGCCTACACTCGAGTAGGACCCTGGTAGAAACACATGCCTGACTGGCATGTTCCCTCCCTCCTGGTCGATCATTCGGGAGCTTCAAAAGCTTTCTTCTGCCCGAACATCACAGCGACCGATGCCAACAGACACCAGCACACTTAGGGATCTGCAGAGCCTGCACAGTTCGCATGACAGACCCCAGCAACTCAGCATGTTGGCTAATCTACTTTATTTACATATAAACACACACGGAGCACTGCAACATGGCTCCCTCTCTCTCTAGCATCAGACAGCAAAGAGAAAGAACAAAGGACAACAGTCGCACTTCACAGAATACAGTAACACAAACATCCTGTCTCCGTCGCTTCCCACTCTGTGGAGTCAAAACATATACCGTCATGTGAAAGACAACAGTCCCATAACTGCAAATCATTTATCTAACAATAAATACCCCTCCACTGCATGGTGAGCTTTGGAGTCCACATGAAAATTGCTTGCTTGAGTCCAAATGGCATCCATAACCATTGTGCTTTGGATAGACAAGACATTTCCAGTATGTTGTTGCTGGAAGTTGTGTAGTTGAATGCTGTTCTTTTCCTTTTTTTTCTTTAGTCTCTCTTTGGGAAAAACTTAATCACCATCCTGAATGAGTATATCACAATGAAATCGAAAGGTAAGAAGGGGTGTTGGGACTGGAAGATACAAGTTATAGATTTGGCTATTTTCTCCATTAGTGGGGGGTATATTGTGCAATATGTTTTCTTTAGACTTATAATCCACACTCTACTCGGTGACGTCAGGACAGAGTACATAAATTATTAAACACAATTGATCTTTTTAAGTAAAATAAATTCAAGGTGGCTTAAAATTAGTTTAGAATTTAAAAAAAAAGTCACCAATGAAAACAAAAGAGCAGGAGCAATAGACAAAAAACTTAACACCAGCCAGTCACTCAACAGCAGAAAGAAGGGACCAAGAAACTGCAAAGGAAGAGGAAAAACAAAACTAGCCCAGTGGGGACTGAGCAGAGTCAGAGCTGAGTGGCTGTTGCTGGGGGAAGGAGGAATGGAATAGAATATACTTGAAGTTTGCATGGCTGGCTGGAACCCTTAGCAGAATTTTTCAACAGTGTGACATTTTCTTACATACCCCACTTGTACATCTAGACTCCAAAAATGATCCTCTTTATGCTAAAGCAGCAGCACCATTTTTAAAGAAATTAGAATCATGATCTCTTTATTGTGTAGCCTTTCCAGTTGATTCATAGATCAACCAGTCCTTTTCACATTTGACACAAGTTTTGTCTGATGTGTTTCTTTAAAGAAGCAACAAATGATGTTCCAGCAATGATGTCGTCTTTATGGAAGAAGTTGGACTACACACTTTCTCAAATCAGGTAATTTGTATTGAAAGCAAATACTAGTCTGCATGTCACAGGGAACCTTTGTCATCTTATTATAGGGCTACATTCCTCCTATGTGCTTACTACGGTTGCATTTTGGTGACGTCTTGGTGTTTTCGTACTGATTTTATCTCACTGATGCTTGTAAGTTATTAGACGTAGCATGCTGATGTTTTAAAGCTTTGTCTGATCAGAATGATAAAAGTGGTGCCAAGGAAAGCTCCAGCCGCCTTTTATGGGCTGGGAGTGGACCACAGTGAAAACTGCTGCAGTCAGGTCCACTCCCAAAGCCCCACCCTGCAGGCCCAGCCAGATTGGCTGAATTCAAATAGGGGGTTTGGTGGGAACTCCTAAAGTGCTTTGTGGTTGGCCCAGTGATTTTCAACTACTGGTTGCACAATGGAATTTGCATGGGGGGGGGGGAGGGTATCACAGCTGGATGTGATGGGCCGCAACCACCACCCACTCCAAAATCTGTAAGCAGCCACTTCTGCAACCAGCCAACCAACCCCAAAGCACATATATACTTCCAAAATAAAAGCAAGCTTATTTACTACAAAATGTTAATCATGGTGATTGTGTATTTGAAAATTGTTCATCTTACCATAGAAATATGTTACTGATAACAAAATTTTAATTCGTGTTTAATTTTGATCCCCACCCCCCATTGCTTTAATCTCTAATCTAAACGTCCATGTAACTATTGTCTCACTACTCCATATGAAGCCAAGTTTCCCTTACACTTGTATATTGAATTCTAATTTCACTTGGCAATTTGATTGTTGCAGGAGCATGCAGAATTCTGGTGCATTTTGTGCTCATCAACGGGGTATGTATCAGAAAACATCTATTTTATGTAATCTGAATTCACCCCTCTAAAACCTTGCAACTTTTCCCAGTCCAAGAGGAAATCGACTGGAAATCAGTCGAATTCATTTCAGTATGACTTGTACATCATAGTATACTTAGAATTGCAATCTTATTGTAATAAGAAATTTTCTGAAATATTTATAATAGAACTGTTAACATTTGACAGTGTAAATGTGATGGATTTGGCCCATAGAGGCAGAGCTTAATATTTTCGTGGTGTATTAAAGCTGGAAATCCTTTATCTTGTATCTCTGAAGTAAGCATTGAGAGTTTTGTTTTCTTCATCACCCACCCAACAGACTGGCAAGTTCAGCTTGTCACTGTACTAGTTCAGAGTGATTGGAAGTAGGAAAACAACAGTTGTCCTGATCTGGAAGTGATCCAGGAAAATACCATGTGTTATTTCTGCCGTTTAAATCAGCTCTTGGACTCCATAATCCTGGAATGTGGACAAACTCTTTTCACTTGTAGCATGTGTCAACACTCCTGAATCTTGTGTGTGATTCCATAGTAGTGCCAGCAAGCAGCTGGCTGCCTCTTTCAGTAGTTGACACCAAATCTATTTAGCAACAAAACTAACTGCATTCCTGATTTGGTTCAAAATTACTTCAGGGGTGAAGGAACATTTGGTTTTACTGCAGTGCCACAATTCAGCTCTCAAAGTAGTAAAGGCACAGCTTAAGAAACTAACAGTCTGTTGAGATGGGCTCCTATCTCCTTTTATTTTATGTCTTTTTCTAGGCCGCACAAGAAGTGCAATTGCAGATATGAAAAAGCAGAGATGTATTCCGCAATCACTTCCCTCAAATTCAGGGTCCTCTGTAGCTCATCAGCCAGGACAACTGACCTCTGCTCCAATGGCAGCCACACAAGTTATTCTTAAACCAACTGTAATCCCAGTTATGGCCCAGACAAGATCAGGTTCTGCATTGGCACACCAGTGCCAAGTACAAGAAAGCAATATTAACAGTAAGTTTAAATACTCAATTCCGTGGTCTTTTGGAGGGTGTTCCAGGGTTTGCACAGTTTAGCACAGTGTTGGGGAACCTCATGCTTGACCTCCAGGCCTCCCTATCTGGCCTATGGGACTTTCCCCAGCCCACACAACATCCTGATCCACAACCCAGCTTCACAGCCTCTTTAGGTGTTTATTCCTGTCTGGAATAGGTCATTGAACTCTGCTAATGTCTTTAGTTTATCTAGATGGAGGATAGAGAGGGATGTGTGAGTGTGAAGAAACTGGCTTACTGTACAAAGGAATAAAATTCACATGTGTTGCTCCACTTACTTTTGCCTCTGGCCCTGCCCACTACTGAAATGTTGCCACCTGAATATTGCCCAGAAGGGAACATGGCCTTGGGTTGAAAATGGCTCCCCACCTCTGGTTTAGCAGATCTCCCTCCCCACTTTCAGATACCTGTCAGGTGAAGCAGGAGGTTCTGCCTAAAGAGGAGTTCTCCTATCAGTTGTAGAAACCTCTACGACTATTCCTGTCCCAACAATGAAGAAGACAAAAAAGATGTCTTCTGGAGATGAATCAGAGGATACGCATTATCCCTATAAGCTGGCGTACTTCTTTTCTTTTTCGCTGAGACCAGTGGAAAAGAAAACCATTAAAAAACAATACAGCCACCCCACCCCACTTTCTACTCTAGCAATGTGAACCTGGCAGGGCTTTGATTTTTTTCCTGCTCCTCCACCCTGGATTCTTCCTCCTTTGCCCCCAGTTGTTACTGGTCCTTTGTTTTCCTTTTGTGTATGTTTGTGAGAGAGTGGTTAGAATGGATATGCTGAAAGAGCCAGGTGAACTGAAAGCAATGAAACTGGCTTTCTGGCACTAAACCTGGGAAATGTGTTAGAATCTATAGTTTTCCCTGAAAACACAACAAAACATCCTCATGACCTGGTTATTTGAGAGATCATCTTATTGATTTTACACCCAGTAGGTCACTATGTTCTTCTACATGAGAGTTTCTCCTTGACATTCCTAAAATAACTGAATCCCACTCCACAGTAACCCCTAGCAGGGTTTTCAGTGCAGCTGCTCCTTTGTTGTGTGGAATACCATTACTGCTGAGATAAGACAGGCACCCACTGCTTGTACCTGCTGATCAGTTAAATATATTTTTGTTTCAACAAGCTTTTCCACTCAGATGAAAAGGTCTGTCTTAGGTGTTCATTATCGATAGTTTTAAAACCCATCTTTACTTGTTTTTTGTACTGCTTAAAAAAACCTTTTCAGGTATTGTTTTTGTAAATTGCCTTGAAACACATGTGGAGGACGATAAAGAAATAAAATGGGGAAAATATTTTGTTTAAAAAGAGAGAAGAGGGAAATGTCTACCGTATTTCAATTGCCTGTTGTCATTTGTCATTGCCTTTCCTATTGGCAACAGAAAATGTTTGGTAGCCTAAAAAATCTTAATCAGAAGCAACATTTGTCTCACTCATTTTTTCTTTTTAAAGCAGGAGACACTGCAAACTTGGTTTCTGCACCCCAAGAACGGAAGCTTCACTCGAGCATGGTGTCTCCCGGAAAAAGAAAAGGGTAACTTCTAATTCTTGGCTAATGTGTTTTATAATTTATGAATCTTGTTTATGTTTTGAAGGGCACCTAATCCTCTATTTACAACAGTGTATTCACCCTGCTCCTTTTTACTATTCCCTTCTGTATGAATTCATTTGAAGTCACTTCCCTCATTTCTGCCCTCAACCACAGGGCTGCATAGTTGTGCTCACTTACCTGGGAGTAAGCCCCATTGAACTCAATGGGACTTACTTCTGCATAGACATGTATAGGATTGCATAGTTAACCTTGTGTCTACAGACTATAAACCATTAGGTTATGCGGCAAGTACTCTTAACAGGTGTTGATCTCATTTAAGGCCACTAAGTTCCTCTGAGCAAAGAGCCAGAGGAATGAATAGATAAGATTTACAACATGAGTTGCAGTAAATTTCCTAAATTTATGCCTTTCTCATTTCTTGAAACTTCTGAAATACTTCAGTGACTTCCAGAAGAAAAAAAACATTGTATCATCGGGATCACAATTATCCAATTGTGATTTACGGGACACTCCAATGGTGGAAGAAGAAAGCTCACCCATGGAAGAAGGAAGTGAACAGCTAGAACTTATAGAGGGTGACCTTCCAGTAAGCCTTTTTAAAAAACTGCAGAACAGCACTTACTTTCTTTTTTCTACTCGCCTTTTGTTTCTCCTTCCCCACACCCTTGCAGTTTGTTATTGCAATTCCAGCTTCATTTATTGCTATGAAAAATTCAGGTAATAAGGCATTTTTAAAGACTTTCCAGAGTGTGTCCCTTTTTGGTATAGCTTATAATGGTGTTTCTGGGCCAACTTTTAAATTTAATCCAGAAAGGTTTAGATGCATGACATGTAGTCTTTATGTCTGTACACACATATGAATGTATAAGGGCCAGCCCAAGAGATTTTGGCACCTGAGGCAGACACCAAAATGGTACCTCCCTCCTCACCAGAGAAGAAGAGGTCAGGGAAGAATTGTATCAGGAACAAGGGGTGGAAGAAAGATTGACATCGGGATCTGCTGTTCCAGTGGACCCTGCTGCATGAGGCGGTCACCTTACCTTGCCTCATGGGTAGGCTGGCCCTGAATGCACATAATAAACGTGCATAAAGTATATAATAGTATATAAAGTATAAATAGGACTTAAATCTTGCTCCTCTTAAGATTGGTTTGGAGACATGAGAGCAATTTAGAATTGCTATAATAAAAGAATCATAAAGACCCTGAGGATCATCTAGTCCAACTCCCTGCAATGCAGGAATCTTAACTAAACATTCAATGAAGGAGGCACCTCTGGATAAGGGGGTGGGATGTTACTTAATAGTGTTGGTAGAATCAGTTTTTCTTACCTTTTTTAGTAATTTTGGACTGCTTCAAATTTGTTTTCTAGCAAATGATTATTGAAAATGCCAGAGAGAAAATTCTGAGCAACAAATGTCTTCAGGAGAAGCTAGCTGAAAACATTAACAAATTCTTGGGCAGGTAAAAGAACTTTCTTGACACCTCCTGTTCCAAATCTGTAAATTATTTTGGAAGCCTGCTAATTATTTGTAACTGTCTGTTCCAGTGATGGCAATATTTCTCAGACAGCAAAACAGGCAGACAGTGGCCCAACAATACAAGAGTCCTCAATTGATGAATTCCTTGGTCTTCAGGTAAGTTTCCAAGAACTAATGCACACTCATATATAAAATGTATTTGATGCCTGGCATGCATTTGTAAGTGAAAAAGCACACCAAATGGTTAAAGAATCAGCCCACATTTCTTACTTTAAAGCAGACTGCATTACTTGTCACTCACTTAGCCAAGCTGCAGACCGCCAGCTGTGTATGACAGCCATCAGTGCTTGATAAACCACCTTCTTTTGCTGTCTTCATGGGACTGCAAAACCAGGGGTGTTAGCAAGGCCAAAGCAGGCCACAGTATGTTGCTGATGCTCCGCATTTCATCTTGGTGGCTTGCAAGTTGTGCAGACCTTACAAGTAACTGAGGCACAGTTAACTGGGAATATTATTACCCTGAACCTTATTGAAATTAATGAGAGCTGTACGATAGCACAGTTACCATCCTTTGTGACTATCAATCAGTAGGACTTCTAAAGAAGTTCTTGGTTGTGCTTAAAATCATGGTTTTGGTTGCTATGTCTACACCAGGCATCCCCAACCTTTGGCCCTCCAGATGTTGTGGACTACAGTTCCCATCATCCCTGACCATTGGTCCTGTTGGCTAGGGATCATGGGAGTTGTAGGCCAAAACATCTGGAGGGCCGCAGGTTGGGGGTGCCTGGTCTACATGATCTGTTAAGTGAATTTTATTTACAAACTGAGTGGTACCCAACTACATTCTACTCAAGAGTAGACTGTTTGAAATTAATGCCTATAAATTAGTAATACACATTAATTTCAGCTGTCCTACTCAGTATGACTAATGTCGGATACAGAAACTGAGGTTGATGTAGTTTTGTAATGAAAATTTCCCTTGACACCTTTTGGAACTATAGTAGAAACAAGTGCAGTCAAGATGGTTGGTGTCACTTCAGCTTCTACCATTGAGGTCAGGTTTATTTTATAAATTCCTTCTGATTTTTCAAGAAGGTTTTCTTCCTATGTTACCTTTCAACATACATTTTACATCTAGAGAGAACAGTTTACATCTTCTAACTTATTTGTGGATTATTTTTATATCACCTACATAGCAGGGTGAGATTCACATGACCGAAGAAGCCATCCAGGAGATTCTGGAGCAAACAGAGTCAGATCCAGCATTTCAAGGACTCTTCGATATATTTGATTTTGGTGCGGGTTAGTTATCACTTTGAATACTTTGCAATGAAAGGCTAAGGGGTGGTCTGGTTTAATTTCAGTGGGTCTATTCTGAGTAGAGCGAGCATTGGCTACAGTCCTATGTTCTGGCCAATTTCATATGTTGAGAAGTCAGTTATCACCACTTATGAGTTTTGTAGGAACTTGGCATATTATGCCTCATATTGTTGTAAAGTATTTATGGGTATAGCACTTCAGTATTTATGTAGCTGTCTGTAACTGATGCACACCAAGTGCCAGACATGCTCACAGAGGACTCCCTAAATGTGTGGTCTACAGTTCATATCTAGTTTGTTAAATGCCAAGTAGTACAAATATTTGGAATCAATATTTATAACTTTTGCTCTTCCACGATTGCCCAAAATACTTTTATGGATGATTGATTTAGGGGAAACAGAAAAACATACCTGATTAAGGAATATATGTTAGGTATAATTTGTGCATTGAATCAAATATTAGTACCCTTCCAGTTTATTTTTTCCATTTCTTTTAAAACAGGTAAAGCTAAGGGTGGAAGAAATGCTTCTCACAGTATTTCCACTCAGAATGGAGGACTAGAGAATGCAATCTTAGTGGACGAAGAAAGCCTAGGAGCACTTGAAAGTTTTATTGCAACAAAGGAAATCAGTAAGCACTTCTTCAAAGCTTTCCAGTTATCTTCAATACTTGTAGAATGTCCTTTTGTTCCAGGGCCTAGAATGTTAATTGTTAACCCTGCACAAATGATAAAACACTATTAAAGACTGGGAGATTTGAGATGTGCAATTGTGGACATGTTAAAATTACTGTCACTGCAGTCCTGTGTACACAAAGTAGGAAGTGAATCCTATTGAAATGGATGGGACTAACTTCTAGATAAACATCCAAAGGGCTGGGCTGCAAGTTGCTTAATTGACATTTGAGTTTCTTTGAGACTTCAGTCTTCTTTTGAAAAGGTGAGCCTTGTTGTTCTTTATATAGCCTAATGATAACAGCTGCTTTGACTTCTAACCAAGGTAACTTTGTCCCCTTCTCTCCTTTCCGTAAATCAGCTTAGAATGACAGCTAATGCCAACTGTTGGCTTTGGAGCTCAAATGCCATTCTGATTACAAGTCAGTAGCACAAAACTAGATTTAAGAGCATGTGCTAAAGTAACTCCCCAATACCAACCTGAATTAGTTTCTATATGCTGCAAACCATTACCAGCAAAGTGGAGATTATTCAGACCACAGGTCCTACATTATGATGTGCAGAGTCCAGTCCACTCTTTAGTTTAGAGAGTATGCTAGTTCCACTATAGCCATCTCTCTTTCAGCCCAATAAGTCTTTCTCCAGCACCCCATGGGTCATGGATGGAGTCCCGTCATGCTCTTTGTGGGATACGTAAGTGGTAAAGCAATGCTACAGCCTGAATGAGTGAAAATAGAGGTGGAGGGGTACTAACCTGTTTCTAGAATTCACCTGTCTTGGAGGCGAAAGACCAGGGTGGGCTTAATGAACTTATTTCATATGGCACTTGTGTGTGTTACGTCCCATATATTTTTGTAGCACCATGGGTTTCAGTGAAGCTGACAACCTTCATAGTACTATGATAATATAAATGGATTACAAATTGTTTCCCTGTCTTTAAGCTAGACTCATATATTGTATTAGACAAAATCAGCTTCATAGCTGTTATCATAGAAGCATAGAGTTGGAAGGGAGCCTGAGGGTCATCTAGTCCAACCCCCTGCAATGCAGGAATCCCAACTAGATCATACATGACTGATGACCATCCAACCTCTGCTTAAAAATCTCCCGAGGAAGTGGAGTCCACCACCTCTTGAGGGAGTCTCTTCCATGGTCAAACATCTCTTACTGTCAGAATGTTCTTTAGTTGAAATCTCCTTTCTTATAACTTGAATCCATTAAATACAGCTTTGTAAATTCAGAGTGCAAGATATCCCCAAACAATAATAGCTACCCCAAACAATAACTACCATTACTACTGCACTGAGAAATTATGAAAAAAAATAGATGAGAAACTTTAAAACCAGATGGTTCTATTACTCCTTGAACTTATGCTTATGATATTTTAAACGACTTCCAATCACTTAAGACACAACAATCAAATATTTTCTAATAAAATACTCATCTGTACATAGAAGGGTGGGGTTGCTGGGGATTTTCTTCTAAAGGGGAGAGTTTCAGATGCTGGATAATGGTCCTCCCTGGATAAAGGGAGGGCAAAACAATGACATGGTTCTTAAGAGGCCAGTGCAAATTTTTTAGTATCTCCATGGAGGTTTTACAATGTGTTTTACACAAAAGTGGTGTAATCTATTTTTGTAACATTATTCTGGCATGGGGTGTCCTACAACACTAGATTGTAGTGAAACTGTGTTGATCTGTTGCAGGTGATAATTCCCAAGTAACTCTGTCATACACAGAAGATCATTCAAAAGAAGCACATGTTCCAAAGACTGGTTGCAGTGGTAGTGAAGTCACCTTGGAAGAACACCTGGAGATGCAAAATGTAGGAGTTGAAAAATTTCCCACGGACTCTAAAAGTGACCCTGTAGAAATGGGAATGGCTAGCCAAATAACCAAGCACAATGCAGTCTTTGAATCTCAGCAGAATCATGTCTCTGACCCAGAGTTCAGTGGACACAATGTAGGCTCTTGCAGCAAACAAGGAACAGCAGCGAGAGACAGTAGAACTGATAAAGACCTCTTATGTCAAGATCTTCAAAACTTGCCTCATTTGCAGTATGATCAGTTGGGTGCGATGCAAATCTCACCGTCTGGAGGAGCAGAGAGTTGTTCATTGTCTAATAATATACTCAGGACAAATGCAAAATTGCTATCCCCTCTGAGAACTGCCCAAAATGAAATGCTGAAAGGAGCTATTACAGCCAACTCTAGCCATTCAGCAGAAACAAATAAAAATCTAGAGCACATAATGGGACAGCCAGCTGAACTTCCTCTACCTGGCCAGCAAAACCCGGACAGTCATGCTGCCTCTGATTGTCAAAGCCAGGATAAAATTGAGTCTGATTCTGCTGCAGCATTTGTAGCGAATGCATCAGATCCAAGTGCTGTAGAGCTCCAGCTTGAAGTTGTGGATACTTCCAACAGCCTTCATTCAGATGATCAGCCTGTGCACCAAGAACCTTGTTCAAAACCTCAAAACCAGAAATTGGAAGGCTCTGAAATCTCACAGATAGAAATGCAAGAGCCATCATCTTCCACAAAATCAGATGCAGATAGCTTATTTCGGTCTTCTGATAATGAGGGGCGTTCAGAGAGATCTACTGATAGCAACCCCACCACATCTGCTGTGTGTTGCTCTCCTCTTCCAGAACCAGTGGGAGAATCAGGTCCAGGGAACAAAGAATCAGGCAGTGTTTCCTCTAGCAGTCAAGCCACAGATGTAGATCCCTCCAGCGTAGTTTCCTTAAAAATCATTATCAGCGAGGACTCATTCATTTCAGCAGATGCCGAGCTGAACAATGCAGTTTCCAGCATCGCTGGAGAAAACTTGCCGACTATAATCCTGTCCTCGCCAGCTAAATCACCAGCCAAGCTAACAGGACCAGCCAGATGCATAACTTCAGAAGAGGTTGAAAGAACTGGGGATTCAGCTTTGGTAGAACAGAATCTTCTTGTGCTCAGACCTCAACACTCTGTCGCGAGTACACTCAACATATCAAATGAGGAGTGTGCTGTTTTTTCCATTGCTGGGACGTCCGGCGTTGCCAAGGATGGGGGATTTATACAGCTGATGCCAGCCACAAACACATCTTTCAGCAACTCCAATGGTGTCTATATTGCCACCTGTATGACTGAGCCAGCTTTAAATACAAACGTTACTCCGTCAAACTTGGTTATGTTGCCTGGCAGTTCAGCATCTCTTGCATCGCAGGTTCCAACACCACAGCAGTTACGGACTCCTCCTAGAACAAGCAACTTGTTTGCCATGAACCCGCCAATGTCGCCAAACTTTTCACAGGGTAACTATTGGTTTAAAACCGTAACTGAAGTTTATACTGGTTTTGGTCATAAGTCTGTTGCTTTACTATTTAAATGAGTTAGCACTTACATATTACATTGCTCTTCGCTTGTAGGTAACTTATAAAATGTGTTTAGGGTAGCCAGATGCAAAAATCATGCAGCTGATTTAAAAATAATCCGGTTTCCCATGGGCAAAATCACATAATAGAATAGAGTTTCATTGTATGGTTTACTTTCAAATGGTTCCTGTGGCCAGTAATATCTAAACCTTGATTCCATGGATTTAATACCCATTTAGCACTATGGAATTTGTGCTTATCTTGTGACAAGTCAAAAATCAGTGGGTGGCAAGTAAATTGACATATTTGCTTCTTTAGAATTAAGTAATAATAATAAATTTTTATTTATACCCCGCCCTCCCCAGCCAAGACTGGGCTCAGAGCGGCTAACAACCAATAATAAAAACAAGTTGATTAAAATACAATTTAAAAGATTAAGATACAACATTAAAACATTAGGATGCAATCTCTTCATAGGAGGAGAAGGGAAAAAGAAAGAGGGGGAGGGAATCAAACCGGTTCTAAACCAAAGGCCAGGTGGAATAACTCTGTCTTACAGGCCCTGCGAAAAGAGATCAGATCCCGCAGGGCCCTGGTCTCAAGAGACAGAGCGTTCCACCAGGCCGGGGCCAGTGTTGAGAAGGCCCTGGTTCAGGTTGAGGCTAATCTAACTTCCTTAGGGCCCGGGACCTCTAGGGTGTTGCTATATATGGACCTTAAGGTTCTCCGTGGGGCATACCAGGAGACGCAGTCCCGTAGGTACGAGGGTCCTAGGCTGTGAAGTACCAAGGATATTGAGTGGTATTCACATGCATTCAAGTATGAAGAAAAGTTGATTTAAGAAATCTACCCCTTTGGATTAGAGGCTGAGATTTCTTTGTTTCTGGATCTCACTATTTCAGCCCACATAACTAGTCTGGAGTGAAAGCTGTATTCTGGCTTGAAGTTTGTTCTAAAAATGGAATGAGAACTAAGAGCAGTATACTAACGGTTGCCTCACCCTCAGGATACCTACTGGGTTGCATGATCAGTGATCATGGATGATGAGAGCTCCTGTCCACAACATCTGGAGGGCACTACACTGGTTACCTCTGCTATAAGGCATTAAGTTTATTGCCTTATAGCAGTTGCCTGGCCTTATAGGTTGCCTGGCACATCCCCCTGAGTTACTGTCTGAAGCTCTAGACTGGAGCACCTAACCAATATGTTGAGATGGGAGAAGGCAAAACAAAGGAGCCCTTCCTGGAACTGAAATGCATTGGGGAAGCCTGGTTTCTTAGGAACACATACACAAAGCAAGGGCTTCTGCATTTGTTCCAATGTCAGGAGAGTCGCAGGGGTTTCTTTGCTTCTTTTCTTGCCTTATTGTTCATCTGCCACACAAATACTTGCTAAAATAGATGTGAATGCAGGCAACATGTCAGACATTACTTCCTCCCTATAGCTGTGTAGCTAGCAAAGGCTGGGTCACTCCCATGCAGAAGAACATATTCCTATTTTAGCCCTTTGCTTTAGAGAACTTGCTGCCTGCAACCTGCTGTATATATAGGATGGTGTTCTTCATAGCAAGAAATATCAGCTTAGTAGCAATAATGTGGTTAGAGCTATTTACTGCTCTTTCTTTAAAGAGCTTATAGCTGCTTATATAGGGTTCTCAGGGAGTCTGCCTTCCAGGTAGCTTACGGGGTCATACACACTTAGGCTTACTGGTAGAACAGTGCCATTTGCCTTTGGACCATTCTCTGACTTTGGATGATTGGCACAGAGAGTGAGAGAGACTCTCTGAGTAAGTACTAACAGCTTGCTCACATGAGTCCATTGATTTTCAGGTTCTGCCATCATAATCGCATCTCCAGTACAACCTGTGTTGCAAGGAATGGTGGGAATGATTCCTGTATCTTTAATGGGGCAAAATGGACATACATTCTCAGATCCTTCCCGTCAGGTAAAACGCTACTGCTAAATTTCCATACTGTCATTCTTGAGTTGGAAAATCTTGTGAGAAACCTTCATTGTGCTGCTTTCACTTTTTCCAAGGTTCTGCACATGCCAGTACAGACTTCTTTGGGTGGTGGTGTTCCTAAACTACCTCTCCCTCCCAAATCTCAGAGGATCCCAAGAAACAAGACAAATGCAGGTGAGTTAGTGATGTAGCTGAAGGAAGGGAAGTCTATTTCTAGCATGGGAAGAATTCATAGCTTACCAGCTCAAATCTGATTCCTTCCTCAGCAGCCCAAGATACTCAGTTCTGCAGGCAGAAACTATTGTAGCAGACTGTATATAATGTTTGACTTGTCTTTTTCTTCCATATGAACTTATTTGAAACCTAGAGTATGCTTCTTACATGCTGTCAATTTTTTAAAAATCCAGACTTGTTTCTTTTAATTAACAGTTTGATTTTTAAACAAATGTTTTAGGAAAGTTGGTACCCGGTGGATCTGAGCCTATAAATCGTCCTGCTTCTCGTGCACAAAGGTCAGTTAAGTTGCATTGCATAAAATGCAGGGGGTTTTTCTCAGTTCTCAACATTTCTGGGAAGGCACTTGCATGATAAAATATATGAGCAGTCCATAGTTATTTCTGCCATTTGCAGTGATAATGTTTAGGCATTGCAATCATGGGAGCTACTGGCAAACATAATAGTGATCACTAACTTCACACATTATATTTTTCTCACTTGAGTGGTTTGGACTGTTTTCTACATTGTTCCTTAGTAGCCTTTGAAATTTTGGCTTATAGCAACTGATAGGGAGTAGAAAATTTCTTGCAGCTGTTACTTTCCATTTGTTCAAAGAATTTCATTTTAAAAATAGTGGCAAACATGTATTTTAACATGAATGTTTAAATGAGGGTTAAGAAACTTTATTGGGTAGTTAAATTAAAGTGGGTATATCTTCTCCCTATTAGTTGCCTCCAGGGCCTTGTTCTTTAGATGAAAAACTTTTCTGGGATTTGGACAAGGAAGCACCTCTAGAGCTTAGCCTTCCTTTGCAATGAAACGGTCCTAAGTTTTTAAGGCCCGAGGTGGTTTTGTGTACATTCAGCAAATTTTACATGTTTTGTGACGGGTAAAGTTCACAACTGGAAAACCTTTAAAATTAATTATGTGCTTTTTTATTTATTTATTTTTACGTGCATGGAGGGTGTTCTGCTTCTCTTCACCCTTTTGTTATTTCAGTAAAGCAAAAATTGAGCTATTCAAGATTTTTAAACTGAAGGTGGGGATGTCCCCTTAAACCAGCTTGTTTTGTACTCTCTGCTACTAACATGGCTGAGTTTATAGCCTTCAGCAATAGCCTTTAAAAATATACCAAAATAATTGAAAATAGAAATTTTATCACAAGATTGTCAGATAATCCCTACCCTTTTCCCCCATTCAGAAATGCAAACTCAGACAAGAATGTTTGTGCAGAATTGAAAAAGAAGCTGGAGACAGTTGCTCTCGACACCCTAAGTTCCGCTTCCAAACAGAATGAAAGCCATAGGAGAGTGCTTTGCTTTGACAACACTCTGGCTGCTCCAGTAGGAAGTATTCCAGCATCACAGAAAGAAAGGAGTGAAAACCCTTTATGCTCTGGGAATTCTCCCAGCGCTGTGCTTTCAACTGCTAAAACTCAGTCCTGCAAGAGGGAACGAGAGAGAACTTTGCCTCGGATTTTATGTAAGCCTGATATTACTAGCAGAAACTTGACTGCAAAGGACACCCAATCTGAGAAGAGACATTCAGGTCCAGGATTGGCATCGGATGTGTTAAGAAAACAGACAGCAAATAAAGAGAACGAATTGGAAAGGACTGTTGACAAACCCCCCAAAAACCAGGAGGTGGCGACTCTGTCAAACGGCCAACAGAACGTTAGCCTTCATAATGAGAAGAACAGCTCCTCTGCTCAGGAACTGACTAAAAAGCAGGGGCTGCAGTCAAATGCAAATTGCAAAATTTCAGCAGCTTTACCTTCAAAGGAGCCAAAAAAAGACCAAAACAGGTCTGCCAACCAAGCCCATTGTTTGACCAGTCCATTAACTAAACAAGCTGTGGAAATGCTGCATGACATTCAGAGGCAAAGCCCCGCTAGTAAACTTCCTGAAAATGTGGATCTGCCAGTACCACGCACACCTTCAGGAACTGGCGATAGACACTCTGAGGATACCTTTGATATAATAAGGACGCCCACGTGTAGACGGTATAGTGAAGACAGTACAACACCAAGGATCATGGTCCCTCCAGCTACTCCTGACTTGCCAGCCTGTAGCCCAGCTAGTGAAACAGGCAGTGAAAACAGTGTTAGTATGGCTGCCCACACTTTAATGATACTTTCACGAGCAGCCATTGCAAGGACTAGTACCACTACACCTCTTAAAGACAATACGCAACAGTTTAGGTCTTTGAGAAGTGCAAAAAAAAGGAAACCAGAAGACATGGTTGAATGTGAGAGGAATGCCCGGACTGCCAGTAAAAAAGATATGCAGAACTTTACAGTGCCAATAAAAAAGAAGAAAGTGAAGGTAAGTAAACTAGTCCTTTCAAACATAATTGCATGGTACTGTTTCTTTTCCAGCACAGCACCTACAGGCAGAAGAAGAGTTAACAGCTTTTAATCCCATTGTCTAGCTAAATGGCCCAGAATGGGAAACATCATAATGTATCCTGTAATATGCCTTTTCTCAAGCTCACGTTGGCATTCCTAAACTAATGGAAACGGTTCCTTCATTTTTAACTTGTCACAACTTTTCAGAAGAAATCTTTGGCTGAGGAGACACCTCCCCATCTTTAGAGCTTGTCTTAATGAATCTTTAGAATCACAGTTACTTGCTTATCCAATGTTTGCAAGCTAGCCTGTATTGGCCTGCTGTAGTTGTAAGAGACTGCAGGTATTGCAACCTTTATGATTATTTTTTTAATCGCTATGAAGTTTTGGTACACTTACCAGTTGACCATTTAAGCCTATGTCCACTGTTGGACTACATATACTTATATATAGACTTGAGAAGTAAACAAAATTAGATTGGGGAAGAATCTCAATAGGTGTTAATGCAGAACATTTAAATGTCACGGGTCAGGGATGGTTTGTTCCAAAGGTTGATTTTGCCTTTTGGGCAGGATGAGACGTGATCCTGGTTTTTAATTTATTTAATGCCCCAAAAGTGGTGGGTGGATAGCAGCCCAATACTATAAGTGTAGGCCTGCATAATCCCAAAGAACTGTACAAGCTACTTTTGAAAAAGACAGGAGATCCCACTCATTGGTTTATACAGATAAACATGTTTTTGTGTTGAGTTCTGTGGAACTAAGCAATTTTTAAGCACCTAGATCTTGTTTGCCTAAATGGTTGTGTGTTTTTTTCCTTTTTCAGCAGAAGAAGCTACCAATCGCATTTCCTGCTGGAATGGATGTGGATAAATTTTTGTTATCTTTGCATTATGATGAATAAAAACTGAACTGTTCATTGGTCTTTTGCAACTTTGAGGTGAAATAACAAAATGGGAGTGCAGTTGATGCATTCAAGTGTCACTGCATATTTAAAAAGGCACGCTGGTTCTGAAGAAAGTTGCTAGCTTATAAATAACTTGGCAGATCAACTTCTGAGAAAGCACTTAATGTACAACCAGTTAAGTTTGCACAGTTATACTTGTGGGGATAATGTAAATATTGTACAGCTGTTGGAGTTGTAAAACAACAAGGTACTACTTTTATTAACACGGGGGGTTGGATGTGTTTTGCAAAATGTGCACATTAACTGCTCAGACATTTTCAGTGTCATACATTGTTGAGCCAAATTACACTTAGAAGCAGGTTCTGTTGAACTGTGGAACTTGCTTTCCAGTCACTGTGCTTGGGGTTATAGCCCAGGACAGATAGCTGGCTCAAGTTGGAAAACATAAGGTAATGGTTAGCCAAGTCTTAAATTGGATAGCTAGCTAACTTCTAACGATAACAATTCAGCTTGTCTTACAGTGGGAATTTCCCCAACCTGCTTCCCTTGTGCCTGTCTTTTCCTCTAGTTGCAAATCTGTTACAATAAAGGCTTTTTCAACTTTCTTGCTATATTTATAAATATTAAGAGGCAATTTATTTTTATTTCATTTAACTTTAAAATACACCTGTAAATGACACTAACCCAGTGTGGTGTGTTTTCGAACATTTCTTAAAAGTTGTTGTATTTAACACACACCCTTAATAGGAATTCCTCTTCCCAAAGAGATGTTTGAACCATGACTGCCATGAATTGGGATTTTTAACCCAAGCCGTTGACAATGGAGGAGGGGGGAATCTGTTGTCTCCTTTTTCTGGTACAGCTCCTCAGGAGGACAGGATTTACTAAAAAGGATACCCTATAGAACCAACTGCTCTGTTGTAGTGTGGTGCTAAAGTTCAGCCACAATGTTATCAGTTGTGAGAGAGAAGAAGAAGAACAAGAAGAGTTTGGATTTGATATCCCGCCTTTCACTCCCTTTAAGGAGTCTCAAAGCGGCTAACATTCTCCTTTCCCTTCCTCCCCCACAACAAACACTCTGTGAGGTGAGTGGGGCTGAGAGACTTCAAAGAAGTGTGACTAGCCCAAGGTCACCCAGCAGCTGCATGTGGAGGAGCGGAGACGCGAACCCGGTTCCCCAGATTATGAGACTACCGCTCTTAACCACTACACCACACTGGCAGAGAGCAGATTACTCACACTAGTGTAGCTTGGGAATCCCTACAATATAGCTTTGTTCAATTTTTTTAATTTTCAGCTGCTTTTTAATGTGGAAGCAAATGATCACAGTTGCTCAAGGTATGCAGCTCTGGCTACTTTTTAGGGAAACATTATATCAGTCAAGAAAAGTTTGAGAGGTAGTACCTTGTTGGTATATCACTTTTATGCACACACTTTCCTCAGTTTTTATGAGGTTCCTGAGCAATCCTTTGTAAAGGTGTAATAGCAAATGTTAGGTGCAACATCCAGTTGTGTCCACTTGCTTGTGCAACAGGTTTTACAGTTTATCTTGTCCCCCAACCCTTTGCAGATTTGGAAGGATGTGCAAACAACTGTTCATGCTATGCGGGATCTCACCCCAGCTTTTGAAAGTTACTTCAAGTACTTTCTAAATTGTCAATTTAAGTAGACCAGCTTGCTGCTTTTGCTGTCAGTAGAACCAACTAATAACTAGTAGTACAGTGGTACCTCTGGTTACGTACTTAATTCGTTCCGGAGGTCCATTCTTAACCTGAAGCACCACTTTAGCTAATGGGGCCTCCTGCTGCTGCCGCACCGCCAGATCACGATTTCTGTTCTCATCCTGAAGCAAAGTTCTTAACCCGAGGTACTATTTCTGGGTTAGCAGAGTCTGTAGCCTGAAGCGTATGTAACCTGAGGTACCACTGTATCAGCTTTTGAATACAGCAACCCAGTCCTCACATGCCATTAAGAGCCCTCTGTGAATTCATATTAGAGCTATGCTGGAAGAAACCACACTAGAGAGATAGCATACTATAGCAGGGGTAGGTAACTTTCAGCCAATGGGCATGGTTACAGCTGCTAGGCTATATCCACCTGACAATATATATGGTAGGGGGCAGGTAAAGGAGGGGCTTGGACAAGGGCTATGCAGGCACTGTCTTATCCAAGCCAAAAGACACAAAAACTTCTTTCATGACTTGGAGGACTGCACGTTCCTTGGGGCACAGGGAAATAGACTGAATGCCAAGGTAAGTGTGAGCAGGGATTTGTGACAGCCATTTTAAAAAAAATTATAAAACATAATGAAACTTCCACAGTAGCCAGCCACTATACTTCGTCTTTATTGTCTTTGATTGAAGTTTAACCCACATTTTATAGTCCCTATGGTATAAAAAAACCACTTGCACTGGATGTATAGTAAAAAAAAAATTAGTTGTGTTTTTTTAAAAACAATGATAGACTGAGCTTGGGAGGGGGGTCTGCGCTGCAATTCCATAAATAGTTGTAACAGCCATTTGACAGTTGAGCCTTAAGGCTTGCCATTAGAGTCTACAGTTTCTGGATTAGTATCGCAGATGCGCCTCCACCTCCATTACAGATTCCAGCAAGGCCATACTCTCCTTGCTTCAATGCATGAGCCATGTGAACAACAATTCTTGCTCCAGACATCCTAAAACAGAAAAAGCACCCTAGTTAAGTTTTGAGTTGTATAGATTGGCAAAAAGGTTAGTGCTTAACCTCATAAATCAGCTTTTTCAGCCCGTGCCTTAGAATCAGCATAGTGCTAAATAATATCTAGCTGAAGCATAAGAGAGTAGTACTAGAGGTAAGTAGTTTGTGAAAGACCTGTCTCACACATGCGCTAATCTATGACAACCACACACCACTGACATCCTGGAGGATGTTAGGATGGAACTATGCTAAGAGGGAAGAGAGGCAAGAGATGTGGGAAAAGAGGATGTGGGAATGGAATCAATAGGGAAGGAGTATCCAAAATAAACTTTTCTATAGGTCTGTCTAATGCAGAACTGGCCAGCTTAGCAACAACTCTTCATTGTCTTAGGTCTTTCCCACTCGCCCTGTTCCCAAACTAGATACACTGATCTGTGGTCCCAAGACTCAGAGACAACTTTTTCATTTATCATGGTTGAGATTTTCCAATCTATTGTGTCTACTGCATCAATTGATTAAGACACTACCAAACACAATAGACATTAAGGAGGGTGTTGATGGTTTGAAGTTGGATTTTTTACAGGACTAATACTTCCTCTGCACCATTACGTAATCTTATTTCCTAGTGGATTATGAAACAGGGTACTTAGAATATTGCAAACGATTAATAATTTTAGTTTATATATGGCATTTTTAAAGAGTAAGCATTTTTAAAAGTACCAAGAGCAAGCACTTAAAATGCACCATGTCAAGTACATTTACACATCAGAACTAGGAATGCTTTCTGCCTTCTTACATTTAAATACCAAAGCTATAATAACTAACTATTTGCCTTTGCTGTGGAGGGGAGGGTCAGGGTTTCTTCTTGTTGCGCAAACAAATGTATTACTTCACTTACCCAATTGGATGTCCCAAAGAGACTGCTCCTCCATGAATGTTCACCTTTTGCGGATCAACGTCTAGCATTTTAATGTTGGCTAGGACAACAACACTGAATGCTTCATTAATTTCCCACATTTTAATATCTTCCTTTTTTAGGCCTGTCTGATTAAGTATCTGGAAAAAGACAGAAACACATAGATAAAAGGTAATATATATCACCAACAGGGTCTGAGGGTTCTTGCCCTTCTGTTTTAATTCGAGATATAAAATGGGTCACTGGCACAATTGGGACTGTAGCTCAAGAGAAATCCACCCATAAAGATAAACATTTCAACTGACTTGAAGCCACACGTCAGGTGAAAAAAAAATTAACAATTACCACTGCCTACAGCAGTCAGGATTCAAGCAAATACTTTCTCTAGAAAAAAATTAACCCAGTCCCTGAATTACGAAATCCATGTGTACCAGTTTCTGATTAAATCTAAGGTGTGAGATACTTCAGAATTCAATATTAACAAACTAATTAGTTCAGTGTTTCACAATGCTAAAATAACAGCATTAACCTAAGAGTGAAATGTAGATTTCAAGCAATAAAGCAACTGGAGTAACGCCTATTTAATTGTCTACTTAAATTACTTACAGTGCTGCTGAGAAATGTCATCTAACATTTACTTTTACTCAAATATATTTTGCTTTTCAGGTCCATTTTAAAAAACCACTTTGTTATCAGTAGGTAGTGAACACCAAAAAGGAAAATAAAAGTACAAAGGCCAACAGAAAAAAAAACCTAATGAGAAGATTCAGAGGCAAGTTGCATTATGGTCTTGGCAGAAGCTTTCTAAGAAACCTTCCATGTTTGATTAGCATTAAGTCTTATTATCCAATATTCTGAATACTTCTGAAGTATAAGTATTACTGTTTGACGTACTGTGATAAATATGAGAGAGCCTGCCTTGAGGAAGATTTTAATTTGAAGGTAGGGGAATGCTATAAAAGGATTACCTTAGGAACTGCATGTGCTGGTGCAATTGGAAAGTCAATAGGATCAACAGCAGCATCTGCAAAACCTGCAAAAGAGCAAATGTGAAGCAGAAGGGGGAAATGTCATTATTGGTATACATAGCAGCATTTAGAGTACCTGCAATAGATGCTTACAGCCTCTCTGGCAAAATTCTGGATATTATTGCTTTTAAAAGATGTAAGCATGGCAGTGTTAGAGGAACAGCTGAGACATCCCAAAGGCCCCTAAATTCTCTCGAGTTTGGCAAATTGTCAAGCTATGACTGCACCATTCAGTTAAAAAGCAGTCCTTTCAACCTAACCCGCTGATAAAAGGCAAAGTAAAACAAAGTAGGGGACGCAGGTGGCACTGTGGGTTAAACCACAGAGCCTAGGACTTGCCAACCAGGAGGTCGGCGGTTCGAATCCCCGTGACGGGGTGAGCTCCTACTCCTCGGTCCCAGCTCCTGCCCACATAGCAGTTCGAAAGCATGTCAAAGTGCAAGTAGATAAATAAGTACCACTCCAGCAGGAAGGTAAACAGCGTTTCCGTGCGCTGCTCTGGTTCGCCAGAAGCGGCTTAGTCCTGCTGGCCACATGACCCGGAAGCTGTATGCCAGCTCCCTCGGCCAATAAAGCGAGATGAGCGCCGCAACCCCAGAGTCGGTCACGACTGGACCTAATGGTCAAGGGTCCCCTTACCTTACCTAAAACAAAGTCAGTCTAACCCATTATCTGTCAGGATCAAGCGTTTCTCAACATTTCACTAGAAAGTCAAGAAGATTCTTACCTACTATTTTAGCCAATGGTTTAGCATTCAGCCTTTTGGCTGCTTCTGAAGTCATCAGTACTAATGCAGCTGCTCCATCATTCAATGTACTGGCATTGGCAGCAGTTACTGTTCCTGAAAGAGGCAGCAATGTGAATATAGTGCATTCCTCAGTAACATCCTAAATTCCAGCCTACATCAATCCATATGCAAAACACTGGCCACACAACATACAGCAATTCAAATTCAACAAGGCTGGCATTATATCAAAACACACATCCATATAAACCATTTCACTGAAGGAAATGCAGGTATGTTTAAATAAAAAATGCAATCTGGCCAGCTTTTACTACATTAAAAACCAGGCATCACTTTTTTCCGAACTTACCGTTTTCTTTCTGAAAAACGGCCTTCAGATTTGGAACTTTACTGAAATCAACACGCTTGTACTCCTCGTCTTCTTTAATCTCTGTGTCTGGTTTCCCTAAAATAAGACTTTAATTAGTTAAACAATTTCAGACTTCTTTGTGGCTGGACAGCTGGCACTCCCCGCAGAACATGCAAAGGCTGTAGTTAAGTATGCTTCAAATCATTGTCTCATTTCTTGCTCCATCACTGCCCTAAGCCTCCTGTGAAAGGGAGGAAAGGCAGATAGCCTTCCAAGCAGGCCACAAAACTTTTTTGGGTGGGGAGGGACCCAGAAAGAAAACTCAAACCTCAGCTTGGAAGGTCAAAAAACACAAAAAGCTTAATATGGGAATAGGGGTGTAAACAGAAATGGTCTCTATTTCAGCAAAAAGAAACAAAATATGTTCAGTCTTCATTTCATAGACAAGTTATGTTTGCCAGAATGCATACAACATTTTATACCATTTCTGTACATGGTTTATCATAAAACAGAAGGTGGGGAGGTATTATATATGAAATTATACTACCTTTCTGAGAAATAGTAACTGGGACAATTTCATTTGCAAAAACTCCCGACTCCCAACCTTCCTTGCTTTTGGTGTAAGATTTTATGGCATAGGCATCTTGATCTTCCCGTGATATAGTAAACTTCTTTGCAGTATTCTCTGCGCAATTACCCTGGGGAGGCAGACAGGAAATCACTGAAAGTCATTTTAAAAACTGGACAGGTTTGTGTAGATCAGCTGTGCCATCGCCAAAATCCCCACTTTTGAGGTTAATGGACTCAAGTATGAATGAATAAATTTAAACCAACTGAAATGAAGCTTCCCATTTCATTTGTGACTCTGTTAGACATTGGGAACAAACAAAAAACCATGCAACTCACAAGCTTCTTGGTTTGTTTGCTGCCTGAAACAAGCTGTGCTAGCTTTTCCAATGAAACAGCATGAAGCAAGGCTCCTAAACTCAACAAATGTAGGCTTTTGATCAGGAAAGTATCTGAACATCCTATTTGCCAAGAGAACCTTTAAAAAAAAACCAGAACAACAAAAATAGGCTGCCACAAAACTTGCAAGACATTAAAAGCTGTATTTACCATGTGAATTTTGTTGTAAACATCTGTCAAGCCATCTTTTACAATCAAGTCTTCAAGCTTTACTCCTCCATAAGGCGTTGCTCCTCTGACCATTGTGTAGGGTACATTAGACATGCTCTCCATTCCACCAGCTACCATCACGTCCTGTTTCAACAAATTATATACAGCTTTTTCCAACTTACAAGGAGGATGAAAACAAAATACGGAAGAGTGCAATACTATTGTCCCTGGGAAGGCCTAGGATACAGCAGATTTCCCCCTCTCTCAACAAAATCTCCATTCTCCCATAATGCCCCCCCTCCAACAAAAAATAAAGGGGAAACATGCCAGCCCTGGAGTTGGCATACTGATTTTCCTACCCAATATGACCTCTGCAAGAAAAATAAAAACCCTGAAAAAGGTTCCTTCATCTTTCACTTTCTCTCCCACACCTTTGAATTGCTTGGCTCAGATCTAAATAATGTTTTGAGTCTCCCATTAGGCAAAAAGTTGCAATGCAATTCATCATACAATCAAAAGGGTACATACACAATAACAAACACAGGAATGGGAAACCTGTAGCCCTTCAAATATTGTTGGACTACAACTCTCATCATTCCTGACCACTGGCCATGCTGCCTGGGCTAATGGGAATTTTAGTCTGACATAATCTGGAAGGCCATGGAGTCTCCTTTCCTTTGAGGTATGTGTGTGTGTGTACACACACACACACACACACACACACACACACACACACGCAGTGTATAAATTTTATTAAATAAATAAATGAAATAATTTCTAAAAATCCTCAGCTAGTCACAGTTATTAATTTTCCACCCACTGATTATGCTAATCTTCATGTTGCATATCCTTTTGATGTCCCAAGAAAATTGTGTAAATTTAATATAAAATGTTAATAGTTTGGTTGGCCCCCATCTGTATTGGGAGAGAATGCAAGAGTGTGCCTTCGGGGGCGAAGTCAAACTGTTGGAAAGTTACAGGAAATAACATAGACAAGTCAGATACTGAAGCCATACCAGCACAATAATCAAAGCAGTATGGGTTGGTACAGTTGGCAATAAATCTCTCCAGCACACTTCCTTTTTAAAGGAAGAGGATCTTGCAAGAGCAGAAGCTTTCAGAGGCATACAGAAGGATTCCAGAAAATTTGTTCTTATAAACAATTGCTATTGGCCTATTTAAGAGATTATACATTTCCACGTATTTACAAGTCTTCTGAATATACTGACTCTCCTACCTGGCTCCCACATGCCAGACTCTGTGCTGCCAGCATAATAGATTTCATTCCAGAAGCACAAACTTTGTTGACAGTTGTGCAAGGAGTAGAAACTGGTAAACCTGAACCAAATTAAGATAAAAATAAACTTCTAAGAATTGTCAGCCAACTGCATATATGGAATATATCAAGTTGCTTTAATCAATTAAAAAGGAACTCATGCCAAAGAATCCCACTGACTTTCCTGATACCATGTGTTTTTCAGACCAGTAGTGTCCTCTCATACTAGTCTCAGTTCTATAAAGATGAAAGACCATTCCTGACATCTCCAGTAGTTCCTTCCATTCATAACATTTTATCTTTGGGATTCAACCCTTTGACTTCACCACATCAGAAAACTAGCAACATGTTATTAGGCAACATACTACCTCCCCACCACCATATATGCTAAGGACACCCCACTAGGCTGAAGTGAAAGTACAGAAGGAGTAAAAGAGGAAAAGGTAACTCAAAAAATGTTCCAGTTCTGATTATAGCAATTTGAAGAAAACAGAAGGCCGATTCAGATTAAAATTCAAACTCAGATTAATTTGTTGAGCATTATGTGAATCGTACTCCTCAGTTATTTACCTCTGTTTTATAATTTAGCAGTGAATCTTACTCATTGAGGGTTGTATCCAATGCCATCTCTGTGCTAGTGAAAAAGGCTTCACCTTCTCCCCCACTGTAGCTCCCTGCACACCCTCAGAATCTACTCTAGAGGTTTGGGAGACCCACTGGAGCTGATTCAGGGGGCTCTGAAGGAGCTGCGGGTGTGGAGAGAAGAAGTCCCACTGCATGAAAGGAAATCTACTCATGCATTGTTGGATTTACGACTTGTGCCCTAAGAAGTCATGAGCCATAAAACAGTTTTGGTACCTGCACCAAGGGTTGCTTGTCTTGCAGGAGCTTGTCCTTGCCCAGCCTGAATAACATTGCCCATGTAGACTTCTTTCACTTCTTGTGCAGGGATACCTAATGGCAAAAATCAGAGAAGGCATTTTCCAAGCATAAAGTGATAATATGCTCATAGAATGAGAGAGAAAAGAAACATCTGGGTAAGAAGAATGAAATAGATGATGAAGCTGCCACTTAGATTTTGTTTATGGACAAAACTGAGGAGCAAAGTTAAGTCCTTAAAAAGCTCATCTAGATTGCAGCTCTCCCTGCTTTTAGCTCAGAACCTCTACGCAAAACTACTTGTGAAGTGGTGCAGAGCAGGTACTTTTTTGCAAGCTTAGCACAATGTTTGCTGTACAAATTTGATCACCATTGCTTTAGTCCCTGGGTTACTCACTTGAATGCAAATGGCCAAAACTGAAAATGGGACAGGTTTGCAATAAATCATCCTTGAACCATGTCAGAACTGAGAATAAACCAGGGGGGAGGGTAGCAGAGTAATGACAATGGAGGACTAAGAATTGCTCAAAAGCAGACCGAGTGTGACATGCTTTAAAAAGGATGACATACTTTACTGATACACCTTGGGCACATGCATAATTGATTTCTTTAAAGAACAGCATGAATACTTAGTGGCTAACGTGTCCCAGCATAATAGCAAAGTGGCAAGGGGTGATTACAACAGACACTAGCTGCTATTTAACCTGGATCAGAAGAGATGGTGAATATTTTCCAAACAATCCATCCCCATCCCACCCTGTTCCACAAAACCTTCTGAACAGAGTCCGGACTTACCTGCTCTTTCAATTGCACCTTTAATTGCAATGGAACCAAGTTTAGTGGCTGGCTGTGATGAAAGGGATCCTTGGAAAGAGCCAATGGGTGTCCGGACAGCACTTACAATTACTACTTCCTAACAAACAAAACCATTGCAACGATTATGACAGTTACCCCCAGAAAGGTATATTCTCAAGTCTTAAGTTCTGTTTTAATTAGGAAGATTAGACTTAGCAGTTATCAAAGTAATTGTATGCTCCAGAAACATCTGGTTATTCCTGTATGATGGGTTGTGTAGTGGTTAGAGTATCAGACTAGGACCTGGGAGACCAGGGTTCTAGTCCCCTTAACCATGAAACTTGATGGGTGAACTTGGGCCACAGTCTCTCAGCCTAACCTACTCCACAGGGTTATTGCAAGGATGAAACTGACGGAGAACCACCTTGAACTCCTTGGAAGAAAGCTAGGATATAAATGTAAAAATAAATAAATAAATAAGTTAATTGGTATGTCTCTTTACTCAAAGATAATATGTTGCTATAGCTTAGCAAGAAGGCTGTACAACTGCTGATAATTAAAGGAAATAAGACATACAGATGGGAGAACTTCCTACTTATTCTTTTTTGTCAGGGAGTGAGTAGGTGGATCAGACAGCATGATAATATAAATAATATTATCTAGTGCTGGAAAACATTGAGAGAGGGGGAAACTACATTGCAGGTTTTGTAACAACCCATGTAGGCCAAATTATAGGCAGTCTACTTAGACAATTTCAAAAGAGAACACAAGTTATTTGCAGCAGTGAGACAACAAAATTCTATGGCATCCTAGAATCTATTTATTATGGCACACACTTTGACAACAACAACTTTTTGGATAGGAACTCACTTTATCAGATGCATGAAACAAGGTAACCTTTTCAAGTATGCACATAGATAGACATGTATCATTCTGAGGGCCAGACTAGATAGGATGCTGAATGTACTGCTTTTTAATTCCTAATCGAAGTGAGGAATGGTAGAGTGTTTTGTAAGGCTGTGGTGTGCAGCAAATCCGATTTAACCCTTAGCCTCTAGGCCAGAGCTTTCCAAACTATATGTTTAGACATGTTAGTGTGTCGGCTGCAGTGTGTAGGTGTGTTGCGCGAATGCTGGGAAGGGGTTAGTTTAACCTCTGGATTGCTAGTAAAACTGAATTACTGTGTTGTGAAATGATGCATGTCTAAAAAGTGTCTCACCAACATGAAGTTCGGAAAACTCTGCCCTAGGCTATGGTCCCAGTGAAAATTCTCCTCACTTGGCCACTATCAGCCCCAGCAGGAGAGCTTGCATTGCTACCAATAGTTCCTCCTAAAACGAAAATGCATCTATGTGGGCCAGGCATCTTTTGTGAGGACCACAGCAGATGAGGAACGAGTTAGAAAACCCTGCACACCATAGTCCTGGCAAAAATCCCCCCACCCCTAATATGTTTCATTTGCAATTTAAAACCACATCAGGAAAAAGGCACATCAGGAAGTGATATGTTTGGCATCACACCTACTCTGGCCCCTAATCCACTTAATTTATCTCAGCTCGCTGTTTGAAAAAACATGGTAGAGCTGGGCAAAGTATGGTATTGCCATCGCAAATACCTGAAGTCCTGTTACAACTGATACTTACATTTAAGCCACGTTGTGATGAGTAGCCTCTGCTTGCATAAGTTAACATCTGAAAAAATAGTTTATTTTTCAGTAAGTGCAAAAACATCTGGTATACTGATTCAAAAATATTGTGTTTTTCCATTTAACATATTTTAAACAAGCTACTTTAAATACACTTGTTTGTTTTTCTTAATACTTTGAAGCTTTAGAATTATTCTTATTCTTATCATCACCATCAGCAGCAGCAGCATTTGCTACTCTTTGAAATACTTCCAGAAGTGAATAGGCAGAAAAGAGCAATAAGAACTGTCATAACTTTGCAAAGAATTTTCCAGCAATATACCTTTACAAAAATCCTGATGCTTAAAATAACTGTCAGTTAAACCATATTGCAATATTGTACAATCCTATTGCAAAATAAGTCAGTGATGCTGAGCTATGTTATTTGGTAATTTACCCTTTTGATCCTATAACCTTTAGCCCATTTAGGTTAACAAACTGTGACGGACACACTGAGCAGTTTTTAATCTCTGTTTTAGCCTCTCTATTTAGATAACTTTTGCCACAGTAAGCAGTCGCACATAAAGATGAGGATCCAGGTTTATTGTTTTTAGCAGCTTCCATGTGCGCTCCAGAGGAGTGCTGTTTTAAAAGGGGCCATTGCTCCTTGATACAAACATAACTTATGAAGGATATTAGATGCATAAACACCATGAGACAACCACCATAGCAGCAGATTTTGAGCATCATTGAGGACAGCAGAATGGAGGGAAGATTTTATCCAAAAAAGGCAAACTCCACCAGGAGGTTCTCCTGTAGATGACCCTTTACACAGGAGATCTTCTGATGGGCCATACCTCCTCATGTTCATTTGCAGAAAGAGGAAAGCAGATCTGCTGATTGGCTTTTTTGTTTCAAGCAACAAAGTATATTGGGTTGTCTCTTCTCCAGAGAGCTCCTTTACCTTTAAGAGGGGAACCACAGAACAAGAATTAGGCCCTGCCTACAGATACAGTAGCATGTAAGTTGCAGGTCTAGCTTCAGATTATTGGGGGTGCTGGGCAGGCTGTCTTCCGTGGGCCTCCCATCTCCAGCACCTGTGGCCACTTGAGTCCCCAGACATTAGCTTCTGCCTTCCACAAGGGAACTTGCAGAGTCTGCTTTTGCAAGGACTGGAGTTGTTGTTGTTTAGTCGTTTAGTCGTGTCCGACTCTTCGTGACCCCATGGACCAGAGCACCCCAGGCACTCCTATCTTCCATTGCCTCCTGCAGTTTGGTCAAACTCATGCTGGTAGCTTCGAGAACACTGTCCAACCTTCTCGTCCTCTGTCGTCCCCTTCTCCTTGTGCCCTCAATCTTTCCCAACATCCTGATTTTCCAGGGAGTCTTCTCTTCTCATGAGGTGGCCAAAGTATTGGAGCCTCAGCTTCAGGATCTCAGCTTCAGGACTGGAGTGGGCCCTGGCAAATGTCCATGACCCTAGGTGCCAATGCCACCACAGAATAAAACCCTATTTTGCATTTTAAATGCAACAGTTAACAACATTAAAGGTTTAAAGCAGGCAGTCACGGGGGAAGTGGGCGGAAAGTGATGTGACCTTGCAGCAACTTGATCCCCACTACACTCTGTGTTTGCGTGTGTGTGTGTTATAATTCAAAGGTAGCAAGAGTTTGGGAGTACACTAGTACCTTGGGTTAAGTACTTAATTCGTTCCGGAGGTCCGTACTTAACCTGAAACTGTTCTTAACCTGAAGCACCACTTTAGCTAAAGGGGCCTCCTGCTGTTGCTGCGCCGCCGGAGCACAATTTCTGTTCTTATCCTGAAGCAAAGTTCTTAACCCGAGGTACTATTTCTGGGTTAGCAGAGTCTGTAACCTGAAGCGTATGTAACCTGAAGTGTATGTAACCTGAGGTACTACTGTATATCACTTCAGTATAGGAGAAGACAAATCACCTTTGGAACATTATGCACAGAGAGACATCCTTAAAAAACATTTTTTTTAAAAAAAAGGGCAGCAAAACTCGGGGGAGGCCACAACAAACAATAAGATCAGCGTTTCTCAGGAAGGATTTATTAGGAGAGAAAAAATACAGCAGAGCGCTCGAACACGGGTCTCCTCGGCTCGCTCCAGGCGAGGAAGACTCTGCCACCTCAGGTGGGCTCGTCCTGGCGCATGCGCGCAGGCCCGGCCTAAGAGGCACGCGGCGCTGACGCAGGGAAGGGCGAAGGGAGGCGGGGCTGGCCGCTTAGCCCGCTGCGCCTCAGAGGGGCTCAGCTGTCCCTGAGGGGAAGCGCGGAGGACAAAGGAAGGCGGCCGGGTCGTCCGTCAGGGGGAAGCGGGACCTCCATAACCAAACCCGCCGCCCCCCCCCCGGCCTGGCCTATTTTTCCCCCTCCTCACCCGAAGCGTCTTCGGCACCTGCCGCCCGCCCAACATCTTCGCTCTCGCGCCGGCCTCCGCAGCACCTCAGCACCCCTTCAGCTCCCTCAGCAACGGACCTCCGAGGCAGCGCGAGAGCGGCCGCCGTCACCTTCAGAAGGGCACGCCCACCCCTTGACCTAACCAATAGGAGCCCAAGGGCGGACCCGCCGTTTAATCCCCTGCCCTCGATTCTGTGCCTCCGGTCTGAGGAGGGGAGGGCGAGTCCAAGTTGGGAGAAATCCTATTGGAGCCTGAAGAGGAGTGGGCGTGGCTATTAGAGAGCAGTGCTATTGGCGAGGGAGGGGGCGTGGGAATTAATAAGCGGCGCTCATTGGACAAGGGGTAGGGGTTGGGGAAAGGGCAAGGAAGACATACTATCCTTAGTTGAGAGGGAGGGGCTTGGCAGTTCCCAGCATCAAAGTGAACCGCTTGAAGGACATTCCTTCCCTCAGAGAATTCTGGGTACTGTAGTTTGTTAAGGGCGCTGGGCATTGTAACTCTGGGAAGAGTAAACTTCAGTGCCCAGAATTCTTTGAGGGAAGGAATGTGCTTCGAATGTGCTTTGAACACAGTAGGCAGGAATGTAGACAGTTTAGGCTGGTATGGAATTGTGGAATTGTAGAATTGGAAGGGACCACAAGGGTCATCTAGTCCAACCCCCTGCAACACAGGAATCTTTTAGCCAACGTGGGACTCAAACTCACAACCCTGAAATTAGGAGTCTCGTGCTTCACCGACTGAGCTACCTTGTTTGAAGAGGAAGCACTCACTATTGCTCCCCACTGCCACAAATTCTGGTTCTAAACGCAGCATAAGGGGTTTCTGTACTATAGTGTGTTTTAAAATGGGGTTTTAGAGTTTTTAGGGGTTTTTGAATGTTTTATGTAGTTTTTATGTAGTTTTATGTAGTTTTGTGGTAGTTTTATGTAGTTTTGTGGTAGTTTTATGTAGTTTTATGTAGTTTTCAATTTCATTGTTCCGCAAGGGACCATGACAATAAAGATATCGTATCGTATCGTAAAATGTGCAATGGCAAAGCAAGTTCTCAGTTCTCAGCACAACATACACCAAACACACACACAAAGGAGGCACCAAATGAGAAAAACAATTTACACAAAAGTGCACAAACCAAACATGAACTGGCAATAAAGTTGCTTTGCTTACCACTCTCTCCCCCAACTAGTCTGGTGAAGAGTTCTGGGGAACATGAAAGCTTGCACACTATTTTGTGACCTTTTTTTGGCCTAAGAAAGGTATTGCTCTAATCTGGATTTTTACAATGTGACAGTAAAGTGACTTTCAGCCTGTGACTATACAAGTAACTATACAAGCATACTCTGATGCCCAGTGGAGTTTTAGGTATACTTATTTGGGAATTAAATCTCATTAAGTCAAACACACACATCTAACACTGCCTTGGATACCATCAAATTCCTGTTTTGTTTTGTTTAGAAAAAAAAAAAAAGATGTTCAGGAGTGTCAGAACCAGCCTTCTGGACCCAGCCTAAAAGCTTTGTTTTAAAAAACACTAAAATGATCAAATGTTTTATCGACATTTGCTGCAATACAGAAAACAGAAGATTACACTGTGGACTCCAATGAGTCGTAGTACAGGTTGTAAAAGAAGATTAGGCAATAAAACTGAAGTTTTTGTAAACTCTTTTTATATGACAGGTGTGGAGCTATGTAAATGTTATTTTAGCAAACTTCCAAGAATATAATAATGGAACAGGATGAAAAACAGCTAACGACCACTTCATGCATAGTAAATCCCTTTATAAAAGCACTTGTGCGTCATATATGCAAATGGCTGTGATCCAAAGAGCTACTTGTTAAAATAAACTGCTTAAAGGACAAGCCATACATCAGTCTTCCATGTCTTGGTAGACTACTGCCTCCAAGTGCTTCAACTACAGCTGGAATTTCTTTCATCTCTTAACATGAAAGGGAATTTTTTCTCAACTTTAAGTGTTCAGTCTTCTACTGCTGTACTGCTCAAATTTCTGAAAAAATAAAATGCCATTGGGTGTCACCAGATCAATTACAAATCCAAACTGTCCATGGGACTGAAGGCAATATACGGTAACCAAGTACTAAAGCGACATAAATTGAGTAAGCAGCACTAAATAGCGGTGGGAAAGTATTGATTTTTAATAGCAACTTGCAATCCAAATCTTCTAGTTTAAAATTTCAGTTACTTTGCACTACTATAAGGTTTACATAGAGAGCTTGTACTAAAAAGGTAGTAAACTTCTGTTACATAGAAAGAACTGATAATTAGGTGCTGTGGATTTGGATCAGATTATATTGCTGCACTGCTGTCTGGCAAGGCAGTTGTACGTGCCATTCATATAGTCAATACAAATGCATATCCCTGTAACAATGCTCAGACAGGTCCCTTGGAACCTATGTGGTGTTAAATGCTGATAAAAACACTTATCTTCATACCTTGGACTAGCTTGGGTTTGGATTTCAAAACAACTGATGGTAGTCTAGGAACCCTAATGGACGGTGTTTAATTCCCGTTTTCAAAAGGTTCTGAAGATAACACCAAAAATATTTTGTGGTTTTTTATAATATTTTATATTACATTTTTATTTTGCAAGAAAATAAATTATACAACTTAAAAAATAAAATCCAAAAATTAAGCAGTACATCAAAATAGTTCAGCCGGACTGCCATACAAGAAGAAACTGCTACCAGTCAAAATTGTACAGCATTATTTCAGTATGTAGTGGCACACATTCAAAACTGTAAATAACCATATGTAGATGGGTATTACAACCTAGGAAACTCATGTTTGCGCTGCACTCCAGGCTACATATAGTCTATTAAAACAGGAAAGCTCTTGTGTATTGTTTTATTTCACAAATATGACCTTGAATTTACAAAGATAGGATCCCAGCCAGTTCCATGAAAATAGAAAATAGTTTTGCGCTTAAGATACCAAATCTTTCCATGAAGCTATCAAATATTTCTCTCAGCTGCATTTTTAAAATTTGTACCTTTTACAACGGATACAGTAATGCAAATAAATTCAAAGTATTCAACTACCCGGGCCATGTTACTTTTTCTTCCCCCAAAAGGGGGAAGCCACCACTCAAACTTAAGTTAAACTACACTATGCTCCAACAACAGGTTTAAACAAATGAATAGGTAGAAAACAAGGGACACCAGTAGGATAAAGGGGGGAAATGGAAGACTTCAAAATTAAGTATGAACCTCGTATGTTGTGACAAAAGTTTTTTTTGTTTTTTTTTAACAACTATGTTTAAAATCAATGCAACCTACATTATTTTTCACATCTAGAGTATTACTTAATACAAACCACAATGGCAGTGCTTGTGGCAACATACGTTTTTCAGAAGCAGCACCTCTTTATGCTAGGTCTTTGGAGAAAAATATCCAAAGCTAAAAATCAAGCTTTAAAAGTGCCATGTTGCCATATTGCAATGACTGATGATTCAATTCATTCTTAGATTTGGATGTTTTCCTATTTCTGCATACATTTTTAAACCAGTTTGTTTCTCTTCCTGATAACCTTTAGCCTTAAGGGCATCTTGGTGAAAAGTGTCCCGACAAGAGAACGCTAAATGTGATTCTGCAGCTGTAAGGAAAATTGCTGGTGTGATTTTTCAGATTCAGTGTTTTACCATGACATCCTGATCCAATGTACACAAAAAGAAAAGAAAAAACTGAACAAAGTTATAGGCACATTGTCCGTTGTAATTCCCCTGGTCCTAGAAACATTTAAGTACCTTGTGTAAGAAATAACCGTAAGAGATGGAGACGCAAGGGCACTGTGAATTTTGCTGCTATGTAAATGAGCAAGACAGACTCTCACTGGCAAGATCCAAACAGCCTCATGTGATCCTTAAAGTGCTTCTGCATGTGGATGGGTTTTCTGAGGTTTGTTTCTTTTCTTTTTCTTTTTGGCAAGTTTCCTTTTGAAGTACAGGCCACTGTACTGCGCTCTTTTTAGGGAGAACAAGGGGCTGATGGGAGGGCTTTATGAATAGTCACAAATGAAGTCCGTGGTGGTCATTTACATCCTAGCCACTAATTCCAAAGTTCTAAAGTATTTGCACTGCTAGGAATAAAAAGAGGAAAAGGGGTATTTTTTGACAATCAGGCTGCTAGTGTCTGAACGATACCAAGAAATTAAATATGAAGTTTAAAGCTGGTTTTATATTTAATGTGTCATGCTTACTGCCTCCAATACAAATTAATGGGAAGCATACAATTCAAAAGCACTCTCATCAAAGTATTCAAGAAATATGTACAAATATTTTAAAAAATTACTTGCCCTTTTCTACCCATTTCCAAACCAACTTCCAAACCAAATGCAGTTTTAGAAACCCTGTAGCATGTAGACTTCTGGGGGATCAATTTTAGTTGTCTTTCCCTTTAACAAGGAGTGCTTGACAAGTATGTAAAACTTTTTTTAAAATTCTTGCCCATAAAATTTTAATGCTGAAATTCAACAATTCTATGTTAACTTGGAAGTTAACTTTATGTCAACTCTGTTAATTTTTAAAAAATATTATCCTCTGATCCACAATAAAAATGCGCACATTAAGTGCAGAAAGTGAGGTTTTTAAATCACTGCCTGTTTTCATCTGCCACTTTTGCATTTCCATGCACGTTTGTCAGTCTCTGCCATCCCAAAGCACATACAGTTCCCCCACCCACACTGGTATGTTATTTATCATCACTTAAGGGTGCCAGTTACAACCTCTGTCTGTGGATGGGTAGACTACCTTTGGAGCCCCATTATAGGTAAAATACAACAACCATTTCCAATTTCACTCTGCCCACACAACTATCTGTTACTATTTCACTTTCCAACCTGTAAGCATAATCACTAACTTTAAGAAGGAAAGACAATTGCTCTAGACTGCTAAAAGTTTAAAGGCTGTTTTGCAACATTGCTTTCCCCAGGCATAACGTTTAGGAATAGGGTACGGTAAAAGCTGAACTGGCGTTAGGTAATTCCTCCCCCCCCACGCTAGTAATGCTGAGGCAGGAAGCTCGACTCTTCATGGACATTTTAAAGCAGCTGGAGACTTGGCAGTTAACTCTGAAAATAACTAGCATCTGCTGTGGTGTGGCAGCTCTCTTGCCCTCAGTAAAGCACTCTTTAGCCCTAAGCCTTAATGTGCATTGCTTTAAATCTCTGGAAGATTTTTATCAAGGGAAAGGGGGGGGGGAGGAATGAGCACATTCCATCAGTGGGGGCTCCTACTCACCGAAACAAATGGAGGCCGGGTGGCAGCATTTCTTTCTTTTTTGTAGAACAGTCAGATTTATGACAATCTGTCAGCATATATACGTGGAGCTGGTCTAGGAGGTCAAAGAATTATCTTATTCCACACAGTTGATCCCCCCACCCCCCTGCCAGAGTAGAACTGTATTAAAAAAATGTAACATTTAGAGATTTTCAAATAAATAATCAAGGAAGAAATATATAGGGATTGTCAAAATGTTAATTCCTATTTTGGATAAGTTGTGCACTGGCTTTTTTTAATGCATTCAGATTTACGCAAGCATATTATATTAAATGTACAAAGAGATACACTTAATATTTCATTTTGTTTCACCATAAGCAGATCCATCCATGAAACACAGTTCTTAAGGGTGAAGCCATAATCAAGAGAAAGCTACACCTCTTATTTTAAAAAGGAAGGGAATGAAGTCATCTGTCCAAGAAACAAATGTTTACCCAAGTTTTGTAAAGAAAAGTGACAAACAGGATATATCCTGCTTAACATCACTTGTGTCTCAGTATCCAAATTCAGTTATACTGAAGCACTTTGCTTGAGCCCAAAGATAAATATGTATCTTCAGCTGTGATGCTATTTGTGTCTTGCTCAAATATCGTACATAAAAATGGATCAAAAGGAGGCTGTTGATCCAAAACACAAAGTGTGAACTGCTACATCTAGTCCTACTCGCTGCTTTCTTAAAAATGTGACAACCCTCAGTGCATGGGTTTTGAAGATATTTTCCTTGTGCAAGGTACTGTTCATCTAGAAACCCCAAATCTGTTCTCTTCCAGGTGGGTACAATTGAAATCTAAAAAAATATCACAACGGGCTCTCAATGAATGCAAAGTTTCCCCACAAAAACCGCATGCTGTTAAAAACCTGTGCAACATGAAGGGAACGCCATCATGCTAGCTGAAAAAAAAAAGGTTGGCAAAACAAAGTCCTCTGGTAAGGTAAGGCAGGGAATTGAATATGTAATGCAAGTCAAACAAGTCCTTTCTCAGCACAGTTCATTTTCTTGTAGTTGTCTGCTCAAGCCATCTCCAATGCACATTTCCTTGGCATCTTCCAGTAAGAGAGTCTTCAAGCTATGCCATGTATATAAAAGTGTTGATATCTGATTCATCTCTTCTGATATATTTGTGTTCTATAAGCCATTCAATCTGCTCTTTTATCATTTTCTTCTGTGGCAAGAACATGTTCTTTAATATCTCTACTAGTTCAGTCTGAAGCTGAGCATTAGTAATTTTCTTCCTCATTTTCATTATTTGGATGATAGCCTCCTAAGCAAGGAAAAAAGGTAAGAAAAAGCACTTTGGGTGTGTGTTGTACAAGGTTAACAAACCAAATCTATTTAACTGGTTGGCAGAGAAGACAGTCAATTTCACAAGCATCACTTCGTAAATCACAGGATTTTGAAGACTAGGGCTACCTATTATACTAACTGAAAAGAACAGCCAACTTAGCTTAAGACACACCCCTCATTTTAGATCTGTACTCACCAGCTTAGTTGCATTCACATGGACTGCTTTAGCAACATAGTTAGCAATTATTTATTTGTTTACCTTTATCTGTTTATATTTAAAATCATTCCTAATGTTAAGCAAATATTTAAAAATCTCTTAAGCAGTATACAAATATACATAAACGATAAAAATAACAAAACAATGTAACAGAGATCTTCAGATATTGCCTTCAGAGTTGCTAGACACATAGTCACAGCAACCAAGAGAAGAAAACATTTTGTACTAACACAAGACAAAGTTGCAACTATGCTGGTAAAAGTGAAGGTCAAACAGGGTTCTACCATTTTATTGTAATATGATAAAAGCCTATTGCTTTCGAAAACTGCAGGGGTATGAGTAATGGCAGAGGGCAGTTTGTGAGAATAACACTTAGCCTCTCTAAGCTAACATATTACATATATGCATACTGGAGAGGATCGTGTAAGTTATGAATTTTCAGCTAAAAGATTTGGGACTAAGTTTGTCATTATTAAGCAGGCTCAGACATTCACCCTGAAAGCTAAGTTCTTAGAAGTTGTAGGGCATGGGGATAAGCATCTCATGAATGCTACTGCATGTGAGCCAGGGGTTTGAAACTACCAACGTATGGTCAAACAGGACAGAAGGAATACAGAAATTAAACAAAGCACACACATTGCCACTGGGCAGCAGTGGGTGCACATTCCCAAGGCCCTGGAACACACCACACATAGATTTCTGCTAGGGTGACTCTACAAAGCAACCTGTTGTTTCAGTGTGGCACTACCAAGGTTACATAGTTTTGATGACACATTTAGATATGAATGCTGACTTTGAAATTTCAGAAAGCATGGATGGCACTCTTCCAAGCATATCTTGGAATGACAAGACCGTTTCCTTTTTATTTCTATTAAAACCGAAGTAGCTGAATCTGCATCCCATATCACCATTTGTGTGCCAATGGAAATGCATAAAGCACACAGTCCTAGTCGTGATAGATCCACAGCAATTTTGCAACTCAGTCCTTGTTCCTATGTTGTGAATAAGAAAATTTGCTTCTGTTCATGTTGCCCCTTGCAGCTTTGCACCTGTGTAGCTTGGTGCAAAGCAGATTTTCACCTGCCTGTATTGTGGAGCCCTTTTGATCACAAAGTCAGATAGTTAAACATGAATTTTCACATCCTACAGTGACAGATCTACTCTTCATTTAATTAGATACACTGTAAAGGAAGGCAAAAACAAGCTGTCAGGTACTGAAGCACTTCAGACTTCAAGAGCATACACAGAGATCATACTTGTAGTAGTGTAAAAAATAATAATCACAGAGTTGAACAGTTAGAAAATTGAATCAAAGCCAGAAGCTTATATAGGATTAACTTACCTGCGTCCGTAATATTCTTAATTGGACTATCCCTTCATTTTCCTCTTCTCGCATTCTCTCTGTAGTTAATTGAAGTCTACCAATTAGGTTTATCTTACCTCTCTTTTGAACTTTTGCATTTTTTCTGAAATAATTAAGAATGAGATGAAGCAAAATATATAGGATATGCAAGATGCTTTCACTGCTTAGTCCTACTCCAAAGAGACTCTCCAAGATTTCAGGCAAAGCTATTTCTGAGTGCTAATGCTCAACAACCTTTATTATGATTAGGATTATCATAATTACAATTACCTGCCCTTCACCCTAAGGTCCCAAGGCAGGTGACAATTAAACCACAACACAAATATTAAAACACAATTATTACACAATGCTAAGAACAATTCAAAACAAATTTAAAACTTACAAAAATATGAGGGGTCCTAAAAAGGTGCATCTCAAGTGTCAAAAACAAGGGTGAAAAGGTGCATTTAATTGGGGGCACTGGGGACTCAACCAAAGTGTTGTATTCTACCGCTATAAATACAGGTATCTCCCCACTTGCAGGTGTTCAACCCATGCATATACACATCAGCAAGATTAGTTGTAACTTGCAAAAATGAAGAGTAAGGTAAAGGTACCCCTGCCCGTACGGGCCAGTCGTGTCTGACTCTAGGGTTGCGTGCTCATCTCGCTCTAGAGGCCGTGAGCCGGCGCCGTCCGAGGACACATCCGGGTCACGTGGCCAGCGTGACGAAGCTGCAGCTGGCGAGTCAGCACCAGCGCAGCACACGGAAACGCCGTTTACCTTCCCACTATAAAGCGGTCCCTATTTATCTACTTGCACTTAAGAGTGCTTTCGAACTGCTAGGTGGGCAGGAGCTGGGACCGAACGACGGGAGCTCACCCCGCCGCGGGGATTCGAACCGCCGACCATACGATCGGCAAGTCCTAGGCACTGAGGTTTTACCCACAGCGCCACCCGCGTCCCTTGAGTATTTATTACAAAATTATTACCTCTACGAAAAGGACTCGGTTAAACATGTTTGCCAAGTACATCATGAAAAACATCAAGAATGAAAACATTTCAATTTCTGCCTATAAGTAGGAGATAAGATATAAGAACATTTCAAACCTGATAGGCCAATGCCAAAACATTCAGTCTCAATTAACTGCAAAAATGTCAACCATTTTAGGTTTTGCTCTGATATGATCCATCTCCAAAATGAAATCTAAGTATTGTTGGACCAAAAATTGTCCTTCATCTTCTACAAAGCACTTAAGGAATAAACCAATTCTACATCTTACATTAAGCTGAACTCCTGGTTCACTGAGAAGAGGGTTCCTTCAGTAAAGTCTTTGGGTGAGTTGACTTGAGGTTCATATGACAAAACCTGACGTTTCAACTTTGGAAATGCTACAAGAGACTGTTGAGAAGAAAGGTGAGAGTGAGTGAGTGATACACTCCATGAAAATAAGCTTTCAGGTGAAATTTTGGCAAATCCGCAGTATTTTGTCATGCTATCTGTTTGCTAGATACAAACAGCAGAGAAATCCTGTTTTATTTTAACTAGCTGCTAAAACGGAACAATTCTTATACACATTCCCATAGCAAGCAAAGCAATTGTGAACAATGGAACGCTGAAAGCTAAATAACATACAAATACTTTGAATAAAGTTGCCCCTAACTCTTTGACAACACCCTTAGCAAAAGGAAAGTATAAAAGTCGCTCTTGCACCAAACTGAGTTATTAAAAACTTATGGATTGTATCCAGCTTTGTTATTTAGCTGATGGCAAGACTTTGGTTAAGGCTTGGTTCTGTCACTGAAATGTAGAGGGAATAAATTTATTCACAGAAAAGAGAATCAGAGTCAGAGTGAATGTAAAAAGAAGGTGATGTCTGCATATCTGGACAACTTTTTCTGGAGCAGTGATTGCATAAGCAACCATAATAGACTGCCCACCCCCAGCCATACAAAAAAGCCCTGAAGAAAAGTCCATCTCCAACTGCTGCACAGAGCCAATATTACTTGGCAAGTTGTAATCATGTTTAACTACCAGCAGATGAAATACACACCTGACCACTTTTTCATCACTATGTTGGAACTGTGAGATATAGCTTCCCTTCCCCCTTACACTGAGAACAAGCTGTTTTGATCAAAAACATATGAATCATCATCAATAATTCTAACCATAAAAAGGCAGTATAAAAATAAGACAGGAAGTATGACAACTCTTAAAGTTCAACAACATTCATAGCTACAGTATTCTCTCTCGCCTCTTCATTAACTGTTGCCCAACTAACTTACAAATTTCGTATAAGTTTTTATTTGTTTTTGTCTATTCTATTGTGGTTTTAACTTTCTGGGTGTTTTAAGTTATGGTTGTAAATATTTTAGTGATAAATTTATGACATAAACAATAAACAAACTGTCCTGGAAACAGAAGAGGGAGGGAGGGCATCAGCTGCTCTGTGTTCTGTCCTGCCACAGGGCCTACTGACACCAGCTGCACTGTTCTGTTATTTGTTTTATTGTGATTTTATTAACGTATTTTGTTTTTACCCCTCAGTCACCTTGGAAGGGTGTGTATCCTTAATAATGGAACATAAATAACAATAACTAGGACTTGACTTAACATTAAGACTACCAAACCAATTTCCCAGAAAAGATCGTTCAGGAATTCTGCGCAATTATCACCCTCTCAATGTTATTATTGTTTACTTTTAGGTGACTTGATTTTACTTAAAAAGCATAGCAAATGGAGCTTTGTTTCAAAATTATCCACCCAACACACACACTGTCAGGGAACTGCCATCAGCTCAGAGGCGAGGAACAGAAGGGCAGTTGTGTTACAGGGAGCCTCCAAAAATCTTGAGAAGCAGTTCCTCTTCCGGGGAGGAGGAAAGTCCCACCTCTAGTGGGGAAGAGGTGCAAGGACCAGAGGATGCTTGTGGGAGCCTTAACACCACTCCTAGGCAAGGAGGACAGGAGGGAAACACGCCCTTGCCATCGCCCGTCCTGTGCAGTAGCCTAAGGCACAGAGAAGGAAGGAGAAGGTTGGGAGTAATGAAACTCTTATGTTGGGGGAGGTCCAAAAACAGACCACTCCCGGATTCTGCTAGCGATTGAGCAAGACGTGAACTTTTGATGCTCTTCACTGTAAATAGTTTGCACCTAAATAAAGCCTGTAAAAGACAGGTTGGAGTCCTGCCTGGTTACTCTCGAGCAACCACAACAGCCATCTGACACACACCCTTGTCCTATAAATAAAATTAGTTTACAAATCTGGGCACATACCCACAAAGTTCTCCTGAGCTCAGCATCAGGGAGTTCTGTTGCCAGTTTAAGGTTTTCAAAGCTGATCTTCTCTCGGGGTCTTTGGTTCCAGGCAAAAAGCACAGCCAGCTGAAACGTTGTTACCTCCAAGTCATACTGGCCAACTTCATTCTTAAAAGTTATCTGTTAAAGGGACCAAAAATTATCCATGAACTGTCCTTAAGTACAGACTTGTCTCCAGCTCACCAAGACCAAGTACATATTTACAAAAATACAGAACAGAAGTGACTGGCACATGCATACATACAATTCCATTGGACATAAGGTGATGCCAGTGAAGTTTCCTGCCGCTGTGGTTCTTTTTGTAGAACTCTTCCACCTCAGGGATGAGATCTTCTAATTCCGTGGGCAGCGATACAAAAACCTTTTCAGAACTTCTGGACCAGGCCCCAGCATTCAAAATTTTGATATTCACAGAATCCGCTGTACGAACAAACACCCAGATGAATTCCAAATCAGAATGTAAGTCACACAGAGTAAACAGCAAAACATCTCTGACAGGTTAGCACAATAAAGAAACTGACTCTTTTCACGCTGGAGTTAAGCAGCGTCATTCTATGTAACACAGGAAAGTAAGAGTACCTGGTAGGGCCAGCTTATTATTTTTGTGCATTTCCTTGAAAGCCTGGTTCAAATCTTCAGATACTTTGATATCCTGGAACATTCTTGCCAGCTTATTTACATAATCTGCTGGCATACCTACTTCCTGCATAAAGAGATGGCAAATTAAATGTAGGCACAATAGGATCTTTAAAAGGAAGGGGTTGTTCTGCACAGTAGCATTGTATTTTTCAAATAAGTTAATTCAAAAGGTATAACCCGAATAGACAATATACACATCCCCCCCCGCCAGTACTTGACAGCTACACAGGCCTATCAGATAATGGAAAACCAGATGGTCTCAAATGGGATGAAGCAGCATGTTGATAAATGTAAATCTGGAAAACACCAGCTAGTATGGCCTTAGTAACTACTACATTTGGCAATGTCCAATGATCAGCTCTGCACATCTAACACAGCATGTCTGAAAATGTCTGTTATGTGAGTTGCATAGCTATATGAAAAACAGTTAGGGCTCTATTTCCCCTCCACCAAGTTTCTTGGGGTTGGATACCATCATGATGCAATTTGTTTACCTACAAATGACTTAGCCAGAAACAAGAGTTTAGCCTCCAGTCCCATTATATAGGCAGACATTCTTTCTTTCAGGAAATGAGTAATTCTGCGAGCCTCCAGGGAGATTGCCCCCAAAGTTCCTGCATCAGTCAAAAGTCTTCCAAGGTGTTAACTCACTTACTGAAGGAAGGGGTGCCTACTGACTTCTTGAGGGAGGGGGAAACAAACTCTCATATGAGATGCACCTGCCTAGAAAAGAGAGCAGTGCAGTGCTCACAGAGTCCCATGGAGAGGACTGGCAGTGGCTGGAGCTAATGTAAGGGCCACCACTTGGCCATCATGTATATAAATAGCTGTTATATCATCATAAAGAACTTATATCATCATAAGGAACTTAATCTAAATTATGAGTTCTGTGGCTTATTCTGAGAGATTTTGTTTTATAGAAAATACTGTAAGCCTAAGTCTTATGAAACAGAGCTACTACTAATTTTCAATATTTTAATTTTTTAAAATACTTACTTTTAAACATGAAGGCCTATTCTAAGAAGGGAATTCAATAGCACACATCCAATTTGCAGTGCTGAAAAGATACTAATAGGTAGACCACGGGTAGGCAAACTAAGGCCCGAGGGCCAGATCCAGCCCAATCGCCTTCTAAATGTGGCCCACAGACGGTCCGGGAATCAGCGTGTTTTTACATGAGTAGAATGTGTGCTTTTATTTAAAATGCATCTTTGGGTTATTTGTGGGGCATAGGAATTCGTTCATTTTTCCCCCTTCAAAATATAGTCCGGCCCCCCACAAGGTCTGAAGGACAGTGGACCGGCCCCCTGCTGAAAAGTTTGCTGACCCCTGAGGTAGACCCTCGATAATTTATATTTAAAACATTAATATTTGCCCTTTTTAATCAACAAACTTAGAGGAATAATAAAAACATTAGGATTTGAGATACTTACTCTCAGCCATTCTACCATATTCTCTTCTATTTCACTATCTGCTGATATATCCAATATAAGACGTCTTGTTAAATGAGCTTTGTGGTATCTCATGAAAACATCTTTGTTCTGCACATACTTGAGCACCAATAGCTGTTTAAAAAAAGCATTAGACTAGTTTCAGTGGTTGCTACTAACATCTATTGTTACTGCACAGCCGAGCCAGGAGGTGGCAAGCTCATACTCCCAAAATGATCTTTCAGCAGTCATGCTCTATGAAATGACTACAGATTTAATTATGTTCCTTCTCAAGCTATCACTGAGGAACAAATGTGGTTTAACAACACAGTTCCACTTTTAATTGAAACGTTCTGCATTTCTCCCTTTTGATCACAGCAGTATCTGATTCTGCAAAAAGACCACACAGTAGCATTCAGAGATTAGTGTGCAATAAAAAGGTAAAGGACCCCCGACAGTCCAGTCGCGAACGACTCTGGGGTTGCGGCGCTCATCTCGCTTTACTGGCCAAGGGAGCCAATGTTTGTCTGCAGACAGTTTTTCCAGGTCATGTGGCTAGCATGACTAAGCCACTTCTGGCGAAACCAGAGCAGCACATGGAAACGCCATTTAACTTTCCCCCTGGAGTGGTACCTATTTATCTACTTGCACTTTGACGTGCTTTCGAACTGCTAGGTTGGCAGGAGCTGGGACTGAGCAACAGGAGCTCACCCCGTCACGGGGATTTGAACCGCTGACCTTCTGATTGGCAAGCCCAAGGCTCAGTGGTTTAGACCACAGCGCTACCCACATCCCTCTTAGTGTGCAATACAGTGTGCTTAAATTTTTCTAAAACAAAAGGTGCCAGGGCTCAAACACAACAGTACATGGGGTCTCTTTAGCTTCCTTCTTACACTACTCACATTATTATTATTATTATTATTATTATTATATTAATTTTGTATGCCACCCTTAACGCAAAGATCACAGGGCAGTTCACAATATAAAAATACAAAGGGGGGGACATAATAAAATAGAAACAAACTAATAACTCCCCCCCCCGATATAATAAGGCAAAGTGTGTTGAAAGGGGTTGTGGGTTGGAGGATGCCAAACTTTTAGAACCTCAAAATGCACAGCTGCTCCTGGCCTCACAATCCACTAAGGGCAGGAAAGTTTTTCTGAGTAACCTCCACAACTAGAGGCTGCCCTGAGCCCTCAAACTCAGTGCAATCAGAGTTCCAGGGATTTTGTGTGCAAATGCTTCTTTGAACCAGATGTCTCTGCTCATGAGAGCATTGCCAAGTGGGAGAAGCTGCTGGCCATTGAGGCAGACCTAAAGGCACAATCCCACACGTTTTCAGTACATTTTGCATCTTCACACAAGTAATGCATGAAAAGAGGATCTTGTGAAAGGTCTGAACCCCACATCAGCCAACTTAAATTGCATGCAACTGTCAGATTAAGGAATAATACTTAATTGTGCATAAAAGTAAGATGCTACTCTCTGCACCCAGACAGCAACTAGATTAAGAACTGAACTATTGCAGCATTGAACTCCAATGACAGTCTCCCTCCCTGTTAATCCTGCTGTTTTTTGGAGTGATCAAAAGAAATTTTGCGGGGGATCACAATTGTATTCCCCCCCCCCCCAGATAAAAACTAGAATCTGCACATACCACTTCTTTAAGCTTTGCTTCAATTTCTTCAGAGGTTAGTTTTTTGCTTAGCGGTGTTTTTCTCAACAACATATCACAATAATTTGCAAGCAGCTCCGGGCACTTGGACTCTGGCTGTGTTTTCAGTCCAACACTAAACGAACATGAAAAGTAGTTATCACAAAATTATACTGAGCAGCCCTCAATGTGAAGTTGCACACCATTATACCAAGTCAGGCTTTTACTAATAATTAAGGTGGGGGGGACACAATTCAATAAAAAGAGCAAACGTTTACACACTTTTCTTAAATTCCACTTGCTTCTTTTCCTTCCAAGGGTCCATATGTTATTTCACAGATGTAATTAATACGGAGAATAGTAATTTGTGTAAATGAGTTAGCAGAAGGGACTGTACTCAGAAAGCCAGTGCAGCATGTATGAGAGAAGATTCCAAGTTCGAAAGAATTATCAAAACAAACAGCTCCTCCTAACATCACCACAAGCTGTGTGTGACTTAAACTCTGGGCCTACTATTAAATGAACAATCAGAAGTTACAATAGGGAGAATATACAGTACAAAAGCACCACAAGGCAGGCACTTTCATGGGACTCCTCTGAAGGTGGCTTCTTTTGAGCCTCTAGATTAGAACAGTGTCAATTATGGTGGAAGGATTCAGAAATTTCAATTGTTTCAAGTATTTAAATATAATATGGCATTGCAACTTCTAGTAATTTGATGCTTACAATTATCTGTTTATGGTAAAGGACTGAATATACAATGTTGAGCATGGGAAAGATGGATGTAAGCCCAAGGTGGCCTGGAAAACCAACTTTATATAATGAACTTGCCTAATTAACATCAAACAGAATGCAAATAGATTCAAGCCAATATTCAAACAACTTACCCCTTCTGTTTCAATGGTAATTCAAGTTTAAATATTGTGGCATCATTAACAACAGCTTTATATGCCTAAAATAAAATGAAAACATCCATTCAATTCTCAACACGGGAACAGATTCCAAAACTGACCATTCAAAATCTTCATCTTTCATTTCAGACATCACACAGGGCTGATTGCAAAGCTATGGTTTGGCCACCAAGAACTCCCTGAAGGTTCATGCGCTCCCTACTTTAATTGCAGTATTAAGTTTGAAAGCTAAAGAGAATTAGTGGGAGCTGGCACCTATGCTTCGCTAATCAGAAAAGAGAAGGGGAAATGCACATAGGTGGGTGGAGGTTAGGTGTGTGCAAACATGCTATCATGGAAAGGTTGGACACAGAAGAATGGTAGGAGGAACCAGCTGGAAAGGTAGCAGGAACCAGCTTCCCCAAGGGAAGAAGGCTCAAAGCCTGGGTACTGGAGGTGGGCTGCCGATGGGTGGTCAGAGAGAAGACTGAAAGGAGTAGGTGTCAGAAGCTGAAGAGGTAATAGGGCTTAGTGAGTGGGGAAAGTCTGTGGCAGAGAGAAGTCCAGAATCAGAGCCAGAAGCTGCAGCAGGAGAGGGGGGTGAGAGAAGCCAAGAGGCAGAGGTGAGTCAGGCTGGTGAAAAAGCACGGGTGTCTCCCTCTCCTGCTGCGACTAACTCCCCTTCCTGCTGGTCTCCCAAGGACTAGGACTAGGAGATTCTCCCAAGGACTAGGAGAGGCATTAGCAAGAGGAGCAAAAGCACAGGCAGTGTCTCAGATTGCTTGAGGAAAACCCTGGAGAAGTGACAGGCAGCTGTGGACCTTCAGTCTCTGCAACTGTCTCCTGGGGCAAGACCTACTGAAGAAGAGCTGATGTGCTCATTTAGGCCTGGCAACCCTGTGCAGACCCTGCTTTTTTCTAATAGAGAGTTCACTTACTCCAGGTGACTTACTGCTAGCTCACTCCTGACACATGCAGGGTAATCCCAATTATTAAATCAGCCAAATATGATGTCTGAACTAGCTAAACTATTCATAGAAATGTAACACTTTTGTTGCCTGCATTTTAAAACCTACCATTACATCAGCAGTACACCTAGTATTATTATATCATCATACCTTGTGATGGTATTCTCCAACATTTTATATACAGTTTATAGTATTAGGACTTTCAATTCACTACTATTTCTATAATCATCTTAACAAATCCCCGACTTAGATACTTGGGCAATATTGACATATCATGATTAATTAGGCATGTATAGCTGTGAGAGTATCTAATGTAATTGTATAAGTATATGATTGAAATCTTGCAATTACTTCTATATAGAGAATTCTTAAGATGACAAGTTATTATATTTTTCATTTACATCATGCAAGTCCCATAAGCATCAATAACAAATTGTAGACTTGAAACATGAAGTATGTCATTGTGTTTTAAAACACACAGTGTTAAAAACTGAAACAAATGGCCAACTGAATTAATAACAATCATACCTTATCTCTGGCAGTAAGAAATCTTGGGTCATCTTGAAAAGCTTCTTTAACCAGCTTGCTAAATCGATTAAATAATGTGAGCAATTGTTCTACATACTTTTCAGAATCCTAAAAATTGAAGAAGCAAAGCAACAAAAAATAAAAAGCCAAATCTGTGAGAAAAAATAGCACATTATTATTAATCAGTGGCACTGGTAAACTACACCAATTTTCTGTGAATTACTTATTTTCATGGAGGGTATTGAGCTCAAAAGTAATTACTTTTGCTAGATTTTATGAAGCACATTACCAATTTTAAGTTCAAACAATTTATATAAAGTTTTCTGAATTATATTCCTAAAACACATTTCTTGGAAGAACCTATATTCTACAGAAATTTCTGCTAAGTACAAGCTGTTAGAACAAAGGAACAAGAACTATTCAAAATATATTAAAAATGGAAATTGTTGAGTGTTAGTGGACAATCTGACAGATATCTGGTTACTGTCAGCTTTTTGATCTATCCCTTTTTATAGACTGGAAAAGTACACCAGGTGCTTCCAATAAAACTGCTTCATTTGAGGAAGATGTCCCAGTTCTTTAGAAGGTAGAGGTGACTTTACAGGCCACCATCAATTTCAGCTACTTTTCCTATTACAAAAAATACAATTTCACCCCAAGAAGTGATTCAGACGTTATGCTAAACCAAAGACTGGCATTACGTGAACCACCAGCTAAAGGTTTGGGGCTTGGTGTGCCTAGTATGCATGGCAATTCACCTGGTTTGACACTAACCCCAATCCTGGTTTGACACTAACCATGGTTTGGATGAAACTTGCTTACTAAGATTGGCCTCAAACAAGAACTGGAGGTAGGGAATCGCTGCACACAAAAGTTGGAGAGAATGAATGTACAAATCTGAGGCTTCTGACTGCTCATTCGTATCACAACTGGGCAGTCCCACAATGGCATGCTATGTGCTAACTCTAAATGCAGATTGGAAGGCAGAGCCATGGTTAATTTCTCTACCGTTAAATCTGGTGCAGGGAATTTATCTTGCCAGTGTGGTGGCAGTTCTTTTAAGATCCCCACGTTCCAGGGATTTGGCATGCTCTTAATTGTGATGACTGCTTTGAAGCAAAGTTTCAATTTGTAATAGAAATCTTTAATTGCTTAATAACCCCAACAAAATTAAAAGCTTGCAGTTTTATTTCATGAGATTTTAAAACCCCAATGATTTTAAGGAAGCAGCAATATTTCCCTACTGTATCTAGTAAACAGCCTGGTTTTCAATTCAATTTCACACATTCATTTCAAGATTTAGTAGAGACTGTGGTTCCTGGGCAAGGCAGGGACTGAAGTGGGAAGGAGCATATCATACTGGATGTAGTTGCAAACATTTGGCTGCATGATTTCTTGGGTGGTAAAAAAAGGCAACCAACACTTTGGACACCTACTTCACACCAAACTGAGAATTAGTTTTGCAAAATATTCCTGATATATAGGGAAAGCTTTCTAAGGGTAAGGGATAAAGTCAAGAAACACCTACTTACAGTAGTAATAGTTTCAGCGGCTGCTACCATATCTGCTAATCCAGCACTAACGATATGCTCTTCCAAATCTTTTAACATAGGCTCTATTCCATTAGGAACTTTATCCATCAATGAAAACATTAGATGCAACTCTGAAGACAAAAAAAGTTGAAGAAGTCACAAGTCAATTCATCTGTAGCAAGGCACCTGGAAGCTTTATTCCAGAGAAGCTTTATTCTGTGAACCGCCCTGAGACCTCCAGGTATAGGGCAGTATATAAATTCAAATAATAATGTCTCCAAATTGCAAGATGTTTGATTCATGCTCTCTTAATTGCAAAACGCTCCTCCACTTCACAAACTATCAGTGGGAATTCTATGAATAATGACTTGAGATTATCCAGTGGGTCTGTTCAGACTTAACCTGGGCTCTGTACAAACCACAATGTGCAAATTGGAAGCCAGCCTTGAGAATGCACACTTTCTCCTCCATGAACCAATTTTCCCCTTTCCTTTCTAGCATTAACCATAGTCTTCCATCACATACACACCATGGTTAATCAATACCAGGATCCTTGTAATCTAGGCTTCGAACTATGGTATACGTGTATATAAGCAGTATATAAATGTTGTGAAAATAAAGTAAAATAGGCTTGTTGGGAGAAGACAGAAGCACCCTGAGGCTCACAGCAATCAAAGCAGATGTGAAATGTTTTTTTAAAAATCTGTATGTACTGTATTAATAAAATACACTATAGTAAAGAAAGAATAAAAAGGAATATAGTGCTGATTTTAAATAGCCAAGCTCAACCTCTGACAGAACAAGCAAGTAGGAAGTCTCTCATCATGCTACCACTGAGGTGGATGAAAGGAACTTACAGAACAGTAGTAGTCATGGCCCTTTTGAGAGTGTGCTAAGATGGTGGTGAGCTGCCTGCAGAAAACATTAGCCTAGCTCTAGAAGGCTCCAAAGTAAGGCTCTGCACAGGCACAATACCGATAAATGGGACTGCACTGGGACCATGACAGAGAACTATATTAACCCTTGGAAGGGAAGAGAAGAGAAGAGAAACTACCTTGAGTGCCATCAGGGGGAAAGGCGGGGAATGAATGAATAAAATAAATAAAAGGAAGAGAAGGAAGGGAAAGAATGCATCCTCAAGGAGGACTCCTGATTTGCTGCCTACAGTTAGCCAGGGTCAGCATTACATTTTATGTAAACCACTCAGAGGTTTTTAAGAATAAGCAGTATATAATTCAAATTAAGTATGTAAAACAAATAAATCACTGATTCATTCAGGGAAGGATGCAGAGGAAAGCAAAACTGTGGGGGAAGAAGTGGTTTTATGGACCAGTCTTCTCCAGGACTATGCAGCGAAATTCACTGCAATAGCCCATGTTCACTAATCAATTTCTCAATAGTTCCAAGTTCCCATAAAGTCTCATTCCCCTTGAGGACTGAAAGTTATACTTGTACAACGTTTGCTACCTTGCTATATTCAGCTCTGGACTAGTGCCAAAGAAGTGCTGTCAGGATGAGAAGCCAAGCATATTTTTTAAAGGTCAGATACCTTTTGAATTCCCAGGCCTAACTGCAGATGTTTATACCATGAAAGGTGGAACCATCCATTTTGAACTAATTGCTATTTTTTTATAAAAAACAACAACCCCACAAATAACATATACCATGCAGTGGAGTAAATTAAACAAAAGGTTATAGTGTGCAGGGTTGTTTGCTTATGCAGTCTCTTTCTTCTGATTTCCACCCATGGAAATTTCCACCCATTTTCCACCTTTGCCAAAAAGGCACATAAACTAATAGCATTCCTAGGGCTTAAAGATATGCCTGTTCACCTAAATGATAAAAACTAAGTAGACCCAAAAGACAGACAAGGGTGTTGAAATACAGCTAAAAGCATGCAGCAGCAATCATAATGCAATATGGTGGGGCCAAGTGTGCTTTCAGCTACCACTGGATTAACCCTCATTCAGTTACATGAAATGCACTGAAACTGCAATGAATGAATATAAACATCCCGATGTGTAATATAGTGGTTCAACTATTAGACTGTGCAGGTAGAACAGATTTCAGCTCCAACTCAACCATGAAGTTAACCTTAGACCAGCCACTATTCCTCAGACTCACGGAATTAACAGGGTTGTTTTGAGGATTAAGATGGGGAGAATAACTTTGTGCACAGACCCTGAGCTCCTTGGAGAAAGGGTAGGATAAAAGTGCAACAAAGAAACATGTGATAAAATATATTTACACATAGCCATGCAGGGCAGCAAGCAACTCTGAACTGGTTCTACGTCAAATTGTATTTCTTGTGTGCTACTCTTTACAAAAGCAGTAATATAAATCAGTTATATATTTTACTCTGTCCATACCAATCTAATGACACAGATTTATGCTACACTTCACTTACTTTCTGTTTCATTTCGTTTGATCATGCCTTGGCATTCAGCTAAAATTGTCTCCTTAAAAGATGTCACCAGAGCATTCACACAGCACTCCATAAGCTGAAAGGTAGAAGTGCAACCATTAGTGTACTTAGGATGTAGAAACGCATCAGCTGAATTGAGATGATCTTGCAATCATGTTTTGGAGGATGAGGAACATTCCACACACCCCTTTCACCCTCCCTCATGCATGCCTCAATCAATCACTTCCTCTTTTAATCAAGCCACAATTTGCAGCAGACATTACATTAGGCAATACTAGTGGAGGAAACAGAAGGAATACAGTCAAGCTCCTCCCTCCATGAATTGTCACCTGATAGCAGCCATTACATTAGGCTACATAAGAGAAGACAGAACAGATGTGGGGCCACTTCATCTGTGCAGCTGAGACACCAAGAACTTATGAACTCCTTGAACTCTTTCCAATCCAGTTTATCATTCAAAGAACTGGTAACTAAAAACTTACACCTGAGTTTGCTTATTTATTCCTCCCTCCCAATCCATTTTCCTTTGGTGTGGAGACTTCTCTGATTGTGAGAATGAGGAATGGGAGGGGACTGTCTTTTTTTTAAATGATATGGAAGACATTTTGGGTGAAGTGTTTGGGGAAGATTGAACCCTTCAAACTAGGACAGCACACCAGGATCATTTTGTGCTTTGCAATTCTGGTTTGGAGGGCTTGCTCAAAATATGGTTTGGAGGAGAGCTTTCCAAACTTTTCATGTTGGTGACACACTTTTTAGACATGCATCATTTTGTGACACGGCAATTCAGTTTTACTAGCAAACTGGTGGTTAAACTAACCCCTTTCCAGCCCCAGGAGGAGCATGGGGAGTATTTATGTGACACACAGTTTGGGAAGCTCTGGCTTGGAGGATAATCTGAAATCAGCTAGTCTCCAGTTTTGCAAAATACAGAATTCCCCAGTATGAAGCAAATTTAGGACACCCCCTATAGTAGATAAAATTATGTTTATACACATTTTGACTAATGTGAGTATTATTTATTCTTCTTCATCATCATCATCATCCACTCTTCACCATGAAGTTCCAGGGTGGGTTACAACAATTTTGAATTACAATATTAAAAACAGTTAATAAAGATTATAATCAAGGGAACAAGGGTCCTAAAACACAGGGATAAAAAAGCAGAAGCATGTACACATTCTACAGGGCAATCCCATACAAAGTCCCACAGAGCTCGGTGATGTTTGCACCCACGTAAATGGGTATACAATGGTATATAATTATACCTGCTATATATAGCTAAAACTAACACATACCGCTTCTACAGAGTTACATTCCCGCCTGGTTTCTAAATACCGTAGTGCTCTTTTTTCTTCTTCCTTTAATTTAGCATCTGCCTGTAGAGAGCAGAACAACGATTACTTAGAATATTAACATTAACAGGACCAACAACTTCATACCAACACCTTTGAACTTACATATTTCATGTAATTCTGAACACCATTTTGTTGCAAATACGAAGGGGCTTGAGTTCTATAAAATCTCTCTGTTGAATCAAGGTATGCTTTTTCAAAATTATCCCGATAAATCTGGAGTTTGTCTTCAGGATTAGAACACAGATTAACTGAAATGAGGAATATAAAGTTAAAGCATTCTTCCTGGGCTTCTATATGATGAAACACACTTACTTCTCCCATTAATGACAATGAATATAACAATAGGCAGAAAAACATAGTCTAGCTTTCCATTTTTTAAAACAATTCCTGATCATCTGGACATAAGACTATGACAACTTAGAAGTCTAATAAGAGGAATAAAAGTGTGCTTTTTAGGGTAATTTTAGATTGTAAGTTAGCAGGTAAGGGAGCAATCCAAACCCACGACTTGTCTCAGGATGAGCGAATAAAGACCCACAGGATCTCTCGCTCATTCAGCCGATTCCTGGTGCTGCTGAGCTATCCTGGCGTAAGCCCCATATACCAACTTAGGCAAAGATATGCCAGTCCTAACTCCCTCAACCTGTCAGCTCAGTCACCTGAGTCATTACTGAAAGATCTTTCCAGCATAAGACCTGAAAAATGGGCATTCTAGGAGAGTGGCGAGGGCTGGGCCAGGCCGGGAGGGCTAACTCTGGAACTTACAGCACCAAAAAAGGTAGTGTTTAAAAAATATTGAATTTACATTCCACCAACCCATGGGATTTCAGATTCCTCCCCCCCAAAAAATAATAATTCCCAGGGCATTTGCCTGTGCAAAAGCAGCAGTAACATGAATCTTAAGATCATCACTGATGGAAATGTCTGAAGAAATTCCTTATTTACTAATCAAGACAAGGGACAAGTTTCAAGCATCAAGAAAAACAAACCCTTATAGTTCAAACACCTTTGGAAACTGCTCTTGCTGCTGGACCACAGAGATTACTGGTCTTTTCTGTACACTTGTCATAAATCCTTTTGTCAATGCAAATTGTAGCTGGAGGCAAACTATGATGGTTTGTATATTAATGGGGTTCTGAAGACATGTCCCATAAAACAACACATACCATATGATTCTCTAACACCAATGACAAGTTGAGAGTCAAATGCTTCCCCTAGCCTTTCAGCATGGACCAGCTTCATTGCACTGTCTTGAAGGCGAGTCTTTATATTTGAAAATATGGATTCGTTCCAAGTGTCTAACATGAGCTGCAAAGACAGAAAGAAGAAGAAATAACATTAAAAGGTATGTAAAAATTCTCAAAAGGCAACCCATTAAAAACTGGCCCTTGAAGGGCCTGGCAAAAGTTCAGTTTCAGATTTAAACTTATTTTTCAAATAGTACAGAATGTCCACATGACAGCTATTTTAAAAAAACAAATGTTCTGTTACAATTGCCCCTCTCTTTACCAAGGACTAACAAAAACAAAAAAAAAGGTCTCCAATGAGGTTTGTGGTCACTTTATAGTGAGCATTGTTAATTGAGTAGAAAGTGTGTTTTAAATAACTCCAGCTAATTATGCGCTCACTCTGTCTTATCTTTAAAACTCAGGGAAACATAAACCAACTGCTTTTTTTGGCCACACTCTTTTTCACACTTTCAAAGGAAGAACATATTCATCACCTACCTACAAATTTGTTTAAGAAAAAAGCAGCAGGAATATGCAAAGCTACCACTACATTGGATGAATAGCACTGCATTATGGAATTGTGCCTGGCAGTGGAAAGAGAAGCAGTTCAGTAAATAATCAGTTCTAACCCCCACTTTAAAGTGATGCTTCAGTATAACTATGGACGATGCAAGATTTCGCTATGCTGTGCTATGCTATGCTATGCTATGCCATGTATTCGTGCTACAACAAACTCTCTTTGTGATGGTGTATATTTACAGCAAATAACTTACCTTTCGTACAATACTGTCTTCTACATTGGACTTCTTGTTGCTGCCTGGTTTGCCCATGAGAGTAATCTCTAACTGACAAAATGGCTTGGGTAAGATATCACACTGCGTGAAGAATTTACGCCACTCTACAATATAGGCTTTCAGTAATGCAGTATCATCTTGGTGGCTCAGCACTCTCTGAAAGAAGAGATGGCTCAAAATATTATCATCTTTATTTGTTAAGTTTCTATACCACCCTTCATCCGAAGATCCTAAGTACAGTATAAAAACAGATACAGTTTAAAAACACACATGAGTATTTCTAATGCCTACTACCAATGCAGCTATTGATTCTTTTTTTTTAAAAAGTTATGCCATACATAACATAGAGAATTCTGATGTTACAAACGCAAACTTGTAAAAAAGCTACAAGACGCCCAACATCTGCACAGTACACACCGCCCTATCCAGGGAGATTTGGATTAGGCGACCCATCATGTTTGTGGTTATTCTCAGTTCTGTATGCAAAGTTGAGCTGCCTTTGAGAAAATACACTTTTGAGATATCAGGAGAAAAGAATCTACTTGTGGACAAGTTGAAAACTTACTGCTTGTGCTTGTTTAATAAAATCAAGGATATCTTCTTTCAAAGCCTGGTGTATTTTTGCTGGGCCTTTATCATCCCACAAGCAAACGCCATGCACATCCCTAGAAAATATATACATTCAGTCAGGTCAAGATAATACTAAACTGTATAGCTGAAATTTCAGTTTAAGTGGCCACTTGATAATAATGTCCTCAAGCAACCCCAGTTAAATGTCAACAATATAGTGCCTACCCACAGCTGGGGAAAGTGGGACCAAGCATTACTTTGTCCATTAGGTCGTTTTAAATAGACATATCAGCATATACAAATCTGTACATGCAATATTAATGTCTGAAGTCAAATAATTCACAGTAGAAAAAAGAATCTGGCACTTTATCATTCATTTACAAAGCCCACTGTTACAGAGTATGCCTAACCAAAGTTGCCATCCTGGGAAACAGAACTATTTCCAGGTGGAGAAACACCATCTCCCCGGAAAAAAATGGAACCGTTTTAATGAGGCACACATAAAGAAAGGGCTGCAGCTTAGTGCTAGATCACATACTTTTGTAAACATCCCAAGTTCGTGCCTGGCTTCCCCAGTTGAAGGTGTTTTGGTAATAAGTCTAAGACAGCCCTGACTGAGACCCTTCAGAGCTGCTACTGGTCATAATTAGGTTAACAACTAGCGGTTTGTTAGCAAAAGCTGCTCTCCTGAGATGTTCTGACAATCTCACATACCCCAGGTGCTCATCACCTTCTTCCTTCTGGACTTCCAGCAATATGAGGTAGTGAGATGAAGGCATAGGAAAGCAAATAAAGAGGCAAAGCCCTTCTCTCACTCGCAGAGCCAGATATCATTCTGGTTTCCCTGCAAAATGGCTAAAAAATGGACAATATTTGTCTCTGCTCTCACTTAGGCACTCCAGTGTGTCTCTTCCCTAACTTCAAGTATCAGAATGAAACTGGATTTTCTAACATGTCCCTTTGGCTAGAGGGAGAGGGAGAGGGCTTGGTCACTCACCCACCTTTAAGATTATCCCACTGATAAAACCAGCCGACAACCATTTATATAGATGCTATATAAACCATTAGTATGACTCGATATATATAGAAGCTCTTTATGTCCTTATTCGAAACTATCAGATCTGGAGCTTAGAAAAACTATGAGTTGTATCCAACTAAGGTTTACTCACAGTAGACCTGCTGAAATTAATGAACATAAGTTAGTCATGCCCATTAATTTCAATGTGTGTACTCAGAGTAGGACTACAACTTAATCTGCCACCCATGTGACTGCCAAATCCTCTACGGAGTCACTTTATGGCAATCTGTCCTGCAAAGATATCTCATATGAGGTTTCACCTTTGCAAGCGCAGGTGATGAAATTCTCAAGACTTCTTGCCCCTGATTGCTTGCCCCTTCCCTCTCAAGTTTGCTACACTATTTTAATTCCACTTACGAAAGGGTCACTTTCATCCGCTCATTCTAAGCACACATCAAGAGAGAAATCATATTAGGGCAAGCCCACAAGCTTACCTAAGAGCAGCGAGGCCCTCTGGTCAGCAAGTATGGTGTGTTACACACTCAAGTAAGCTCACTTGCATACAAGGCATGGGTACCATCTCTCCTATGAACATATGATTGCCCATGCATGTGTCTCCATCCTCCAACCTCCCAATCTTCATCTCTCAGCTCAAGGAACATCGGCCGGAGGGGTGGGGTGGGGGAGAGAATGTCAGGAAAAGGCTTAACAGCAACTCCCTTTTTTGGCAAGAGCAACTTGAGGAGGAATTCATAGGTTACGGGAGTGAGCCCTGATAGCCAGGGGCTCGCTAGTTCAAGTGACCATTACAGCCCAGGAAGCAAGCCCCTTCTACTGCTAGTTTTTAGAAGGAAAAACCCTGTCAACAAAAAATGGAACAAATGTTCTTTAAAAAAGGGTATGTGTGTTCCATAAATACGTCCTGAAATCCATTTGTGTGTGCGCATATTTTGTAAATGCAGCACTGCTAAAAGCTGCTATTAGCTTCGGAAATTGCTCTTTTCAGCATATTTTCAGCTCTGAGTAAAGCACTGATTAGAATTTAGACTTCTGTTGACAGAATAGCAATAGATTGTGCTATATAAAAATAACTGTCCAATCATTTTATCAGAGAAAAATTACTTGAATGTGGAACCTATGAGAACAGTACATCAATACATAACAGTTTAAGTAAATGATAATCCCAAATAAATCACTTCATTACCATTCTAATTTTCAAAGTCAATTGCTAGCTATCTTGAAAACAAATGAGTATCCTAAGTAAGAAGTCTATTACAGGGTCTTTCCTTAAACAACTGTTTCAACAAGATATTACAAACCATTACCATTGTTCTATTACCCAAGAATTACAAATGATACACACTACTTACGAAAATAGATCAAACCACTGCTGTTTCGTGACAGATTCCTGGCGCAAAAGCTTCAGAACAATGGGGCGCATGAAATCCCATTTGTCTTCAAACTGAAGTGAACCTTTATTCTTCAAGAAAGAAGACAGCATACTTTAAATACAGGTCAAATAAGCATTAATCTTGCAGCCCAATCCTATATATGTTCATTCTGAATCCAGTCCATTTTGCTCATTGGGGCTTCCAATTACATGTGCACTTGAGTCCACCTGTAGTCAAATAGATCAACTAGACAACCACTTCTTTAAATAACTCATTGCATCTTACCCTGTGAAGTTTCATGATCACACCGTGTTATCTGCAATCCTCAGGGGAACAAACTTGGTAGAAATCATAGCACACATTGGTTTTCCCAGGTTCAGACTTCAAACATATTGAACTAGCCACCTTTTAAAAATGCCCCAATGAGAGATTCATCTCCTATCCCCCTAAGTTGTATATGATACTTCAGCAGGTACATTTAAGTAATAATCCAGAACTTAAACAAGAAAGAAACTTTTTAAGTCATGAGCCACAAAAAGGGGAGACAATGAAAAACTGACAAAATGCATTTTCATTGTTTTATTTATCTGCATTGTGCTGGAGGTTTTCAAAAACACTGTAACCTTATAGTACTAGGAATATGGACCACCTCATGCAGCACATTTTAAACTTGGAAGCAGATTCTGAAGTACAAAATTCTTCAGACATACATCCAGGTGAGGTATGTGCACTCTGTAATCCAACTGACAGCCAACAAGACGGTTTGGGTCCATTTAAACACAACTGAACACAGGGCTCTATTGCTCTCAGTCCAGCATATTCAGTGTGTCAATATTGCTGTTTTGTTGCAAAAAGGTACGGTAGGAGGAAAAATACATGCAAATATACTTGACACTTAAAATGTGCCTGCACTGAACGCTTTTCACAAATTATCATGTTCTTGCTGATAAAGAAACACACACAAAAATTATTCTCCTTCAAGCGAGAGTGATAGAGCTACAGTGGAAACACCACATCTACCCTGTGATCAGGAAAAGCCTATTGCAGTGGAGACAGTGCATGCAAATTGAGAGGGTCAGAAATCCATGTGAGAAAACACTGTATGCAGATACAAATGACACACTGCACTAACCCAGACATTCATTCAATCAAAGCGAAAGGACTAGGTATTCAAGTTGAATAATAATGATTATTTTGATATGTTGCCATACTAGGAGTTTGGATTTTTAAGCACTGAAAAATTGAATGCAACGAAATATCATGAGCCTCGGAAATTCAAAGATCTCTGCTGGATGGGAGTGAAGGCTTGTTTCCCACAGTGGCCATCACCAGACACTCATGGGAAGCCCACAAGGGCAATTGCTCTCCCCCGCTGTTGTTCTCCAGAGACTGGTGTCCAGTTTAAGAGAAGGGTTAAGACATTCACAAATTTTCCATATTTAGACGGGAGAGGAACAGGAAATTGTACGGCATTCATCCAATTTCTGCACCATGCAAGAAGCAAACACATTCTGCATTCAAAAATATTGTGCTCACTTACAACCTAGACTCTATTTGCCCAAACTTTCCTTTGATCTTTTCACTAAGGATGTGTTTCATGACTTGCCTTTAACTGGTTACTTACACAGAGACTTTAAAAGATAGTTATCTTTATGAGGATAATGAATTTTCACAAAATTGAAATGCCAGACACTTGTAATATAACTTCCTTTACTATTCTAGGTGCATTTAAATGAGTGAGAAAAAGCAGACGCTTCATCTCAGGGTCATGGGTTCGAGGCCAAGTTGGGTAAAAGATTTCAGCATTGCAAGGGGTCCCTTCCACATGGTCCCTTCCAACTCAACAATTATATGATTCTATGGCATCTTACGGGAGAGCAAAAAATGGCCACAAATGAAGGGAAATGGAACTGGTGTAACTTGACTGTTCCTCAACAGTTTTCTTCAAATATAGCTAGCTTATGGAGCAAGCTAGTTGCATTTAATGTATCAACATGGAGAAAGCCCATGCTAAATTTCAGACAATCTGAACAAATTGCCTGGATTTTAATAACACAGAGAATGTTCTGCATTTACAATGGTATAAAATTTCATTACCTATCCCCCTTAACTATACAGTGGTGCCCCGCAAGACGAATGCCTCGCAAGACGAGAAACTCGCTAGACGAAAGAGTTTTCCGTTTTTTGAGTCGTTCCGCAAGACGAATTTCCCTATGGGCTTGCTTCGCAAGACGAAATGTCTTGCGAGTTCTTGCGAGTTTGTTTCCTTTTTCTTAAAGCCGCTAAGCCGTTAATAGCCGCTAAGCCATTAATAGCCGCTAAGCCGCTAATAGCCGTGCTTCGCAAGACGAAAAAACCGCAAGACGAAGAGACTCGCGGAACGGATTAATTTCGTCTTGCGAGGCACCACTGTACTGGCACAATTATGCCTATATAACAAGTTGCCATTGCCTCATTCCACACAGCAGTAATACAAAGGGACAAAAGGGAAGAATTCTAGCCAGTCTTCTAGCACAGCGTGGCAGGCAAAATTTCAGCTTTTTATCTTAAGCAACTGCAGGTAGCCTATTGTGACATGTTGCAGAACCTCAGACTCTGAATACCTTCTGCAAACATCATTTTGTCCCCATCCACTCCAGTCTTCCTCATAGGTAGCTGAGAACAGCAGCCCTCCACCCCACCCCAGGCAAGTTGATTTGCAGTCTTTTCTAGGAAGAGAGAAACTAGCACATAAGGCACATCTACACACACGCTCTCTCTATATATATTATTCTACATTATTATAATGTATATATTATAATTTTAGAACGTGGTTTGTCTCAATGCATTCAGATGCCACTTGAGATATCATCATCAAATCTGATGGATCCCAAGATGGAGGAGAGTTTTCGTTTATGTTTGGAAATGGCTGCAGGCCATTTTGAATCAAAATGGTAGACAGAACCATTCCAACCTGCACCAGTTTGGACACATTTGAAGATAGTGGGAGTGGGAGGAGGTGCTATTGTCAGTGGAAGTGGAGATGCCATGACCCTGCAACACAATGAACTGGGACACCATGGGGGGAAATGATATCAGTGAGGGGTAGGTAGGCATGCCTGGCACAACAGTCAAGTACATACAGCAGCAGTGCAGGAGCCACCCATCAAGGGTACAAGTCTGCTGGCTGCAGAGGTTTGCTTCACCAGTGGGTTCCCTGCAAGGAACACGCTGGTGAAGCAGCACCCATCCACTAGGCTTTGATTCTCTTGCTCTCTGCAGTGTCTGTGGAGTGGGGGGGAGGTACAATGTCTCCATGCCCTGCCCCGCTCCTGACTGTATAGGAATTTTTAAAACCCTAAATAAGCATTAGTCCTGTAGCCAAAATGATTGGGGCTCAGGTCCAGTTTGGGTGTCGCTCAGGTTGGGGCTGATCTGGACTCTCAGATCAGGCCAATGAGAGTGTGTGCACTCACCTAAAAACAAATTACCTATTTATAAAACTCAGTAATTCTTGGTTTCATAGAATTTCTGAGCAACACTGGTTAATATCAGCTAGTAGTTAACATTTTCATACACATACATGTTGCTGGGATGAACAAATTCACTATGTATATTGGCAGAGAATTTAAGAGGAACTGTTACTCAGATGTTGAGCAGATGCCAGAAGCTACTCTGATACTAAGAAAACATTTTATCTACCCATTTTATATACCCATGACAGCATCATATGCTGTGGTTATTCATGGGAGCCTTGTATACTAAATACTAAGAATTTACTGATGTTATTGGAATCATATATGCTCCATTGACTACTAGGGTTCACATGGCTTTTTTATCACTGTATTTGTTCTAGGAGCCAACATTATAGATGCCTGAAACATGAAAAATAAGTCCAAAGACTGCTTTAATATGGCTTCATTGCAAATCAATGGAATTCTGGTCCTACTGTTATAACACATTAGCATCTGTTTTATTGCTGCATTTTATTGCAGAAGTCAAAACTTAGGGAGTTTAGCAGGTTGTGGCAGTAGGTAGGAAATTGACAACTGCCTAATTTGCAAGACCGACTTAGGCTAGGAGATGGAGTCAAGAAGCAATGACTGGGCGACATAGGAAATCAGGGGTTATAGAGAGGCTGGGACAAGTGATGATGGCTACTACAGACTGCACCAGAGTGAGGACCCTAGGAGAGAGAAAGAAGCCACAATATATTTGTATTGTGGCTTATTCAGATGTCACTGCACTGTTGTCAATGAGACATACTCCTATGTAAATGAATACCAATTCAGCCTTATAGCTGTTAGCCATATGAACACTGTCTATAATGCATTCACTTAGGCCTGGGCATCTTAACAAACCCCAGAGATCCAGCACTTGGTAGTCAATCTCAAATACCTGCCTCAGGCCTAAACAAGGAAAGGAGATGGATTTCACCAGCAGATGGAGAGGGAGGAAAGACCAGTGGTAAGGCAGGGAATGAGGGAGGCAAAAGGACAGAAAGCCAAAAGGGAAGTTCATGACTGGGCGTATTTGTCCCTTTTAGCTTCTGAGTAGGAAGGAAGGGCTGATCGGCACTTGTGAGGTTGGGTGCATGTTCTCCGTAATAAGGTGAAGAAAAGGGGACTAAGTTAGAAAAACAGCCAATGGTTATTTATTTAACTTCTTGTTTCTCCTGCCCTGGTCAGAGCAAAAGAACGAACTGATCTGACCTGGCTCCTGCAGACTAAGCCAAGAACCTGCCTGCGTTCAATAGAAAGACAAGAAGAAAAAGTGGCTCTAGAAAGAGAGCGAGAAGTGCCTGTCTGCTAGTAGAAAGAACGGGAGAACTCAAACTAGATGGTGACGTGTAGGGAGAAACAGTGTATTTACCATACCTAGTTTAATAGCTCAGCCTATTCCAAAGCCACATGGTAACATTTACAGGTAACTGGGAAGCAGTTCAGAGGTTGGGCTTTATTTGCCAAGAATGCTATTGTGCACGGATGGCAAACTTCTGTACTCTCTGGAGCAATTAAAGTTCTTCAGACTTTAAAGAGCCAGTGCCATTAAAGCCTGCCATACATGGTCTGGCTCTATTACTAAGTTGACATCCCCCAGCACATACACTCAGATGGGGTGTCTTCATCATCACTGGTAGTACAGATAAACGAATGTGTGTTTCCTGAAATATCCCCTCATGGGGTTAGAGAAGAGTCATCAGGTGGCCAAATAAAGATACCTCCAGGGGAAGATGAGGCCCATAGGTCACTGGTTTGCAACATGCTCTAGAAAAGGGAGTTTGACAGATGGATTACAGCCATCAAGGCCTCGACATTTCAATTTGGTATCACTATATATTTCTTGGAAGACTTCTGAGGTAAGTGCCTCTTTCTAAAAGCAGCCTCATATTTCACTTCATAATCCCAGTCCTATCAAAAGTAAGATCAAAAGCATAAATATTTCAACCTGCTTGATCTTAGGTTTGCATGTACTTAATTTTAATATTGGAGATGTTTTTAGAGTATTGTTTCAAGAAGAAAGCACTGTACTTCTACATGGGCACTATTTTACATCCCTTCTCTTGGTTATACATACCTAAAAATTCAGACACAGGCAAAACTTAAACCTCTTTCATAATTTCGTGAAATTTCACCTTCACGAAACAACCTCTTCTGATTATATTTTAACTTCAAAGTATCTGAATTATCTACTGGATAAATGGCATTCATTTCTCCAGTTATGAAAATCTTGATGTGTACAGGAAAAAGGCATAGGTTAACTTTCACAAGAGTATACTTTCTCCTGAAAGTTATTACAATAATTTAAAAAATCTATTTATCAACAAGAGGTAGAAAAGTAAGTCTTTTGTCCTCTCTCAACCTATCATTTGACAGCAACATGATCAGGGGACAAGAGTTATCAAATAAGTCACTTAATACAATAACACTTTTTCAATGGTTTGGGCTTGTACATTTTGCATAAAGCAAAGAAGTTTTGGCTATTGTATTTTTATTTTGCTATAGCAAAATAGCTTATAACGTTCTCACGTTTTTATCTCATATTTAGGATTTTTTGCTGCATTTTTGTTTTAAACTAGAGATTTTAGTTATATTAGCAGCATAAACATTTAACAAGCAAATAATAAAATATACCTATTTGTTCTACAATCTCTTACAGCAGTGTTTAGCTTAAAACAAGTTCACCAGACATCAATTTTCAAAAAAGCTAGTGCCAACCTGCTTAATGCATAACACCCAAGCCTAGTGATTAAATGACAATTTGTTACAATACCTATCAGGAATGGAAAACATTCTAAATTTCTTTATTTCAGTCTCAGAGTTTGGGGACAAAAATCAAATTTAATGGGTCAGCCACACATAAGATTGGGGGAGGGAAAAATCTATATTGGAGATTTCTCCAGCCCTACCCTCAATTATTTTTGACGCAGGATGCGGGTGGCGCTGTGGGTAAAACCTCAGTGCCTAGGGCTTGCCGATCGCATGGTCGGCAGTTCGAATCCCCGCGGCGGGGTGAGCTCCCGTCTTTCGGTCCCAGCTCCTGCCCACCTAGCAGTTCGAAAGCACCCCTAAGTGCAAGTAGATAAATAGGTACCGCTTTATAGTGGGAAGGTAAACGGAGTTTCTGTGTGCTGCGCTGGTGCTGGCTTGCCAGAGCAGCTTCGTCACGCTGGCCACGTGACCCGGAAGTGTCTCCGGACAGCGCTGGCCCCCGGCCTCTTAAGTGAGATGGGCGCACAACCCTAGAGTCGGACACGACTGGCCCGTACGGGCAGGGGTACCTTTACCTTTACTTTACCCTCAATTATTGCCACTTTGCTATATACCAGGAAGGGCTAAGGCTGTATCCTCCAGATGTTGTTGGACTAGAACTCCCACCACTCCAGGCTATGACTATGCTTGCTGTGGCTGTTGAGTTCACAATTTCCAGAGGGTCCCACATTGGCTACTCTCTGCTATTCACAAACACACACAATCTTGCGCACACACAAGCTGTTACATCTGTGCGTTTTAAGAATACTCTCCCCCCACATACTCACTCCCACCCTTCCTGCACTTTTTTCCTTTGACAGCTTTACTCCTTTTGAGATTTTCTTTTTTTCAGCATCTCCAATCCTCAATTCAATTACAATACTGAGCACTTGTTTTTCTTTTATGTCCCCAAACACACTCACCCACTCACTGCCTATGCTCCTGATTTGTTATCTAATCTGTTTCCTAGCTCCAGTCCTTCTGTTCCTAGCCTGAGTTTTACCTGCCTTCTACAGCTTACCCATCCTCTGCTTTCAGTTTAATTAATGAAAGGGATGAAAGGATCCCAAACGTGGAGTGTAAGAGCACATTAAAGTTTGTAGTATTCCATCACCCTTCTCCGTCCATGCTTCCAGTTGAAGATGGGATTCATTTACATCAGAACAAACTAGTGTTCAGAAGCAAAAGGCTGGCACTTATTGTAGGATACATGGAGTTCTAGGGGAAAGGGCAAAAGATAGCAACTGGGAAGCAGATGTTAACTGCCCTGAGATCTTTTGATGAAGGGCAGTGTATAACTCAAATAAATAAATAATCATAACAAACGCGCAAAGGCAAGTAGGCCCCTCCGGCAGAAAATTTTGGATATGATTAAGGGGAACAAAGTGGCTGACAACAAATCTGATTTTGGGGGGCAAGATCCAGTGGGAAGCTGTCCTGCATATTCCCCACTGAAAACCCTTGATAGCTGGAGGAGGGGGGTGGAGAATACATTTAGGACCACCATGTCTTAGAGCACTTGTCATTTTCCTCAAATGCTGTTTCTTCCCCTGCCTTCGCCCTGCAATACACAGGGGCTGAAATCCAGAAAAACCTTGTGAAGGGAATGCAACGCTCCCTTCACCTTATAAGATGCGCACACATCTTATAAGATGCACACACAGGTTAAGTCGGATGTGCTCCACCCTAGTTTAGAAAAATGAGACATAGCCCGAAACACGAGTCCGTTGCATTTTCGTTCACTTCCAACCTTTCAGTGCAGGCTTCCAACCTTTAGGCTCGTGGCTCTCCGCCTTCCTACCATGTAACCCTAACCCTGGCAGTCGGGTCTCTTTAGGCAGGCCCCCAGAAGCCAATATGTTTTGCCTATGATATCTCTGCTTTGTTACGGCGGCCCTGCAATAAGCCAACGGGGCTGTTTAACTGCATCCTCCCGAGATCCAGAGCAAACTTATTGGAAGTGCTCCTCGGTGCTTTGAAAAACAACAACACCCCACACACAGCACAGCAATATATATATATATATATATATATATATATATAGCACAGCACATTATATATATATATATATATATATATGCATGCTTTAAAAAAACACACCACACACAGCTATATACACACACACACACACACACACACACACATACATACAGCACAGCACATTACATCTACACACACACGCACATATACATATATATACATATATATATGTGCTGTGCTATATATATATCCCTCCCTCTCCTTATCAGCCAGGCAGCTCCTCCCCACAAATCACCCAACCTCCAAATGCCGGAGGTTCCCTCAGGCAGGCAAGCCGCCCAACCAGGCCGGGGGTTGCCTCTCTCTCACCTTTAACAGATTAGACGTCGCCATGTTCCTCACAAAACACACAACACACAGAGAGAAACAGGCGCCCTTGCGGGGCCTTCACAAGCCGGCGGCGGCGGCAGCAGCAGCTGCTCCCCCGTCGTCCGGGGCTGGTTCTTCGGGCTGGGGCCGCTTTACATGGTCTCGGCCGCCCCGCGCGGGACGGAACCGTGTGGGGAGCCTCGGCTCGGCGTCCACCCGGCCGCTCGGCCCCCTCAGCCGGTGGGCGACGGGCTCCTCACGGCTCCCCTGCCTCGGTTCTCAGCGCCTCATGGCGGAATCAGCCCAGACAGCGGGAGACTCCGGACGCTGGAGGAGGAGGAGGAGGAGGCGGTAGCAGCGGCAGCGGCCCGGCTCCTCGCGAGGGGCTGGGCGAGCCCACATGATGCGGCGCAGAGGAGCCGGATGGCCCGCCGCCGAGAGGGGAGAGCGGCTGCGGCCCACAGCGGCCCCTGCAGGGCGGAGGCCGTGCCTGCCTCGGCTCCAGCTCTCCGACGGAGCGCAGGCCTCGCCGGTGTTCCCTCATGGTGTGGCGAAGGCTGCCAGCTGCCCGTGTGTTTGTGTGTTGCTGTGGCAGCATCGTTTTTATTCGCACACCGCCTTTCCATGCTCCGAGGCGACTTACCAGCATCGTCATAGTTCAGTGGTACCTTGGTTCTCAAACTTAAATCCGTTCCGCGCTTTCCCACAGGAAGTAATGCAAAATGGATTAATCCGTTCCAGACTTTTAAAAACAACCCCTAAAACAGCAATTTAACATGAATTTCACTATCTAACAAGAGCATTGATCCATAAAATGAAAGCAATAAACAATGTAGTGCAGTCACGCAATCAATCAATCAATCAATCAGTAGCTGAACTGGGTTCCACACAGTCACAAAATCAAAACACAAAATACAGGTAAATAGCAAAAACAGACAGACCTCAGTGTAACACTCAAAACGGAAGTGTGGCACTCAAATCGGAAGCGTAACACTCAAAACGGAGCATGTTCAGCTTCCAAAAAAAGTTCACAAACTGGAACACTTACTTCCGGGTTTGTAGTATTTGGGTTCCAAGTTGTATGAGTACCAAGGTATTTGAGAACCAAGGTACCACGGTAGTCATAATCTTATTTATATGTACCCCCGCCCATCTGACTGTGTTACCCCCAGCCATTCTGGCCAGCTTCCAACACACATAAAAGCAAAATAAAACATTACACATATAATAATAATAGATTTGCCCACAACTGTCAATGTAGCAAAAAAAAATAAAAAAGGGGGTAGTCATAGAGTTGGAAGGGACCCCAAGCGTCATCTAGTCCAACCCCTTGCAATGCAGGAATCTCAGCTAAATAAAACCATAGAATCTTAGAGTTGGAAGGGACCCCAAGAGTATAGTCAGTTATAAGCAATAAATATAACGCCTCAAAAAACACACGGCCAAATCAGAACAATTTCCACTTATATCACCATCAGATCTAGAAAATAAAAATACGAAAGGTTAATGTATATAACAGCAGCAACAATGGTATCTGAAGAAGTGTGCATGCACACGAAAGCTCATACCAATAACAAACTTAGTTGGTCTCTAATTCCTCTACTGGAAGGAATTTTTTTATTTTGTAGCCACAACAATAAAACTCCTAAGCAATACTGTTCTGCAGCCTCCGCTTTTGTAGCTGGAGTCAGTCCCAGGCCAGATAGGAAAAGGCCAGCAAGGCAGCGAGCCGGTCTTCCAGGATTCACGCCACAACGTATACTTGAATCTGATCGTTTTGTTGTGTATTTTAATGATAGGTAGATGTTTATATGTGCCTTCCTCTGCCCCAGCTGCATCAAAACATGTCTCTACGGCGGGTGCTGTAACCTCCCAACATTTTGGCTTCACCTCCAAAGGCACACTCCTCCATTGTGTCCTGAGATGTCAACAACAACAACATTGTGTAACTGGGTGTAACTGGTCTTTATACACTGGGAACTGGATAGAAACCTATTTTGACATTAAGCAAAAAAATTATTGCACGGTGGTACCTACATCACCAACTTGAGCTGGGGTAATTGCCACTGGTGGCCCAAGTGCCCTCTGGCTAGGAGTGCCTTTTACAAAGCATCATCTGGTTTTCCAGCTACGGCTGTTCCTGGACAGGGGGAGCCTGACCATTGTAGTCCATGTGTTGGAGCTTTTGAGGCTGGATTGCTGCAATGAGCTCTGTGTGGGGCTGCTCCTGGGCCTAGTTCAAAAGCTCCGTAAGAGCAGAAGGAGAGACCTTCTGGATCAGGCCAGTGGCCCACCCAGCATCCTGTTCTCATAAGTGGGCACATGGCATATATAGTAAGCCGTTGTGTTACTGAAGGGAGAGGGGGGGTAAACCCCATCATGTATTAGTGCCCCAGCTAACAATTGCTCCAGCTATGCAGGCCAGGTTGCTCTAGCTATGTAGGCCAGCAGTGGTTTTCCTGTCTGGCTTCCTGCCTCAGCTGTGCTGAAGATGCAAACATATACAATGCAAAGCAAACAATATATGCAAAGGGGGGGCTTAGTTAGCCTAATAAGGTAATGAAGTGTATCTCTGCCTGTTGATTGGGGAGCAACTGAGGAGCCAAGCTTGCAGCTTAAGTATAAGAATGCTTGTAAGACAATAGGGGGGGGCAGTCTTTGGAAGCTATTCCACTGGCTGTCTCTGTGCAGATTCTGCAATAAACCTTTTTCTCTGTGAAATCACACCCTGGTGTCTGCTTGACTCCTTCACGCTCACGGCGAGGGCACGAGGTGACTGGATCTGGACCCCTTAGGTTCAGATATCCTAACATTACTATTTTATATTTATATTGCATATCTTGTCATGGAAATCAACGCTGTCTACATGGGCCTGCCATCCAGACCCTGGTCAGACGCAGGCTGGCTTAGCTTTAGCAAGGTGGCCACATCACATGTCCTTCTTAGACCATGCTCTGGAACTCATTGTCAGCTTGCGATTCTTGGTACAGAAAGTATTGGTTTAAAGTACAGAGATCTTTCTTATTCTAATTGATTCAAGAGGGTTCTGGAAGCTTCTCTGTGTGGTACAAGCTGGTGCAAGCTGGAAGTTTCCTAGCTGACAAGGAAGTTTCTATTCTGCCTAAAAACAAGCTGAAGGTTCCTAATGTTTGGATTATTCCTTCAGAGAAGCTGAGTACAGCGAGTTTAAACTGATTCTCTTATCTCCTTCTATCAATGTTAATGCTGACTATAATAATAAGATCAGAGGGAGCCTTGGTTTCACTTTCTCTTTCCTTCTGGTGTGGTGTTCTATATATAGTGTTAAGGTTTTAGTCTTATTGTAAGTTATTGTAAGTTTAAGTTAAGTCTGCTGCAACTGAATTTCTTATGGACAACGCCAATACTGAAAATGTATGGATTTGTGGCCATTATGCTCATTTGCCTTCAGCTCTGCTGGATGAAATATTAATTGCCTCTGGTCTGTTTTGGGGGGAATCCTGCAACGTGCTATTTTTTTTTACTCTGCTAACTGTATGTTGGAATCTGCTCTGGATCAATATATGAGCAGACTTCTTGACACTCAGTAGGGCATCAGACTGCTGATGCGGACTCTCTAATTTTGAACAGAAGTTGCAGCTAACAGTGGCAATTGTATACATGTCTACTCAGAAGTAAATTCCACTGCATTCAGTTGGTCTTACTCCCAGGCAAGTGGGTATAGGATTCATATATATATAATAAATGTTCATAAATGCACCAATCTAGCACGTACATAGATATGGGGATCACATGTCTGGAGCAGCACAGGAAGACTGCCCTGAAACCATTTTGACTCCCAAACTGACCAAATGTTTGCTCTGCAAGGAGGGCGGGTGGGGGGTGGGGATTAAGAAATCACCAATAGCCAGACTACCAGGAAAGACAATCAGATAAGGCATTATCAAATAACCTGACAGAGAGGAAAAACAACAACATTCAAATTTTTGTTGTAGACCACCTTTTCTGTGATGTAGGTATGATGTTTGTGCGGGGTGGTCTTGGGTTATACCCCTTCTGTGATATATGTATGATGTATGGAGGGGTGGTCTTGAGCTCCAGGGCAGGGAAATTAAAATGTCTATATAAGGGCAGGCACACCTTGGTTCTGGGTCCTCCTCCTTTCCTGCGTGTGAGGGGAGCACCCTGTTGCAACAGTTCAATAAAGATCAGGTTTACTAGCTGCTTTGCTTCTCAGTATTATCTGATTGGCCTCTGTTATTTTCTTCGACTGATGGAGAACCTACAAAGGATTCTGTAAGGGCTCTTGTGTACCCCATTAAGGAATAAGGGCAGATTTTTGTTTATTACACAGCCTACGCCATTGCAGTCAGTACTTTTCAGATAATATCCCAAGTATACTTTCCTAGGAGTAAGCCCCAGTGAACACCAGTTAGTTAGATAGAGAGCTAGTGTGGAGTAGTGGTTAGAGTGTTGGTCAAGGACCTGGGAAACCAGAGTTTGAATCCCCACTTAGCCTGGAAGATCACTGGGTGACCCTGGGGGCCAGTCACTTACTCTCAGCCTAATCTACTTCACACAATTGTTGTGGGGATTAAATGAGAAGGGAATTACCGGTATATATGACAGCTTGAGCTGCTTGGGGAAAAGGTGAACTATAAATGTAATAAACAAACAGAACACAGCAGGATTTACGGAGTAGACTATACCATCAGAAATTATGCTGGATAAATACAGCAGGAAGTGTGAGCGCTGTCTTATGATTCCCAGCTGAATGTTTCAGTGCAACTTCAGAAATAAAAACTAGTAAGTTATGTTTGAGAGACCATGCTGCATAAATTGCTCTACAGTGTTTCACATCCCCATCACCCACAACCTGTGCAGTGTTTGGACTTCGTATTGAGAATTGTAAATGCATCCGTCTTTTGAGCCATAGCATTCTATAACAATGCAAACTGCATCTTTCTTCCCCACCCCCTTGAAAATGATTGGTGATGGTATGAGTTCTTCTGGTGTTTAAACCTGAAACACAGAAGTATCTCTTGAATATATTTACCTAATTCCACTCGCATACAATTGACAGGAGATGCCACACAAAGAATGCCACACAAGGCAACTTACACCAAAAGCTTCAATGTGGAAATAAATCAATACTCCTGCACATGGATATATGTGTGTGCATGAGTATTCCTGGGAAAGCTGGATGAGGTAGGTGATAGGAAGCATGCAGGGCAAAACGAGACATCTCTAAGCATTTTGGGGACTGCCCGTGCAAGATCATTGGTCCGTTTAGTCCAGTGCCAGTTACTTTTGACTGCAGCATCTCAGGGGTATGTGTGGAAATATTTTCCAAGCTAGCTCTGAAAGAACATGTAACTACAGACTGAAATTAGGACAGACCTAATGCAAAAGCTGTACTCTTTCCCCTAAGTATGGCACTACTGACTGCTGAGTTCCTCTGATCCAACTGTGATTCACAAGGCATGCTCTTAGAAATTACAACACTTTTTCTGCCAGTAGACAGATGGTCAGAGTTTTTCTTTTAAACTGGCTTCTGGTCACTCTAGCTTGACCAGTTTTTCCTGCTGTGCTTTGTGCTCTTTCCAAATGTGGTTGAGACAGAGCAGGAGGAAAATATCAGTGTTTCCTAAGAGCAAGGCTTCAAACTGACTCCTCGTACTTCCTGTGGCAACTCTTTACTGTTCCTATGGCAATGGTTGCAGTGACCATGCTTTATTGTCTGTGCCTGCAGACTTTTCCATAATGCACATGTCAGTTGTGTATTGCACTAGAAATCAAATCCTTGGGATATACAGTACTTGCATGCCAAGATGACAGGCTGGCCACATAAGGTTGATCAAAGGTGAAATTATACAATGAAAGCACAGCAACGTGAATACAAATTTAAATCAAAAGTCTCCAGTTTTGTTTCAGGAGTTCATCCTCTGTATTTAATTAGTGAAGGGATTGGTCACGATTTCCATCACGGCTGGATGACTTTCTCGTACTTTGGATACCACCGGTTCACACAAGAGGAATGTATGACTAATTAGTTTGTTGGTCGTGATCCTTTTATGGGCTTATTTGCAAGGCCGGCTGAAAGGAACTTCTTATACTTGGAATTATGTATTTACCCATTAGGCAAATTAAGTGGTTTATTTACACAGTTGGCAACAGAGAAAACTATTTTGTATCTAAGCCACCAGTAGTTACATAGATCGTTGAGAGAAAATATGTTGTTCTAAACAGTGTTTCTTCCATGCACTTTTAAAGATTCAGAAATATATTGATGTTTATATTGATGACATTTTTTTCATTGCTACAGGAATATCAAAAGTGATGGCGCAACTGTATTCGGTTTACTTCCTATACATTTATTACACGAGCAAAGGAATGCAATAGAAGAGTACATGGCACTGATGCAAAGCCCATATGTGCTACGATTTGCACAGGGCTTACCTGTGTGTATAAGCTTTCCCATACATGCATGGAGCCTCCCCACCATTTCAGTCTATGGAGAGGCCCTGGTGGGAAGGAAAACTCGATGTTTGCAGCGAAGTCGCACAAGAGATGGCAGAACAAGGCAACACTCTTCAACAGGCCGTTTCCCAGAAATAAGGCCAAGTGAATAAAATCTGGGATTCATCAGGCATACAGTACAGTCCATAGTTTTATTTTAACCTCTTTTCAAAATGTGATGTCTTAAAAGCTTGTACGTAATAAAAACAGTAATAAGAGCATTGTAGAAAACACCTTGCTGCTAAGCATTTTTTTTTCCTGTGATAGATAAATATCTATATATATTGTTCCCTCGAGTCATAATGAAAGCAGTGGTTTACAAGTGAAAGAGGAGGCCACTCAAAAATAAGCAAATGGCTTCTGTGTAGACAGGGGATTCCCTAGGTGTGCAGAAATGCACAGGTTTGTTTTTTTTTAAATGACATAAAAAAAACCTAATAACATCCTGGCAGGTATCCATGACGTTACAAGATGTTGACGTCAGCTGGCAGTGGGGAAGAGTGTAAAGAAACCAGTTGATCAGACTGTCTTCCAGTCAAATCTATGGCTGAGAGAAGTTTGAGACAGTCACGGGTCGGCTGAAAAGCAAATAAAAGGGGGAAAAGAGGGCAAAGGAAGATAGGGAATAGACTTGTTTTAAGCCTATGCAGACATTAGTGGCTGAAAACATAAGAGAGCTTGTTTTCCCCACTGAATTTTATTTACATTTGCAGCCATCATGCACATCAGAAAGGAGGCAGGGATGTCTTTATCGGATGCACGTTAAATGTTTGGCTTCCCCACCAATTCCAAATTCCTATATCATCCGTCATCCGTGCGTGTGCAATGGCAGACTCAAATGTACACAGCAAAGTGAATGTGGTTTCAGTTTTCCATTCGGATCAAATCCAGTTTGAGGGAAAACACATCAAACAGCAGTATTGCTCAAGAAATGGCAGGGTAGATATGCCTTGTGGCTGAGGTTTCGAAAGCCAGCGGTGGGAGCACACTGGATGCAGAATAAATGTGTCCCTGGCAACTTAAAGTGAGAAAAGTGCCAAATAAATATAATATATAAATGTCTCCTGGAGGAAGGAAATTAGGAGGGATGCCTCTCCCACCTCCTGGAGTCTCGCTGCCTCTGCTTTATAGTTATGAAATACTCAGCTTTGTTGCTGGCAGCATTGTTGCATATATTACAGCAAGGGAAGAATCTTGTGGATATGTATGGGGGTTGCCCAGTATCCCTTCCCCAGTTTTGCAATTCCCCGCCCCCCTCCTTGAGGGTTGGACAGCAGTACAAAGCTCTTGGGGGGTGAGAATACACTGCACAATTTTTTGGAAATCGTATCACGTCCAGCCCAAGCAAACTGATTCACTGTGAAATATAAAGCTCCCTATTATATGATACAAATAAGCAAAACATTTACCGGTAACTTCCGTTCTGTGATTTGGATAGGCCACTACGATCACAAACAGAGTTCATGATCCCATGTAGGCTTATGCAACGTGATCAAAGCATCAAGGACCTCCTCGAAAAAATACACGAGGAACCAGAGGATTGTTGCAGAACTGCACGACTTTTGCTGCAGATAATTCATGTAATTTGCATATCATTTTCATGCACAGAGTGGTCGCCAAACCTCAGGGTGGCGGATATGCCGCACTTCTCGTGACAAAAACCCATTGTTTCAACATTCTGAAAAACTAGCAACAAAGGCTGAAGAAACCTGAGACTGCTTTTTTTTTTTAAAAAAAGAAATCTTTGAGATATACTTCAAAAAATCACAAGTGGAAAACAAAGCATCCCAACTTTTTTTTTCAACCTGCCTCTTTGTTTTCATTGTCTTTGCCATCCCATATTTAATTACCAGAAATGTACTTTGCTTTTTAATCAAAAGCTGTGAGTCTCAGGATCTTTATAGGAGCGTGCAGGCCACACATAAGTATTGTAGGGGTTGTAAGCAACTCAGTGGATATTGCTTACCCCTGATCTAATGCATCTTCATATATAATATTTTGTATAACCGGGCCTTGTTCTCCAGACACCTGATATACTATGCTTCTTTGGCATGCAAGCGATTTAGCAAGGGCACTGGTCTCCGAGTGAGGTAGCCTCCTCTGAGGAATGTACAACATTTGGAACATAGCCACTTTTTACCCCTTCCCACCCCTCTTGCATCGAAATGTCTCCTTTTTTCACAAGTTCGTATATGTCTTTAGTGAGAACGGTGAAGGATTCTTCAACGTTCGTGGCGTCTTTGGCTGATGTTTCTATGTACTTCATGCCACAGGCGGATGCCAGTTCCTCAGCTTCCTCTCTCGTAACCTGGCGCTGCGCCTCCAAGTCGCATTTGTGTCCCACCAGGATAAACACAATCTGGAAAGGGTGCACATGCATCTTAGCTTCCTGAAGCCAATCGTACACATGCTCAAAAGAAGACCGATTAGTGATGTCAAACACCAGCAAGCCTCCTACCGAATTTCGGTAATAAGAACGTGTGATTGACCTGCAAAATAAAAGGGGAGAAACATGCTCAACAGGAAAGAACGTTCCAGCTTGTCTGCGTTTACTTCTTTAAAGACAGGAGTATCCTTGTGAGCTGGAGAAGATCTCAGAACAAAATGAAATCCTGGCATTTTTAAAAAGACAAATTAGAAGAATTGCTCTAATTCGGTAGTGGTGTTCAGTCTTTTTTTGCAATTATTCTACAAATTATGTGAAGAGAAAATAGAGAGGCATCTGATGTGAGCTACGGTGCATATCTAACTTTTCCTTACCTTCCTCCCCAACCATCACCAATAGTTTCTAAGCTAGAACACCCACACACTACAATTCCCAACACCCTGAACAAACTATGATTCCCAGGATTATTTGGGGGGACGTCATGTGCTTTAAATGTATGCTGTGAATGTGACCAAAGGATGCAACAGAAGCAGGATTGCAGGCCTAATTCTCTGCAATGGCCAAGCCAGCTCACTGTACGGGATGCGGGTGGCGCTGTGGTCTAAACCACTGAGCCTCTTGGGCTGCCGATCAGAAGGTCAGCTGTTCGAATCCCCACGATGGAGTGAGCTCTCATTGCTTTGTCCCAGCTCCTGCCAACCTAGCAGTTTGAAAGCACACCAGTGCAAGTAGATAAATAGGTACCACTGTGGCGGGAAGGTAAACGGCATTTCCGCGAGCTCTGGTTTCTGTCACTGTGTTCCGCTGTGCCAGAAGAGGTTTAGTCATGCTGGCCACATGACCTGGAAAGCAGCCTGTGGACAAACGCCGGCTCCCTCGGCCTGAAAGCGAGATGAGCACCGCAACCCCATAGTTGCCTTTGACTGGCCTTAACCGTCCAGGGGTCCTTTACCTTTATGTATTTAGATAAGGTTTCTTTTCTACCTTTCAATGGAACGGCAGTAGACAGTCTCGTGGGAGTTATGGAGCTGTCGCCCTTCCCACCAGCACTTGGTTGGGGCTGAGCAGGGCAGTGGTTTGACTGGGGCTGGGTAGGTGCACTGGTAGGCCGAGCCACTCTGGGACTCCCACCATTGTATGACCTTGCAGTTGCCCTACCCTGGTCCCATCAAAGTTGCCAGCATAGGGAGGTTGGCTCCACAGGTCTGCCCACCACACTGGCTACTACTGCATCTGAACGGTCCTCAAGGTCGCTTGTTAAGAGGCTGTGATCATGCACACATCCACACACAAACCCCAAATCCATATAATCCACCAGTCTTAGTCACCTGGTTGACGGAAGGGACCAAAGCAAGTTCGTTCCCCTGAACCTCTGAAGTCCCATAACAACCTGCAGGTGAAACCAAGTGTTGTTTTTGGCAGGGAGGTGGGGAGCAAGCCCCCCTGCATCTGCTGCTCCTCTGGCCAATGGATGGGGCCAAGCTGGTCTCTCTTTTACCACAACGCTCTTCCTGGAAGGCAGAAAGCGCAACCTCCCAGGGAAGCTTGGTCCAGTGCTTGGGAGCTATTCACTAAAACAACCAAGGTGCAGCTTAGATTGGGAGCTTCCTGCACTCAAGTGGAAGCCGCGTTGGATGTTGGGCTTCTGAAAAACGTTCACAAACCAGAACACTTACTTCTGGGTTTGTGGCGTTCGGGAGCGATTCGGGAGCTGATTGGCAACTAAGCCGTTCAAGAACCAAGTTATGACTGTATTCATATCAGAATTTGCAGGTATCCAATAAAATGTACCCCCATACATGATCATGCTGTATGATCAGGTCCTAAGAGTGTATTTATATCAGATGGTTTTCTTGAGTATATTCTAAGTAGGGCACCCTGCCAGAGAGAATCATTGATTAGAATTGCAATCCCATGTACTCTTACTTAGGAGTAAGTCCTACAGTATCTAACCCTGCAATAGGATGTGTTTCTGAGCAGTTGTGCGTCGGACTACACTGCGTTTTGTTTCAAACAGTTTGGTACTTCTTAGCTGACAGATGCTGGAAAACACCTGATAAAGGAGGCTACGGTCCACAAAAGCTTATGCTATAATAAATTTGTTAGCCTTTAAGGTGCCACAAGGCTCTGCTGATGTTCCCTGCAATGTTTCTTTATGATGTGTGAGATGTGGCTAAGAATATGCTTGAAACATAAGCTGTGCCTCATTTGCCCTAATCGACTAACCTCTGCTGTGCTGAGGATTCCTCAGGTACTGACATAGATTTTCAAGCTTTTGGATGAAATCCAGAAGGCCACTTTAGGCATCCAGCAGCATTTTTATCTCTCCCCCACAACCCCAGAGCAGAAGATTTCCTGTGCTGTATCACATACCATTTCTGAATTTCCTCCAAGGTTCCAAAGCATTTCCCATGCAGGACTGAGGTGCTGATGTTTGAGAAAAGCAAGTATCCAAACTCACTCTGGGGGTGCCAAGAGCATTCTTTGGCATACTTCGCTTGACCATGGCCTACTTGCAGAACTGAAAGAACTAGGAATTATCTTCTTGTTTTTTAAAGGGATTGTGAGGGTTTGTAGGATGCTGAAATGAACTTCTGTGTTTGCATGCTCAAGCAGGCAGATGTTACAGAGTTCCCAAGACCTATGGTATAAAAAGGCAAAGGGACCCCTGACCATTAGGTCCAGTCGTTTCCAACTCTGGGGTTGCGGCACTCATCTCGCTTTATTGGCTGTGGGAGCCGGCATACAGCTTCCAGGTTATGTGGCCAGCATGACTAAGCTGCTTCTGGTGAACCAGAGCAGTGCACGGAAATGCCATTTACCTTCCCGCCAGAGAGGTACCTATTTATCTACTTGCACTTTGACGTGCTTTCGAACCTATGGTATAGTGGAGAGCAAATGCAGCAGACTGCAGCTCAGAGCAGGAGGGATGGTGTTATCTGGAGGAACATCATGGACTAACAAATCACCTTGCTGTGGCAAGTGAATGAGGTAATAATGAGGCTTTCAAGTTTCTTTGCAACAGATTAGCATAGAAGTCAGAGGATGGTGATAATAATAATCAAACAGAGGATGGGGGCCTCTTTGATGGCATTCCCATGTCAAGCTAGCAATTTAAATGGCAAACTCTTCATTGCAAGACTGCTTGCTTTTGTAATTAAAAGGCAAAGGTTGCAGTTCAGCCAACTGAAGGTATTTCATTAATGTTCAGTGAGTTTTACATATTGAACCTATGCAGTCAGAAGTTAAGCACCACTGATTTCAATAGACTTTATAACCTAGAAACTATGTACAGAATTGCTGCAGTTATGTAGAGTCTGATAAAGTGGGTATTATGCTATGTACTGCTGCTTTTCAGTGTGTGCATATAAAATGATGTCTCAAAATGGGTGCCTGAATATTTTTTTGACTTTCCTTTAAAATGTGGCTGTAGTGGCTGTGATGAGGAGCTCCTGAACTTCTAAATTTACCACCAAACCACTGCCTGGGACTGTACCATTTTATAGTTCAGATGGGGAACTGCATGTCTGAATGAAATGTCCTTGCCACAGAAAACTAACATTGGGTAGAAGGTTCTAGGCTAATGTTCTGCCTGAGCTGCTAGCTTTCTGCATTAGAGGAGTCAAGTCAAGTCTCACTTACTGTTTAACCCAAAGTTCATTGCAGCACAAGCTATCAAATGGGTAAGCAAGCAAACAAGAGTGAATAATGGTTTATTTTTATCTGGAGGAAACACTGAAAAACAACCCGCTATCTGCAGTCTCAATTGGTATAATCCTAGGAATTGTCCTGTTTGACTTATTTTCACATGTAGATCAGCTACAAGAAGCTGAGAGTATTTGAATGTGCAAACTTCCAATGTACTGTTTGACTGATCAAGTATGCATATAATTTTCCTTAACAGATGTTGAATGTTATACACAATAATTATAATAATGGTCTACGTGATAATTTCAATAAGACTAAATTTGTCATAAACAACTGCCAAATGCTAGTTAATGAAGCAAAAACAGTTTGGAGCCATATTTCTTCCAACATGTCTCTCTGATTGGTAAGTTAGAAAGCAAACAACACATCTATATGGCTCATTTCAATATAAATTGACGTTGAGCATTGTTATGTTAAATTACTAGCTTACAATTATATATGAAGTCTATACTGGCCTCTCATTTTATTTTCTTTGACTTGGATACAGGCATAGGCTGCAGTCCTAACCACACTTACCAATAGGCTGGCGGGGGCTTGTAGGCCAACAGATTTATTGTGACATGAGCCTTCACAGTCTAGAATCCACTTCATCAGATGCATGAAGTGTTGTTGGCAATTGGCAGGGGAGAAATGAAGCCAAATGGCAATGAAGTACAAAAAGTACGGTCTGTGCCCATTGAATGTAAAGATTAAGATAAGCAAAGTGGGTGTTCATAACAGCAATGGTTGTTGATAACACAACCATCCCAACTTTGGTATGTTAACTAACACACCTAGTGGAACAGAAAACCAAGGTTTGCCTTGGCAAACAGAATCAAACTGCCCGATTATTCAGAAGATGGCAAACAGAAGATGGGGAAAAGTGGAGTCAAACTGGCCCCGCAGAAGCAATTCTGCAAAGGAAGCACACGGAAATTTAGGAGCAGGAATCAGCAGTTCATTTTAACAAGAGTTTGGGAAGCAAGGCAAAGGCACATCCTCCGACTGGGATTCCTTACCCATCCACCTGTCTGGGGGATGGTTGCCCTTGAGCGGTGAATAAAATATCTTCTACTCCTATTCTTATTGCTTCACATATCCAAGAGCTGGGACTTGTTTATAGGTATGCGTCTCATGAGGCCTTTAAAAAACAACAACAAAAAGCCTAGGCCTTTTTCAAACTAAGTTTCAGTCTGAATATTGTTCTCCTGCTGCGTTTTTATGCTTGCATTATTGTCCTGCTGCTCTGTTGCTGTTATTTTCTTGCTTGATTTTAGTAGTTTCACATAACTTTTATTCTTTGTTAGCTGTCCTGAGAGCAGCAACACCGGAAGTGCAGGCCTGGGGAACCAGTCCAAAATTCAAGGAGGAGACCAAAAGTCTATCGAGTCCAGCTTCCTGTTTCCTAGAGGGGCCTACTTAGATGCCAGGGGAAGCCCATATGGAGGACCTGAGTTAATCTATGGAATTCCCTTCTGCAAGGGATAGTGATTGGCCACAAACTTAAACGGCTTTAAAAGAGGATTGGACAGATTCAGAGGTGATTCAGGCAATGGCTAGGTTTTACCATCACTGTTGGGGGCAACATGTCTCTGAATACACATTGCTGGGAATCACAAATAGGGAGAAAACTGTTGCATGCAGGTCCTGCTTGTGGGCTTAATAATAAAGTTGTTGTTGTTGTTGTTGTTGTTGTTGTTGTTGTTGTTGTTGTTGTTGTTACTGCCAGTAGGCTCTTCTTATGCTCTTAATTAGGACAATATTCCTTTCCTCCTGTTGTTGCCCAGAGAGGCTTTCTGACTCTGATCCTGGAGTTAGTAAACAGCCATTAATAGCCCTTATCCACCATGAATTTGTCTGTTCTCCCCTTAAAGCTGTCCAGTGGCACTGAGTTCCCCAAGTTAACTATGCACTTTATCTGGTCTGCCCTGAAGCCAAATTTGATGGTTCTTATTGTGAGAAAGAGAATGAAACAAACAAAGCCTCCCTGAAAATAAGCCTTGGGTAGAAAGAGGCCTTGGATGACGGAGGCACTGGGTGGTTGTAGACACAGGAATGGTTGTCGGAATACAACAGTGACTAATTTCATAGGGGGCTGCCCCATTAGCCTGTTGGAACAAATATAGAAGACTTCCTTGGAGACAAAGCAGATTTTGGGGGGTGGCAAAAGCTTTTGTGGTTTAGAACCTGCTTCATGGGATGCAGAAAAGAGATGAGGCCCAAGTGCCCTGAAATGTGAGAGGCCCCATTGTTGACATTTATTGCTCTCTAGTGCGTATGTCCACGTGTGTCTTATATATATCCCCACAGAGAACCACATTTCATGCACCTGATGATGAAGTCAACACCGGTCCACCAAAGCTGATGCCACACTCAACCTGTTTAGGTGCCACAAAGCACAAGTATTTTGCTGCCTGAGGCAGAACATCAAGTGGTTTCCACTTCCCAGACAAACTGCATAGTGCCTGTAGGTGACCAAGTTATTTAATCACCTGAGGCAGAAAACCCCACAAGCCTCTTTCCCTAGGGGTAGAAACACAGCCATCCTAAGTTAATTACTGCCTTCAAATGATCCCCCAAATCTGCCGCCTGAGGTGACTGTCTCACCGTGCCAAATGTTAGGGCCAGCCTTGGGGACTCTGCTCTTCTGCAAACCTAATTACACTGGTGTTGCTAGAGATCTGAATCAGCACATTCAAAGCAGCCTTTGTCAACATGATGCCCTCCAGATTTTTTCCTGACTACAACTCCCAACATCCCTGACCAATGACCACACTGGTCGCGGCTGATGGAAGTTGTAGTCCAAAAGCTGGGAAGACAGCAGGTTGGCTAAGGATGAATGCAAGAAGTTAACTACCTTCAAGGGGTTAACACGCACGAACACGCCCTGAGCGGGAAAGGCGGGTGGGGTTGATCCACGGAGCTGCTGATCTGCGCCGAAGAGGAGGCACTCTGCATACACTCAGAAGCCTCTGGTCAGCGTAGGGAGGGGGATTCCGGAGACACCCCTTGGTTAAACAGCATGCATATTACTGGGGAGGAGGGCGGGAAGGGGCGCCTGCTATACCTGAATCTCTCCTGGCCCGCCGTGTCCCAGAGCTGCAGCTTGATCCTCTTGCCCGGCTCGATCTCCACCAGGCGAGAGAAGAAATCCACCCCGACGGTGGGATCCGAGTGCATGGGCCCCGGGAAGCGGCCCTCGGTGAAGCGGTGCAAAAGGCACGACTTGCCCACCGTCGAGTCGCCCAGCACGATCAGGCGGAACTGGTAGATCCAGATGGCTGCGTCCATGGCGCTCTCCCCGGAGGAGGAGCAGGCGGCCGGGTGGGCTCCGCCGCCGCCGTCCTCGGCCTTGTTGGGGCGCCTCCTCGGGCGGTGCCTGCACCGAGCTCCCACGGCCCCTATCCCAGGCATTGGCGCAGCAGGAAGGGAGGGACGCGCGGAGGAAGGGAAGCACGGAGGGCGGGACGGAGGCGCCTCTGGTCCGAGCGCGGGGACTCGACGAGCAGCGCGGGAAGGAGAGGGGAGCCACGGGCCGGGGCTCTCGCCGTCTGAAAGGCTGGGTAGGGAAAGGGATGGCGGGCGGGTCTGGGTGGGTGGAAATGGAGCTGCCTTTGCTTACCTCCTGCCCTGCTAACGGAGAGGGGAAAGCGGAGGAGACCAGACGGGGGGCGACGGAGCAGGGAGAGGATTCCAGGCGAGCGGATGGCGCGCCTTTGTTCCCTTCGATTGGGCGGTGGGTGGGCTTATTTTTTCCAGTTTCCCCCCAGTGGTGGCGGTGCTGGAGGAGGAGGAGGGCGGGGACTGCCCACTGCTTTGCTGCCACTGGGATGGGAAAAGAAGGAGGCTTTTAAACCGTCGGGTGGGCGTGGATTGGCAGCTTGGCTCCGCTTCTGCGCGAGGGGCTGCCGGGGCTCGGCGTCGGTTTCCCCTTTTTGCTCTGAGGCTCCCTTTCTGAAATGGAGGGCCCAGCAAGCCCCTTTCGCCTTGTGTCCCCGGTCCGTCGCTGCTCCCCCGGGAGAAAAGCACTCTGCACGTGCCCAGAGAGGCGCGTTGATGTCCCCAGGCTTGGCACTGAAAACGGGTTCTTGGGCTCTTTGGGGAGGGTTTAAGTCGGGACAATGCTTCTGGTTACGTCGGAGCGACCAGGCAGGGCTACTAGTTTAGAAGGAGGCACGAAACAGGCTTCACATCACCGCATGGTGGCAAAAAACCAAACCGAATGTGAAGATACCACTGAGGGTATGTTTTAAAAGGGAGCTAGAATCAAATCCTGGCTCACCGACAGGTACACCTGTCCGGCGGGTTTGCAAAATGCTTGCTTATTTCATTGGCATGTCCGATTTGTCGGCATATATTTTAAAATACATTACCTGGAAAATATGTATGAAGAAGTAAACATTGGTCCATCAAACCCACGACTTTCTATCCTGACTGTCAACACCTCCCACTCCAAGGAAGTATTTACCCATCACTTTATTAAACCATGGAACTCTTTCCCACCAAATGTGATGAAGGGGACCACCTTAGATGGCTTTAAAAAAGGGATTAAAAGAAAGTTTGGAAGAATAAGCCTCTTGATGGCTACCAGTTGTTATAGTGACTATATATTACCTCCAGGATCAGAGGTTGCCTAAGTGCATCGTGGGCAGATGCTAACAAAGCAAATAATTCTGTGCGATTTAAGCATGTGAACAAAACCACACACTGCCGGCTACAGAGAAGGCAAATTTCTCAAGCTAAAATGCACCTCCACCACACCAAGGGCAATCAAACAGATGGTTGCCTGGTTCCTCTTGCTGTCTTAGGAGTTAGGTAGCATTTTGACACAGGTGTATGCACACTACAAAAACATTGCTATGGATATTTTTAAGGTGGGTTGCTGCAGAATGAGATTCTGGCAAATCGGGCTGGTTGGCCGGCCATTGGCAAGGACAGCTTCTATTCAAAGGCTCTTGGGTTTTGCTAAGTGGAATAATGTTTGGCTTGGCGCTGGCTGATGGGTGGCACTCTGTGGGTGGCCACCACCCGCAGAGGGTTGGAAATGGAATAGATCTCTCAGTAGTGCAGTATAAGGCAGCAGGCTCTTGACATAATGATCATGTGGGTGGGTTGGTCTTTAGATGGAAAAATGCATTACTCCACAGAATGCAAAATGTGAAATGAACTGCTGTGTGGGGGGGACCCCCTTGCTGAGGAGCCCCGGGCCTCTGCGTACAAGTCCCAACCCTGAAAGTGGCTCTTCTTCCTTGTTTAAATAGACTGGAGTTTAGAATAAGCAGCAGTTTAGAATAAGGGAGCTGTCCGTTCAGCACCTTTACGAAACGGAGCACCCAGAGACCTGAGTGCTATATAATACCACCAGCAGCAACAAAACACATAGTTTAAAAACTGGAACCAGCTTGTCAAAACACCCCTCTTTAAATAAAACTCATGGAAAACTTAAGTGAAAGCAAATGTTCGACCTAGTGCCCTCCAGATGCTCTTGGAAAACAACTCCCATTGGATCTCAGGGCACTGGAGAGCAAAGTTGGTTAGAGCACAGTGCTGATAATGCCAAGGTTGCAGGTTTGATCCTATATGGGACAGCTGCATAGGTTGGACTAGGTGATCCTGAAGGCCCTTCCAACTCCATGATTCTATTATTCACTATATTGTTTCCAATGCTATTTAACATCTACACTAACCCTTTGGGAGTGAACCTTAATGGTTTGGGAGCAAGGTGTCATCCGTACTCCAATGATACCTAACTCGTATTTTTCTGTAGCATCTGAATCGGGAATGGCTGGTGCAGTTGTGGGCTGGATGAAGGCTAGAAAACCAAGGCTGAATCCTGGCTTGTGTGTGATAGTGGTTCCTGGATCTGGGATGTCAGCAAGTTACCTATGCTGGATGGGGTCACACTTTCCCTGAAGGAGCATGGGCATAGTTTGGGGGTGATTCTGGATCCAGCTCTGTCACCGGAGACACGGGTGTCTTTGATGAATGGGAGTGCCTTTTTTCAACTTGCTGGGTAAGGCAGCCATGGCTGTTCCTGGGTCAGGATAGCTAACCACAGTTGCCCATGCTCCTCACTGCTGGATTCCTGCAAATGTCCTCTATGTGGAGCTGCCCTTTGGGTTGGTCTGCAGGTGCAGAACACAGTGGCTTGGTTGCTTGTGGGAGCGAGCTACTGCTGGCATAAAACACCCTGCTTGCTGGATTTCCACAGGCTGCCAATCTGCTACTGGAACAAGTCCAAAGTGTTGGTGCTAACATATAAGCCCCCTATGCAGCTCAGGATCAGGTTACTTGAGAACATAGCCTGTGGTGATCCCGGACACAGCTTAGGACCTGGATAGGGCACATAGCTTTTTGGCTTCTGCAGATGGAAAGGGAAGGCAGACGTCAGAGTGGAACTGCAGTGCAACGTGTGTGCCAAATTGAGAGTATGGGGGAAATCAATGCACTTGGGAGAAATCACTCGCAGGCAAAATGGGGCATAGGGGAAATCCAGTGCCAGCACCACTTTGAGTGGCTTTGCCCAGAAGAGTTCTGCTGATGACACATGTGTGACTGGTAGGGAACATTCAAGATGAATGAATGAATGTATCTGGAGAAGACTGTGCATTTTAGTTGACCCTTCAGCTGATTGATCAATTAGTCTCACATTTGCACGCGATTGTATCTCAGTATAGGGGGATTTTCAAGACAGCAAAGAAAGTGTAAAATGATTTACAGTTTCATTAACGAAATTACCGCTGGTTCTTAGATGGACGCACCATTTTTCATATTTCATTTTTGCTCCCAATATTGTCTTCGTTTCCTATTACAGGAATGAATCAGAATCAAAGTAGCTTTAGGAACAAGAGGTGTGCTGTCAAGGAGGGACATTGAACTTCAGCTTCAATAATAAAATGTGGATCCTGGAACCCCTTTCTTTGGCCTTCAGGACTCTCCTCAGACGAGCTTCCTCTCTCCAGGCCACACCCCTCAATGGCCCTGGGCTGCTGCCCTGAGCTCCTTTGGAGGAGGAAAGGCAGGATGTGAAGTTAATTATTAAATAACTTAAAACAGATTAATCATCTAATGCCTTAGGCCACCATCTCAACAGGATGCAGTTCAGTGCTATACATCGGAGTGGGCAATGTTTTTGAAGGCTGCATCCCCTTCCAGATAATCTGTCATGAGTTTCATTCCAACAGTGGACAAAGTCTGAGAGAAAAAGTGTTCTGTATTAATGAATCAAGAATAAAGACCAGCTTGCTTCAGTTTTCACCAAAGCTATCTCAGATGAGAATTCCCAACCTGAGAAGTCAGTCCCACTGTGTTTGCTGGGACCTTAACTGTACAGAGGATTTTTTTAAACAACAACAAGTACAACAGTTCAATACAGCTACTGTTCTGGAAAACAAAGTAATTTATGGCTTTAGTTTGCTACACACACAGTAGAAGCCTACTAATTTGTTCTCCGACAGCTGGGAGGTGGGTGGAACTTCTTTTCTCTAAGCCATGCAACCTGGAAAAGATTTAAAACAACAACAACAAAAATTGTTACCCACAAATAAAATGCTGCTCATTTCAGCTTGGAAGCTACAACGAAAGAGGAACAGGGTGCATTTAAAAGCCGGGGGAAATAAATGAACATGATGGAAGGAATTCTGATAGAATGGAGGACAAGGGCAGCTTCAAGAGGTGTTGAAAGTTTCACAACATGAGGCTGAGGCTGCATGCAGTTGGTTGCTGATCTGTGATATATGCACTCGCTTATAAATGAGTCCCACTGAAGTCAGGAAAAAAAGGCACACAGCTGGTCCATCTAGTTCAGCCTGCTCTGTCTGGCAGTGACTCTCCACGGTTTCAAACAGTGGACATTTCTAGCCCCACCTGGCAATGCCAGGAATAAAAATTTGGACCTTCTGCATGCAAGGCCGATGCTTTGCTACTGAGCTTTGGTTCTTCCCAATTTCTGAGATAACGTGACTTACTTCTGAGTACATAGAACTGCCTTATACCAATGGGCAGTTAGTGTCTACTCAGTAGTGTCTACTCTCAGTGTCAGTGTGTTCCAGGGCTTCAGACAGGAGGAATCTTACCAGGAGATGCTGGTGCCTGAATCTGGGACCACCTTCCAGCAAAGCACATCCTGTATCACTGAGCTTTTGCCATGCTAATTCTATTGGTATGTCTTTGAGTAGGCATTCATAAGTTCATGCTACAAATCTCTGCACAGACACCCTTGGGATTAGGGTTGGTAAGGAGCATGTGCCTTTGCTGGCATCTGTTTGTGCCTCCCTAGGAATGCCCTCCACCCGTCCACTGAGAACCACAGTGCTCCAAATCTTGCACAGATGCTGGTGAACTCCAGAAATTTGAGTAAGCTAAATGAACAGACTCTACAGCATGCTGGGCTGTTAGAATTCCTTGGCTTCCCTACAA